ATTACGAATATATAAAATATAAAGACTTAAAAGTTATTAAAGAGTAGTTTAATCTTATTTAAAAAACTATCCTTTAGTTTAGAATCGACCCTAATAATATTTATAACTTTAATAAGACTAGTTTTATAATAGGGTTAATAGCGACTATAAAGATTATTATAAGAAGTAAATACGATAGTCGGCGCTCGCTTTTATAATCTAAAAATCGTAAATAGGTAACTATTATTAAATATATAAATACTTTAGGGTAGGCCCTCCCTCTATATATAATTTTTAAAGGTAAAGTCTTTATTAAATCCTAGTTCGATAGCCTTTTAGATAATTAGCGATTTAAGGTTAGTCTAAATAGTTAGACCTCTAATAAAATTAAACTTCGTTAGCTTAAAAAGCTCTTTATTCTAATAACTTCTTTATATATAAAGGGGGAGTATCGACTTTTAATACTTAATAGATATAGAAGCTATTTAACCCCTAAATTCGATAAGATTTATAAGTAAAATAAGGTAATACTAATCTATATACCTCCTTACTCTTCTTACCTTTTATAGCCTCTTAATATTAGCTATTTTATAATTTTAAAACGTTTATATAGTTAGATAGTTAAATTAAAAATATAGGTTAAGATTAACTATATTTATAAACTTAACTTCTTTAAAGCGTACCCCTTTATATAAAATAAAGCTTTTAAATCGGAGATTATTGAAAATAGCTTTAGAGTAGCTAGTTTAGTACCTTTTATACCTAATCGAGTGATCTCGAAGCTTAATATTTAGCTTCGAACCCTAACCCCCCCTCTAAGCTAAGGGAGTAAATTAATCCGGAATTTTATACTAAAAATACTAGCTATAGAGAAGGAACTATATTAATAAGCTTTATTAATTAAAGCTTTACTATATATAAGATCTCGAAGTCTACTAAGCCTATTAGAATATACTTTAGACTAGCTTATAAAAGGCTTCTGTATTATAATATAAGGTACTATCTTACTCGCTAAAGAAAATAAGGAATTATAGGCTAAAAACGAGAAGAAGAAGTAAAAGCGGACTCAGTCGAATAGGTAGATAGCCTATAAAGGGGATCTCTTAGTATAGGAGGTTCGTAAGCTACGTTTAGAGCTATTTAAGGCCTAAGTAGCGCGTATTAATACCTATCGTAAGCAGGTTTCGGGGGGTTTATAGCTAGCTGCACGTGCCGGGCGAGCGTGTGGGATATATAGATTACCGGGCTATAAAAGAGAAACATGCCTAGATAGAGAAATCATTTAGTTAAATCAATATAATAGTGTTTTAGTTAAGATAAATGGAATTGAATTCAATGGGTTAGGGTAGGTGCGTTACTCGGGGGTGTGCGTCACTCGGTAGAGAATTACGTTATATATAATTAGTTTATTAAGCTTTCTATTAAATCGTTAGATAAGGTACTTATACCTTAGTCTCTTTACCTTTAATCTTAGCTATCTTTTAAAGAGTAAGATTAATTTTTAATTTATAAATATATATCTATCTACTTTAGTATTACTAAGTACTAAAATAGAGAAAGAATATTTATTATATATTAGTTTAATATTAAAAACTAAACTATCTTTAAGACCTTCTTTAATTAACTTATATAAATCTAGTAGATATAGTAATATTTTCTATCTACTTAAGTAAAAGACTTAGCCTAGGTATTAACTTTTCCCTAATCCTTATCTTCTTTATTATTAGGCTCTATAATATAGGGAGTAATCTAAGGAGTAGCTATTATAATAGTACTAATAAGCTTCTTCTTAAGATAATTATATGTTATATATCCCTACTCTTTATAGTTAAAATATCTTCCCTCTTTTATTAGGATATCTTATTTAGTATTTAAGAGCTTTCTAAGATTAGTACTTTCTTTATATTTTATATAGGGATTATAGGTAGAACTTATAGTCGCCTTTATACTACTACCTAGGGTCGTAGTAGGTTAAATATAAAAGTTAGCCTTTACTTTTTACTAAAGGCTAATTTTATATAATATACTCTAGTAAGTCTAAGAGAACTTTTTAAAGTTTATAGTATCTTAATTTACTACCTATATTACTTAACTCTATAATAGGTATAGTAACTTCGAGTATAAATTATACTTCCGGTTCTCCTTAATTATAGCTACCTCTTTTATAAGCTATATAAATTCTATTAAGGAGTTAGTAAAGCTATCCTTTAGCTTTATTATTAGCTTATAGTAAGCGGTATAGGCCTTAGTATACTAATTTAGGTTTATAAAAATAGTCTTTAAATAAGCGATTATATCCTTAGTATCTATTAAGGGTTACTTAAATTAGAGCTTATCTAAGGTATAATATATAACTAAGCTTTACTTTTATAATAACTTTATATATAAAGTTTATAGTAGACTAGTAGTAGGTAGTAATTAATACTAGCCTTTAGTTTCTAATATATAATAATTTCCTAGGTTTTAAACTAGACTTCTTTACTATCGCTAAGTATTAAAGTATCTAGTATTTTTTATAGTTTTATTACTTATTACTACCTCTATTAGAATTCTAGCGTTATTATTCTAGTATAAGAGTTAGAATATAAGGTTACTATAGTCTTTAATTATAATATTATAGTAAGCGATTACTTTATTATACTTAATCTAGAGATTCTTAATTACTTTATTAAAGTCGGCCTTCTCTACTATAAAGACTATAACTTTATCCTTAAGCTCTTAATATTAATATTCTAATTACTTATATTAGTAGATAAGTTCCTAGAATCTCTTTTAAGAAAGGGTCTTTATTAACTATTTATATAAAGAGGATAATTCCTCTCTAGTATTATCTTTATTATTATTCTTATTAAGGTCTCTAGGTTTAAAGTATAGGTCTTATAATTAAGGGCTTCTTTATTATTATTAGGTATAATAGTAACTAGCTACTTACTATAGTTTATTAGGTTCTATTAAGTCCTAACTATTCTAATTAATTAAGCTAGATTTAGTTCGGTTTAGGTCAAGTCTTAGCTTATATAATACTAAAGAATAGTGTGATCCCACACAGAGTTGTGGACACCTACATATATATACCACTGCAACTAAGTCAATTCTATGAATTGACTTGGTTATGACCTTTTGGTCTAATGGGTAAATGCTTGGAGCAGTGGCCAGCGTATCTCATCAAGTCAATTCATAGAATTGACTTAGTTGCAGTGGTATATATATGTAGGTGTCCACAACTCTGTGTGGGATCACAATAGGAAGTAGGGTAAAGTAGGGCTAGGACTAATTATAAAGATAGTCTATATAACCTTACTACTTATAGAGTTAAGAGTAGTACTTAGTATTATATTACTAGCTAGTTCTTTTAAAGAGAAGAGTATATTCTAACGAAAATACCAAGTATAGAGAGGAAAAGGAAAGAAAGAAGAAAGAATCGAGTCTCTAAAGCCTTTTATAGGGCTTTAGTAAATAATAATAACAAACTATATAAACTTCCCACTCCTTCCTTCCTAATCTAGAACCCTAACTAAAGTCGGGATTTAACAGCAGAATCCTTCTAACCACGGTTAAAGATTCTTTTATAATCAGTTTCTGACTAGGGTTAGAAATTCTTACTAGGTAGAAGCTAGTAGTGCTTATTACAAAGCGTCTCAGATTGTGACACCCCTTATATATCTCTAAGGATAGCTAGATACTAATAAAGAAGACTGAATTCTTAAAGATTATATAGATAATAATAAACTAGTATTTAGTGACTAAATATAGTTTTAGGTAGGGGTTATATTACGATCTAGGAGTATTATAGGTAGGATTCTACTATTAAATCCCAACTTTAGTTAGGATTCTGGATTTAGATAGAAGGAGTTAGAGGTTTGTATGGTTTGTTATTATTGTCTACTAAAGCCTTATAAAGGCTTTATAGACTCGATTCTTTCTTTCTTCTTTCTTTCCTTCCTTCTCTATACTTAGTATTTTCGTTGGAATACACTCTTGCTTTGAAGAACTGGCTGGTAACAATATCTATAAATATCTAATAGATATAAGGCCTATATCTAAATCCGCAAAGCTACGGATTGTCACGATCTGAGATGCTTCTACTAGCTTCCCCCTAGATTCTGCGGGTGGATCCCGACTTCGGTTGGAATGGGAGGATAGGAAGTTTGCATGGTTTGTCGTGGTTGTTTGCTGAAGCCCACAAAAGGCTTCAGGGACTCGACTCTTTCTTCTTTCTTTCCTTTTCCTCTCTGTACTCAGTATTTTAGTTGAAATGCACTCTTTTCGTTGAAAGAACTGGCTGGTAACACGGATCTTGGATATCAAAAATATCTATATCCGCAGATATTGTGGCTCGTGCCGTAGTCTAGTAGGACTTAATAATAATATAATCAAATAAAGAGTCTTAGGCTAACTAGGCTTATAACCAATAGACTAGAACGTACTAAAAAAATAACTTAATACTAAGAGCTTACTATATGTAGTATAGAGTATAAAGTACAATGAGTATATATTATGAAGAGTGTAAAACGCTCGCTATTTAACCCTTAGTGCTAACAAATCGAGTCTGGCAAGTAGTGGTTCCAAAGAATACAGGTGGTTCCTGTAAGCAAGAAGTGAATTACTAAACGAGTGTACGGAATAAGGGTAATTCTAGTCGACATTTCCAGTCTTCCTCGTTTACCAAAAAAAATATCTGAATCCGCACTTTGCGGATATAGATTATAGATATCCGCGGATATTACGGATCATACAGTAGTCTAGTTAAAACTAGAGAGTATAGTAATAGGACCGGAATTTTGGCTTGTGACTTGTCCTATTATCTATCTATATGAGTTAGCAAAGTCTAGAAGTACCAATGACTCAAAAAACATATTCCTTCTCTGATTGATTCTCCCTTTCTATCTATTAAAGCCACCAGGCTAAAGCTAAAAGTAGAAAACAGACACCAACAGCCTGAGGTATATCGTATAGAACCATTAGAGAAGTAAAAAAGTCACAGTTACTATATGCATTTATGAGAAACATAATAGAAAGTACTATAAAAAGTTGCCCTTTGTAAAACGCGTGTTGTAATCCGCTGCCTTCTTTATCATCTCCCGGCGCTGGGCGCTGGATATCTTTGAAGCAACTGCCATATCCTTCTCTCGATCAAACGCACGTGCACTTGGATCATCTTCTTTCTGAGCCTGACCTGGGTTTTCCAGGCGAGTGTTCTTCCCAGTCATGTCCTACATTTATGTCAGAAAACAGTAGAAATTGCCTTAGGAATGAGAATTTACCTTGTATCTCTTGATTTGATCCTCCATTAATTTTGCGTTTGAAGCACCTTTGTGGTCCTGGTTTGTTGAAGCACCAACACCCATAACTGCATCCTGCAGCCGCCTCATTCTCTCCTCTGGAGTCTCAACCCACGAGGAATCCATGCTCTTAGGTACTGTAGCCGATTTGCCTGTATTGAATTTGCGATTTCGTAGTTGCGTGGGGTCGACCTTGGAAGTCCAGTCGGAATGGGAAGGAGGTTGCAGCATCCATTGATCTCGCCGGGTTTCATGTTCCGGTTTAGATATTCTAGAATCGGTAGGCTCTATATGAACAGGGCCTTTCATTGGACCGGATGGAGGAAGGCTGGGACCGAAGTCATCATCATCATCATCATCAGTCTCACTGTTCACATCCCGAGGAAGGCTTGGACCGAAATCATCATCACTATCAGTCTCATTGTTCACATCCCGAGGAAGAGAAGGTCCAACTACTTTTCGCTGTTTTGAGACCTGAGGATCTGTCTCCTCAAATTTTCGCTTGTCTTTAGAACTCATTGCTGGGTGGAAGTTGAGAAAGCAAAGAATGTTATCTTATCACTTTATCATGAGCTGATGTCATCAAGGTACCCGTCCACGGACTTCCCAGATCAAACTAACTCTCTTTGTTTTTTTTTTTTTTTGTTTTCCCTGTATAGCTTTTTCCCATTCTGAGTCACTTGGGATATTATTTCTTTTTTTTTTTTTTTTTTTTTATACTTGAAATAATATTTCTTTTCCCTTCTTAAATGTATTCAGGATACGCTATTTTCCCCGAGACCGCTTTTTCGACCCCGCATGCTTCGCGATAAGACCACTTAACCTGTTTATCCTCGATCAATAGGGGGGGGGCGGGCTCTTCAAAAGGGAAACCTAACATGGATGGAAGAGAGTGTCTTTTTTCGGAAGGATCTTCCGCAATTTCACAATTATCGATTCCTCGATTTCTAGAGCCAATCGAAACCGCACGAAGCTCCAATGTCCAGCCAACTTTGAGAGATCAACCTCTATCAAAGCCCCAAATACATTCAAAAGAGCCTGAACCTCGACCGAGAAGATTCCTACCCGAACCAATCGAAACAAGCAAAGCTAGTCATAGACGGGTTCATTCAACTTCTGAGACACAGAAGAATTCTGCGTCTCATAGCAAGACATCGGCTCCAAGAAGATTCAAACCAGATCTGATAGGAACGGACACTCGCTCTGTCCGAAAAGGGGAACCTGTCCGACTTCCCCGACATGCTGTATCTTTGGCGTCCCATACAGTCATTTATCCAGATACCTCGGGGCTAGATACAGATCCTCATGCGCGCACCTATCTGCCATCCGAGTCTCAATTTTCATATTCCAATCTTCTGCGCCGACAACAAGCCCGCAGACACTCGTTTCGAGTTCCAGATCTCCCATCGATCCCCTCTGACAGCAGCGAAGAATCCGATAACTCCAGATCGCATTCGGCGTGCACTTCGCCTAGGCCTTCCAATAAGCCGACACGAGATTTATACTCGAGCAACCTACCTCGTGAAAGTTGTGATGGGAAGATCTCGGAGTTCCTGCTCTCTCTTGCCGCTCGATCGGCAGAGAAGCAGTTGCAAGAGCAAGCGTTGGCTGCCTTTCCCAACGAGCAAGTGTACGAGCCTGTTGATCATTTTGCCACAGACGAAGATGATGGAGATCCAGATGATTACGTGTCTCATATGGAGTATCATCATGTCAAGTCTCGACGACAATCTTCGGCAGATTTGTCCTGGGAACTTGAGTACATGCGCCACCACAAGGAGGAAGCTGAGATGAGGATTCGGGCAATGGTTGCATCTGGACAACCCAATTCTTCACTAGAGAATAATAAAAATGGCAAGAGCCCGCCCATGCTTGGCAATGATATCGTCATCCCTCGAAGCGCCTCACCTGAGGGAACGATATGTGAGCACCCTACCACCGATACAACCTCTCGTGGTGTACACGACCTTTGTACTGGCTGTGGCGGCTTATGGTACGCTGCGCCCCCTCGAGATGATGGAAAGGGTGCTGGTCTTTGGATGGGCACTTGTTGCAAGGACGAAGGTCAAGACCGGGAAGTGCATGGTTTACCTGGAATCGTTACCCCCATGCCTCGTGTCGATGAAGCTGGCATTAGCATGGGACTCAGCCCATCTCCGTCAAATATACATCTGGATCGTCTCGCCTCGCCCGGAAATCATAGTTCCCGGAAGCCCGCGAGCCCTGACCTTCGGAAAGCCATCGAGTCCGAATTCCATGATGGATTTGTAACTCAGATCTATAATTACTTGTCTCTGGGTTACCCGTGCCTTGCCCGTTATTATGATTATGAACTCAGCCGAATTTCGGGCATCTCCGTCGAGGATCTTCGCCGGGACGACTTGAAAACTGATGCCAGAGGCTATGTTGTAGCCCCCAAGGGTGACGATCTCGCGGATGCATGTGAACGATGGAAGGCTCTCCGTCTATATATCAAGGAATGGGCGAGGCAGGAGCCCGGCATGGCTGAAGAAGATACCCATATCGAAGGCTGGGGACTGCCAGAACGAAGAGGTAGCTGGGGCAATTGAAGTAGGAATGTTTCAATTTGTATGTTGTTTGAGAAGGGTGCATTTGGTGTTTGATATAGATGGGTGCATATTGAATTCACATAACTTGTGATTATTTGAATTTAACGTTGGGTTCTTCATCAAGGTCGGAATATACATGAGCGGCCCTATAGTAAGTCTACTACGGACACTATTGTCCATAGGTGTCTGAAAATGGGTTTAATTTTTAACTCGAGAGAGAGTGAGAGAGCTGTCAATTTCCATTAAAATTGCTCTGATATCTTGCTTGCTCCCTAAAATCTTGATATGTGTCACTAAAAATTGGCTTTACGTATCATGCTATTGGATATTTCCCTTTTGAGCCCTCTCATGAATGATGCCCGGGAAGATCCTCTGCTCTGGAAGACCATCTGATCCCCCAACTACTGTTCCAAGGGCAGGATTACCACCGGAAGATGAGAACTCACCAGACCCAAGGCGAGGTGACCGAGCTAGGTATGTCGATGGAGTCAATGGAGAGGTAGCCATCTGGCTTGTACTATGGGTATCACTGGGTGAACCATCCACAGTGCCAGCTGCACTTGAACGCAGCTCAGTTTGCGTCTCGAGGTTAGGTGTAGGGTGATCTAAGAATGGGTCATTTCGAAGTTAGTCTGCTGCCTAATTTCTGATCATTGTTATAAGATAGATGTACCATGCTTCGAGGACACTGCTTCCCCTGGTGGACCTGGAGCCAAAGTCTTCTGCTCTCCGGTTCCACTGCTCTCAGAGTATCGTTCGATCCTAATGATACGATGAATCGTTAGCCCCATTTCCTCGGTGCCAAAGGCATCATCCCGGGCAACTTACAAGGATAATTCTCCGAGCAAAGTCTCATATCGGAATGCTTCACGAATATCTGGTACATTGCTCTTTGCAACATGGTTGCCAGCGACTCCAGGCATGGAACAATTCGAGCCGAGCCATCGCTCTTTAAGCGAGAGCTCAAATCCACTTTGGTCGACTGAGTGTTTGGCGAGTTCGCACATGTCGACTGCACTGAATTTGTAGATCTGCGCTGCGACTGAATATTCCTCGATGAGAGGCTCCTTTGTGAAAGCAAACTGCAATGGATCATCGGTCGACAACGACACATTCAGTCCTCGCTTGAAGAAGCTAGCGCAGGGATTTTTATCATATGTGAGGAACAAAGCGTTGTTGCTGAGCGGTGACATGGCGATGCCGATCTGATCCAGATAGTAAAGGTATTGCAGTAGAGGTACCTTGCGTAGCAAGATACCGTGACTGATACTGTGGCAGCAGAGGAATCCAACAGCCAGATGATCTGGGTCGCCCGCCTCTCCGCAATGAGGGCGTAGAACAAACGTGTTGAATCCTCGGCGTTTCCGCCAGTTGTTGAGGGAAGCCATGTTAGCGAACATGAAATATAACCAGTAAGTGTAAGGCGGATTCTGTTTGGTGCTCCACTCCCGGGGGATTGGATACTTCCTGTACAGCCGGCGCTCAGGCTTGCTTTCGTCATCCACACTGTCGAAACCAACCACTCGCTGGAGGAAGATGTGGAGTTTGGGATGACTAGAAGGATCTTTTGTCACTTCAAACAACGGCTGGAAGACGTTGGTAATAACTTGTTCATAGTTCTCCATCATGCCACTTGCTTTGTAGACATCATAGAGACGAGGCACTTGAATGAGCCAGCGAACATTAGGCGAAAACAACTTGTTGTCCACCACCCAAGCCGCAAGCTTGTCCCATTCCTGAAGAGAACGACCGTAGATCGAGATTCGCCATTCCACCATTTGATATTTGCTAGATTCCAAGTCTGAAATTACTTCCTTGGTAATCTCTGCAAGATATCGACCTTCGATGTAATTGTCTGTTTTGAGGAAAATTTCACGCAGTCGGGATTCTCCAACCGGATTATACTTCAGATTGAATTTGTCAAATCGGTGGAATGAGTCGGTGTGTGCCTACGCCGTTAGGGTCAGTAATAGTAATGCTTGTGGCTTTTTGAAGAGTGAGCGTAGGGGGAGGAGGATGAGTGATTATTGGTGCACTGCATCTTTCTTCATCCTTTGTTGATTTCGAAGAGGTAAAGAGGGATGTGATAAGAGACCTACGTGCATATCCAAAGTATCAATGCTCAGGTCATAAGCAGTCAAGTTGATACTTTCGAAGACCTCTCTCAAGGTCAGATGTTTTCCATCCCGAAAAAGGACAACTTCGTCCGGGGACTTTCTCATCTTGCTCTTGATGAAGCGAAGAAGATGTTTCTGGTTCATGCATGCCGAATGATGCACGTGGGTATCCACTTTGCGCACGTTGTAGAAGTCCCGGTGAGGAACTTTCTTGCTGTCGGCGATCTCCTGGTATTCATTGAGCAGCGTATACAGTTGGAATTTGCCCTCCAAGTACGATAGCCGCTTGAAGGCAAAGCTCTTAGCAGGTCCATCGGTCGACACATCCACAACGGCGTCCAGGTCCATGTAGAAATCGCGCAACGAGGGGATCTGGACAATCGGTGTCTGCTGGTTAGCAGACTCAGAATCAAAGACCTGATATACGCTGTTGCCATCCAGCTTATACGTCCAGGGTGATTCTTTGGGTAGAGGCATCAATTCCTCCATGTCAAAATCCTCCCCGATATCTTGGCCCATTTTCCTCTTCTTTCCTGCATGGTCTGATGCGCCACCGAAGTTGCCGGGTTGATATTCTTTGCCATCCTCCCATGCTGGCTCTGGAGGTGGAGGATAGATCTCCCAGTCTGGTTGGTTCTTAGGATCATTTTCGGGTCCCTGTAAAGAAAGCTCTATGTACTGGGATCGTCGATCAAGCAGTTTTTTGATTTTGCAGTAGATAGCATTAAGCTCAGACGTCACAGCATCGTTGCTAGACGAAAATCCACTAGCAACCTGAGGGCCTCCGATCCCCACACTCGCGCTCTGCAGACTCTCCGCCGCCGAGTATGGTCCCTGCCCATGAACAGCACCTACAAGCGCTGCCTGGTTTCGGGCAGAATCGTTCACCTCATCTGAGTCATCTTCGAGGAAATGAGATGCAGGGGGATCGGGGTCGCTGGCAGATTGCAGGCGCAATGTCGAGGGTTCGGATTCAAAGACCATAGATCCCTCGCGAGAGATCCGGCCTTGAGTATTCATCGAATCCGACAGGTTAGCCAGTGGCTCTTCGGGGTGTGATTCGAGTGAGCGGGCTGGAGCCACTGGACTTAAAGGAGCGTCGTTCCGCGCGGATAGCTGATGATGCTGATAGAAGAGTCTTGCTTCAGCGTGACTCATGGACTTCTCGTAGGCATAGTCATATGTGGCTGTTTTCTGCTCTCGATCTCTGGGCAAAATATCTTCTGCAGGCTGATCTAATGCAGAGCTTTCAGCTGGAGAGTCCACGGGACCCTTTCCCGGGGATGAAGTGGCTGATTCATTAGAATCAGCGGATGCGTTGGCATTCCGACTGGAACTGAGATTGGGTTGTCCCATGACCTATATTATAACTGAAAAAAAAAAGAAAGTATAGGAAAGAGGTAGTCTTCATAAAATTTAATTAGACAGTAGATATTCAAAATCAAAGAAAAAGAGGAGAGGAGAAAATCTCCAAAAGCTCGAAAGCTCTTTTTTCCCCCCTCGGTGGGGGGAAATCCAGGCTCGGAGAATCTTGTAAATTACATACATTAAATACAACTCTTCTCTAAACTATACAATTTGGAATATATTACATAGTAAGTCTTTTTTTTTTGTTATTTTAGTGGTATTAATTGGTTTTGGTCTATCTTTTAGAAATTAAATTTAATTTAATAACTTGTTTTTTTTATATATATATATATTCTACGGAGTAAAATTGTACAGATTTTATATGAAGTTGCTACCTAAAATATGATGTATATGGTTATATACCATGTATCGTATTATAACACCTCTCTCCACCTCCTATCTCTCTCTCTCTCCACCTTTAGGCTTCATCGATTTCCTCTTCTTTCTTCTTTCTTCTGTACTTATTAGAGAGAGAATATCATCTTGGATTCAAATTCTATTCCTTTTTCTTGCAAGTATGTCAGATTCTCTTTTCTCCTATTCCCCAATTATCACAGAGCTTTAACTGTTTTGATGCTGACACTGCATGAAGAGACAGATATTATAAAACCAAAAAAAGCAAACATACCACGTGGACACATCCAAAACTTGAGCTTTCCCTTTCCTCTCCCCCTATCTGATCTGCCGGAAGTCATGGCTTCTCTCAATCTCTCGTCCAATGGCCCCTCGATATCGAAAAGTTATCAGACAGTGGTGAATGCAACCCCTTCTGGGAATAAAGGGTCTCCGACTTATGGTCAATGGGCTGTCTACTCGGTTTCTACCCCACTTGTCAGTGCCTTCCAGCAAGATGGAGGTAAGGAGAGTGTTCTTAAGGTCCAGAGCACCGGAGGTTAGTGAATGTTTTCTATACTTATCATCTCATATTGACAATTCATACTAGAGGGTGAATTGGCCGATCTTATTGAGGAATTTTCGGAAGGACGAGTGCAATTTGCCTTTGTGAAGGTGACAGATTCCAACACTGGTCTTCCTAAGAATGTTCTCATTGGCTGGTGTGGAGAAGGTGTACCGGAGCGAACAAAGGGTTACTTCACTAGCCACCTGGCGACAGTTGCCAAGTTCCTTCATGTAAGGAGTTTTCTTTCAATGACGCAACGCTAAGACTGACAAGGCTGGATAGGGATACCATGTTCAGATTACAGCCCGAGCAGATGGGGATCTGACCCCCGAGGGAATCGTCCAGCGAGTGGCGGATTCCTCAGGTTCCAAGTATTCAGCAGGCGAGGCTTCTGCTCCGGCCCCAGCCCCCCGGCCTGCCGTGGCTAGTAAGCCTGCTTTCACCCCGACTCGATCTGGGGGTATCACTCCCAGCCCAGCTGCACGCGTACAGCCCGCACCTTCAAGAGTTGCTGTGAATGATGATGGATGGGGTGCAGATGCCCCTCCCGTGACTCGCACCCAATTGGAAAAGGTACAATCGGCTTACCAGCCTACTAGAGTAAACCTGCAAGAACTCAAAGCAAACCCCACCGCTAGTCGCCAACCTGTCGCTACTACCTCGGATGATTCTAGCGATGTGGTTAAAGGTGGTTACCAGCCAGTGGGCAAAGTCGATATTGCTGCAATTCGGAAGCAAGCCGCCGCATCCGGTCAGCTGAAAGATGAACGCCCGGCAATTGTCAAGGGCTCGTATGAGCCTGTTGGAAAAGTAGACATCGCTGCCATTCGAGCTAGAGCACAGAAGCCGGAAGGTACCAGTGAGAATGTCCCATTGAGCAGCGTGGTGAGCCAACAACCAACAACGTTGCCCGAGCGACCTGCGCCCTCCAATATCTCGGAGCGCTTGACCAATCTACCCAAACCAAAGGTTGCCAATAAGTTTGGGTCTAGCCCCTCCTTCCCAGGAACAAAGCCCCCTCTCCCAGTTGGTCTTGAGCCTAAGCCAACCACGAGTGCGCAGATTGGTGCTGCAAGCCGAACTTTTGCCGACGAGGGAGGCAAGACACCTGCTCAAATTTGGGCAGAGCGCAAGGCCAAAGAGCGTGGAGTGGCTTCGTCATCTGGAAGCGCTGAGCCTGCCTCTACCCCTGCCTCGCTTAAAAGCCAAACTAGTGGCCAAGGCGAGTGGAAGAGCTCCTATGCAGGCAAGTCCTGGGCTCCCGTTCAAACTGCACAGGAGAAGTCATATATTCCTGAACAGCCTATTGATGCCAAGGCCAATGATCAACAAGAGGATGAACCGCAACCTCATGTGAGTGATATCCGTGACCAATTCGCTCATGGCACCCCGGCCCCTGCGCCACTCTCTCCTCCAGCGCCCCCCGTTCCGCAGGCTAGTCGTCCTGTTCCTGTACCGGGACTGTCCTCTGAGCCCGTCGAGTCCGAGCCCGAACATGATGCTCGGCAGGTCCTTCCTACTCCTCCACCGCAGCCTCCTCGCTCCCCGACACCCCCCACTCCCCCGGTGCGTGAGAGCTCACCAATCCAGATTGCCATGCCGGTTGGCCACAGTGTTGCCGACAGCGTTGCGGATGCCCACGAGGAACAGCAATCTCCTCCCCCTGCTATGCCTGTTCGGAGCCTCCAAGACGTCGTTCCAAACGAAAAGGATCTTGAGGATGATTCTCACGATCTTGGTCGCGCTGCGGCTGAAGCAACCGCTCAACAGTCTGAGCAACCCCAAGGCGGATTGCGAGCTCAGGTTCAGTATGACTATGAGAAGGCCGAGGACAATGAGATTGAATTGCGAGACGGAGAGTATGTGACCGACATTGAAATGGTGGACCAGGATTGGTGGGTGGGTGTCAATGCTCGGGGTGAGCGAGGTCTTTTCCCGGCCAACTATGTGGAAATTGTGGAAGACGAAGAACCCGCGTCACATGAGCCAGCCGGCTCCCATCATTATGAAGCAGGGCCAGAGCCAGAACCTACTGCTGCCCCCGTTCTGGTCGCACATACCACTACTGCTGCTGAAGCACCATCAGCGGCTACTCCAAGCTCTAAACGTGTCACAGCCACAGCTTTGTATGACTACGAAGCCGCCGAGGATAATGAGATCGGGTTCCCCGAAGATGCGAAAATTTCTAATGTGGTAAGTGGAACAGTACCTGTCTTTCTTGGCATCTTGCGCTATGATTATCTACAGAGCTGACCCCCTGTTGTAGGAATTCCCGGATGATGACTGGTGGCTTGGTGAGTACAATGGCAAGCAAGGTCTATTCCCTGCCAACTATGTTCGCCTGGACCAGTGATTGGATCATAGCATAGATACTTTGAAGGTTCAGCAATGCGACAAAGAGCCAATCCAAATTCTATTTGATTCACTAAACTACAAAAAAATATAGGTTTGACCATGTATCCTTTGATTCTGTTTAGTAAAAATACCCAGTTCACCACTAATTTCAATGGAATTCCAATCGAATGATTCATTGTTCAAAGGTCCCATCTTTATATTCTTTTCTTAAGTCTTTTTGAATATAACATATGTATCAATGATCTCTATAATAAATGTATATCAAAAAAAGTCAATGAATCATCGACGTCATGGCCCTATTATTAGCTTATGTCATCATCACGTGTGCCGAAAAAGTGGCCATAAACAACGTTCCCAAGGTTCCAAGGAGAGTTGCTTGAAGGCCTACAGGGATCCAGGTGTTTGCACGCGATTTCACTTTGCGCGTACCTTTTCTTTTTCTTTTTCTTCTTTTCCTAATTCCGAGCCCTAACTTTTGTGCGTCTCAGCCTTCAGTTCGGCATCATGACATCGCTGGGCGAGGATCTACTCGTGACAGTGAACAAGCTTCAGGATCTGGTCTTCAATACCATTGGGAATGATTCCTTGGATTTGCCTCAAATTGTGAGTCTAGTTGGACATAGAGCTCTCGGAGTTGGAACAGGAGTTGTCGTTTGATACCCGGTCAATCCCAAAACTAATCCCCAACCTCCCATCTTAGGTTGTTGTTGGTTCCCAGTCATCCGGAAAGTCTTCGGTCTTAGAGAATATAGTAGGAAGGGACTTTCTACCAAGAGGTAGTGGAATTGTCACTCGACGGCCCCTAATCCTACAACTTATCAACGTGCCCAGTGAACGTGATGATAAGCCGGAAAATGATGAGATCCATATCCCACACACGGCTGCTAGTGTTGCCGGTCAACACGAATGGGCTGAATTCCACCACCTCCCCGGACGCAAGTTTGACGACTTTGGACAAGTGAAGCAAGAGATCGAAGCGGAGACGGCAAGGATCGCAGGAAGCAATAAGGGTATCAATAGACAACCGATCAATCTCAAGATCTTCTCGCCCCATGTGCTCAACCTCACACTCGTGGATCTGCCTGGACTGACAAAGGTACCTATCGGGGACCAACCCTCCGACATTGAGAAACAAACCCGTACCTTGATTCTGGAATATATCGCCAAACCGAACAGCATAATCCTTGCAGTCTCTCCGGCCAATGTCGATCTAGTCAATTCCGAGGCGCTGAAGCTTGCCCGCCAGGTGGATGCCATGGGCCGGAGGACGATTGGTGTTTTGTCAAAACTGGATCTCATGGACCATGGCACCAATGCGATGGACATTCTGTCTGGACGTGTGTACCCTCTGAAGCTTGGATTCATCGGCGTTGTCAACCGGTCTCAGCAGGATATTCAGTCTGGAAAGTCTCTTGCCGAGGCATTGAGAGCAGAGTCTGAGTTCTTTCGGCATCATCCAGCTTACAGAAATATGGCCAACCGCTGCGGTACACACTTTTTGGCCAAGACCCTGAACACAACCCTGATGTCTCACATCCGAGACCGGCTTCCGGATATCAAGGCTCGGCTGAATACCTTAATGGGCCAAACTCAACAAGAGTTGGCGAGCTATGGGAACAAACAGTTCAGCGGCGAAGAACACCGAGGGTCATTGATTCTTCAGCAGATGACCAGATTCGCCGCCTCATTCATCTCATCTATTGACGGAACTTCGTCGGAGATTTCCACCAAAGAGCTATGCGGTGGAGCAAGGATTTACTACATTTTCAACTCTGTTTTTGGAAACTCATTGGAAACAATTGATCCGACTCATAACCTAACTGTCTCCGACATCCGAACGGCCATCCGAAATTCCACAGGTCCTCGCCCTAGCCTGTTTGTCCCTGAGTTAGCCTTTGATTTGCTGGTCAAACCACAAATTAAACTCCTTGAATCACCCAGTCAGCGATGCGTGGAGCTGGTCTATGAGGAACTTATCAAGATCTGCCACACATGTGGCAATCAAGAACTTCTGCGTTTCCCTCGTCTTCAGGGGAAGCTGATTGAGGTCGTATCTGACCTTCTTCGTGAACGCCTGGGTCCCTGCTCGACCTATGTAGAATCTTTGATCTCAATCCAAAGAGCCTACATTAACACCAATCACCCTAACTTCCTCGGTGCCGCAGCTGCCATGTCTTCAATCATGCAGAACAAGCAAGACGAAGAAAGAAAAGCCGTGTTAGCAGAGGAAAAACGAAAGCGTGAAAAACGACGCCAAAAGGAATTGGGAGCTCCCAATGGCAATACGGGAGGTCCCGACGAAGAAGAATATGCTGACAAGCAAAACCTCCCTATTCGAAGTCACTCCTCGAAGGGATCGCGAAGCATGTCTCCCCATGTTGGCCGCACAGGCGAGAATGGTATTGCTGCTACCCTGAATGGTGCCCAATCTAACCATGCTGCGTTCGGCGGTGCCTCGAACACTGCCCGGGATTCGTTCCTGAACTACTTCTTCGGCAAGGAAGGAACTCACAACATGGCCATGTCGCCGGCAGGCATGAACCCTCAACGGCAAGGCCCACATGCTGGTGAGCCCAGCATTAGCCAGAGCATTCGGCGTGCCGAGGCTCGGGCTCCCATTATGCCAACCGAGGAGTACAATGCACCATCGGAGTATGGCGGCGATGTATCTGTTTTCGTAAGTACCACTGCATAAGCATTAGGCTTCTCCATGCATCTGACTAACTTCCAACTCTTTTAGCCCAGTGAGAATACTGAGCCTGCACTCACAGACCGTGAGATGCTCGAAACCGAGCTGATTCGCCGTCTCATTTCGTCATACTTTAACATCGTCCGAGAGACCATTGCAGACCAAGTTCCTAAGGCTGTTATGCACCTTCTTGTTAATCACTGCAAGGATGTAGTGCAGAACAGACTCGTGAGCGAACTTTATAAAGAAGACCTGTTCAGCGAGCTTCTCTATGAGGATGATGGCATCAAGGCTGAGAGAGAGAAGTGTGAGCGACTATTGGAAACATACAAAGAAGCTGCCAAGATTGTGGGCGAGGTGTTATAGAATTCTCTTTTTTTTTTCTTTTTTTGTGGTCTGGCCAGGGGGTTCTGGGTGATCTTGATTCTGCGTCAGGCATGACGCCTTTCCACTGAAGATGTTTGCTTCTCTCAATTTATGTACAACTATTGCGGCGTGCACATGATATCGATATATCTTTCCTTTAGAAGTGCACAGGTATAACCTATAAAAGCTATAAGATAAAGTATGTAACATGCAAAAAGGGATTTCTGTCTAGATATACACGTCAACACCTATCTAATATGCATCATTGAGTCTTCTTTCTGGCGCTCCGTAGTCGTGCACCCTCAAAGCCATATAAACCACCCCCGACAAATACCAGAGCCGCACCGACCAAGACACCTCCCGCCAAATGATTCCCAAAGAGATAGATTGAGAGGAGCAGTGAAACCAACTTGCGGACATTCAAGAAAATAGTAACAGTCAATGATGACGACTTCGCCGACAAAAGATGAACTCCCCGGATACACAGGTATTGTGTCAGTGCATTCATTGCCAGATAAGCGACCTGAACCGGAAGATGGGCCAGTAAAGTCTTCATAACCCCAATCTCGCAGATCTGCGTCAGCACGGAGAAAGCAGTGCCCCCAATCGGTCCTGATGACACCCACAGCCCGGAATCTAAATGCGATAGCAAAGAAGGTGATGAAGACACTACCCGCCATTGATCCAGCAGCTGCGGGCAACTCATCAAGAAAAGCGGTAGAGACAGAGCATGCGAATAGAAAAGCGCCTCTTTCCAATGATCCCTACCGTAAGTTGCGTACAACCGATCGGCATAGATTCCCTGGAATGCAGAGAGGACCATCGCCAGTGCGAGGATTGTAAAGCCTGTCACAGTCGTCATTGTGTCCACTGCATCCGAGTCGGCGTGGATAGACACGCCTTTGGATTGCGCATCGGCCATGGCGGCTGCCGCCACGCCTACTGTCAACATACCTACCGAGGCAATCTGGCCACGGGAATAGCGCTTGCCATTGTATATGTAGCCGATTACCATTGAGGCGACAGGGCCTGCGGATCGGAGGATTATGTGTAGTGGGACGGAGATCTTGTAGGCGAAGGCCCAGTTGTTCAACATGTTGACGCTCACAAAATAGGCAGTGTATACCACCCATGAGCGTAGTGGGATCGCGCGCGGGTTCAAGAATAGGGCCCGTGGCCCGGCTGATGGTGACAGGAAGCTCGGAATGGTGAATAGTGCGCATACAGCGAATTGGGCGAATGTAATCAAGGGACCTGTGCGGGGAACGAGTTGGGTTAGGATATGTGACGTGGTTTTGTTGATTAGAACTGATGCTTACCGGCAGTAGGCTGTTCCCTGGAAAAGAGATGGAATTAGCGTTGTGCTTTGAATTGGCCTGGTTTATTGACTTACTTGATAATCGCCTCTAGCGCAAAGACCTATACATAAGGTCAGTTCTTGGTTTATCCCCATGGAGGTCCTCTAAACACCCACATTGGCACAGCAGCCCCCGAAGATGAGAGAGACCATTAGAACCATGCTTGTCCAGCTAGGAACTGCCGCGTGAGCCGCGGCAGCAACTATGCCCGGGGCATCTTTCTTCAATTGAGCATAGTCAATCTCGGATTGTCGAGATTGAGATGTAGGGGCGAGGTTCGCGTTTTCGTTGACAACAGAGACTCGAGAGCGAATCAGATAGGAGTCGTGTCCTCGTTTTGAGAGTTCATGATCATTGAGCATTCTGTTTTAAATGCTGAGCTGAAGAGTAATGAAGATGAATTAGAAGTTTCAAAAGGAAATGAAAAGACGATAAGAGTCACGAGATTACAACTCCATATATCTACATGTACATATGTATTCTATAATAGGGACTACATAGTATACAATATATTTGTTTCTCTCTTAAATTGTTAAATTATGTCGATCAATCAACAATATCATCGTCACTGAGAATCAATTTCTCTTCAGGTTCAGGTTCCAAAACATTACTGCTGGGTGGTTTCATAGGAGATTCCTCCATATCGTCGTTGCGAAGATTCTCGCTGGAATGAATGCTAGTAATCTTATCCAACTGCCAATAATCTGGGTCTTGATGTCGAATTGTAGCCATATATGGCAGTTGATGGAGCAGTAGATCATTCCGGGCCATCATCGTGACCACACCTGAACTGTCTTCGTTTCCTGTCGAGACCCTTCCAACCTGGAGATTTTTCCAGGAACTGACACCCGTAAGGTCAGAATTTTGAGAAAGATGTTGTCCAAAAGGATCAAGTAATCGGTTCATCCATGAGTCGATCAATCCATCGATCTCCTCGGACGCTCTCCACAATCGTAGAGATGCTGGGTAAAACATCTTGTAGGCATCACCTGCGCGATTTCGTCCAGTTCCAGACCCAACCCGTCTCTTGACTGGATATGGAAGAGCAAAAAGAAGACCACGCGCCGCAACTTGAAAACTCATTTCCTCCTGCCGAAGTACATCCACACCGCTACCGAAGGAGGTGATTCCAGTTCCCGTCCCAGACCGTGCCCCTTGTCCTGGTCGACGGTCGGCGCTGAGGATATCGCTATCGGAGAGTGCGTCGATGCAGTCGTTGAAATAGTCGGTAAAATTATCCCCATCACAGGATGGGATGTAATTTTCGTGAAGAGCACTGATGAACGTTGAGATGTCGGTTCCAGTCTCGTCGATTAGATCATTGACCAATACCTGTGAAGCTTTTGGTCGGGCATAACGGCGTAGATAGTTCGGTGGCGGTGGAAGGATCTCAACATCGCCCTCGATCAGACTAGGGTCCATGCGTTTGTTGTACACTATCTTACCAACGGCGTGGAACATGCCCAAACTCGCCTCTCGCTGGGTTATCATCTTGAGAGACTCTTTCTCCATCGCCGTCAAAGCAACCTCGCCTCGAGCTTTCTTTGTTTTGGCCACACTGCCTCCCCATCTTCCCGTATCCCTCTTGAGACAAAGGAACTCGAGAGAGGAGATTGCACTGCGGATATCGCCGATTTCAGAGATACTATCTATAACGCCCGGCCCAGGTATTTGTACACGTCTGGAATTCAATGCCTCTCTGTCCAAAATAGATCGCAAAGCCTTGTGCATAAAGCTTGGTGCAATGCTATTGAAATCCAATATCGTTGTCCCGGGGTGATTGTAGATCGTGGGCCCCAGTAACCGGTGAGCTGTCAGGTTATCTGAGCTTGAGGACGCAGATCCTAGCAAAGTCTCCGACACAATGATCACTATGGGCGGGTGATTCGCTCCAGAACTGCCCCGGGCATGATCATTTGCAGAGGCAGCCAAATATTGTTGGAGAGACGCCCGAAACGCCGTAAGGGCGGAGGACGCCCGACCAAGCACAGTTGGAAACTCTTCTATGAGAAGTATCCGGTGGTCCTGAGATTTCTCACCTTTCTGTGGATCGAGCTCGCTGATATTTTCGAGGTCAAGGCCTCCAAATTTATTACCCCGTCCAAGAAACTCTTCGAAGTGCGCGCTTACGGATTGATAATCGCGAGCTCCAAATTCCAAAACCGGGGGATTCTTCCACTCGACAATATCGTAACCAAGTGAATCAGAGAGCAGGGATATAGTGGTGGTCTTCCCACTGCCTGCCGGACCCCGTAGGACAAGTAACCTCTGTATATTGTCAGAACCACCTTCAACCCCCAAAATCCCGAATTATGCTCAACTGATCAAAAGCTCACCTCAGAACGTCTCCCAGCAAAAGCATCTTCGAGCCAATGCTGTACATCCGAGACCTTTTTCTTATGAACGGCCAATTCGCTCAGGTTGGCCGGAGCGAAGCGCTGAGCCCAAGGTCGACGGTCCGGTTCGCCAGCCGGTTGCACAGCCAATGGCTCCTTTGAAGTGCCATTTGTAGAGTCCATAGATAGAAGGAACCGTTTCCTTGTCTTCCGCGGTGGTTTGACTGGGGCCTTTGCCTTTGGCTTTGGTGCTGGCTTTGGTGCAGGTTGACGCGTCTGGCTGGAGCTCACGGCCACCAGACCCGTTCCCGCTCGCTCATTAGCTAGATGCTGTGTGAAAATTTCATCGTAGGAGTCGTAGTCATCCTCAATCAGGTCCACGTCGACAGTCTCCCTGACCGGGAGGGACTGCTTCTCGGTCTTTTGTGCCCATCGCTGTCCCTCTGTTGCGGGCTGAAAGAAGCTGTGTAGAGATTTGGATTTTGGATCAGGGTTTGGTGACGATTTGTTCTTTTTGTTTGAAGGTGACGAGGGAGGCCGGGTTGGTGTTGTATCGCGTGAGTAGGAGGGTTTGGGGCGTGAGGAGAGGGCGAAGGGTTCTGTTGGTTCGATAGGACTGGAGCTATCTGAAATGATGATGGGATTTCGTTTTGATTTTGTCTGCTCCTTTGAATCCTTAGATTTGCGTTGCCTTTTAGGAGGACGACCGTCCATGATGAGTTGGACAAAAAAAACCTGGAGAAGTTGAGATCTGATAAGCTTATCTAGACCTTTTGCCGATGGACGACATGATATGAATTTGTATGAATCTATATGAAATTTTACAAAGAACATAAGATTATATATAGAGATATTAATATGTTAAAGTACATTAGAACTATTATATTCACAAGATAAATCGCACAACGGGTATATTAACCAGAATCTGAGTCGGCAGAGCCAAAAACCAAAATCCTATAAAAGAGAGAAGACGTAAGGCAAATGTTCCCTATACGCCTCCAAATACATCATAATAATAATCTTCATCCAAGCCATCTCTTGCAGGGACCTGGGGAGCATCACCAGCGAAAGTGGCGTCGTCAAACCGCACATTGAGCAAGCGGATCTTCAGCCCATAGTTGCTGACCAGATCAATTAGCTTGCTTGTCTCTGCGGTGATGGGTTGCTGGTTGAGGAGCATCAGCAGACCATCTAGCCATTCGGACGCGATGCTGTGTGAGGACGGCCGCAGCGTGAGCAGGACTACCTCCTTCTGGGTGGACCTGCTGCCGGACCGGGCGTGGCTATGGCCTTTTCCATGTCCAGAGGCTGTGGAGGGGGCGAAGCCGTGGATGGTGATCTTGGTTGCGGGTTGCCGTGGTGCGGTCTTCACGGTGGCTGTGGAGGAATGGTCTGGGCTGGTGGAGACGTTGGAGACTACAGATGATACGATTGAGAGATCGACTGTCAAGGTGTTAGCAGCAAATATAAGCAACTCGGATGACGCTCACTTTTCTCTGGTAGGGTGTCCAGCTCCGGAGGTCGATCGCCCATCAGGTCAAATTGACCAAAATGTAAGTATCGTCGATTATGAGAGAGCTGGGCATATTGATACCTGGCAGTAGACTTCTGCACCGTGCCGGACTCCGATTTGGAGTGAGAGTCCAGAGCGAACCAACTGCCTTGGAGCAAAGATCGGATTCGTTGCTCCTTGACGAACTGGAGGGCCTCATGGTGAAGTTCCTCGCGCACCTGTCGCAAGTGTTGGCCCCATGCATCCTCGTACGTGAGTTCAAGGAGTTCCATCTGCAGCCCACGCAATCGATGGTATTCGAAATCGGCCAGTTCCTCTTCAACATCCTGGACATCCTTGATCCGAGCAGCTCCGCCAACCACCGACTCAATGAGGATGCGTACGAGCTCGATGATCTTGTCCAAGTCCTCTTCCTCGGCGGCCGTCGCCTTCCACAGGCGGAAGAAGGCCTGTAACCCGGCAACATGTAGTCGGGTCCAATGTAATAGCAATGGCTGGAACAGTTTATCAAAACCCGTACGGGACTCTGAAATGAGATATGTTTTTGTGTCATCCATATCGGACTTTTCGACCTCGAAATGCTCGTATAAAATAGATGTGACAGCTAAGGATGCCCGAGCAATCGGACACCGCTGTCGTGCCGGCTTTGTGGAGTGCTCCAAGAGCATATTTTGAAATTCATCCCCATGACTGCGAACATAGTCCGCTAGATCCATCATACCAAGAAACCCGACCTCGTAGAATTCACCTGCCGGGTTCTCCGTCTCAAATCCAAGCCGCCTCCACTTTTCTGGATGGTGTCGTCTAGAGCGCCGTGTATCGTCACCATTCTCAGTAGCCTCGTCGGGGATCTTCTCTGGGTTACTGGCTAGGTATATCCCTTTCAGCGCACGGCGGTGCTCCGGCTTCTCCTGGTGGACAGGGATATCTCGCCATTTGCGTAGCAGGATCTTGGTGAGTGACTGGAATTCCAGGAGTGGATGTGCTAGGTCCTGAAGGGCAGAATCCTGCATGAGCACATAAACCGCTCTGATAACGCCTAGGTCCTGTAACTTTTGAATGAACTTGGGCCACTCCGCCTCGGGGTCGTGGGTGATCGAATCGCGCATGAGCGAGTTGATCAATTGGAGCGCATTGGCACATAGCGCATGGTCTGCGGAGGATAATCGGCTGACGAGCATCTCCAGGAATTGGGGGTATATCGCGATCGCAGGCTTCAGGGCGCGGAAACCAAAGTTGTCGACCTGGGATGTACGGTTCCCGGCGTATGGATGGGATACAATAGAGACGAGAATGGACATGGCACCGCGGAGGATGTTGACTAGAGGATGAGTGACGATCAACTCGACAATCTACATAGTAGAGGACAGACACAATCAGCATCTGAGCCCGTTGGAAAAGGAACAAACACAGAGAGCGATGGTTTTCAAGGATAACTCACGCGCTCAACCAACTCCTGGTCAACACATTCCCATCCCTTGTCAACATCAAGCAGCCTCGAGAAACTCGTTAAGCTATATGCCAAAGTATTTCCGCTCGCATGAAGGGTTAAATAGCGTAATCGAACCAGACCTCCTTCTGCGATGAAGATGTCGGCGAAGGAAGGGTCTCCAATGTTGCTCTGGAGCTTGAAGACGGCCATTTTTCGCACGGCATCTTCATCACTACCTAGGCGCTCAACCAATTCAGCGACATTGACGGTCTCCATGTCTTCTTTTTTTGAAAAGGTTCAAGCTTGAAGTTCAGAGATCAGGGGGTGGGGAAGATGGGTTTTGTCGATCTCTTTAATTTTAAGCATATGTAACGGAGTACTATATGAACACACATCGAAGTTGAAAGAAAAAGATATTGTAAGTGTATTAACCTCCTTATATACCTCGTCTACTATATTCGATTTGAAAAAAATTGTCCATGTTTTATTTTTTAATGCATTAGTTCGTTATATGATCCCTACAATCCCCCAAGTGATTCTATATAAAATACAAAATGCGCCAAATCCCAATCCCTCATCTACCCCCAAAAATAAAACGCCTGTTTCTTTCATTATGTACGGTCCATTAATCGTAAGTTCATGAAGATTGTAGAGATCAGCGGCGCCAGCCCACATTCCAAATTACATGGGCAATGTCTCGGGCAGTGTTCACAGTGTCCACAACCCGATCCAAGATACTACTGCTAGAGGTCTCAGTCTCGCCTTCCGGCATGATCATACCCGAAGCAGTCAATCGGAGGGGTCGATCTGATGCTGGATCATCTTCCATGAGCCATGCACGATCGCGATCGGGGTAATTGCCCGTGAAGTCCAGACTGGGATCTTCACATTCATCCAAAAGGAAGTTAGCCGAGGGCTCTGATGAGCCCGACGGACGTATGGTCTCCACAGAGGGAGTGGGTGACAATGTCCGGGTAGGGGTAGACCATCGATCAAGGATGGTCTGAGCGGGCTCGGGAGGATCTCCCCGATACTTGAGCGTAGTTGAAGGGAGAGGAGCGATGGTTTTCCCGTCGCCGCTGGAGCTGTTGCGTGGGGTGTGGTTGCTCAGAGAGGACCGGCCGGAGATTTGTCTCATCATGACTACACCATCGTCGGAAGATGACTCGTCAAATGTGGCCGGCCAATCATCCTCATAGCTCTTAGCCTCAACCGCAATGCATTGTACGACTTCATTGTTGAAGTGAATGTGGCGCCGTTCGCTTGGAGATGTCACCCCTGACGATGAAGAGGTAGTGAGAGTGCCACCGAGAGAGTAGGTCGAGCTTCCAGTCCGGTGATGCAAATGGTCCAAGTCTGTGTTGGACCTCGGGAAAGGGGGTCGAACCCAGTGGTTCTCGGCTTCTTGAGCTTTGAGAATGGCCCCGGCATGCTGGAGTAAGGTATGTTGCGATAGCGACCGCTGGAGGATGGCCTCGGAGGCGGTCTTTTTCTTCAGGATTGGCTTTCGGTCTAGATAGAAGTTTGGTGTGTCCAAGCGACTCGGAGGGGGGGAAGGCGAGGTTGCATGGTCGGAACTTTTTAGTGGCCCGTATAGCCAGGTGACATCACAGTCTTTCAGCCTGGGAACAGGTTAACGGAGGTGAACGCAAAGGGAGTGAAAGATTCAATATGTTGTAAAGATCCATAAACCTACCAATTCAGGCTTTCCGGCGATATCGTCTTCAGGTTATGCTTGGCCTTAGCCCATGTCCTCCAAGAAGCATTCTCCAGTCTCACTCCATTACTATAATCGTTTCTCCGACTTGTCACATAACGCCAGGAGGACCAGATATCTTCCTCCTTCCAGTCATGTGAAAGGTAATCCACATGCCTAGATGGCTCATCTTCAATTAAGCTGTCATCTGCCGATGGGGTCTGTAATGTCCACAGGTGTGACTCTGTCGACGCGTCACTCATATCCTCTGGTCCGTTGACATTATGAAGGGATTCTGTGTAGGGAGGTAGAATGTGTTCGTTTGACCCGTTTATAGGTTCGTATGGGAGTTTGCTGGGGATAGTGAGGTTTGGAGAGGGAAGATTTGGGGGATCCCCGCGGTAATCATCTTGCATGGGTGATTTTCTGGGGGCGTGATCTTCTAAGAAATATCGCTGGGTAGTGGGACCAGTGGAATAACGTAGAGGATCTAGGAATGGCGAATGAGTTTCGCTGGAAGTCAATAAGGTCGTCATATCCCTTTTCCTCTTTTTTTCTTTTTTTTGTTTCTCTCTCTTCAATGATAACAGGAAAATGTTCAAATATAAGGGGAATGGGAAGAATATAACTGTGTGGATCTACCGTTTCCGGTTTTTTCTGGGGGAATTCAAAGAGAAAAGCTATTTAAAATAAAATAAAATAAAATAGTTCTAGTTCTTTTAGATCTGAAACTAGACTGTAACTAGTAAATAGTAAATGAAACTGGTAAACTAGTAGACTAATACTCCGTACAAGGTATACATAAATAATCTGATTTCTCTATATTCCGTACTCTTGTATATGTAGATATCTATATAGCTACCTAGCTACACTATTAAAATACCCATATTAATATTATATATAGAGTATATATAACTTCTATAACTTATAACTTGACTTGACTTATAAGTTATATATAAAAATATCGGAGTATCACGGAGGCCTAGAGCCGATGCATCCGGGTCTGAGCGTCTTCTTCCTCGGACCCCCTTCGATCCACATATATATATAAAAGGTCTAGATCTTTTAGTATTTTAAAAAGGAAAGTCGAATTTAAGCAACCCTCTGAATCAATAGTATAGTACTTTTCAATTTTTTATTTTTTTTAATAGAACTAATCACTAAAAAAGAAAGAAAAAAAAAAGAAAGAAAGAAAAGGAAAGGAAAAGGAATGTTGTACACAGAAATTGCCTTTGTCTGTGCGGTTGCATACAGAAAAACCCTTGACCATACAGCCAGTGATAACCGCACATTGCATGTTATGTCAAGAAAAACAGGAAAAGAGTAAGACTGATTCCTATAAATTCACATGTTCTAGCCTCTATAGAGTGCCACACCCCTTCCTCACGGACCTCTTAATGTTTGTCGATCATTGGCTATCAATAACTTTTGCCTCTTAGCTTTTGCTCATAATCTAGTTGACGGAGGCTGGTTTTGACATCCCCGATGCAAATTGGAGGGATTGCAAGGTGGCAAGATTGCAATTGACTATGATCTTATCAGACGTTTGAGCTATCCACCAATTGGTGCGTCGGATCCCCTATCATGAGCTGCAGTACGGAGTATCATGAGTTGCAGTTAAACGGCTCATGCCGAGGGATTTTCCATTTTCATCCTTTCCAGTTTCAGTAGGGATATGCCCCCTTCATGGTCAGATTGGACCCATCAGAGTTAGAGACAAAAGATATGTAATGTCGTGCTGATGTTGGTCCAATCTGAGATGAGCAGGTAAAATAATCCAATGATGAGCAATCAGTGACACGTGATATCCCAAATAGGATTAGTTGGCAGAACTGCACCGCAGACCCACACCACACATCCACCCTCAAGACGATATGAACACAACGCCATATGTTGATTCTGGTAAAAGAGAAGAGAGAGAGAGAGAGAGTCTAGACCAAATACCATTTACTTCTTTTTCATACACCATGGCCGAGGTAGAAACACCAGTTCAGGCAAGACAAATTGTCTATTGTGGAGGTAAAGGATTTCCCCCCCCCTCTAATACCACAATGTGAGAATATCGCACTGACAGAATCATAGTCTGCACATTACCACCCGAGGTACGAACCTTGCCCCCCCCCCTCCCCCCAGCTCCCAGTCACAGAAATGAAAAAGCTCAGCCCATTCCTTTTCCCCCGCTCTTGCCCCTGCTTCTTAGCTCTTATCGACGGGGTCCCAGCTTCATGCGTGGCATAGCTCCTAGCCACTGAAAAGCGCCCATTAGAGCCTGCATAAAATTGCTATTGGGATAAACCTTACAGTGCAAGATACATGTTTCTGACGTGCGGGGTTCTTATCTAGTACTGCGAGTTTGGAGGTACCGCTAAGAAATGTGAAGAATGGCTCAAGGAAAACGAGTCGGATCTATGGGACACACTATACTCTGAAGGTACAAAGCTCCCATACTACTTACCTACATCTGGCAATTCTATAAGCCTGGAAATGAGACAGATATTCTAACATTGCTTTTTTTTCTTTTCTTTTCTTTTATTAGATGCTCTGAACGCCAACCTTTCTACCCTCTCCGTCTCAGCGCAAGAACGGGCCGCCAAAGATGCTGCCAAGAAGGAGGCCAAAGCTGCCGCCAACGAGGCACGCGATAGCGAGCGCAAGGCCGCCTCCAAGGTTCAGATCAAGCGTGTCGAACGTAACAAGCGCAAGTACGTGACGGTTGTGATCGGACTGGAAGTCTTTGGACTAGAGAACAAGAAAATCGCAAAGGACTTGGGCAAGAAATTTGCTACAGGCTCTTCAGTGACACGTTCACCTGCCGGTATTGAGGAGATCACTGTTCAGGGCGATGTCAGTGATGACCTGCGTGAATGGCTCCTTGAGATTCACGGCAAGAAGATCCCCGCGTCTAATATCGAATTGATTGAAGACAAGAAGAAGAAGAAGAGCGAGGGCCCCATGGTATAATGACGAACACGAATCCTTTTCCGGACTGGGTATCATGACATAAAATCTAAAATAAAAGTACAAATTGAAGACAATTCAAGCCGAAAACAAAACCAACCCAAACCAGGGCAGGATCCGAGATTAGGTTCTAGGTCCAGGGCCCGGAGCACAAAAAAGAAACATTTCACAATTCAATCAGCACGGTCAAAGGATCGGGTTCCGCAGGTGTTGTATCATACCCTGACCGGACGGTTGAAGTTGGACCAGCCTTGGCTAGGCTTTCGCGGCGATCTGCAAGGTTGGATGGGTACCGAGCAGGCCCTGCATCAGACCCTGAACTTCTTGCGAGATCGAGAACTTCATCCCACACTTCGGACTGAGGTGGCACAGAGGGCGAAGAGTGGTTCGACATTGTCAAACATGATGTCCCAGCATGGGGAAACCAGAATAGTGGCCAGTTTTGGATGACCAGAGCGAGTACAAGGACTAGCACAGCGCTTGTTACAATACCCCAGAAGATGCGTAGTCGACGACTGGTCCGGGTTTGCCATTCTGTTTCCCGCTGCTCCCAGCTATCGATCTCGTGTCGTACAGTCTCGAGACGCTTGGCTAGTTCTTCGACACGCTGTTGGCCTGCTTTCATGCGTTGCTCTAATGCGTCGGCCTTTTGGATCTGTGGTTCGAAGCCTTTTAAGTCGTTGAGCTGTTTGCGGATATCTTGGTCTAACCCGGCCGTTTCGCGTTCGAAGTCGTTAAGAAGTGTTGATGCCGAGTCGGAGAGTTCCTGGAATAATGAGATAGTTGAGTTGAGCGCTGTAATTTTCTCAAGCAGGTTATAATAGGTGTAATCCAGTCGGCGGGTGACGTCTGTCGCTAACGTCCCAATCGAAGTCAATGCAGACCGTAGATACCTGGGAATAACCATTAATCAATGTCCTATGCGTAAATAAGACCCCTAGAAAAAAAAAAAAAAAAAAGAAAAAAAAAAGAGAACATACTCCTCGCCCAGCTTTCTCCGCTTTCTGACCTTCTCCAAATCATCCATAGATAGAATCTCATTCCGGCGGATAGGCGCCAATCGCTCGTGCTGCTCAGGCGTATCTAGTAAACTCCCCTGCCGACCATCCGATAGACCAGTAGTCGACTCAGACCCCCACCGACTCTGGGTGGCCTCCCTTGTAACCGGCCTCAACAACCCATCATCGCCCTCACGGTCCTTATCCTTCCCGCCCGACCAGGTAGGGAGCAATCCCCTTGCACTCGCCGAGGAAGCCAGGTGGCTCATGGGATTAGGGAAGCGCAAATCTCGCGACTTGCTATGTTTGTGGCGGTGGGATTTTGCCCCATCGAAGGCGGATGGATCTAACGAGCGAGGGGATGGGGATGGGCGGGTTCGATGTCGGGAAGCGGACTCTCCTTTTGGGGAGATTGGACCGTCATCGGAGCCATGGCGATGCGAGCGACGGGATTTTCTTCGGTCTGTTTTTGGGCTTTCTTGACTACCAAATTTGGAGAGGTCCTCAGACTTTGATTGGACGTCGCTGACTTGCTGGCTTTGGTTCTGACTCTGGGTGGGTGGGAATGTGGCAGAGACCCCTCTTGATGTTGAGAAGGATGCTTTATATGGAGGTTCCATGGCGATACATTCTGTAAAGAAAGCTTGGGGAAGCTTTGAAATCTTTGGAGGCTTGAAGACTTGGAGCGCTTGAAGTGGTTGAAGTGTGGAGTTTGGGGATCGATGACGCCAAGGCTCAAGACCGATCAGCGAATCTGCAGCGGACAGCATCAGACTAGTCCTCCCGAGGACCCTTGGCCCCTTATGATTACGCTAAAGAATAGAATGTGATTATAGAAAAACACTTGTTTTGCTCGCTAGTAGTGACCTATGACCTAACCTCAGAAAAAACGCCTGTAATTGAACAGCCCACGCCGGAATGAGTGCCCAGTCTTTCCTGCCAGGGACAAGGAAGAAGGAAGGAGTCTCAACAAGCCGATGTATATACACACAATGCAGTCCTGGAGGAGATGGAGAGATGATATGGCAGAGATATAGAGAAAAACTGCGAACAGTCTCAAGAACTGAGCAGCTTGTTGCGCTTCTCTCTGCGCTTGAGACGGTCGAGTCTCTTGTGGTGCATCTTCTCGGCCATCTTCTCATAACGTAGCTTCTCCTCCTTAGCTTCTCGGCGGTCCTTGATGCGCTGAATACGGGCCTATAGGGGTTCATCAGTTAGTGAAATCATCCTGAGGAAGTGATGTGTTGTCGGGGGATATGTCATTTGATTATGGAGACAGGAGATGGAGACAAAACAAAGACACAAAAGGATGAGGAAATTAAGACAAATTAAAAAAGAGAAAAGGAATAAGATCGACATACCTTCCGTTCAGCCTCATGCTCTTCCTTCATCTCACGTTCAAGTTCCTTGACAGCGTCGCTTTGCTTCTTGAGCTCTTGACGCTTAGCGTATGAGGTCAAACCCGCAGTAGGGCGGAAAGCCTTTTTGGTGCCATGCCAGTTTTTACCTGAAGGTCCGATGGGGTTAGCCGGGGTGACGAGGAACAGTAGGGAAGTGGGGAGTGGATATTATATTTTTTTTAAATTTTTTTTTTTCACTTACCATTTTTCCGGACGCCGGTAGTCGGAGGTACAACTGGTGTAGCCGTTGAGGTAGACATAATAAAATATGTGACTTGGGAAAAAGAAAGCAATTCCAAGTGGGGGATTCAAGGAAGTGGGTGGATGAAACGTGAAGCAAAAGCGAGACAAGGACGGAGAAGTTTTTCTTCCACTGATTATCTCGATCTGATAAAATATCTTGGCGTCCGCTAACAGAGAAATTGCTTCGGCCCAAATTTCCTAACTCCACCCTTTTTTTTCCCACTCTTGACTCACTTCCCAGGCTATTTTACATTATTTATTATCATTTTTCAGCTTATTGCGGGCCACCATCAATTTCATTCTTCTTCTAGCTTTCTGCATGGTGGCTTGGCACACTCTGTAGGCCCATCAAATCCCTCGTTACACCGCCCCTCCCCCCACCAGTCCACTCCTTATAACTTCCGGCTTCCCATATCATGATCCCACGATAACACTCTTTTCTCTTTACCGATCTTGATGGCGACAGAGCATGCTATCATAAGTGAACCGATGGAGCTACCATCGCTCCCGCCCAATCAGGGCCTTGAGGCGATAAAGGATATCATATTTGGATCGGTAAGGAAGTCCTTGGCACATGCATGTGAGAGATTTAGACTGACAGTCTTTTAAAAGTCAGCAGGAATGGCAGGCAAACTCTTCGAGTACCCCTTTGATACCGTCAAGGTTCGACTACAGTCACAACCCGAACACCTCCCTCTTCGATATGCAGGACCAGTGGATTGTTTCCGACAGTCTTTCCGAGCTGATGGCCTCCGGGGATTATACAGAGGCATTAGTGCCCCCATGACTGGAGCTGCAGTGGAGACTAGCTGTCTCTTCTTCAGTTATCGTCTCATTCAGGATACCCTGCGCGCTACGGTCTACTCAGGCGTTGAACACCTACCATTCATCGCTCTCATTGCTTGTGGAGCTCTATCCGGCTCGGTGACATCGCTGGTACTCACACCTATTGAACTGGTGAAATGCAGGATGCAGGTACCCGCCGAGTCAGCGGCCCTCAAGCCCATTGGCCCCATGACCATCATTACGAGCATTTTCCGCCAAGAGGGGCTGGCAGGATTTTGGCGGGGTCAGATGGGAACCTTGATCCGGGAAACCGGCGGAAGTGCAGCGTGGTTTGGCGGATACGAGGGTGTATCATCGCTCTTTCGCAAATACAACAAGTCGAACCCACAGTTGACCTCTGACTCGCTCCCCATCCACCAACAAATGATTGCAGGAGCAACGGCTGGAATCAGCTACAATTTCCTGTTTTACCCGGCCGATACAATCAAGTCCCGCATGCAGACTGTAGATGTCTCACGACTGCCGATTCATGCTCAGAAACAGACCTTCTGGGGCGTGACCAAAGCTCTGTGGAGACAGCAAGGGCTTAAGGGCATGTACCGCGGGTGCGGGATCACCTGTGCGCGCTCAGCACCTAGCTCAGCCTTCATTTTCACTGTTTATGAAGGATTACGGCAATATTTTGGATGAAAGAAAGACCCTTACAATTCCCCTGCATATAGACATTTTTTTCTCCATGTTCCTTTTGAATTTTCCATATCTGACTCTTTGGATTTTGGCATCGTGCGCTATACCCCGGATACATTCGAACACGATTCTTGACTCTACATTTTCATTTCTATCTCTCCTTGTTCGATCTCCAGTGCCTCCGATGATATACCATGGCTCTCCCTGTGTTGAGGATTCTCCACATTGAGAATGAAGGCATTCATTCGACTTTGATCTTTCAATTTAAAAATTTTCTCGGGTTTATTTTTTTTGTTTCGTATAGAGTTGATTTGAGATATTGCAAATAAAACTTGGTTCTAGTTGTCTGACTCGATGCTCCCACTATCACGTTTTAGTCTAATCTCTCGCCGCCACGGTCGACAGAGCTATACTCGAAGTATTTGACGCCTTGTTTAATGGACTCGTCTATAAGATCAATTTCTTGACGTCTTTCATCATCATTTGCATTTTTGGGATTGGCAGTCTGTTCCATATTAGTTAGGTGCGTAGATATTGGTTTCGGGGGGACACTTACCTGGACACTAAATATGGCCCAAACCCGGGTTGAGGTTTGATATTTTACATTCTTGAAGATGGCAGCTGGGTCTTCAAGGTTACCTTGGATTAATGTGATATTGGATGACTTTTGAGCGAACTTCTTCGCCGCAGTGGAATCGGGGTTACGAGTCACGGCGAGGATCTTGAAAGGAGCTTTTTTTTTTTTTTTTCTCTCTGGGAGGTTCTCAATTACAGAACCTCCTTGTTTGCCTATGGCACCTGTGATGAGGATTGTAGTCATTGTGTTATTACTAGTAGGTGTTTCATATGTTGTATAGTATCTGAATTTATACACTCTTTATGACGTCACATAGATATGAGGTATATAAACATATTAATACGTAGTTATATAGCATATATAGCATATATATATTAATATAGCAGCTAAATACATATAAACCACATAAATATATAACACATGTAGCATGCATAGCATATATATGTTAATATATGTTAATATAAAGTACATCAATTATTCACCGCAATAATACTCATTCCCCTATGAACTACCTTGTCGGCAGCATGTAAAAACTCCCTCACCGTCATATCCAGCCCTTCCTCTTCCAACAGATCCCCTTCCAATTCACCTCGCAATAAAGGACCATTCATATCCCCATTCAATTCCCACACCTTCCCATCTTTCTTAACAAAAGCAATAAAATGAAATCCACATTCCTCTTGTGGTAAAGGTACGATTGAGCACCCTTCCGATGCCGCATCCATATGTGCCTCTTCTAAAAACCTCGAATCATACAAGAGCCGTGCCCTCTCCACCGGCCCCAACTCAACCGCAAGTTTCACAATCTTCTCTAGCTCTGATCCAGCCGTGACATATTTCCCATTCTCCAGGTTGACAACCACATGTAATAATGCCATCAGCCCACACGCATGTCCAATCGTCTGCTTCATCCACAGTACAGGCTCATCGGCCCCGCTCCCGAGATACTCGGGTATGCTGTGTTCGACGCCAGAACGCACGGCAAGGTAGATGGGTTTGTCACAGAGGAGGATGAGGGCGTTTACAGGTCGTGGGATCCGGGAGAGCATTTCTGGGGTGGTGGAGAGGATATCATGGAAGGTGAGGCTCGGGGATACTCCGAGGTTCTTACATAGATGCGTATGAACCTCTGGGTTGTTTTCTAATTACAGTGAGAAAGGGGGTTTATATCTTGGGGGGTAAACTGACTTACCTAGTGGTATAAAGGTCTTTTGGCCGTTGATGACCTGAACTCCTAGGTTAAACATGTTTGATGAGTATGGAGATCGTATGTTGGCGTGGGAAGAGGGGGGGGGGGGGATGGCTTAGTCATTCTAGCTTTATAAACATATTTCTATGGAATATATATATAATCCTATATATATATATATATCTATATAGGATATCTATAGAACTATAGAATATACATATAACATCCATTTAATAGATATATCCATACCAAGTAATTCTATATAATAAATATAACTACTTAACACAATATAAAGATCGAATGGAGTTATCACCGGAGTCCGGTCTATACATAAAATCGCCTATCGGATAAAAACATCTTCCCCTCTTCTCTTCTCTTCTCTTCTTTCCACATTCCTCATACCATTATGTCTCTTACAGCCCAGGAGCTAACAACCCTTTCTACCAAGGCCATTGACGCCAAAGCGGCTGCCTACTGTATGATCCTTTAAAGAAACACCATATACATATTATCAAGTATGAAGAAACTAACCCCTTCCCAGGCCCATACTCTAAATTCCGTGTCGGAGCATGTATCCTCACGACGTCGGGCGAGTTCATCTCCGGCGCTAATGTCGAGAATGCCTCCTATCCAGTTGGAACCTGTGCTGAGCGCGTCGCTTTTGGCACTGCTATTGTATGTCTTATGTTATTTCCTGATTTAGTTCACTACGGGAGGGTCTTTGGTTGTCCTCTATCATATTGTTATTCTCATATCCATGTTTAGACCAGCTGCTAACTCCTACAGGTCGCCGGCCACAAAGATTTTAAGGCTCTAGCGGTTGCCACGGATGTTAAGCCTGCTGGCTCTCCTTGTGGGATGTGTAGGCAATTGTGAGTTTTCCTCTGCTTGATGCCCTTTCGTGGTTGGCTCATTGGACCATTACAGTATTCGCGAGTTCACCTCGCCTTCTTTCCCGGTCTACATGTACGACGGGGAGGGAAACTATAAAGTTATGACCGTGGAGGAGGTAAGTTTCTTTTGTTATATCTCTTCGATTCTCTGCTGATGAACCCAGTTGCTGCCCGATTCTTTCGGTCCCGAACATCTTAAATAGAATGGGGAATCGAAATATAGGTACTATTTCGAATGAAAGAGGGAGCGTTGAAAACATGCATGGTTTTAAAATCTAGTGGAAAGAAATAGGTTTCAATGAAATATATGAAAAAAAAGGTGAATCCTGTTTTGTTCAATGGGATATACACCCATAGCCCTAGAGGCCTCTATATAAAAGTCAAGAGCCACTAACGTACACAAACCGAAAGCGAAAACAAGAAACAAAGCAAAAAAGCTTCATGGACGCTCATGTTGCAAGAATCAAACACCAAAAAATCTCCAACTGGAAACCACAAAAAGGCAGCTATATCAAAAATTCAAGAAACCATAACTATTATCCTTAAACCAAAGCCAAAGCCTAAGCTTGCTCTTCCTCGTCATCAAAATCATCAGCTCCAAGTAACTCATCCTCATCATCAACAACAGAAGAATAATCCCCTCTCCTCGCCGCAAATGAGCCACGAGTAGAATAAGGTCTTTGACCTCCCCGCCCTCCAAACAACCCAGACGAGCTTCGCGCTAGGCTCTTAACAAGTAACGGCAGAGACTGCGCAACCGCAACAATACCCGCAATAATTGCTACGGGTACTGCGATCAGCATCGAGTCCCTGGATAACCAGCTCTGCGATGAAGCAGCCCCGGTCTCGCCTAGCCGGATCTGTCCGAATTTACCATCCCAGTGCGTGTATGCGTACCAGCCAACAGCGACAGCAACAGCGATAGGTATCACGATCGCGAAGAATAAACCGATTCCGCTGATGCCGTGTTTCTTTTGGTATTCTTCCTCTTTATTCGGGCATGGCCTGGATACGTCTTGGTCTAGGAGGAGGCCGCCTACGCAAGTTGTTTGAGGGATTCGGCGGTAGCCGGTTGGTTCCCAGTATTCGACTCTGTCGGGGTCTTCGGCGCATTGTGCGATGTGGTCTTGAGGTTGGAGGCCCGGAACGAGGCCGCAACTGCCGTCATTTTGGATTTCATAGTTATAGTCACTGGTTCGTGTTAGTTGGTATTTAGATTGGGAAAAGAGGATATAATTGGTTCTGTGTCTGCTTACCATTCGAAATCAGCACGGGTGCAAGTACAGTTCCGGCCGATGCTGTGGATGTGTGGCTCGCGCCAGGCATTCCAACACTGAGCGGCAGGTCGCTTGCGATGGTACTCCTCCACATGGCCGAAGAGACAGTTCTCTTCCTGGAAGGGATGAGTGGGGGCCCAGTCATAGTAATCGCTTTCATCGTCATTACAGTCGCGGCTCCAGATACCGCTGAAGTCAAGCGTGATGGTGACACGCTTGCTATCATCTATGCCCCAGAGTAGGAAGTTCTTCGATGTGTCTGATGGCACGGTCGAGATATCATCGATGACCAATTCCTTTTCGGCGAACTGGAACTCGTGCCAGGTCATACCTTCGTCAAGTGTGTAGTGTACAACCTTGGTTGCCTTCCGGTCACTGACGAGCACGATTACTGAGCCTGCTGCGCCGAATTCCCACATATACTGTCCTTTTTTGACTTGCGTCCAGGAGATGCCGCCGTCCCTGGTGAGGTATGTGTCGGCTTCGGCTGGGCTAGTGAGATGCTCACCAACGTTGCCGAGCGCGAGCATCAGGCCGATAGCGGAGCCAGAGTAAAGAGTGTCACGGGGATCGCGGCGTTCGGTGTAGCCGTGGAAATGGAGAGCACATTTCTCGGTACCCTTGCTCTCCGTAACGGAGCAGTCGAAGCTCTTGCCATCGGCATCATGAGTTGGAGGGGCTAAAAGCATCCACTGACCACCGTCGTTGTGGGTGATCATAGTGCGTAGCTTTTTGGCCGCGCCATTCTTCTGCACTTCTTCCCGGTTCGAAACCACATTGGCAATGGCCACGCCTTCGAGGCCGTGCAACTCATCGTAGTCCGTGTAGCCGCGGTCGTTGACATTGAGTCCCTCGAGACTCTGGACAAAGTAAGTACCGTTGCTATTACTCTTGACTAGAGAGCCAAAGCTGTTTTCATTCCCCCCGCCCACCTTCACAAGAAGGAACAACGCGTGCGGGGAGCTAGGGAGGACGGTATACTGAGGGACCTTAATGTTGAAAGGGAAGTGTGCATCAGCGTAAGTGCGGCCGTCGACGCTAACGCTGGCATTCAGGTATTCCTTCTGATCTCCTTCGTACCAGGCGACAACGATGAAATCATTCCTAGTAGCGGAACGGGCAATGTTCTCAAACTTAACGTCCATGGTAGAGAAATAATCATCACTGACGACCAGCTGCCGGTTATTGTTCTTTTCCTCATCTTTATACTGCTCGCAAACCACCAGCTTTTCGCTGCTGTTGCGGCCCTCGTGATATCCGAAGTAACAACCATCGACTCCAATAAGCATCGGGTCCCAACTGGCGCCTCGCTTATCGGTGACGTACGCCTGCGAGCGACAGGTCTTCCCACCACCATCACAGTCCTTATGACCAATCCAGATAAGGGAATCCTGGAATTTTTCGTGGAAAGCCAGCGGGCGGATGCCCTCCCTGTTCGGCAAACTGGGAGCCTCAAAGAAGTGGAAAGAATCACCATGATTGATAGTGTAGTATACCTTCTTGCTATCTGTGAGGAAGAAAGCCGCATCACTGAAGTAAGGATGCTGGACCATTCCTGTAAACTTCTCATCCGCGTGGATTTGTTTCCAGCTCCGGCCATGGTCGCGTGAGACATGTAGCTCGTATTTGTCTGTGAGCATCATGATCGTCTCATCAACACCATTGTTACTGGCCTGTCGTTCAAGATAGAAGTAGCTTATCTCCTTGGCAGAGATGGTCTGTGGCTTTTCTGCACGAGGTTTGCCATCGGTGATAGGAGGAGGCCCGGTGACATTCGAGCAGGAGCGTTCAATCTGATGGTCGAGATTCTCGCCACCTTCGCGGATGCATGAGTTGCCGGGGATGAGGCGCCATCCCGAGGGGCCCATGTACTTGTCGCTTGGCTCATTACACTTGCCCGGCGGCGGTGTTAGCGGGATAGCTGGTAGACACTCCTTGCGGTCCTCGCTACGAACAAAGTTGTAGTCGCATTCAAAGTCTTCAGCGGAACACTTGCAGGGTTTGAATTCAGGGCCGCTGATGGCGAATTCTTTCTTTATAAAGCAATCCGCGTTTGCCTTGCGGCGTTGGAAGAACTGTTTATGACCCATCAAACAATCCGGCTCGCCCTTTTCATTTAATCGGGCAGTCCACTCTTCAAGGTCTTCAGGGCCACACTGGCGCTCGTGGAGGTCATCAAAGTCAATGAAATACATGAGGATTTTGGTGTCATCGCTGGAAATACCAACGAGCAGGAATTTGAGGCTGCTCGAATCTGGAGTCGAGATCAGGTACAGCGGCTTGATCTTCTGCTTCAGCTTGATGGACTCCCACTCTTTCCCGTGGTCAATAGAATATTGGACATTTTCCGTCTGGCTGCCATCCACGACAGCCATGATCACACCTCCCTGGTCGCCAAATTCGTACCGGTGCGGGCCTTTGAGCGCGCGCCGCCAGGTAAGACCCGCGTTGTCTGAAACATAGAGATCACCCTTGGAGTAGTCCTCGAGGTGACCGCCAGTGTTACCAACGCCCATGACCAAGCCTGGTGCTGGACTTGAGAACATCCGGTGATCTGGCATGGGCATCTCGCGCAGCGCGGCGTAGGTGGTCATCGAATGGATGTGTAGCTCGTCTTTATCAGCCTTGAGAGGCTGGAAGGTTCTCCCGTCGTCAAAACTGATACTGCTGATAAGCTTCTTTTGAACCGAGTCAGACTTCCCAGCTTCCTCCCAGTTCTTCACCGTGTTGACAATCGTGATACCTTGGATACCTGTGACTTTCTCAAAATCGACCACGCCACTGAGGTCTTCGTTCGTGTGTTCGATATTTTGTGTGAAGTAAGTGCCATTGGAGTTGGATGAGAAAAGGCGACCCATCCGATTATCCCGCCAGGTAGTTTGCACGTCGATCTGGATGCTGTAGTTGGTGCTTTCTAAGATAGTATAGGCATCCTCTTCAATGCGGTGCTTGCCAAATTCCGCGCGGTGCCACACATTCGAGTCGTCACTAACGTACAACGCCTGCTCCTGAGTACCGCGCGATTGAAGACGCGCCACGATGTACTTGGACACAGAGCGGACCTGAAGACTGATACCACTCAGTGGTTTTCCATGGTCCAATTTCGACTCGGTGCCCTCCGCATCATCTTTGAAAAAGGTATCGGAATATATCAACCGTTCTGTACGGGTATGCTCAAATGGTCCCTTCAACCCAGGAACCACACAAAGGATCCGATCTCCTATCGACTTCGGCACATCTATGTCCAACCCAAATTGCGGGCGGCTTGCGGCCCATATACATTGAAGCGTCATCTGGCGCAATGGGTGGATATTATCGAAGTCGTCGATGGTATAATACGCTTGTGGCATGCACCCAAGGATGGTGCACTCAAGACCCATGAAGATAACCTTCTTCGGATCCCAGCCATTGAACTCCAACGGAGCCGCGCGCATCGACCCAAACGGCATGGAGTCCACCTGGAAGGGCTTCCATGACTTGGCCTGGTCGGTCGTTATCCAGTGTTTGCCCTTTTCGCCGAGGATGTACGCGCGGTTGGCATCAAACGGGTGTTCCAAGATCAACTCGACAGTGCCTTCTATGGTTCCATCCTTGCCCTTAATAATCTCCCATTTCTCTCCACCATCAAAGGAGACATGCGCAGTGAGGGAATTCTTGTCACGGTAGAGGATGGTATTTGTGCCGCGGAAGTAGAACAGGTCTAAAGGTGCAGCGTTGAGTTCATGGGTCACGATGTTCGGCTCGTTTCCTTTTGCCGCTGCTGGCTGCGAAGTCCATACCAGCAACAGGCTCAGTGTGAGCAGCAGCCACCGTGGGATCATGACCGGTGATGCGTAGGCATCTGATGGGGTATGTGGGAGCTTGAGCGGACCGGACCGGGAATTGGTCAATCGATAGATAGAGGGGATATAAATTCGCTGGAAAAGAGAGGATTAGAGGATATCAACAAATGAACAAGGTATAAATGTCGTAAGTTAAGATAGTGATACTGATGACGGAGCTGCGTGGCCTTCTCCAAGGCTGCCTTGGGAAGCTCCCTGTCACGTGAATTTCTTATCAATCCTATCGACTGAACCATGGTACGAAGCAAGACTACTGACAGTTCAACCATGGATGATAGTATTTAATTGGGACTAGTGTCTACAGATGAAAACATCCCCTGAAGGTGAATTGTACTGAGATGAAGCAGTTGGTATGTACAAAAAAATAAAAAATAAAAAACACACTGCTAATTAGATACATAAAAATATCGGGAGAACCCCAGAAAATAAAAATCGCTCAAAATGCAGGAATTGGTGCCTGAAAAGACGTCCATAATGGTATAGAGTAGAAATGAGTTCGTACCGAACAAGAGCACCTTGTTGGGATAACACGAGAAATATGGAAAGATAAAACGAAGGTCAAAGTCGGGATATTTAAAATCAAACTCGGCGTCGGAGCTTGCGCCACATCTTCCTCACCATACCTTGCTCGTCCAAGTCCGAGTCCCAGATCGACTGACTGCGATCAGCGGGGGGAAGTGCGGCCAAACGCAATGGATCTTCTTTTTCTTTGGAAGCAGGAGGGGTGGGAGAGTCGGTCCGGAGGTCAGGCCGAGTGAGAGTCATTTTGAGAGTCATCTCACGATTTCCTGGAAGCCGTTGTGGGACCCCCTTGGTTCCAGGCAGCCAGGATTGGCGTCGTTGCAAGAGAGCCGAGGATTCCACGGAGGGTCGGGTCGCGTCCCGCTGTTCGAGCACGGGCGAAGGGATTGGTTCATTTTGCACCGAACCCCCTGGACTCCCCACCATGGTGCCATCGTCATCTTCGAAAAACGTGCCAAAGTCCGAGTTGACCAAGGTTGGTCTTGGTGAGGAGGTTGATTTGGGTGAGGTTGGGTTTGGTGAAACTGGTTCCGGAGTGATATTCTCCTTATTTGGATCTAGCGAGGGAAATCCGAATTCAATGGCTTCGTCGAATTTTTGTGGGGATGCCAGATACACGCGCAATTTCAAACGGGCATCGGGGTCTTGGTAGTATTGCGCACAGGGGTCGATGCTCGAAGTGGATGATTTGGGGGCATGTTGGAATCGGCGGGATGATGGGCGCGATTCGGGGGTTGGGTTAGAGAGAGGTGTTAATGGTTGAGAGCGGCTAACAGACGGGAGTCCCCGAGAAGAGATAGGTGTAATTTCTAATGTTTTGCGAAGGTGGTTGGAAAAAGATAAGGAGCGACGAAAAGAGGGACGGGATCTCTTTCTTGTGGCAGCATCTGCCACATGAGCATGGTATTCATCAAGAGATAAATCAAGATCCCCATCGTCGTCAAGCCACCGGAAACTGTCATGGAATGTACGATCCATGTTTGGGTCTTCTTCGTCTGACTCGGAGTCTGAATAGAAAACCGTGGATGACTGAACAGACACGATTGTCTCGGGGTGAATATTAGAAGGTCGATAGGTCTCGGAATCTTGACCGGTACGTCGGTTAGAATCTCGACGGTAAGCTTCGTCGGCAGCGTCGTATATGAGACTTTGTCTATAAGCGTTCCTGAAACGTCGACGTTCTTCAGGGGAGAATAGCTTTTGTTGAATCTTAGCGGGGAGAGAATGGAAACGCTGGGAGTCCGCCTGGGCGGCCAGGTAGGCCAATTGAAGAGAGCCGGATTTGCGTAATTTTTTGGAAGAGGAACGTTTAAGCCCTCGCTTCCGTAAACCACGTTGATCAAATGTACGAGGGGTTCGATAGGTCCGATTATCTTGATAAATTGCGGTAGGGGAACCGTGATCAGTCTGATCTAACCGAATGCGCAAGCGTTCGACATTCGAGAAGAACTGTTCGAGTCAGCTGTGGAGTCAAACAACATCCCATGCGCTCACATTGGCCAGAATTGACCAATGTTGGCCAATGTTTGCTTAGCCACAGACGATAGTACGAGTGGCCAGCCTCCACCGAGGGGGGGTTCAGGGGCAAAATCACACAGTTTAATCACAAATCACAGGGCAAAGAGCAAGGGAAAAAACAAAGGAAATAGGAAAAATGGAGAAAATGGAGAAAACGGGCAAATCAGTCTTGATTGGGTTAAGATGATCCCTCTGTGGAGGAGACTATTGAGAAAGTCCGAGCGTGTGACGGTGAAAGGAAATTTGCCCTTACTTTTCTTCGTACTGCTGGAGGTAGTGATTCAAAGTCCTGCGACATTGTAATGTTCCGTATAAGGATAGGGATAGAGATAGGGATAGGGAATCGGAATAGGAATAGAAATATATCACACAATATATGAATATAAGTAGTTATAAGTAATGTAGTATAACAAGCAATATAGGAGTATAAATCAAGATGGGGAAAGGGAATTTTAAAGAGAGGAAAAGAGAGATCTATATAACATAAATATCTTGAACTCTTTGATCTGTGACAGAGGATGCTGTACATTAGCGCCGTGTGATGACTTCTATTTCAAGATCTTACCTGTCATATATGTATACCCATGATATACCCCTCGATATGATCTATCATGAACCTCTTGTTCACTGCGAACTTATTGATACATCTATATCTAGATCTATATCTACATCTAGATCTACATCTACATCTATATATTCTATATCTACATTTTACATTCTTCCATATTCTATATACTCTACAACAGGATGCCAAGTCAAGCCATGTCACCAAGCCACCAAGTTACGCGCCTTGGGCCAGTAAGGGGATCAACCTCAGCTCCACCCAGACCTTCTTCCAGTCTGAAACAACACATATTTCGGGATTTTGATGGATTTTGAAAACGTTGAGGTCTTTGTGTTCCAGTCCGTACCCTGTTTATTATTCCCTATCCCCTGTACCTCAATATTGGCGGGGTTAATGAGGAAATGTGATGTATCAAATCTTCCAAGTTTACACAAAGAAAAAAAAAAAAAGGTAAGGCCCTTGATACCCTAGCCTGGAACCAGTAAGAAGTAACTGATTGCCCTAATACGAGAATTTCTTGTACCTGATAGTTCTAAGGAGTAGAATGGCTGAAATTACTTCAAGTCGAGAGTATAATCCGGAGATTACGAGGAGCCAATGATTTCTTTTTTAGATTTTCTGTACATTGTATATCTATCTGGGTTTATATTTCCTAATAAAATCTTACATGTAGAACATTTTCTCCTTGCATCGGCTAATTGCATATTCATTCGACAAACGAGGCCTCTTTTTATTTCCGGACTCGTGGTATGCGAACTTGTTATATGCTGTTTTCCTTCAAGCGAACGCATACTCTGTACATGCTTAGTTCACTGTAGATCTTCTTGTAGCTACATAGTTTTGATGTAAGTGCCCGTGTCCAACTTCATGGTCCTCTCAGGGGGATTATTCTACTGATCTCAGTTTGGAGTTTGAATAAGCAATACCATTATCCAGCTAGATTGACAGAAGACTTGAATAGAAGATCTAACCATTTCTCGCTCTCGCGAAGGAGCTCCACAACGCTTATAGTTGAGAGATAACACCAAAAGTTTCCAATGGGGATATTAATTAGGGAGACTATGCAAAATGAAGAGTCACATCGGATGATTTCCCCCTCCACTCTAGATATATATATATATATATATATCAATAATCTATCAATGTATCATCAAATCCACCCACCCTTTTCACTATCCCCCCTCTTCCCAGCCTTAACTTTTGTCAGTGTCAACTTCCTCCCAACGCCCCTCCCGAGCACACCATCAAGCGGAACAACATCATCTTCAACCGATGTCCTCCTCGAATTCGAATCCTTCTCAAGACTAAGTAACACCTCAACCGCATCCCGGTCCTCAATGACCTTTGGGTGTCGTTGTGCAAAGTACCGCGCATACTTGTACAACGACCAGTAGCAACTAACCACATTGATGAAGGTTAACACAATCTTGTAGAATGTGTAGTAGAACAACAGCACTTTCCAGTCGATGCGCTCTTTCTTTAATCGGAGGTGGATCTCATTAAAGATTATTACGTTGAGGATATACATCCCGATCGTGACGCCGAGTAACATTCCGCAGAATGAGGGTCGGACTATAAATGAGATTGGGAGGATGAAGGGAGCGAAGAGATAGATGAGGGTTTCGTAGACCTTTTTAGGGTTAGGGTTAGCTCATATAAATGATCAAAGGATGGGATGTCTGTACCTCTTGAAAAACACATAACTTCGCACCGAATTCCCACCAACCCAACTTCCAGCTAGTCAAAATATATTTCAAATCGTAGTATACACCAACGACGAAGAAGAAGTTCCACCGCTTAAACCGTTGTTGGAGTACAGTCATCTCGCCGAACCCACCACGACTACCACCAGAACCACTGTAAAACACAGAAGCTGGCGTCTCTGTTTCAACAAAGACCTGTGAACACATAGTGATACGTCCACCCAAACGTCGACATGCATCACCGAAGAACCAATCCTCTGATACGGAGAACCCGGGATGTTCATGGAAGGTCTGTTTGAGAAACTCGATATTCCAGAGCGAGATAGCTCCGTGGGGGAATGTAGCACTTCCAAATTTCCCGAAAAAAGCACGCTGGATACCGGACATTTTGTACTCGAGGTCTTGGGCTTGTTGACAGGATGTTCCCTTTGAGGAATTGGGACCGACACTTTTGATTGTATATCCAAGACATTTGACGGTATTTTTGAGTCTGTCGCTGACAATTGGGAAGTTTGGAGGTAGGAGGCAGTCATCGTCAATTAAGAGAGCGTTTTCGAAGTCTCTGGCTGCGTGGCTGCCGACGAACTGTGCTACAATCTTTGAACCGATGGGTACCCAGAGGTGGTTTACCCCGTAGGGTTTGCAAATTTCTTCTGTGTTGTCGAGGGGAGTTTTGGAGTTGCCATTTGCTATGACGAAGATGTTTTCTTTGGGGAAGATTTTTAAGGCAGCTTCGAGGGTTGCACCGATGATTGCTGCTGATTTATAGCAGGGGATAAGGAGAGCGGTTGAGTTTACCTTGGACATGTTGCTTTCCAGGTCTGGGGATTGTGATTCAGAGTTCAGGGGAGGAGGATCCTTCTCGAAGAGGATCATCAGAGGACAAAATGCATACCTTATTTCGTTAGGACAAGAAGTTCAGCATCTCGAGATGACAGATGATACTTACAGTGCAGCCAGACCAATGATAATTGCGTATCCTCCTTCGATAACGAACTTGGTTCGGACAAGATAGTACATCCACCAGACAGCACCTTTCCAAAGTGGCATACCAACAAGGACAAAGTAGACGAATAGAACGAGGAATGCATAGATACTGTATTCAAACAATAACCGCACCCAGTACTTTCGTTGGATGGCAACGCCTCTTAATTTAGCCTTTTCATAGACTTCTTGCAGGCTGCTCTGCTCGCTGCTGATTGTCTGAGAGTTGACTTTGCTGAGTGGTTGGCGATTGAGGAATGCATTCTGAACTGGCGTTATTGGTTCTTTTTCAGGGATTGGAGAGGCGGGCTCGAATGTGGCAGGCTTTGCAAAGTAGTCGAAGGTATCTGAATCAAAATGGGTATTAGCTCATTGATATATATATAAGATGTTGACATCAATGTTTGGTATAATCTTTCGTTGTATTTCTACATAGATACGGGATATCAATTTCATACCTTGAAAAGCAGGAGGATCACTGCGTCCACGAGATCGAATTGCAGACTTTGGTCTTGCCACTGCTCGCAAAGCCGAAAGACTCACTGGACGATTGGAAGAGGTGCGAGGCTCTGTAAGTGCTATACGATTGTTATCGGGGAGAGATTGTTCCCATCGAGCCAATTCCCAGGGTGAGTTGAATCTGGCAGTTGTGAGGAGTTCTTTGGGAATGAAGACATCTTCCACAATGGATTTTCTGTTGTCTTCGGCCATGAGGAATATATATCCAATTCGTAATCATCAAGGGTATAGTGGAATAAATGGGCAACAACCCGAGATTACTAGTAAAAGAGGGAATATTTCGCTACGAATGGGGATTCGAGGGTGCTTCTTTTATTTAGAATAACTCAAGATCTCTTTCGAGGAAATCCTCTTGTCCAAGATTGTGGGCCGAGGATGTCTCCATTTGTGAGACTAGATCTGATGGGGCATACTAGTATAGCTGGAGCCCGAGAGAACTTGGAAAGGAAATGAGGATGCAGAATCATCATTATTCTAGACCTAGGGTTTAGTTACTACAAGTATCGTGGTATAATACAGCATAACCTTGCCATGGTCTTTGTGTTCATGTACAACATACTGTATCTCTTTTCGAGATGCATGAACCATTAGCATGAGAAGGTGAAGAGCGAGAAAGCGAGAAAGCGAGAAAGCATAAATATGGAGATGGCTAAGAAGATCTTCCAAATATTCCCATGTGGGTACATATCGAGATCTCTGCTTTAGGCCTGTGGACCATGGATCAACTGAATCATCGACTTCACCTAAGTTTTCATATAGTCCACGGTTCTTATAAAGTAGCTGCTTATGGTGTAGAACGAGACTTAACAACACACGGAGTACAATAACATAGTAACTCAATGCAAACCTCTTATTCTTTATTTGCTCGGACAAGTTGCGCAGTGGAGTACGCTCTCAAGGTTTTCAGCTCCGAAAGATCGTAATGATCGTCATTGTTTCTTTCCTAGGTGAGGTAAGGCTGTCTTGCTGGCTGTAGTTAGGTGGGGAATTTATGGAAGACCAACTGCCGTACGGAGTATATGGTGCTTTAACAGCCTAACACTTTTGGTATAACATATACATAACAATTTTCTATATAAAAAAAAAAAGAAAAGAAAAAGAAAAGAAAACTCAAAAGAACCTTAGAACCTTGGAAATTTTTTTAGAACCTTCCAAGGAACTTCCAAAGGAAATTCCAAGGTTGTTTCACCGGTTGAGTTTCGGGCCGAGAAATTCCAAAGTTCCAAGGTTTTCAGCCCCAAACCTTCGATTTACGCCTATTTCTTTTAGATACGAACCTTGGAAGTATAAGAAAAATTACATTGTTCTTAGACCTCCAGTTTAGAAATCTACTCCAAAAAGTTCTAGCCCTCCTTACCGAACTTGACACAATATGTCATTGACAACCAAAAAAAAAAAACGATACAAAAAAACAGGATAAACTGGAACATAGTAAGATTAGAAGGGATATAAGTATCCAATTCGAGTCCATGAAATTACGTAGCCTGTACCTGACCCAAGGTTGAGATTTTCATTTTTCTAGAGAGATGTGGATCTACATGATCTAGAACATATAATCTTATACAACATAGAACTAGATCGGACCTTTCTCCTAAAGAAATTTGCTTGGAAAATGATAAGAGAGGTATATTAACTAAATAAATCACAGGGCCACAACTAGCAGTAAAAGCAAAGGAAACAAACAGCGAATGACTGAAGCCACGAATGGACCTGTCTCAACACAGAGTCATGGCCACGAGGAACACACTCAAGCGGCAATCGGTTTCTCTGAATTGGATTGCGAGTTTTGTGTCTTATTTCTTGAGAGAGTAATTTTGTATCCAGGTGCAATTGAACACCATCAGCTGTGGTGATACTTGCTTGCCGTGTAGAGATCTTGGTTAACTAAGAACACATGCTCAAGTCCCTGTGATGGTTGCAGCAGACAATGCCGTCGGTAGAGGACATATGGCATCAGCGAGGAGAGCTATCCACTAATTTGATCAGAAGATGACCAGGGAGAGACATAGGCATTGACCCCGCCAGAATAAGACGTTGCTGGCAGTGAGTCGCCAAAGTGGAGACGTTTCGAATACGTGCGAATCAAAGAATGATTCATTTTCACTTCTTCTTTTCTTCACCAAAGCAAGCTGTTTCAGCTAATGGTTGGGGAACACGCAGCTTCTAGTTTCCCCAATTTGTCCGGCTTGCCAAAACGATCAAGAGTTCTTGTGCCCGAAGCACACGGATGAACTTTGCCGAATATCTGCTTTCCAATGGATAAGGAGCTTCTTTAGCTTCTTTGCTGACTTATCCGGGTCTTCACTGTTAGCCTTGGTAAGATAATCGTGGGGTTAGTTCTTGGATTTGATGTTCCAGCTGATGTCTTTGTAAACAAGCTGTGCTCCGTCCTTGTAGCATTTCTTGCAGGAACCCTCGGTGCTCCCGTTGATAAGCCGCGAGTGAGACCTTCTTCCCCTCCAAATATCTCATAGTTCCCGTCCCGGTAGCCGTGCAGAAGCTGGCGAGCTGTACCACCGAAACTTTTGGAAAAGCAGGCAGAACCTAAGAATCACAAGTGTTAGTCTAGCCTAGTCTCCAGAATATCGACTCCAAGTACTCACAGCTCAACATGTTCGCGGGATCGAATTGCAACTAGCATTTGATGTGATTGGACAAATCACATGCTTGTTTGCTATGACCAGTAAAATAACAGCCTCGGTCGCTGGATGGGTATTCTTGTCGCGAAACCGGAGAAATAAGTTATCTCCGTCAGACAAAAACATGTAGCTTGCGCACAACCAGTCCCACTGGAACCCATCGAGGAGGAACGTGACTAGTACTCCCCCCACAGTCTGTTAGCTGCTAGGGTCGATAGGACCAGAGACTTGTTTACTAGGGATTGCCGATGTACTGCTATAGACATGTACCTATACAAAACAGACATCGTCCACCCCAGAAGTAGTTGCCTCATCCACTGTATAGTCAAATTGTTGGTGGGCCAGTAGATCGAGAATGCTGATGGCCACCCAAGCTGCCATGGGACTCTGTGGCCACATTAGGGAAATGCAACCAAGTCCAAGGGACAAGATGAAATGGAAAATGGTGTAGCGAGCATTCCTGGCCCATGGATTGTCTTCATTGATATATTCGCTTCGTATCCAGGTGCTATAATCGCAAGGGGGAAGAACCAAGGTGGAAAAACCCAGCCCTAACTAAGGAAGGACACCATATTTGATTTGTCCTCTCCTGTCAGAGTAAAACAGTTAGCAACTGATGATCTTAAAAGAAACGGGAACAAAGACGATACATACTTCGAAGATATTGGGAGATGGCCTTTACCATTCTCTGTGCTCTTGGTGTCTCATGACCTGTAGCTCTATCAAGTTTGACTCAACTCTGATAGGCTATTGTTTTAAATCAAAACCATGCAGCTAAACAGCAGTGGAGTATATTCAACCATACCCCGACACCCGCCAGCAACAGGGTTGTTGCACCGGGATATGCCAACACCCGGAATCCCAACACTGAAATGCTGTGCAACTGATATTATATAACTGACCATGGCAGAGGAATGACAGGAGGAAGGTTTGAGAAGAGGAAAAGGGGGAAATTTATGGTCTGGGGGGTCTTCCGGAATTCCAGAAGGCGCCGTAACTGCGACGACAAGGCCTGTCACATCGGTGCCTGGGCTAGCTGCATACATTATGTGTATTCATAGGAAGGATTTGCCGTTGAATCAATCATACCTAGGTAAAACAAGAATAGAAAGTAATCAAGATAATCAAGGTACCAATGCATACATTATCATTACGCCAGTCTATATCCCCCAGTTGAGACAACTCCCACTAAATCAAAAACAGGGTATAAACATCCCAGAACAAGGTTTGCCCTTTCACAATGCATTAAGAACCTGCTGCATAGCAAACGTATTGGAATCCTCGCGACGTGAGACATAAGCCCGCACCTCCTGAACACTCAACTTACCCTCTTGGGTAGCATTGCGTCCCGAGCCCGCTGGTCCACTAGTTGTGCCACTGGCAGCACCACCGCGGATTCGTTCACGGAGAGCCTCAGACCCAATCACGAATAGGCTGCCCACTTCCAGTAGTACGTCCAGCGCGCCACCGGGGCCTTTAGTCTCTTCGTCGATGTCCCAGGATTTGAAGAGGTCTGCATATTGTGTCATGTCTTTGGTTACCATTAGCCCACCAGGTCCGCTGACGGAGAACCGTTTGAAGTGTTCGAGAAGAAGGCTGCGGACTCCAAGTGCTATCTCGGTCAGCACTTGACGCACGTTGGCGCCGCTGGATGGGAGGGAGCTACGCGCGATGTTGTGGAGGCGGGTTAGAAATGAGGTGATTGATGCACACGTCTATTGGGATTAGTAGGATTTTTTTTGGAATGGTATTCGGATGGACCGTACTGGAGTTTGTAGCATCTCTAACCATGCAGTGTTATCACTTTCCCTGGGTCGGAAGTCGTTCTTCTTCTGGTTAGATAGCAATCTGCTAACCCAAGCAAATGTGGCGTCAATGGTTTTCTGCTCGATACTGTTGATTTTGTCCTCGATGCGCGAGGTGGTTTGACTGGTGCGCTTCTCCATATCCCGGCGAGTGGTGATGCTTGCAGCTGATAGAGGGAGAAGGACTGCATGGATGCACATCACCATCAATGTGGTAATGCTAATCGTAGTGCGGGCTGAGAAGAGGTAGGAGAAGTCGGGCTCGACCTTAGCGGATTCTTGCGACGTAGCCGCTTCCAGAGCGGCATCTAGACAGACATCCACATATCCTTCTCCCATCGCGAGGAGAAGCAGGTTGAGCAAGGCGGAGACATCTTTGGGTGTGTCGCTATTGACACTGAGCTCCAGTCCGCGGCCCACAGCTTCAGCCAGCCACTTCAGCATCCGCTTAGCGTCGCTGAGATTAGGTTGCCCATCTTCTTCTGTGAGCTTGATTTCGGTCAATCGAGTTGTCTCCAGTGTATCGCCTATCTTGGCTACACTGAGTAGAACTTTTCGCTGGATAGGTGAAAGCTCTGGTGAGTCCAACCGGCTAATAAATGCATCGCGTGTAGTCGAAAGGAGCTCTGATCCAGCCCGGGATAATGATGCCATGAAAGTTGTTGCCGCCTTCTTGCGGCGAGCATGGTAGGAGGTGAACCTGAACAGGATCGCATTGAAAAGTTCTTCTAGTGTCCGCTTCTCGCGTTCGATGTAAGACGATCCGACAAAATAAGGAACAAAAAGCTCCTCTAGCTGCTGGTCAAGCAGCACAGCTGTCTGAGAAGAAACGGGCTCTGGATGCTCGGTCAAACCATGCGACTTTAAATCTTCAATCAAAGCACTGATATAGCCACGGGAGCTTTGTAGACAACGGAGGAATGCTAGTGACGATACACCAGCCGCTTTCTCCAGCACCATTTCCAACCGTTGCTGGATAGATTGTTGGAAGACTCGCTGTAAGAACTTGCCCAGGACTTGTTCATAGTAGGGGAAGGCCCGCCGAATAATAGCTGACTCTTCCTGAACCACAACTTTGACTTCATCGATCAACGACTGGAGGCTGGATTCAACACCAGGAAGCTCGGCATCTGGATCTGCCAGTTTCTCCCATGACTCTGGATCCCCACCAACCTCCTCGGTTACCAGCTGGCTGCGTTCAATAAAGAACTGATGCTGGTTGACGAATAAGGCGATAACACTCGCGCCGCTATTGAAGTCCAGCAACACAGTCGCGCAATCCTTCATACCGTCAAAGTTAGCCTTGCGGTAGAACTCGTCAAACTGCTTCAGCAAATCCTTCTCCAGCGTCTCGGAGAACTTCTCAATTATCTCCCGCGTATTCCGCCGCGGGGTGCTACTCTCGCTGAGATCCTCAGACGAAGAGCTATTCCCGTATCCACCATTCGCGCCATTCGAGTGAGCTCGAAGTTCCTGCCAGCTCTGCGGATCCAGCCGTTGACTAATGCGCAGTAGTTGACGCGCAATGTGTGCGGAGCGCACCTTGGCCTCTCCCGTGCCAGATCGTCGCAGGCCCTCTAATAGTGAGATCTCGCCTCGGTTGCACACACCGTCCCAGCATTGGATGAGGAAATGGGCGTCCAGAGCTCGTCGTCGCTGTCGGTCTAGCTCCTCTAGGCGCTTTCCTGTCTCGACTGCCATGTTCCCCGTCCCAGCTGGATTCTCGCGGCCGGGCGCGTTTAGAGACGTATCAAGCTGTTGAAAGTTTTCGATGGTGTGGCGGAGCTTCTGACCCAGGGTGGTAAGGTTTTGACCATGCTGCGCCTCTGCACGTCGTACCGCTGCTGAGAGTTCATTCTCGCGGAGCTCGAGGTCTCCGGAGAGCTCGCTCAGGCGACGTTGGGCGCTTTCGAAGGTGCGAATGAGGGGTTTGGGATCGAAGGGTTGGTTGGCGGCAGCGGTACCAGCTAGCGAGCGACGATTGGAGATGGCAGTGTCGGAGAGACCTTCAATGAATTCCTTGACAATGAAGTCCCGACTGGAGAAGTCCTCGAGGGTGAAACTGGGGCCTTGAGGGAACACGGTGCGGGCGGAGTTGGTCGTTATGGATGCATTGTCCATCATGATAGCAGGGCAGACATTGGCTGCCTGTAGAGCTAGAAAATTCTCTCTCTTCCTTCTGGTTGGAGTAATTGAGAAAGGAATCCGGGGAAAGCTGCGGGAGAGATGGGATGGTTGAGGGGAGGTTTACTGCCACGCACATATTCTATAGACATCACTATATCAATTCTATATCAATTGTATATCAATTGTATATAAATTGTATATAATAACACTGTATATCTGATATTTGATTAGATATTGGGAATAATCTCTATACATTACATACTAAATACTATTCTATCTACTCTTTCACATGAAAAAAGCAAAGGACTAGGCAGCACAAGATATTTGGCCAAAACCGAACATCCACACTCCACTTCCCTCCTTCATCACCCACGACAATGGTGTCCCAACGAGATCGTGAGATTCTGCGCGACGATTTACGTGCTCGCGGTACAAAACTCAGCGTAGCAGAACGCGAAGCCTTGCTCAAGAACTATCTCCCAGACCCTGCCGAGCTAGGTCAGAAACCAGAATCGACTGTCAGCGAGCGTAAGACACCGCGCAAAACGCCCATTCGCACATTTCTCAAGTCGCAAACCCACTATCTCACCTATGCATTGACTCATATCATCTTCGGTATTGTCGTGCGTCTTCTGCAGGCGTACCATGCCGTTGTCGATCGCATTTTCGCAATCGTCTATCACCACCACCGTACACCGGAGCTGATTCGGAAAGATGTGAAGAATCTCAAACGCTTACCGCAGCATCTGAGTACAATTCTCACCTTGCGGAAGGAAGATGATTCTCTCGCGGTCTTGATGGATGAGGTTGCTGAATTGGCAGCCTGGAGTTCGTGCTCGGGAATTCCGCAGCTCAGTATATACGAGAAGTCTGGTATGAATAACCTCTCTACTATTTAGGAGTACGATATAATACTAACCGCTCTTCAGGCGTCCTTAAATCCTGCATTCCAGCTCTCCATCAAATAATCACCACCAAACTCGCCTCCTACTACGGCACCCATAGTCACCAACCAAACCTCCAACTCTACGCCCCTCACCATCCAGTCCACCGCAGTACACCCATCACAACAAACCCGACCCTGACAATCCTACTTCTTTCCTCAACGGACGGCCGTGAGACCCTCGTCGACCTAACTAAGACCCTAGCAGAGATGAGCCAGAATGGCAGGCTCTCACCGGAAGATATCACGCCGGAACTGGTTGACGCGGAGATCAGTGAAATCACGACACAGCCACTGTCTATGGATCCCACGTTGTCAAATACGGTTCTCAAACCGGAGCCAGATCTGTTGCTTGTTTTTGGACCGTTCCTTAAGCTTGATGGGTATCCACCGTGGCAGCTGAGGCTGACGGAGATGTATTGTACTGGTGGGCGCAGTCATGGACTTAGTGGAGATGGAGAGGCGGTCGAGTATCAGGGCTATATGCGTGGCCTTTGGCACTTTGCTGGGGCGCAGATGAGGTTCGGTAGGTAGGATAGGAGGTGTCGATATATTGAGATTGGGAAGTAGATGAGATTTTGATAGAGCAGTTTCTTAATTCTGGCTATACCCTTACCATATTCTACTATGTATGTCCTATGGTCTTGATTTTTTTTAGCATGGCATTCAATGTTCAATGTTTCTGTGGCCTACAGTGTTACATATATGTACAAAGATAGTCCGGATATTAGTATACAACATATGGGACTAGGCTTTTTGATATACTGTCTTTACCCCTACTTTAACTTTTATAAAGAGTAGATTAGTATATAAAGAGTTGAAGTATACAATGTTTTAATACCATTATGCTATATGCTAGAAACAAAACACTTTGTAAAAAAGAATAGAAAGATCCATAATTCGCCATGCATATCCAATATAAATGCCAAAAAAAAATATCCACCTCAATCCCAGCCAGTCCTTCCAGTCCAGTCCCAATATCAAACTCCGAAAAAGAGCCACTCCACACCAAAAGGAGCAGCAGAAACAACCCTGACGTTGTAATGAATGTTATACCATAGTTTCATGTGTCATTCTGTCATATCCACCCCCAACCCTCACCCAGTCATATGCTCATGCCGCATATCATCCAAAGCCCAACCAGACGGAATAGTGGCTGCAGCCCACGAGCCAGCACCACGCACGCAGTCAAGACAACGTACAATCTCTGCCCCAGTCTCGGTGACTTCCTCCACAGCACAGCCGGAACAGATTTTCCTCCTCGGCGCCTCGCTGGCATCGTAGTTGGCGTCGTCAATTGAGCCCACACGCATATGCATATGCATGTCTGGATCTTCTGGTAGACCGAATGCCCCACCGCAGGATGAGCTGTCGCATTGTCGGAGACAGATGAAACATGCTCTTTCGTGGCACAGATCACAGTCTGCGTAGGCGTCCAGGACTTGGCGGGTTGTTGGGCGCCGGTGGCAGATGTGACAGGGGCGAAGGGCAGAGGGGGAGGCTGATTGCTGAGTTGGGTAATGGAGGGGTACGAGGGTTTTTGGAGAGACCGGGGGTGAATATGGGTCTTGGTTTGGTGTGCCGTACACGTTTGGGGAGAGGTGGCTTGAGGATTGTTGGTGTTGGTGTTGGTGTTGGTGTTGATGTTGATGCTGGGATGGGAGTGTAAGATATGGGCTTTGCACATGTCGGCGTTTGCGAGGGAGGCAGCGTGGTCGAAATGAGATGTCTGTCCCGTCTGGGTGTCGTGATAGAGGCAGTGAGCAGCTACTGTCATATTCGGGCCGATCGACTCGGCATGATGGGACATATGTTGCTCTAGTGATCATATTAGTCTATCTGTCACCCCGCCGAAGGGAACATAGTCAAACTTACGGACATGCTAGAGTCCTTGGCTCCTCAAGATCTCGCTTGCGCTTCTTCCATGCCGTTATCGAGTCGGCTTGCTCGGGCGGAAAGCCTGGCATTGGTGATATTCCGTATTCCAAGCCAATTTAGATGTTTTTTATGGTCTAGAAGCGTAAGGAAACCTCGGGGTAAATCTTCAAGTGAAGTGAAGCTGACGAGGAAACCAAACAAACGAAAGCCTAGCCGGGCGGTGTGCGATAGGAGATTGTTATCGTCACATGTCTTGGCGATTGAGGGATTATATTGATCGAGTCTCGTATAAGCTGCTCGAGTTTTTTTTTTTATTATCTATATACAAAGCTGACGGGAGAAGTCAGAAAAATAATATGGTCATACCAAAAATCCTTTATTCTTTTTCCCGAGTTGGAGAGGCAACACCATCTAGACGAGCTTGGATAGTTTTCTCGTCAAAACGCCCACTGTCACCCACATAGTTGCGAAGAACCTCATAGGTCATAAGGCGCCGAGGTGCTTTTCGACCTGTCATCAACTCAAACTGAGCAATGCCCTGTTCGGTAACATTCTCCAATCCGTCAGACAAGACCCAAGGCCGTCCAGTCTCGTTACGGACTCGGCGCATTTGTCGTAGAAGTGGTGTATCGAGGGGTTTATACGCCAACTATATTCAATTAGTACGTGTGACAAGAAAAAAATGTATCCCGGGGGAAAGCTCACCTCAAGTATCACACCCCCTGTGGGACTCCCAAGCCATTGCTCCGGCATCTCAAAGTTCGCCGGTGGTTCATCACGGTCTGGATCAGCTGGCACACAAGACGCAACAAGACTAGGCTGAGCAGCATCCGCGGGCCAATCTTCACTCAGCGACTGCAAGACACAAACAACCTCAGCCGAATCTACCTGCGATGATGCCCAGGAGTTGAAATGGCGTGCGACTTCCTCGGCACGTGACTGCGTGCGGTTGTAGATGAAGATCTTCCGACACCCAAGTCGGAGCATAGCATAGATGGCGGCCCGCGCCATGCCACCCGCACCAATGACTAGGCCTGTTGTTTTTGCGCTGATCGCGTTACGTGGCGAGAGGTGTCGCCTGATGCACGTCATTATACCGACCCAGTCGGTATTTTCACCGTACCAGCCCAGCACCCGCCCTGCTTGGTTGCGTCGGCTGGCTTGTTCTTGGAGTGGGAACATTGTTCCATCTGCATGTCCGCGGAGCGGCATGATTGTGTTGATTGCCCCAATGGCATCGGCGTGTCGGCTTTTCGAGGCGAGCTTTTGATATACCTGTACACGCCATGGTTGCACGACGCTGGATCCCCCAAAGTGTGGATCCCGGCCCAGTCGGTCTAGGACTGCGAGAGAGGGTGATTCTGGGATGCTGTAACTGTGGCCCATACCGCAGTGTGCATGCGCGGCATTGTGCATGGCCGGGGATAGACTGTAGGCGACATTCTCCCCACAGATGTAGAACTTGAGCGGATCGAGCGTGTAGCTTTGGAATAGTGCGCGGACAGCATCGCGAGAGGTTATTTGCGGGTCGAAATTATTCTCTGCGGACCGGGTGATGGCTGGATGTGTTACTGCAGTGAGGATCGAGTTGAACACTTGTGAGGTGCGGCCCAGGGCACCAATATTATAGGCAATGAGGGGGGGATGATCCCCGGGGAGTGATCGGATTTTATTGCAGAACTCAATCACAGCGGCATTGTCCTCGCGCTTTGTTGTGACTCGGAGGAGGCGGACGAGCTGACAGCCGAGCTTTTCAGCTTCATTATAGATGGCAACGCAGCCCGTGCTATCCCATGTAGTAGGGGAAGATGGTTCAAAGACCTGCTGGCCGATGATCTTAGTATTCCCACGACCCCCGATAGTCCCAGCCAGCCGGGATCGGTCTTGAGTCAGGTCTACAACAAGATATTCCACACCCAGGCGTAGACCGTGCTCGAGAATATCAAAGTAAGGCTGAGAGGAAGAGGTGGCTAGTTCTGGGGAGCCGATGCCAGTGGAGGAGGTGTCAATGGAAAGAATCACAGGCGTCCGCGCATTTCGACGCAGGACAGAGACCTGTTTACTGACAGTGGCTGCCATGTCTGGGCCCCAGCGATCGACACATAACTCGATGGCATCTCCACCGGACTCAAGCTCAGTCAGGTTGACATTGTCAGCGATTAGATCTGAAGATCGCACGAAGATGGCATGGGTAAAAGAGCGCAGTTCTGGCGGGGTCTCTAGCAGAACGAACGGCGAGTCATAGCTCGAATAATTCACATCGAGCCCAGTAATGAATTGCACAAACCGCGTAAAATCCTCTTTCACCTCTTGTAACTTGAAAGAATAATCTGCAAACCGGCGATCCGGGCTCCCATCGTCTGACGCACGCGTCCGATCTTCAAGATTATAGAATTCGAAATTGGAACACGTCCGATGCATCGGGTCGCCCTCCCGGAACAACCGTACTGCCTGGTCTTCTAAACCGAGCAGTTGCTGAATGCGATCAATATCGCGCAGTAGATGGACTACTGGGTTGGAACGGGCATAGAGACGCAGATGATCCTGCACAGGTCGCGTCAGACTGGCCAGTCCACACTCCATGACACAGCCCGTGCGGTGGTTATCCAGCATCGACTTCAGGACCTCGATGTCCCGGCGCTGGAACTCCTGACTGCCATACCGCTTGAGGTATTCCTGTCGCGTGACACCCGCGGTTTCCCGGAAGTAGTGGTCTTCAGTAATAAAGCGTCGCTTCAGCGCGGTCGCGGCGACGAAGCCAAGCGAGCGCTTGCCGCATCCACGGATGCCGATCAGGACAAGTGATGCATTGGGAGCAAAGGTGCGAGGGGCAGACTCGGGACGAAACGTGGGAGAGGATTCCTTAGTGGCATATACGGAGATGTCGGACTTGCCGTCGGGCGTGGGAATGGAGGGTTTAGAATTAAGCATGTTGAGCGATGAATCAATTGGGGGGGGGGGGGGGGGGTGGGGGGAGGGTGGTGGGTGTGTGGGGGGGTTGGACTGAGTTGGGTGTGTGGGGCTATGTCGAGCGGCGCGCCATGATCAAATGCACTCAAGGCATAAAATCGCATACATAGAAATGCAAGATGTTGGAAAGACTCATATGGACAAAGTCTGGAATCTTGACAATACCCCTAAAGTTCCTCCGAATGAGAAACTGGGAATTGCCGGCCACATTTGTCTCCGGCAAAAGGCTTTTCCACTTTCCATCTCATCTCACCATTTTCTCTCAAATCACTGTACTTTCGTACATTCCTATATTTTTGGAATTACTACATTCTTCCCATTTATATGAACTAACCTCTCGTGTTTTCATTTCACTGCCAAGGGAAAGCTAAAACCATCTTAAGGATATTCTCAAGGCTTGAATGGGATCCTAATAGAATCCTCGAACTAACAGCCAGGCCGTTTTTTTCTATAGAGAGGAATATTGTCATGTGACTCCTTTTTCCCTTGTAGTCTCCTTTCTTTTTGCACCCTTGAAGGCGTTTTTGAATTTTATATTCTGGATAGAGCCGTCTAAGAGGAGGTCCAGGTAAGAATTAAATGGTCGTTGAAACTATACAAATATTAATACTATGTATAGTCTTGTTGGACTCTTTGAAATCATCTACCAAGCGAAACATGGTAAATGAGAGCAACGGCCCATCATCCTATCTTCTTCCACTCCGACTATGGATTGGCAAGAAACTTTTTGGAGCTGACAGACTCGGATCGAAAGGAGTCCAAATCAGCACTAATAGAATGATCAAAGGGCCCTGTCCTATATCGGAGCTAGAAGCCATGAGATATGTCGCTGAGCATACATCAATTCCTGTCCCTAAAGTCTTCAACACCTACTTTTACGATAATAGACTCTATATTGAAATGGAGTATATTTATGGAATGAGCCTCCAGACAGCATGGAACTGTGGTCACCTATCGCAAGATCAGAAGAAGTACATTATGAACCAGGTTTCGGGCTATATTAGCCAGCTTCGGAGATTAGAACCTCCGCAAGAAGGAATAGTTGCATCGACAAATTTCTGTCAGGCCTTAGATCACCGACTTGGATGTTGGGCTTTTGGGCCGTTCAAGAGCCATGAAGGGTTCCACACATACCTTCCAGCAGATATCCCCGCGGAAGTATTCGGTCCAGAGGTCGCTGAGTGTCACTCCCGTCATTATCGAACTTGCTTTACACACGCAGATCTCGCCCCTCGAAATATCATGGTGGATAATGGGAAGGTCTCTGCGATCATTGATTGGGAATTTGGTGGCTGGTACCCGGAATATTGGGAGTATACTAAGCTCCACTACTGTCCGATCGATCAACCGGAATGGTATAATGGGTTGGACAATGTTTTGGAGAAAAGATATGACGATGAGCTTAGAGCAGAACAAATCCTTCGGAGACGCCTGAATGATCCACAACTTTTTTTGGCAAGGGAGGGAACATTTGATCCCGGGTCTTGTATGATAATATCGAGACTGAGATACTGAGATCTATACGATCGTTTCTATACCCCAGAGTCCTAATTTCCTAATCGGGTTAAGCGTCATCGGCTTCGGGTGTACATCGGATGCCTTGATGCCTTGATGCCTCATTAACACCCTTAACTCACGTTAAAAGATACAATAGTTGGCCGCACAAGTGGACTTGGGATGTGTTTTTTTCAGTAGTCTGTGCTTAGTAGTCTCAGATATCATTATGTTTAGATGTACCAGTCTTATAAGTCGATAGGCCAAAAATGGATTGGAAAAGGCTTTGTTCAAACGACTTTTCTATGTATAACCTGAGATATCTATTAGAACTTCTACATATATAGAATAAGTTCAATATATCCAAATCAACGATCTCGGAACATTATGTGGGATATCTGTGGGGGTGGAGATCCCCCCGATAATTCCAAGTTCACATCCCGAACTTCACCTCCGAGATTCTTCCTCGGCCTGCCTATCTGTGACTTTTGCCGTAAAGGCTAGTTTGATTAGAGCTCCTCCACTTTTCTATTCGCGGGGGTTACTCTTTTTCGACCTCCATTTCGAGTCTCGGCCTGTTATACGGCGCGACTTGGATTACTTTCAACCTTCCGCAGTTCACCCAACTCCAAATTGCGACAGAGTTCGTTGGTCCCCTTGTTTTTCTCTACATGGCGTGTCACCTGCACTCGTAACCCCTCTCCATGGATGAGGGATCAGATAAGGCCCCTCGGCGCAAGAGGGTCTCCCGAGCTTGCGATCGCTGTCGCAGTAAGAAGGTGAGTCGCGTCCCGCTATGCTCTTTTCTCATATCTCTTACCGGCCTAGTCTAACATATCGATGGTCATAGGATAAATGCGACGGTATCCGTCCCACTTGTTCTGCCTGTCAGGTATCGGGCCAATCCTGCTCCTACGATCCCCATGCGAAGAAACGCGGTCTCCCCGAGGGCTACGTCCGTGGCTTGGAAAAACTGTGGGCGCTGTCGATCTGCAACATTGAAGGGTTTGAGGATACCATGCTGGCCATGCTAGGAAATAACTCCGAGTCCACCGGTCGTCGCGAGAAATTGATGTCCGTGTGGTCAGATGATAGTGCCTCGGAGACTTTACACGAATCTTGGAAAACGAGTCGGCTGTTCGGTGCGCTGGAGAAAATGCTCTCTAATTCCGATGCGCCAGGGCCCGTGAGTGGGAAGCGAACGCGTAATCCACAAGATGATGGCCCCGATGGTCAATGGGGGTTCCGAGTAGCCCACACTTCCACCCCGCTCGGTCCGGGTGCGCCGCGTGTAATTGAGCCCTTTGCCGCATCGCCGGGTGTAAAGCGGGCTCGATTGTCAAAAGAGTCGGATGGTCGAGGTATTGCTGGACCCAATCCTCATGCGCTGCAATTGCCACCTCAGACGTCGCAGCTGCTCGACATGTACTTTGCGGTCACGCATTCATGGTTCCCCATCGTCGCTAAGCATAACATTCTCCGCGCTTCCTACCTTTACGCCAACGGCCCTATCTCTGTTGCCACAACTTCGCCTGGGTCTGGCGATCACGCCGCCCTGTGGGCAATCCTAAGTTACACTATCACTCAGTCGCGAACAAATTTCCGGGTTGGTCCCGCTGGAACAATTCCTCTGGCGAAGGAATACTATGCCGTCTCGCGAAATCTCATCCCCACGGAGAAAGAGCGCTATGAGCCCGGTCATATTCAGGCATTGTTGCTGCTAACCTTGGTGAACATGGGTCTCGAAGATTGGACCGCGGCTTGGCTATTGAGCGGCCAAGCAGTGCGCATGGCGATTGCTATGGGACTTGGAACTGTGTCGGACAGCCGGCGGTCTGATGAACCTAAACAAGGCAAGGCGGTATTCTTAGGGTGCTTTGTAGTTGATTCATTGCTCTCTTTCCGTCTTTCACGGAGCCCTTCCATGCCTCCAAGCGACCTCGCTGCGGTGGGCCTTTTGGAGGAGGATGGACTGGAGGAGTGGAACTCCTGGGTGGATGTTTTACCACCCACTGGCGCTCCGCAAGGCAGCAAGAACTCACCGCGCCGAGGACCACTCCTGGCCCTCAGCTGTTTCAACCGCTTGGTTGAGTTGGCGAGCGTTCTCAATAAGATTTCCCGTCACATGTCTTCGGGATACAGTATGGCGGCCTTTGCGCAGCAATTGGTTATGGAGCTTAAGCAATGGGATGATTGCCTACCTCTGGGATGCCGCCTGATTGGACCGGAAAGCATCTATCCAGAACGCCATTCAGCTTTACTTCCCCATCAAAGTTACCTAGGCCTGACCTATGTGGCCACCCTGCTTTGGCTCTATCTACAATTGATATCGGGTGAGCAGGGATTGCACCGCTCACAGCGCCCAGCCACAGAGGGGGCCAAGAAGCTCCTCTATCGAGGGCTCTCTATGGTCACCCAACACTTAGAAAACTTCTCCATGTGCGGTCTTCCACCGCTATTTGAGCTAAGTCTTCGCACAATTGCGGAGCAAGCGTTTAGACTTAGGACTACTGCCGACTCATCCGACACCTTCCCCTTCGTCAGGTGGGCAGAAGAGTTCCGACTGAAAACGGCAGCTTTCAATTCCACATGGCCAGCCTACGGTTCTTTAGTTTCCACCATGGAGAGGTGGCATCACCCCAACGATGTTGTTGGGGGGCCGTCCGCTTTCCCCGGGGCAGCTGGCCATTCATTTACGGGTGCATCTATGGCAGGCTCCATGCAACCCCTAGTAGGAGCTCGCAGCCAACCCCAAAATGGCGAAGTAAATTACACCTCTGCTATCCTTGGCATTAGCATGCCAGCCGATGGGCAATCTTTGACCCCCAAAGATACAGTAATGGAAAACACAGATCTCGGCATGATGGACGTGTCACTACACCACTCAAGGGAAATCCAGTCAGTTCTACCGGATAAGATTACTCCACGCAGTGGAGCAGATTCCACGTATGGAGCCACACAACATCAACAACCGCAACCTCAAACTCCCGACTCGGCAACCTCGAACCCAATGAGGCCTGGAAGCATTGCTCCCACCGGTGACATCGACGCCATCTTTAAAGACCTCGCATACCTGGATACCACTGAATGGTCTACGAACCGCGAGGCAGGTTTAAAAGACTTCGGCTTTTTGGACGATAGCACATTCCAGGCTTTCTGTCATGACCCAGATCGCTTGGGCGGATCACAGCCATTGGTTCATCCACCTTCGATAGCGGACATATGGCCGCCGCCTGGGTTCTTCCCAGAGACTTTCCAGGAGGTTCCCGAAGAGTCTATGGGTGGCTGAGAGATCTTGATATGATCTCGCCAGCTATCCTTTATAAACCATGCCATCATGTTATACTCCATCTTCCTTGAAAGTTCATCAGCCGTGGGCATCTCGCTGGTCTCCGGAGATCTCTATAGATGTCACATACTTCCAGACACATTAACCGTCTAAATGAGACCACGATGATCTGTTTGGCCACATAATAGCGATCGTCACGATCGCTAAGTCCAATGCTTAGTATTAAATCGTCCATGAACATCATCTCGGCGGCACACACTCCTGTCACACCCTCAGTGCAGGAAGACTCTTATCCGTCCCCCAAGAGACTGGATGCCAAAATATGTACATTATACCCGCGCTGTAGGATATTATCGAGTCTAGCGCATTTACACAAGTGCAGTAGCTGAAGCTACGCTACGAATAAAAGATCTCATCGAATAGACATTTTCTATACAACACTTGACGTATTGCTATTCTATCTCTATTCAATCCCCCAATCACTTCCCTACCAAACATTCCCAGCTGTCTGCTCCCTTCCCAACTTCTTAACATTAACATTCCTCCAAAACCAAGTACAAAGAATACAAAGCGGTACAAAACACACTCCAACAATCGCCATTTTCCTTTGAAGATCAGCATAAGCTCCAACAATAGCATCTCGCTCCGCAGTTCCATCCGCGTACGACATCTGCTTCACCAAATCCGCAAATATACTCGCCGAAAGATGCTTACTTTCCTGCGGCAGCCGGTTGTACAACTCCTTCTCGAGGATATTATTCCACATCCCGCCAGCAATGGCAGCTCCTACCGCCGCTCCGATAGACCCAAATAATCCCCAGACCGCGTTCACAACCGCAATCTCTTGGTGGGTTACCGTAGCCATTATCGCTAATTGTCCGCACACAGTGAACAGGCAGCTGCCGAGGCCAACGAGGATTTGGATCATTGTGAGTATACCCACGTGTGTGTCTGGTGCGCGGAACGGGACCAGGAGTGCCGTCCCTAGGAGGAAGATCGGGATTCCGGCCATGGCGGTCCATTTAAAGTCGCCGGTCCAGCTTATCACACTAGGAGGATATTTGTTAAATTTGGGATACATAGATGGTATGCATGTGAGCTTGTGGGGTGTGCTTACAGGCCGAAGATGGGACTGAAGATGAAAGATGTCAGGGAGAAAGCATTGAGCACGTAGTTGGCTGTCGTGATATCGAGTCTGTTGACGACTTGTAGATACGAGCCGAAGTAGCTGTTCCAGGTACTGGTTTGTGGGTGTTAGTATGTCACTAGCTTTGGTGATCATGGTAGGAATGGATTGGCACTCACAAGCAGGAGACGAACATTACGCCGTATAGCATGCAAGAGCCGATTATCGTGGGCTCTTTCAGATACTTCCACGGGAGGAATTGCACCGGTGAACAGTATCGCTCCCAGATGTAGAATGCAGGCACGCAAGCTACGCCAAGGACTTCCATCGCGATGATGTATCCTGTCGCCCACCCCTTGGGCCCGTAAGAGGCAATGCTAAATGGGATCAGGATTAGGGAAAATGCGGCTGTGATCAAGATGATCCCGATAACTAGGTAAATTACATATTAATCACATATCAAATGCAAAAAAAAAAAAATGGGCTATACATGGGAATAGATACATACCATCAAATTCGACGAGATAATGAATGATAGTCTGCCACCAGACACGTCCAGAATGAGTCTTCTCAAGAACACCGCTCTTCTCGGCCCGACGTTGCATAAATAGCATCACCGCAGCGACAGGTATACAAACTCCAACCTGCATGATAGCAAACGAACCGAATGCCCAATGGAAGTCGAGATTGGTGTAGAATAGCGTGGCAATCTCCGGGCCCGCGAAGGTACTAGCAATACCGGGTGTACCGTTCAGGCCAAGCATGAGCATCCTGTTCTTGAGCGAGGTCATATCTGCCAGCATGATGTCCACAACATAGGTTAGACCGATGTGGCCTACCCAATATAAAGTATGTGCCGCTGTGTACATCTCCATACTTGTGCATGTAGCTTTCATGATTAAACCGATCGTGACGAGAAGAAGCATGATTAGGAATCCCTCCACGCGACCCCAGATGTCGATAATCTTGGCTAGTGTTAACTTTGAGGAGCCACCCAGAATGGTTGAGACAACGCTGACAACTGTCAACAGGCCGTGTTTGTGAAATGAGGACGTTATGTAGGGGTTCAATGAGCTTTCGACTGAGCTTAGGAGTGCATCTACGAATGACACGAGGTAGAGTCTATATTTCGATGGGACGTTAGTCTTACTCTCTATTCTATGAGAGGGGTGAAGGGGGGGGGGGGGGGGTAAGAAGGGGTTGGGTTCTGGTTTGTTTGGTGTTTGCATGTTTGGTGGGGTGTGGGTAAGAAGGGAGTTGTGACTCGAGATACAAACTCACAGAATGAACATGAGAATGAGTGTTTTAGTCGACCATGCCGATGTAATGGCTCTTACTCGCTGCACACCACCCTGAAACTCGCTTGAGTCTCGATGAGACAAACTTGCCTTGTCATCGGGGGTTTCGACGTCCTGGATTCCGAATCCTATCATTTTCTCAGCATCATGGCTAGTACTAGTCGGTGCGACCTGATCGGACACGGTTGTCTTTTCCATAGTAGAATAGAGACAATTTTGAAATTTTTGCAACTATACTGTGAAGGAAAAAGATGTATTCAAAGGGCTGGGCACGGGAGGACACTCGGTCATGTTATATAGGGGAATTTTCGGGTTTAACTGCCCAAGCAAGTCCAAAATTCTCATCTATCACCTCCTATCAGATCATCTGATAAAATTTCACATTCTCATCGTCCAATCAGCAAGGGATTGAGTTGCTTTAGCGTCACTGTAAAGTTTCAACCCCGTGGGTCCTCTGAGTGGTCCAAGGACGGCACAATCGGACAAGGATCTCAGCTCCCACCTCAAGAGATTCTTGGAGACTCTTGGGGTTGGATGTTGCATTTACACGGTGTCGATATAAAGATAATCTTTCTGATATTTATATACCGGAATGTGGGTGACAAGAACCTATAAAACGAAATCATAGATCGAGGTAACCGCTAGTCTTCGGAAATTGCGCGAATATCGGAGGTAATCAAAGTCTTGGGATTTGGATTTGGAAGTACATTCATCAATCATTGATGGCAATCCACAGATATATACCTATTTTACATGAAAGTTGTGCCGTCCCATATATATCAGACTCTTCGCGTTCACTAAATATCTAATTTCCCTTTATGAATTCGATGGTATACCAATTCATCTTGCAACTTTGTTAAGGTTAAGCCAAGATAGACGCCAAGCAGGAGAGATCTGCAGTGTTCATCTGGCGATAGTTTCGCTCCGGACAAGTGGATATATCAGGTGGTTGGTGCGGTATATCTTGCAAGAATACTTTTGAAGATTATCTCGTGATGAAATATCTGCTATGGCAATGATTTTGCTTGGTTTTGTTTGAATTATTTATGTGTCTGAATCTGGGTTTCTGATTGTCTAGAAAGTCTGGAGATGTTGACGGATTCAATATGGTCTTTGATATAAAAGTCCAATTTTTCTTTTGGTTATCATAACTTTTTGATTAACAAGGCAGTAGAACTACAGAATAGTAAATGTTGATAATGTATTTTCCATCTTATTTAAAACTATTTCCTGGTTTCAAGACAAAATCTGTACATAGCAATGATCGTCGCCAAGATACCGGGGGCCATAAAGCGAGGATTCAGCATAAAATGATAACTGAAAATAGAAGTAGAGACTGTACTTGCTTTTTTTTCAAATATGAGTTCAAAATTTCTTTACCAAATTGTTTTGTGAGGCATTATTGCCCAATATCCTGACCTTATGCGAGTCCACAGGTGTAAGCATCTGTTGGGACAGCATTCTACCGCTAGGCCATAGCAAAAACACCAAGAGATCTTGCCTGACAGAGTCTCGCCCTGTTAAGCTGTCAGTTTATATTTGGGTATTAATAGGACAGAGGTAATTTGGAAAATCGTGTTTTAATTTTATACCGTATGCATGCGACTTCAAAGCAACCTATTTCGTCCCTCTCCCTATCCACAGCAGACTTTCCCACATATCACTCCACGCATTTTCCCAAGAATATCGAAGATTACTTTAGACAAAGGGTAAAGTGAAAGGTCTACATAGAGACATCTAAATGGATTGAGTAATAATATTGTTGAAGCTAAGTACTACGACCACCGAGATTGACATTGGAGAGACGAGGGTCTCGACGAGGGGCTCGCATACGGGCCGCATCCATGTACTTTCTAGTATTGATTGTTTCTTCGTGATCATAGCCTAGCGTTTTCTCTCGCCCATGAAGAGCTCGTCGGAACATATCCTCTGCCTCATTGTACCGTTTCTGGCGATAAAGCGAGAGACCAAGATAGTGTGTGGAGTAGAGTGTATCTGTAGAATCTTGACCTAGCACCTTCTCTCGCCCCTGGAGAGTTTGTCGGAATATTTTTTCAGCCTCTTTGTACTGACCCTGATGATAGAGCGAATGTCCAAGCCAGTGTGCCGTTCTGAGCGTTTCTTCATGATTATGACCTAGCACCTTCTCTCGTCCCTCAAGAGCTCGTCGGGACATGGGTTCTGCCTTTTTGTACTGTTTCTGGCGGTAAAGCGAGAGACCAAGCCAGTGTGCGGAACGAAGTGTTTCTTGATGCTCATTGCCTAGCACCTTCTCTCGCCCCTGCAGAGCTTGTCGTAGAGTCGCTTCTGCCTCTTTATACTGTTTCTGGCGGTAGAGCGAGACACCAGTCTGATGCTGGCTTTCGAGTTCTGTACGGCGAAGCTCAAGGGTCTTGGCTTGACCCTGAACTTGCATAACGGCTGGTACTGCAGTCTGTAGAGAAGAATGTACCTTCTCTTTCTGTGGCTTAACTGTCTTCCCTTGGGCAGCGTTACCCGTATCCACTATGGTAGTTGAACTAGACATGCCATGCAAGGCATCCTCCAGTACTTCTGAAGAAAGCTTTGTAGTCCATGATGCAAACTCTTCAGTCATTATTGTAACCGGAGAGGGAATTAGTGGATTGCTTTCAGTAACTTCCTTGGTCTCGGGCGGTTGAAGTATGAGTGACTGTATCCACGCGCTTGACATAGCAGAGGTAGCCGTCATTCGATCATTAGGATTCGGGCACATAAGTGAAAGCACAAAGTCAACACCTGGTTGACTGATACCAGCATCGGTAAGCATAGTGACTGGGAAGTCCTGCTGGGCTTTGTAACTTGCAAGCGACCCAGGAGTCGCAAACGCAGGTTTCCTGGTGAAGATTTCAAATACGATTTCTCCAAGAGCCCAGATATCAGCAGCATACGCACTGCCTCGCTCAATAAACCCCCAAATTTCAGGGGCAAAATATCTTGGGGTACCCTTTACCGTCGTGGATTTCCCATGACTTTCTTCAATGCGTTTGGTGATACCAAAGTCGGCGAGCTTGATCCACCATTTATCTGGAGGGTGTGATTTGATAAGGATATTCTAAACATTCGCTTTAGTGAATTCTTTCTTTTCTGCAATAAAAGTTCACCTACATTTGGTTTCAGATCTCGGTGAGCAAACCCATTTTCATGCATCATAGTCAGACCATCGAGAATCTGGTATGCAATTTCTTTCGCCTCGGCCTCTGGCAGTGGAGGTCTCTTATATAAGTACACAAAAAGGTCGCCAACTTCGAGGTATTCCATTGCTATAAATAGCTGACTGGGTCCTTCATACCATCCGAATGACTTCACAAAGCATCGTTCATACTACTTTAATTAGCATATTTTCTCATAATGAAGCTTCCTTTGGGGACTAACGCGAGGGTGGGAGAACTTAGCAATCGCCTCTAACTCACGATTGAAATCGATCGACCCGAGTCGCGTATCCGTGTCAATCTGCTTGACTGCTCGGACTGCACCATCTTGAGCTGTGCTCCCTGGTCGTCCACCTTTAGTGCATTTCTCCAGCCACACGCTACCAAATCCACCACCTCCGATCCTTTTTTGCCGCTGCCAATGCTCCGACCTAGTCACAAGGCGCAGTCCAGAAGTCGGATCTGACTCCTGGAACTTGTGAACTGTCTCTACACCAGAGTCTGGGAGGAAATACGTTTCTAGCTTAGAATCTCGAATGAGATCTGAAATCCGTGCCATTTAGACGTTCCTGTGAGCAGTTCACACGTTGGTAGTGGGGGGCTTGCTTTCCCCCGCTGTGGCTGAAAAGCAGCCTAACCCCCTACATATCACCTGACCTGATGGCCCTCAACCCTAATTAAACCGCCAGGATATATGGAGATACCTCAATTTGTATGGAGGTCAAAAGCCTCATTTTCTTAGACTACTCTATTAATAAATTTACCTTACATCCAAGGTTCTCCGTAAAATTTAGTTTTGAACCCCCTGATAGATACCTAGGTAGCTACATATACCGCTTCGTAATCACTTTCTTTACGATTTCTTTTGTCTTGTTTACATTATGCCGGCCGCTTTATGACCGTACAATCCAGGTTGCAGGACCAGGACCTTGACAGAGGATGAATTGGTCCTGTCGCCACGGACCTCTCAATCCCTCTCGCACAGACGTTTTGATATCCTATCGGAAGCGACTTTGGACTCTACTTGGGGAAGGAATCGAAGGATGTACAAAATAGCGAAGAAAAAAAAAAGGTCTGATATGTAGCACTGGGGTTAATTCAATACCTCTGTTCTATGAATGAAAAGAAAGTAAAGCGGGACGAATTCCTCCCCTAGCCAATCCTCTCCCCCTCGGTGTAATCTTGATGGACCAGTAGCTGCCGCGTAGACATCAACTCAGCCATGCCCTTGGCCTCCCTCTCCTTGACCTCTATAGACGTAGGTTCAGTCCGTTTAGCGCCATAGCCCTCCATGGTTTCTTCCCGTCGCGTGCGCTCCTCCAACGCCTGTATCTCTGCACGATCCAAGTAATGGGAACGGGCGCCATGAGCTAGATGTAGACGGAAAGATAGGTCATAATAGTCCAGCCGGAAAGCTTGTATCCGCGCCTGGGCGAGCTCTTCCTCCGGAGACCGCAGCAGGAATCGTGATCGCCGTATACGTTTCGGTGTCACCTTCGTTCCCGGCGACGGCGATGTAGTGGATCCTGATAGGTTCGGGTTCGACCCTACCTCCGGGGACGATGCCCCATTAGGGCCGGGACGGTCCGGCCGAGTGCCCACCTCCGCTACTTTTCCTTTGTTAACACGGCACGTGCCGTAGGTCTTGCCGCGTACGTGTGCATCGCGCTCTAAACGCCCATGCCCATTCGCTGATAAGCGTATTGTCCGTGTGGCGTAACCACGGCGGCTTTAAGCTCGTCCCTAGGTTTGATCGGCACCGCCTAGTAACCGCAAGAGGTGTCCGCCAAGAAGTAGGTACTGAACTTGCCAACTTGGCCTTTAGGATCACGTCGATGACTTCGTCGATGCCGTGTACCGGGTACGAACACCCGATAGACCATTTATTAATTGGGATGAAGTTGTGCACAATGCGAAGGTCCCCTGGAGTCTTCTTCGGGACAAACTTCGTTTGCGCTCCCTATTGTGACGCCATCCTGTATAGGATCCCTGCGCCTTCTATGTCCGGGAAGGCTTTTACTGCAAATTACCTCTCAGCCTACGTGTATCGCTTCATCTTTGCTTTCACAGGTTTCGCCTCGGGCATTAGGTCGATAGAGTGCTCGATCACATCGGTGGCTTCAATGTCTCTCACTGATCGGGCGAAACAATCCTTGTATAAAGGAGACGTCTGGCTCGTTGCCTGCGATGCTCCGTATCTGCTGCCTCTCCGATCGACAGCTCTGTTGACTCGAACCACCGGTCGATCTCTTCCTACGGTGCCGCGCTCAACTCCCTTCGAATCGGTCGTCTGTCAGTGGGGAAGCGGCCTGGTTCGTTCATACGGAAAGGCACGGCCTTCTCCCCCACGAGTCCATGACCCCTCCCATATTCGTCCTCCAATTCCTAGGCCTCCTCAAGGGGCGATCACAAATCGATTTCCACAACATTTCCGCCCGGTCGGGTGAGAATGCACTTACACAGTCATGCCACATTCCTGCATATGGACCCCCGAGTTGGAGCTCCTCTGCGGGGTGCGGAAGTCTCCCGGGTATACGTCTCTCGCGGTAATGATCTGCGAGCGACGGATCTCTTCGGGCAAAAGGAACCCCCCTTTAAAGGTAGGGACATCCTCGTTCTTATCGATGTGTACATGCTCACTCGCCGGCAAGGGTCCCTCGAAGTTCTGGAAGAGGAGCGCTCTAGCTGTCTCGTGCTGTGGTTCGCCTAAGCAGAGGACACTACCTGATGCCCCGCGAACGCTCTCAGTGTCTCTGAGGGTCCTCCACAGCAGAGCTGTACCAAACGCCCGCGCATCCCAGCTGTACTGGGCCCCATGGATAATGCACTGGTGGGCCTGGGTTGGTATTCCATAGCCTTGGTGAATGAACGAGTTTCCGGTTGCAATGTTATAACGGTAGACAAGAACCGGCCGGCCTTGCAGCGCCTCTTCGTATGGACCCCATTCTGTTACCCGAGGGGTGTGGGGGGGATTAGTGAGCTGGGGGAGGTTCGGCCCAGTGATCAAACTCAAATCGTGTTGGAATCCATAAGGATATGGTATCAGACGGTGGCGTGTGCATCGGTCGTAAGTCACCGTGATAGTGCCGATCTAGTGAGGTTAGTCATATTGTAAACCCTGGCGGTCTGAAGGAATAATTATACGTACACAAGTCTCTGTTCCACTCAACCATACTTGTTTTCCAACCGGCGAGTTCGCAGATTGTTTCGGGTGGACAATGCCAGCCTGCGGGGCCTGCCTCGGCGGTGGTTTCATCCGCTTGAGGTACTCTTTCGCTGCCAAAATATGCTCCGTGAAACGTTTTCTAATTTTTGACATTCTAGAATCGGCAAGACGGACAAATGGATGCGTCACCGTCGTTATTGCCTCCTGCCCACCTGGGAGCCGTAATCGTAGGCCGAGTGCCGCCTGCTGGGCGATGCTTCCTGGTGCACCGCTAACCGCTCGACCGGACTCGACGGGGGTAGCTGTCGCACGGGCCGATTCCAAAAGGTACCCGATCCGTAAACCACCGACCTCGCACGGGACACCCTTATCCCAGCATGCCTCCAGCGACTTCTTCTCCAGAAATAAAACCAATAGCCAACCAGTGGGTAGTATTTGTACTCCGACCGAACCAGGGAAGGCTTCACGAATTGATATAACTTGCTGGAGTTGGAGAAAGGACCGGGGGTCGATAGCCTCGATAGGTACGTCACGAACCGGGATACCTAAAGGTGAAACGGGTGGAAGGTATTGTTTTGGGAGGACATGTATCTCCCTTCCGGCGGCATGTGTATTTTTGATATACTGAGCGCTGCCGGCACTGACTAGCCACAGGGGTTTCTCAACCGGACCACCCTCAACAACTGAAACGCTATTGCAATCCTTTAGGGAAGGATGTAGTGACCGAACGAGTATCTCTTCCTCAGGAGTTTCAATGCTAGTCATAAAGCAAACTTTAGCCCGAAGGCCTGGTTTATCGATATCGGATTTACATTCGATCGAACGGACTGTGGCGTGGCTGGTGGGACGATTTTTAGATAGGGTGCGGACTTGGCCTGGGGTGCCGCCTAGAAGGCTTGATGTGCCGGCTTCCGGGGGAATAGTCTTGGGTGCAGGGAGGGGTGGTAGGGCCTGGTGATGGATTTAGTAAAGCGAATGAAGTATTGCGGAGAAGAAGAAAAACAAAACAAGTGACGTACCATAATGTGGGGGGATCAATCTGAAGGAGCGGAGTGGAAGAAACTTGGCAGAGGATGGGGGTGGGGCGGAATCCAATCTGATCCCACCCTTACAGTGGCGTCAGTTGGTCTTAAAGATTTCCTAGTGTCCACAGAAGCAAGAGCGAGGCTTTAATAGCTAAGGATGCACTGAGATGAAATCCACGAGATGAAATGATGAAATCAATGAGATGGATCAGAATGGCTGGAAGAAAAAAAAAAGTGATGTGCTAAATAAACCTTCAGTTCAAGAAGGCGGAGATATCTGCCGCTCTTCCACCAGGTCCATAATTCCAGCAGAAAATGTCGAACAAACGGTCAGGTCTTGCTAAGCTCGGGGACAGAGTGGTCTTGTGTGGACAATCCAGAGAGCGATGTTCAGCTGAGCTACTCTTATAATGATTCTCTTAGTATCCCCGTGTGAGGATATGAGGTGTCGAGTCTCGACTATCAGTTAAGTTTGTACGGTACAAATGGAGACCCGTCTGTATTGGTAGATACTCTCAGTACAATACATGGATAGCTGTATTCTCAATATCACTCATATAACTATCACTAGGCAATCTCAAAAGTTGTATTTCCCTGTTCCAAAGACCCTGTATCAGGTGACTTTACCAGAAGAGGAAGGCACGACCCTTAAGATGGTCCTTCCCAATTAGGAGACCTCGTCGCCGACCCCAAGGGTATAAATACCCCCCTCTCCAATTCTTCTCTTCTTTTTATTTTTTCCTCCTACATATCTCTTCTCTTACTTTTTTACTAGACCTCGACTTCCATGTCTTTGGCACTTCCACCATGCCTTGTCTCTATGATGAACTTCCTTCATGACACTCTATCATGACAACCTTCCATCTCATGTCCATGTCTGTCATATTTATTCATCTTGAACATCCATCGAGACCATCTATCGTGACATCCATCATGTCCATCCATCATGTCCATCCATCATGTCCATCCATCATGTCCATCCATCATGTCCATCCATCGTGACAACCATCCATCATAACCATTTATCATGACCATTTATCATGACCATCCATCATGACCATCCATCATGACAACCATCCATCATGACAACCATCCATCATAACCATCCACGGTAACAACCATCCATCATGACCATCTAGACAATCATCTAACATGACCATACATCAGGACATCCACCTATCATGTCCATCATATCTATCATGACCATTCATCGTGACCATCCATCATAATAACCACTCATCATGGCTATCCACGGTAATAACCATCCATCATGACCATCTATCTTGACAATCATCTAACATGACATCAGGATATCCACCTATCATAACACCATCCATCATATCCATTCATCATGACAACCATCTATTATGACCATCTACTATAAAAACCAACGTGACCATCCATTTCAATCCGCCAAATCATTAAACCTATCCCACAGACAATCAAGTCTTCAATCAACATCCACATCAACCAACATCTACTTCAATCAATCAAGTCTTCAATCAATCAAGTCTTCAATCAATCAAGTCTTCAATCAATCAAGTCTTCAATCAATCAAGTCTTCAATCAATCAAGTCTTCAATCAACATCCACTTCCAGTCTGACCGTGGCGAGCTTCGGCTTCAGGACAATCGGCAGACTGGTTGAGCAACCTCCTCGAACAACCTCCTCGAACAACCTCCTCGAACAACCTCCTCGAACAACCTCCTCGAACAACCTCCTCGAACAACCTCCTCGAACAACCTCCTCGAACAACCTCCTCGAACAACCTCCTCGAACAACCTCCTCCAACCTCCTCGAACAACCGCCTCGAACAACCTCCTCGAACAACCTCCTCGAACAACCTCCTCGAACAACCTCCTCGAACAACCTCCTCGAACAACCTCCTCGAACAACCTCCTCGAATAACCTCCCAACCCGATCCAACCAACAACTCCCAGTCTGACCGTGGCGGGCTTCGGCTTCAGGACAATCGGCAGGCTGGTTGAGCAATCTCCTCGAGCCTCCTCGAACACTCTCCTCGAACAACCACCCACTCCGATCTAACCAATAACTCCCAGTCTGACCGTGGCGGGCTTCGGCTTCAGGACAATCGGCAGACTGGTTGAGCAACCTCCTCGAACAACCTCCTCGAACAATCTCCTCGAACACTCTCCCCGAATAACCACCCACTCCGATCTAACCAATAACTCCCAGTCTGACCGTGGCGGGCTTCGGCTTCAGGACAATCGGCAGACTGCTTAAACAACCACTTCACCCAACCCACTTCAATCACCCACTTTAAACAATCCTATCCTCACCAGGGTGCACATTCTGGGGACAATTTGATACCATTGGAGCCTTTTTTTCATGTACTCAATATCATTGTATCTGTTCCTATTCCATTCTTTCTCTTGACTTTGTAGTCCCATATCCGTAGGTCTAGGAGTCCTGTATAGGCTGCCGCGCAGGTGTCTCTGTGGTTTGAAATGCATAATTGGAGTGTCATATAGTAAAGTCTAGTTCCTGTTGCTTCTGCTTGTGAGCATTAGTATTGTATGAAGTTAAATAATTTCAGTATACGGCACAGAAATATCAGAGATTGAGAAGCAATCCAGTTATTATGATACAGAGTAGCTACAAAAGCTCTTTTCCTAGGTCCAACTCATTTTGATAACATCACTACACTACCTACGAACATACCTCTCCCGCAACGGATCACCTTTATATGAGTGGATAACCAAATTCCCAATCCCAACAGCACCACTCGCAACCTCCTTCCGCTCACAGGCACCGAAAATCAAATTACCAGGACGGTAAGATGGGTCCGACTTCATACGTTGAATAGCAGAAACATGAATTCGGGCGTTCACAGGGATATCACGAGTTCGGCCACGCGGCGGTGGCCACCGCACAGCCTTCCACGCTCCATCAGGTTGCGATTCGATCCGTCGCAGGGGAAGATACTCCATCAGACGCCAGGAGAGAACGGAAGTCAGTGGCAGACCGTTACCATACGCAAGGAGATCATGGATATGTCCTTTTGTGCCGGCCAGATGAAGTGCCTCCAAGTAATCCTTGTGCGCTCTCGGTATTTCCGAACTACAGGCATCCCTCTTCAAGTTTGAGGCTTGCAAATCAAAATCGGAATCAAATTCCCCGATGCACTCGTGCTGTTTCATCTTTTTCGAATCGAGTCGCAGCCCCGCTCGCTGGGCCTCTTGGGCCATCCACACGAGAGGCACGTGTGTTAATGGCCATGCCTCGTTAGATCCAAGATTCCATCCTCCACCAATATCTGCGTGGCCGCCAGGAAACCACATTTCTTCGATATCCTGCGTTTCCTCGTCTTCTTTCTCCTGTTGCTTGCTTGGTATGCTGATGTTTGAAATTTCTGGAAGGACGGGAGGTCCAGACGTGTGTTCGGAATTGGTCGAGGTCCCTTTCGCTGGTTTCTTTTCATCCGAGGGCGCTTGGTGAGCCCAATCTTCCCTATGTGGCTGCAACAAAACTGGTCGGAATTTGATACGCCGTTCGTCAATGCTAACCGCATGTCGAACTACCTTGGCCGAGGTGCTCCCGTCAACGTTGACTTCAAAGTCCGCGATACTATTTACCGCATCGAACATGCCCAAGAATTGCACACGAGCCATAGGTCGCGATAGTATTTCGCGACTGTCTTTCATGACTTGAAAAGCCTTTCGCTTCGCTTCTCTGTCATTATCCGTACGGCTAAGTTTCCACGACACAAAGGCATCCCAGATAAACGGGACCACTTCTTCATTATCGGGTCCGAGAAGTCCGACATAATCAAGCATCTCATTCAAGAACTGCGCCGTGTATGCGCCACGTGAGAAGCCGAAAATATACACTTGGGCCCCTGCTTGGTAGTGCCGCATGAGAAAGCGATACCCACCCAAAACGTGCCGATCAAACGAACGACCCAGTGCGAGGTTGAGTGCTTTGCTATTACTCAGTTTGCCCTTCTTTTGGATGGTCGTGCTGGCCAGAGAACCCGGGGTTATGTCGGTTCCGATTCCCGCTGCTTAGTATTAGTATCCTTGTGGCTATCTAGTGGATACGCTCATACGCTGATAGTAACACACTAGCTTTGCGGTTAGAGTACTTATCTCAATGTCAGTAGAAGTGGTAAGCCTTACGTTGCTCGTCGGACTTTTCTAACATGCGACAGATTCTCAAGACGTTGGTGTCCGTGCCATCCGTACGGAAGGTGTTGCCTGTGCCATCAAAGCACAGGACAATTTGTCGAGCTGACATTTTGCAGTCTACTTTCAGAGGAAGGGTTCTCTTGGGTAAGGGGGAACTCGCACTTATATTCGAGGCATTTAGTGTTTGATCTGCCTTGTATTTCCCCACTCTTCGGCATAGTACCGCGACGATCATGGCGATCTTCGTCAATTGAGGAACTATCAAGTTGGTATGCCAAGCGAAAGTTGGGGGGCACTAGTTCGCCGAATCGGGTGCCGTGCAGTTGATCTTCATGGCCATTGCTTGTCGAGCTTTGAGCGTTAGTGGTAACCTGGTGTGTGATCTGTCTCACTTGAAACTATACAATATGCAGGATACCTTGAGAAGATATCACTTTTTCTTTCGGTAGAAGGATGTTATATTAAATGTATACTAAAAGGAACCAAGTTGTCAATATTTCAATATCCCACAAATATTGGAACCTCGCAATATATGTAAATTCAGTAAAAGATGCAGCCCCTTGAGAGATCGAAGAGGAATAGGGCAAAGGTATCATGTGACTATGCCATCCGAACTTAACTGATGGCATAGTCGTAGACATAAGATTCTTATAGTATATTATTTAACTAGTGAATAGTTGACGAACCTTGAGTGATAGGCATTAACACCCCGGGCTGGAGAACTTGCTTACTAGAAGAGTGGTGGGATAGTGAAATCCTCGCTAGACCCTCTGTCCGTTTGATTCTCTGGCTCACAGCAGTCTACTACTGAGTGAGCTTGGAGTAGTCAAGTCATTGAATTTCGCCGAACCCGGCTCGGGACCTGGGGACAGGTGAGAAAAGGACCATCTCCCCCGCTGCAGTTGCTACATATCATGCCTTCAGACATAGCCTTGATATTGGCTTTCTTGCCTGTAATCCCCTTGTCCAGCTTTGGTCCATCCCAAGACTATCAAATGGTAGGTTCCTGTATATCTCATATCTGCCTTCCTCGATGGTTGTACGTGTATTGTATATCAATAGCAAGCTTCAAACAGTCATAAATCCGAAGTTGCGATACCGGGGGCTTCAGGGAGCTTCTCGTGGGGGTGATATCTATAATTAATATATTAAAGGTTATATATAGAAAAGTCCATTGCACAAATTAAGCCTTTTGCCGTCGGCCTACACAGAATGGTATCTGAGACAACTAAAAAGACTACTGGAAAGACATCACAAGGCCGCTTACGCGGCCGACTATTCCTGTGTAGTTGATATTGAATACATAAATTATAATCTATGTCACATTAGCCAGAAAAGCAGGCTTTGAATAGCATCCAATGGCTGTCTCTCGAGTCAAGTAGGATGTTTCTTTTAAACTAGATTCATCTATATATAGTAATATAGATCAGACATTAGGTGGATCGGGGTTTCACCCAAATTGATATCTCCACGCATATTTGAAAGGGCTTTTTAAACCTGAAATATTGGTATCTAATGAAAATGAGAAATGAGAACAGTCAACCAATGTGTCTTCATCTACCCAGACGATGCCAACACAGCGCCATAACAAAACGCCTCGCCAATGACTCTGCTTTGGAAAAAAAAAATGGAAAAAAAAATTTTAGTGAAAAATGGAAAAGAGATGAAAAAAAAAGAAAACATAGAATCACCTTGTTCTCAAATGTGAGAATGGATATAGTAAAGAGAGGGTGAAAAGAAAAGTTGGTATATGTACAAGAATCACCCAATAGGGAAAAAGAATGGCTGAGCAAATGAAAAAAAAAGAAAAATTCAATCGAAGACATATTGCACCTCATGGCATGAAGACTGGAATGCCCTGAGAAGCTTGTTCACACGCGGTGTAATCCAACCAGACTGAGTTCCATTCCTGGCAACCCCAGCAAAGGTAGTAGAAGCATGTTTACAAACACCCTCAGAGTGATCAAACGAATACTGCAAGCACTCCTCATTGCGCGCGCAAACCTCCGCACAAATATCCAATGTAGGAATTGTGCCAGCCGCAAAATCAATCTTGACCTGAGAAAGATTATCCCAATCGCTGCGCGCCGAGAAAGTCCCATTGTAGACAAGTTTCTGGTAAACGTCCGCATGCAGCATAAGCGCGTTCTTTCCGCTAGCAAAAAATGCCTGGTCAAACTCCCACATCTCCTCGATGTCAGCCGGCGCCATATGGTGGTAAGAGATAATAGGGTAACACCACGGCTGTCGCCCGTATCCCTCGGAGAAATGGTCGATTTCCCATGGCCGTGATGTCATCATCATCGGCCACGCCCAGGTCAGATCGACATGCACATCGTGCAGTGCTCGCGCCAGCGCACAGTCACCCGCCCACTCATGCGCAGTCATCTCTTCGAGATCTTCCTTTGCCCGTACCAGGTAGTCGTGTAGGAGGTTCATCGTCCACCTTGAGAGGACGATGCCCGCCCCACCATAGCCAAAGAGTGTCTCGCCGATTTGCATGGGGCTTCCCAGGTAGTATTGCCGATCTGGGTCAAGGTGGCCCAGCCAGTTGATCAGGTTCGGCCACACCACGTAGGTGTCGGCTTCAAGGAAGACGTACCACTTGGCGTCGGGCATTACTTCTAGTGCTTCCTCGATCATTGGGAGGAATTTCCATTTGTCGAGCTTCCAGCCTGGATTGTTGACCTTGCCTAGTGGACCGTTTGTGTCGTCGCCCCATTCTGCGTCTGTTAGGCCGTCGCGTCCGACTTCTTGTAGGCGGCGGTAGATATTAAATTCGGGCTCTTTTGCCATTGTTGCCTTGCTGATGTTGCGGAGGACGTCATACGTGCGGACACCATCGATGGTTTCTTCGTAGTCGGAGAAGATAGCGAAGTGGGGGACGCATTGTAGCGTGGTGCGGAGGTGGATGGGGACTTTTTCGAGGGATTCGGTCGCGCCGGTTTTAATTACGACCATGACATCGTCGAGTGCGTGTAATAAGTGGCCACATTTCTCCTCGAGTGTCTCCTGCTTAGGAGGGGGAGGTGGGGGAGAACTTGTCTCCTGCTTCTCCTCCCCTACCACGATTGTATCCTCTCCAGCTTGGGGGATTTGTTCTGAGTTGTTCACAATTACCGAGTTGGATTCGGGCAGTCGAAAGAGATAGTATATCATGCAAAATGTAAGGATCGGAAAGACGACGAAGAGCCATCGTCGCGGAGAACTAGACATAATCGGGTTGGCGCTCAGGGACAATATAAAAATCAAACAGGAATCGAGGCCATTCAGTTAACGAGAGTAAGGACATGAAAAGATTCGAAAAGAAACAAAAGCTTCATAGGGGAAAAAAGGGTCAGTGATCGCTGTCCCTGATCCAAACCAGTTCGACCTCGGTGTCAACGGACAATCCATGGGCCGGTAGAACAGGCTTCATGATTCGGTCGAACCTCTAAACGGGGTAAACGGGGGAAATTTGATAGGTCAATCGACAGGTTCATTGGGGACTGATCAGCAACCACGCGGCACAGGACCCAACAAGACTGTGGCGTCTTTCAGACTGCCCCACGCGAAGCGTCATCGCTTGCGGGACTTTGCATCGCGAGGCAATGATCGACTGTGTATGGAGTGTGTCTGACTAGTGGGGATTCAGGAGAAAATCGTCAGGGGTTAGAGATATCAAGTTTGGGATTGATTTCTCTTACATTCAGCCGCTATGGCGTTATGGCGTTAAAAATAAATTAAGCATGAAACGGGGGGCGTCGATATGGCGGATCGGTTTGTGGCCTTATAGCCTGAGTAACAAGGCATAGATCACGTGGATGTCAGTACTTGAGCACAGACCAACTTAGGACTCATCTTGTCTTGTTGTATAACAAAATAAATACATTCCAATATGTCCATGGATATAGTCAGTTATACAATTCAAGCTTCTGCTTCTGCTTCTGCTTCTGCTTCTGCTTTAACTTTCAACTTTTTCCGCTCCCACAAGAACACGGGAGTGATGGTCAAGGCAACAGCCACACACAAAATAGCTGCCTGAATACCAAAAACCAATCCGAGGCCATTGCGCTGAATCCATGCAGGCTGGAAGTATCCCACTGCGAACCCTCCACACGTGCGCCACATATTCAGAATGGCCGACACACAGGTCGCCTGCTCCGGGTACTTTTCCAATGCATAAGCTGAGATGGCACTATGCAAATGATGTTAGAGATACCCCATACTCAGCAGAGCGATGTTGACACTTACACAATTGTGGCTACCATGCCAATATTTACCATAATCCACCCCATGGCTATCCCGATCCAGTGCTTGCCAAAGTGCATGGTTAGTCCGTAGGTGAGAAGACCGCTCGCCATGCTGAATATCGGGAACCAGATGCCATGGAGACGGAGCTCCGTTCGCCAAGTTGAGCTATGACGCTGAAATATCCAGCCGTTAAAAAAATGGCCCACCGCCCAGCCTGAAGAAAATTGTGAGAATCTAGAGATATAGAGTGTGTGAGGATGCATACCACATAGAGCTCCAATCACACCAGCGAATCGCATCGATGATGCCTCGATTGTGTCAAACAAGTATGGAGGACTGTGCAAGAAGCTATCGATAGTTGTTGTGATCCCTAGAGAGTCAACGGGTGAAAAGAAAAGGTGTGATGATGGTTACTTACCAATTGGCCAGGTAAATGTCACCAAGATAGCGATGCCTGTTAACAGAACCTCGGTCAGTGAATGCCATTGCGGGCTCTGTTTCCATACCCACCAGTCATTAACAACGGGAACTTGAACACATAGACCAGGACTGTTCGGCTCCAATAACTCAAGGTCGATCCTTTAGGAAGCATGGTATTGCCAACACCAAAATAAGACGCAACGCGTGACTGTTTGATCATTCTTCCAGGTTCATGGTATGTCTCATAGCCAAAGAGAATCACCATAGCCGTGGACACGCCATAGATGGCTGTCAAAACCCCGAATGAGGTGCGCCAGTCCGACCCGGCGCTGATGTATCCTGCTATCGCAGGGCCAAGAAACGGCCCGACGAGGAAGGTGGTTCCCCTATATTCGGTCAGTACTAACCTGGTTAAACTTGAGTAGCAAGAATCCTACCAAATATTGATCATCCGCGGCCATTCTATCGGATCAGCATACAGCACCTGATCAACCCCCAGAGAAAGGACTTACCATCAGATGTATACATATTATGAATGATTGGAAGCCCAATTACCTGCGGCACTGTCCCAAACAAACCCTGCAAAGAGCGGAACGTTGTGAAGGTAGACCAATCATTGGAGAGAGTAGCGCCCAGCACCATGAACATGGTGATCAGCTGAGGCCATAGCCAGATCGGCAAACTACGTGTAGCTGTCAGTGTGATAGCCAACACAGGCGAAAAAAAAAGAGAACTCACCGACCGTACGCTTCAATGAGCGGAACAGCAAAAATTCCACCAAACCCCTGTAGCAGAATACCATAATTCATACTCGTCGCCGAATGAGTGATGCTAATATTCCAATCCATGGCCTGCTCCGTGACCAGCGTTCCACCCCATACCATAGCTCTGCAATATAGTCAGAAAAACACCTATGGATACAGTGTACGTGTGAGCTAGCAGCTGTGATAATACATACCCATCTGCTAGCAACGAGCTCGTCATTAGTGAGATAAAGAGCATCGTCTTCCTCGACGAGGACCAATTCCTTGGATTTAGGGGATCCCTCTCAACATTTGAATCGGTATCGCATTTCTTCAAGTTCTGTGTTTCAAATGATGGCTCACTGGCTGCCATTTCATGCGTAAAGTAGACAGGGGAGGGTTTCTCCATGAATGGGTTCACCATTTTACCTGTATTCTGTATAAGTATAGGCAACAAAATAGCGAACTTGAATCAGGTAAGGAAGTGAAGATCTTTTATGAAGGGGCATGGGTTATATGCATTTATTTACTTTGTAAAGAGAATAGATAAATTAGACCCCCATTTTTCGATTTGGATCTATTGAAAAGCCGGACTATACGGGGTACTTGGTATAGAGATGGATGTATCAAAAAGGTAGATTAAGGTGGATTGACTCCTTCGCTAGGGTTAAGTCTTAGACTCTTCTATTTCCCAGTTTTTAATTCTTTCTTTTTATGCCTTGTAATATCCCTTGCGCATACTATCTGACCAATGATCTTATATGTTGTATATTAACAGTAGATGGGGTATTGTACTCCGTAGAATATTCTATTTAATTTATTTTCACACCGGAATTGTCGAATCTCATACATGTCGATATTCACATATATTTAGTATAATGACTATACAAACACATACTTCCCTATTCAAACACATTCCTAATTCTCAATGTCTTTTCTAACCCGTTTAGCCAACCTGCTGGGCCTGTCATCCCCGGCCCCCGTTACTCCTCCGGGGGCCGCCCTCGCAGCAATCGTCACAGTAGTGAGTATGACGGACCCGTCAGACAAGTCTTATATCTAATTCAGTCATAGCCTGCCTCTTTAGGATTTATCCCGGTCGCGATTCACTTTGATCTCTTCAATATTCTCGTAGGTCATGGTGGACCTGCGACGGCTGATGAAGTCTCGGCGACCTGCAATGCACGTATCAAAGCCCAAGCGGGTGGTGAGCCAGAGTTGAGTATGTATTTGAATTTGGACGGCTGGTGGCTGTTATGATAGTGATACTGACGATGAGTATAGGTACCAGATTAGCCTGTAAGCACACCTAATTTACTAGGCTTATACAGGTACAGTGTACACAAGCAGTATACAGACATTAACAACTTTCGCCAGCCGATACACTGTACATCATGGCCGGACTAGGTCTAGTCGACCGCGTGGCCGAGGATTGCTTCACAGCAAATGCCATCACAAACCACATGGTCGCCATGCCATCTGCCCAGCATGGCGCACTACACTTGTCAGTTCCGGAGTAAAAAAAATCTACACACCTTTCGCACACGCACTAACCCCCATTCAGCACGACGGAAGGTCTAATGGCCGGCGCATTTTTGATGAAAAAGCTTCAAGACACTCGCTTTGCATACCCCTTCGCTGATGCGGACGGCCCCTTGCAATACGCCTATCGGCTAATGGGTCAACCTGACCTGGCCAAAAAACATACGTACTCGATCATGGAGTCCCAGGGTCGCATGGATAGTTTCAATCATTTCATGGTCGGTAAGTTCCTGAAGTTCGGGACTTTCCCCGAGCGGGTCAAGTCGATGGGCTATGATTTAGATGATGCATTAGCGGGTGGTACGGCCACTAGTTCTCGCTCTAGCTCTACTACCATGGTCGATATTGGCGGCGGTCGTGGCGAACTCCTACTCGAGGTCCAGGCTGCGTACCCGCATCTCGGCGCGGAGGACCTAATCGTGCAGGAGTTCAATGCTGATATTGATAATGTGCCCGGTTTGCATTTCATGGAGTGGAATTATAAGGACGCTGAACAGCCCGTTCGTGGTGCCTGTGTTTATGCGCTGCAGCATATTTTGCATAATTTGCCTGATTTGGATGCTGTGGCGTTGTTGCAGAAGATTTCGCGTGCTATGACGTCTGACTCGCGAGTTCTGATCATTGAGTATGCAAAAAATATGACATATACTTCGCTGCATGCGAGTATGATTGCATTGTATGGGGGGCGAGAGAGGAGTTCGGTGGAGTGGAGGCAGATAGCGGGTTTGTGTGGATTGGAAGTGACTTTTGAGGTTTATGCTAGGGCTGGAGAGTCATTGGTGGAGATGAGAAGAACAGATAGTTCATGATATTCCTTGCGGAGTACTTAGTTGTCAATATGATATATCATTTCTATCTTTATACAGATCACATCCCACTTCCTGAGATCGGCAGCTTCGCTTACCTGAATCTTATACAACATACATTTTTTTTTAAAAAAAAAAAAAAAATCTCTCGAACTTATAGAATCCCAGATCTTAGATCCGATCCTAAATTATATCAAACTCATACGACATGCATACCCATGTGGTTGTGTATTTTCTTTTTCTCATTCCTTGTCACATTCCTGCAGTATGCATGGCTACCGGTTTCCATCCCCCTTTCCCCAGGAATATCGCCTGTACCTAATCCACATGGCAATGTGAACTCCATTGCCATGATTTTCTCATTTTTGAAACCCTGGAGTAACCATGCGAGCTCGACTCCTGTTATAACTGAACCTACATGACCTCGTACCTAGGGTGGAACACTGCGCAATATTATTCAATGCCCATTTCGCTTAGACCTTGTTTTCTTTTCTGTATGAATTCCCTGCTTTAATTTACATCCCTTGTTTCCTCGCGTTTTACACTTTTTATACGTGCCCTTCCACCCGATAGATAGACCATGTTTTAGGCAGGGTTCTGACCTGTAGATCGGTTTGAGGTATTTTGTCCTGATCTTCGCTTCCGATAACCTTCAACAACTTGGAAGGATTTTGATTCTTGTTTTTTTGTTTTTGATTCATCTAATCGACCCTGCGCATCAATCCATGTCAATGGGTACTTGAATTGGCTCCCCGCGCTATAATCGAGAATCTAGTCATCCAGTGGTGAATACTCGGCTACTTGTCACATCTAGTCGTTGTGCTTCTTCTTCATTATGGATATTCCGAAGCCTATTGAGGGTGATGTTGACATCGGTATGTTGACCTTAGGACAAGGCCAAACCATTGGACCTAGAGGATTGTTAATTGACACGGACGTTCAACAGGAACTGGCACATTTCAGGCTTGCTGGGTATGCTATCAAATATCCGTTACTACCTCTCCATATGTGTATACTAATCAGCTAGCAGGTCCTCACAGCCATTGTTGGCGTGGCATTGTTGTTCCGCTACGCCATCAAGGTCTGGGTACGCTGGGCTTTGCCGCAGGTCACTGCACCCGGCCGAATCTGGGGTATAGAGGACTTTTTCTTTCTCGTAGCTTGGGTTTTTGATATTACACATATGGTATTTATTCAAATGAGGTGAGGTCTACTGTTATCATTACTACCATGCCACTGACTCTGTATAGCGCAAACTGGGGCCTTGGGAGGCATTTCTTCTACTTGACTGGTGAAGAGCGTCTTAATGCAATGAAATGGGACTTCCTTTCACAGCCAATGGCCGTCACTTCAGCTATGATCTCCCGCGCAGGCATGATGTGGTTTCTTTTGACTTGCTTTGCGGCGAGCGACAAGAAGATACGCAAATCTATTATCATCTGCGCTGTTATTCAGGTTATCGTCAATATGGTTACCATTGTCCAGATTATTGTCCAGTGCGGGCCGAACCCATATCAAACGGTTGGTACTCTCCTTCTTAGTGCTCTCCCCATTCTAATCTCATCCCAGGCTAATCGTGTACAATACTTTCACTATATGTGGACGCCACTCCCTGAAGATGGCTCTGTTCAGTGCCAATCACCGGCCGTCCAGACAACTGTCGGGTTTGTGCAAGGGGGTATGTGAAGTTATCATACTTCAGCTCCGCTCAAGGCTAACTGCAATTTCCACAGGATTCAACACCGTCATCGATTTCTTCCTTGCCTTACTCGCTGCCGTCGAGCTCTGGCAATTCTTCCTGCGAACTCTTCACGGTGATCCAAACACGACATTCTGGTCCCAGTTCTGCAAAATCAGTGCCACCGTCCGATCCCGCCGGATCTGGCAGACCATCACTCTCAGCGGACCACTGATCCTTTCCGGCTGTGCTTCTATTGTAAAAACCTATGTGAGTCGACGTTCTTTTTCCGGTTTATTACAGCAACGCTGATATCATTTACCAGAAACTCAAATCCCTCGGTGACAGACAAGACTTCACTTATAATATCGTGACCTTCGTTCTCTGGGTAAAGTAAGCAAAAGCTACATCTCCCAATTCAACTCCAAGTAGGATCAGCTAACAATCCCAGAATTGAAAATTATAGCATTCTCCTGGCCTCATGTGCGCCAGTAGCCCGTCTCTTCCTCCGCTCCTTTGTTGACCAGAGACGCGAAGGCCGCACTCACGGCTACTGGTCTCGCACTCAGTCAACGGACCACAATAATCCTGACACGGAGCTCAAACGCCGCGCTATTGGGAAGGACCAGTGGCTGGATTCTACTACAGCGACTAGTGTGACCAACACTTGTATTCACGATGAGGAGAATCCGGTGACACGGTGGAATGGGCATAAGTTATCGAGTAATCGGGTTTCGAAGGAGGTGTCAGGGAATCTTGATGATGGATGTGTTACTGTTAAGACAGATATTGTTGTTCAGGTTGGCAATAGGATGTCAACTTCTTCAGGTGGGATGAGTTTACCTAACGGGGGTGAGGCTCATTCCGGGGGCTTTCATTGAACTACCATATGGATTCATAACAATTTCATTTTATCTTGCTGCCCTCTGCAAAGAATGTGCTTTTCTTGCGGCTTTATCTGACAGGCCTGGAGGCTTGCTGGTTTTATCAGTCTCCTATTGCAGGTTCTTTCCGTTTGATGATCTGATGGGTGAGAGGTATATGGTAGCACGGAATGTAGTATTAACAAAAATATACGGTCACGGATTCTACTACATATTCTATAGAAATATATATTTGGTGGACCATGAATAATAATGTCAACCAACTCTACGTATCTGATACTTCTTGACGAAGTTAGACTAGTAACAGCAAGGTATAGGGAAGTGTAGACTATTATTAACGATTTCTGTATAGATTTGGGAAGAAAATATGCTGTTTGATTCTATTACTACATATTGAAATAAGAAAATCCTTATAATGTCATCTCTGCCCAGTCTATTCATCAATTGGCCCCAGTGGTCGAACAGTTTCCTGGTCTAGCGGTTATGATTTTCCGTTAACAAATGCGATTAGCAGATGTTCCGGAAAGGTTCTGGGTTCGATTCCCAGGGAAACTATTTTTTTATTTTTTTTATTATTATAAATAAATAATAAGTTAGCGAATATCTTTCTTTTTCTGTAATGTGCCAAAAATATAAGTGAGCAAAGTAAGTAAGTAATAAGTACTCCGTAGCTAACCAACCATGTAGTCATTTTGTTTAGACCAGGTTTGATGGATAACGTTATGCATCTCTCAAATTACCCTAATCATTGGATAATCATTGTAGTAAAAAGAGGATAACTAAAAAAGTTTAGAAACGTCGAAGTTACAAAGTGTAGTTAGTCCGAACAAGCCTGTGTGATTCATTTCCTTCTTTTAGTTCTAAGAAAGAAACAAAAAGGAAATGCTCACACTCGGAATCGAACCGAGGATCTCATCATTACTAGTGATGCGCTTTACCGCTAAGCCATGCGAGCTGATTGATGTATGTCGGTAGACTATTAGATACTATGAGTCAAAAAACAGAATAAGAAAAGATATTTCCCACGGTTGATCCATCTGTAGAGGCCCCGGGGTAAGGCCCCAGGTGGGCCAATGAAGTATACAATCTCAACTCTGGAGGCTTGTTTCATGTTTAAATAATATCCCAATCTATACAACATACAAATCCAATATTGATCGCCATGACATAACCATCACGTGTGCCCATCATTATTTCTACCGCGCGGTCCATAGCTTCACTCTCCAACAATGTCGTTCAAAAAACCATTCCCTCACAGACGAAGCTCCAATGCCTCGGAAGATGACTTTTTCGACATCCCTGACGAACCATGTCTCTCCATAGTCAAGCGTCAACTACGCCGTGCCCGAACATGGGCCATAGTCGCCCTTATCGTCCTGTTTATCCTGTGGCAACGCCGTGAACGTCCTCCGCCGCCGCCCCTACCACATATCCACTACGACGAGGTCGACTGGTCGCGCTTTGCCTATACTCAGTATGCGACCAACGAGGTCTACATGTGCAACTGCCTGATGGTCTTTGAGGCTCTGCACAGACTCGGTAGTAAGGCCGACCGCGTGCTGTTTTACCCTGAAGAGTGGGACCTCGTTGTCGAGGATGACTTTGATCGCGTCAGCCAGTTGCTACTTGAGGCTAAACACAAGTACAAGGTGATGTTGATCCCGATCAAGATTGAGGGGATTCAGGATCAATCGAGTGAGTCGTGCTGCCCGCTATTGGGAATCGACCTGATTGAACACACCTACTTACATTGTCACTTCCTTTCTTAGGTTCCAGCTCCCAGGCGTCGTGGGATACTAGCACCGCCAAGCTCATGGCCTTCGGCGAGCACGAATACGACCGCGTCATCCACCTCGACTCGGATGTGATCCTCCTGCAGACAATGGACGAGCTTTTCTTCCTCCCGTCTACCACTGCCGCTATGCCACGTGCCTACTGGCTTCTCCCGGACAAACTGCTCTCATCACTGTTAGTCGTCATTGAGCCCTCCCTCCGGGAATACCTTGCCTTGACCGAGGCCACTACGCTCGCTCAGAATGGTCAAGTGGATATGAACCTGACGGAACACCGATATGATATGGAGCTATTGAACAAGCGGTACGGGGACTCGGCGATGGTCCTTCCTCATCGGCAGTATGGTCTATTGAGCGGCGAGTTCCGGAAGAAAGATCACCGCAATTTCCTGGGGAATGCTGACGAAGTCTGGGATCCCGATCATGTCCTGGCGCAGGCTAAATTTGTGCACTTTTCCGATTGGCCGCTGCCAAAGCCGTGGATTATGTGGCCGCAGGACATGTTGGCGGCCGAGCAGCCCAAGTGTGATAATAACCCTGGCACACCACAGGAGAGTGGATGTCGGGATCGGGAGATTTGGAAGATGTTATATGATAAATACCGGCGACAACGAAAGGTATGTTTTATTATTTATGGGGATGGGGATTGGCTGATTGCTAACTTGATGTAGGAAGTCTGCAAGCTGCTCAGTTATCCGGCGCCGTTTTGAGTGAAAACACTTTTGTATAGGTAGATTATGGCGTTTGGGATATAAGCAAAGGAAATGCATGACTTAACGATATAGACGAAACCTGATTCAACTGGATATCTCAGAAAGTAGTACAAAACACAAAACACAAAACACCCAATGCAACTCCATCCGTATCAAGACATCAAGTGTACCCCATCCCCCTCCTCCACCAATTCCACACCCCCCTCTTCGCCATAATACCTCCGAACTCCTTGACACTCTCTACCTCATCCAGTCCTATCGCGAGATCCCACTTGTCCCCATGCTTGTCGTTCCCGTTCCCGTTCTCGTTCCCTTTCCCTTCATCCTCCACAACTCCAGGCCTCGTAACCAATTGAAAATCTTTATACCGTAGCCGACGAACAACATCCACCCAGCTCTCTACCCGTTCCTTCCCACCCTCCACGTACATGATCCCAGGACATCCCCCAGAGCGTAGGAGGACAGCGCATTGGTGTGTATCTGCAGCACGTCTGAGGGCGGCTACCTTTTTGCGAGAGGTTATATGGTGGGTTCTGATTAGAGCATTGTAGATGGTTTGCATTTTGGGGGTAGGAGAGGGGGACCCTTTTGAAGAAGGAGGCTGATAAGAGGTGTGGCTTATGGCGCTAGACTTGATTGGGAAATGGAATTCGGTATGTTGTACGGAGTATTTAGTCCTTAGTACTTTGGATACTGTACATCAATTTAATATTTTATTCTACAATTAGAACAATATATAATATAATATCATACATTTATAAATGATACAATTATACAGTTAACTATACATTATACACAATAAATTATATAATAAATTAGATAAAATGATAGACACCTGAGGCATCTTTGCCACGTGTGAAAATATCCGAGAAAAGTGCGGGGACTCTCAGCCCTGCCCAGGTGAAGATGTATGTTGTAGATGATAGATATTGAAGGTATCATATTTTATATATGTAGTAGACCTATATAGGATCATACAACATACACACATATGTACGGAGTACATATCTTATATTTAAATACAACATACAACATAGATATCTTATATGTTGTAGGGCTAAATCAATTCAGTGGATCCTTTTCTCGTCTTGGCTTCCTTTTTCTGCTAAACAATCGCGCGGTGACCGCGGGTGCCGGTTTTTTTTATTCTTTTTTTTTTATATGAAATGAATTTCTTAAAAGAGAATTATAGAATTACCCAAAATGATGAAAAAAATGAAAAAAAAAAAAAAAAAAAAAAAAAACAAAATACGGACTTTCTATCCACTTCCCGCCTGTCATTGGTTTTTTTGATGTTAAATTCCGATATCCCTCCCGGGACCTTTGATCTAGGCACTTGACTCCACGTTCATGAGTCTTGGCTTCCTTTTCAAGGTTTTCTTACGCAGGATCCAATTCTTATTTTTTTTCCCCCCATCTATCGAGATCATGGAATTCCTTATATACTACGATGAATCCTGGATTTCTTCACCTATAACTGGAAAGGATCAATATGCCTGCTCCTCTTCACCCCCACCTGAAGCATAGTTCTTCCTTTGCTACAGAAAAACATAACAATGATCCTCCCAGAGTGCAGGTCTCCCATGAAGATGAGAATATCCTCGCCGATATCCATCATACTTTAACCGCTCAAACTCACCCGGATCCCAAATATCCGGAACCACATTCCTCCTTCGACAAGTTCCTTGAGGAACAAGTCCAGGGCAAGAAACCAGCTAACCTTGGCGTCTGTTTTCAATCTCTTTCAACTTGGGGTGATGGGGACTCCCACACAGATGTAAAGACCCTCGGGACAGCTCTGTGGCGTACTCTCACCCTACAGGATATCTACGAGTGGACCATCCAGCCATGGATCGCAAAGAAGAAGCCCGAGGATGGTCGTCCGCTAATCAGGGACTTTTCCGGCGTCGTGCAGAGCGGAGAGATCATGCTGTAAGTAGGAATCAACATCAACACATCCTTACCGAATTTAACTGAAATTGAAATATAGCGTTTTGGGTCGTCCTGGTGCCGGCTGCTCAACCTTTCTTCGAACTATTGCTGGTCATCACTCTTCCTTTTTGGGTGTCACAGGCTCAATTGATTACTCCGGTCTCAGCCCAGATGAGGTCCGAAAGCACTACCGTGGCGCTGTGGCCTACGTCCCCGAGGACGATGTGCATTTCCCTACTCTGAGCGTGCGTCAAACCCTCGAGTTTGCACTACAGAGTAAGACCCCTAAGCGCTACCGGGAGAGGATTCCCCGGTACCTAGAGATCTATGGGCGTGTTTTTGGTATGTCACATACCATGAACACGTTGGTGGGAAATGAGTATATCCGCGGCGTGTCCGGAGGAGAACGCAAGCGTATTTCCATCATTGAATCTCTCGCTACCGATTCATCCGTGGCATGTTGGGATAATTCCACGAGAGGACTGGATGCGTCCTCTGCACTCGACTATGCACGCAGTCTGCGTATCATGACCGATACCTGCGGCAAAGCAACCTTGCTCACTTTGTACCAGGCTTCAGATGCTATCTATGAGCTGGTAGATAAGGTGCTGCTTATTGATGAGGGCCGTATGCTGTTTCAAGGACCTGCCAACGAGGCGAAGCGTTACTTTGAAGAACTGGGCTATGAGTGCGCCGATATGCAAACGACTTCTGATTTCCTGACTAGCATCGCTCTACCCGAGAGACGGCGGTTCCGTGCTGGATGGGAAAACCGTGCGCCCAAGGGCCCTATCGAACTTGAAGCCGCTTTCCGCCAGAGTGCTGCGTTCGCTAACATCGAGAGGGCTGTCGAAAGCTACGAAGATCAGAAGCTCACCGGTAGATCTTCCGGTGCGTTCCCGCCAGGTTCGGAGTGCGACAGCATTGAGGTATTCAAGAAGTCTGTGCAGAGTGATAAGTCACGCTTCGTCTCGTCCAAGTCACCATATACCATTTCGCTCTTCCGACAGGTTGTACTTTGCGCGAAGCGTCAGATGTGGCAGCTGAAAGGACATATGGGCCCGCTGTATATCAAGTTGATCTCTTGCGTGGTCTATGGGTTGTTGATTGGATCTATGTTCTACGATCAGCCCCAAACTACCGAGGGCATGTACTCCCGCGGAGGTGTACTTTTCTACTCTTCCATTTTGCTTGCCTGGTTGCAAATGTCGGAGTTGGAAGACGCCATGCAGGGTCGTGATATCCTGAGCCGGCAGAAGAAATTCGCCTTTGTGAGGCCCAGCGCTGTGTGCTTGGCCCGGGTGGTTTCAGATATGGTGGTAACTGCTCTTTTCACATTCTTGTATTTGATCGTCACGTACTTCCTATCTGGTCTACGGCCTGATGTGAGTAATTCCCGAACCTTGCCCCAAGTATATACGCTAATTCTTCTAGGCCGGTCCCTTCTTCATCGACTTCCTCTTCATTTACACGTGCACGGTCTGTCTTACCGCGCAATTCCGTGTCTTCGCCGCTCTATCGCAAAACTTTGAAGTTGCTCTCCGCTACTGCGGAGTGTCTGTTATGATTTGCGTCGTGCTTGGCGGCTATGTTCTCTCCGTCGATAAAATGATCCAAGATGTTCCTTGGATTGGATGGCTTGCATATACAACCCCTGCTCTGTATACGTACGAAGCAGTTATGGCGGCCGAATTCCACAACGTCAATTTCACCTGCGCGGCCGCATCCATTATCCCGTCCGGTTCGGAGTATACAGACCTCGCATACCAGACCTGTGCCTACGCTGGCAGTCAGATTGGTAGCACAGTCGTGAACGGCGATGACTATCTGGCTGTGAAGTTTGGATTCTACTATAGCAACGTCTGGCGTAATTTCGGCATTCTGTGTCTCTTCACCGTTGTTTTTATTGGGATGACCTGCTGGTTGAGTGAGGTGCTTGAGTGGGAGCTGGATAGTGCTGGTCCTATTCTGTACAAGGGTTCGCGGAAGCTTTTCAAGCGGAAGAGGAATGTCCAGTCCGATGAAGAGAAATCGCCCGTCTCGGTTGATTCTGCTGCGCCGCCTGTTGGTCATGATACAAAGCATGACAAGACACTGACAGCTACTGAGTCTACCTTTTCCTGGTCTGACTTGGAGCTCAATGTGCAGATCGGCAAGGAGACTAGAAAGATCTTGGATGGCGTCTGTGGATACTGCAAGCCAGGCTCTCTGACTGCCCTCGTGGGTGCCTCGGGAGCAGGCAAGTCTACATGTAAGATCCCCAGTGGAATGAATTCGTCTATTGATTTCTGACAGTTTTTAGTGTTGACTGCACTCACTCAAAGAGAGAGTCCCGGCATCTTATCTGGGTCTCTATTCGTGGACAACCGGTCGATTGATCAGTCCTTCAACCGACAGATTGGATATTGTCAGCAAATGGACATTCACGACGAAAGTAGCACGATCAAAGAAGCATTCGAATTCTCTGCATTGCTCCGACAAAGCCACGAAGTTCCAAAGGCGGAAAAGCTGGCATATGTGGAAACTGTGATTCACACATTGGAGCTGGTCGATTTGCAAGATGCAGTCATCGGTTCTTTGGATATCGAGAAGAAAAAGCGTGTTACTATTGGAGTTGAGCTGTGTGCTCGACCAAACCTGCTTCTTTTCCTGGACGAACCGACAAGCGGACTCGACAGCCAGGGAGCAAGTAGTATCATCGCTCTGCTGCGACGTCTGGCTAACCAGGGACTGGCGGTCCTCTGCACCATTCACCAAGCTAACCAGCAACAGTTTGAAGAGGTAAGCATTAACCACCCCTCAATCATGAATCAACATTAACAAGACCCTAGTTCGACCGTGTCTTAGCCCTGAGTCCCGGCGGAAGCACATATTACTTTGGCCCAGTCGGCGAATCTGGCAGCGCAGTGTTCGAGTATTTCGCGAGACATGGCAATATCCCAGAAAAAGTCACCAACGCAGCCGACTTCCTCATCGAAGTAGTCGTCGGCGGCATGAAAGCCTCGGGAAACCAAACAAACTGGTCAGCCATCTGGCGCAACTCAGAAGAATGCGCCGAAGTGAAGAAAGAAATCGCCTCGATCCGCTCTGACATGAATGGCCGCTCCCTTGCCCTACCTCCAACGCCACCTCCTCTCAGCCAGCAGATCAAACTCCTCACTCAACGGACCTGTCGCCAGTTTTGGCGCACCGCCGAGTACCCATACTCGCGTCTTTACTCTTCCTTCCTCCATGCTCTGATTAACGGCCTCACCTACCTCCAGATCGGAAATAGTACCACGGACCTTCAATCGAAGGCTTTCTCCTGCTTCCTTGTGCTGATGCTTGTCCCCGAGTTTATCAATGCTATATCCATGCGTTTCATCCTAAACCGCGATATCTGGTTAGCAAGAGAAGGCCCAAGTGGTGTATACGGCTGGGTAGCATTCTGCACAGCCCAGATCATCTCCGAAATCCCCTATTCCGTCATCGGAAGCGTCGTCTTCTTCGTCCTATACTATTTCATGGTGGGGTTACCACTCGGCTTTGCAGCGGGCTACTGTTTCCTGATGTTTTTCCTTTTCTTCCTATTCACGACCTCGTGGGGTCAGTGGATTGCTGCGATGAGGTGAGTCTAGTATTGTCAAGCACCAATTCTTTCCTGCAATGATGAATTAACACATCCCCTCTAATCTATAGTGCTGACTCGATGGTCGCCGCTACCCTTATGCCCTTCTTCATTATCATGTGCGAGCTCTTCAACGGTATCCTTCGCCCACAATCCCAGATGCCTGCCTTCTGGAAGTATACTATGTACTACGTGACCCCTTTTACGTACTGGATTGGTGGAGTGCTCGCCTCCGTTCTCCGTGGTACTCCTGTCGTTTGCTCCCAAAGTGAATTGACCAACTTTGAGAGTCCACCCAACACTACTTGCAGTGAGTATGCTGGTGCGTGGCTTGATGCGAAGGGTGTAGGATATCTCTCTAACCCGGATGGGATGGGCCAATGTGGATATTGCGAATATAGTTTCGGTGACGATGTGAGTTTATTCCCTAGAAGATGTTTCCGGAATTGATGCTAACCTGTGGTAGTACTTGTCTGGAATTGGTCTGGATTCTTCGAAGATCTGGCCGTATTTCGGTATCTTCCTTGCTTTCACGGTTACTAATTACTTGATGGTTTATTTGTTGGTTTATATGCGGTCTGTTATGAAGCCGTTTTGGCGGTCGAAGTAAGATGTTTCGGGGTTTGAAATTCGGACTTAGCGTTGCATATATCGAAATGAAACCTGTCATTTAGTTATGAATTTCGTTGAAGCTCGGATAATACAATTTTACTGCTATAATGAGGTTTCCAGCGAAGGCAAAATATTTTCAAGTATCTTTAGTATGAGTTTCCAATACAAAAGATACCCAAAAACTCAATAGACAAAATGCAAAAATTTCAACCCTCGAACTAAATAAAATAAGATAAATGAGTACTTACCATATAATATTGAATTCTATTAATTCTCGATGTCTAATGTGTTCTTAATATTCCTTAACAACCTTGGAAAGCTCTATCAAACGAAATAAATTACATTCATACTACATATATACCTACTTAATTTCTTGCTAGCTAGTTCGAAGGCCGAATAGTCACATTTTGTATATTGAGCGTTTTAAGTATCTTTTGTATAGGAAACTCATACTAAAGATACTTACAACATTTGCGTTTTCTTACTAAAACGGAAAGCCCATTAACATTACATAATCCAGCCTGATTTTTGCCCAGTCATGTGATCATTTCTTTTTATTCCTTTCTGATTTTTATTGAACACTTCGCTTCTCAAAAGACTAGAAATACGCAATGAGTCACATTGGCAAAGCTTGACTCGAGTTATCAATCAGCATCTCTCGGAGATAATTCTTTTATTACTAGAAATGGTATCTCCGAGATATCGGATATACCGTATCTAGTAATCATCTTTATCAGCAGTTCATATCAAATAAGACCCTCGTATCAAAAGGTTTCAAAAGGGTCTCTCTGTTCAAAACTATTACGGAGACATATATTTTCCGAGAGTAATCTGGCCCCCCCCCCTGTCTCCGAAGGCACCAACATCTCACCCATGTCTAGCGCCCCCTCGCAAGGCCTTTCGAGGGAAAATCAGAAATCAGAAATCAGAAATCTGAATCATTTGAACAACCTCGAAAATGGAAAATCATCAATTCTCTATAGATCATGAAGAGGAAGATCAATCTCGTCCTCCACAGCGGCGTCGTCGTCCACCCCTATCTTGTACAGTCTGTCGCAAACGCAAATTAAAATGTGACCGCTCTCTGCCGTGCGGGCAATGCGTGCGATCAAAAACAACAGCTCAATGCGTTTTTGTAGGAGCACAGCCCGGTGTATCTCAATCTCAGCAGCGTATGTCACCTCCACAATTACCAGGCATGGAAGAACAGTCCGGCCGGAAAAGTGGGATGTTCGTCTTCGACTCCAAATTGGGGCCAAATTCAACTTCGAACCGCATTTCGAAGCGTGGTCATCATGATGAGCTGCAGGAACTCCGGAGTCGACTACATGTTCTAGAGAATTCGCTCGGCAAGTCTCATCTTCAGACGCCGGAGACCTCGGTTTGTGATGTTTTTTCTGAAGTCGATATGATTAATAGTGAGAATGTCGGGGTTGATGACCGTGTACGATTCTTGCCAGATTGGAATTTCCGTGGGAAGAAAGGTAAGACTCGTTACTTCGGTCGCAGTCATTATACCACGACTGTTTCTTTTGTGAGTGTCCTGAACTATATTGTATGCTTGATTTGCTCATTCAATCTAGTTCCAAGATGTTGGTGCTTTTATCCACCGTGGTCGTTGTCGCGGAGAAGGAAAGGATAAAGAGTACACCGATATGAAAAAGTTCAAAACGGAGCTTTGGTCGCGCGAGACAGAGGATCATCAGCGAAATTTTCGTGAGCAGGCTTTCAAGCTGAATGAAATGGTACCACAGAGACCTGTTGCAGACCATCTGCTTCAGCTGTATCTCGACACTTTCGAGACGACATATCGAATTTTGCACACGCCAACCTTTTTGAAACAATATGCTGATTATTGGGCCAACGCTCAGCCAATCGACATGGCCTTTGTCGCTCAGTTACTCGCTGTGATGGCTGCTGGCAGTTGTTTTTATGTCCCACCTCCAGGCCATGATGACCGAGACACATTCCAGAAACCGGCCATGAAGTGGATTATGGCCGTCCAGTCATACATTTCGTGCACATTTGTGAGCCCGGATATTGACTTCCGAATGCTCCAGACCCAATCTCTTCTTCTGGTAGCTCGCCTCGGAGTCGCCAGTGATGGGGATGTTGCTTGGGCCTCTGCCGGGTGGTTGATTCGGTCTGCGATGACAATGGGCTTACATCGCGATCCGACTCGCTTTCGCAAGGCTCGACCATTCTACTCCGAACTGCGCCGTCGCCTTTGGGCAACTATCGTCGAGCTGGACCTCAAGATCTCTCTCGACCGAGGAGTTCCGCCATCAGTTGACCTAGACGAATGCGATTGCGACCCACCGTCTAACTGGGACGACGCAGACTTGACAGAGGATATGGAAAATGATCCTGATCCACTCAGTACTGCCCTTTATACCCAAAACTTCTACCAAATTCTCCTCACCAAGACCCTCCCACTACGCTATCGAATCGCGAAGAAAATAAACAGTCTTCGGTTTAATATCTCTTATGACGACGCCCTGCGAATGGGTGATGAAATCTCCCGTTCTATGCAACATGCATCCTCCTTATTCGACGACAACTCCCCGAGCATCGCCCTGGGAGAATCAGGGCGTCACCGATTCGCCCAATCGTTACATCTCTTCATAATGCGCAAATTCCTCCTCGCCCTCCACCGTCCCTTCTCACTTAGTGTCGCCCGCCTCCCCAAATACTCCTACTCCCGCAAAATCTGTCTCGAAGAATCCCTCGGCATTCTCTCCCAGATGGAACTCCCCCTTTCGACTGAGGACATCCTCTACCCGAACATCACCCAGTTAGGCAGCGGTATGTTCTGCGATGAAACCTTCCACGCCGCAATCACCGCCTGCGTGGAGCTATCCCTCCAAGCGAATGAAATGAGTACCACCTCCGGGATGGATGGCGCCAACTCCAGCGTTCTCATGAGCATGATCCAATCTCAGCAAGGCGTGATGATACAGGCCGTCGAGCGCACCGCTGATAATTTTGGGAGACGAATTGCGTCCAGTGGGAAGGGGTGCAAGCCTTTCTTCTTTTTGAGTGTTATCCTCGCTTCAGTCAAATCCCGCGTCAAGGGCGAGGATCCTTTATGTAATGTTGATGCGGTCTTGAAGTGGACCGTTCGCATTTGCAGAGAGCTCTTAAATGGTCTTACATATGAAGAGGCAAAGATTCGTGTTGATAATCGCCCCGTGCAGGTTGGTATCCCCGCTTATAGCTATTTGTCTACTATACCTAACGTTCCTATTCAGACTTCCATTCCTTCGGGGACAACCCCGGCCTCTACTACACCGAGTGATATTGATCCTACGTCGCTTCTGTTGAATGGCTTTGGTGATTTTACGGTAAGTTGTAATTCCACGGATGATGTTTGCCATGCTGACCTTTTCACAGCCAATTGATTTAGGCTGGTTTGACGGCTTGGATTACACTGGGCCAGAGTTGTGGGATTGGGATGCTGGATTGTCTGGCAATCTTCCGACATTCTCATGAATTATATACCTACTAATGCTAATGACAGCGCTTGATGCCTATCTCTACTCAATGTCCTTATACTCTACTCTCATGAATACATATTCTTACTTAGAAAAATGAGTCAACATTTGCAGCCTATATCAATCTATAAAACGAGCCATTGCAACCCCAAACCTCAAACCCTCAAACCCTCAAACCCTCAGACCCTGTCTATCTCTTTCCCCATTTCTCGATTGACAACCCGCGAACAAGCTCGATCAACAAAAGTCTTCCTCGAAATCTTAACATAACTCTGAACCAACCTGTTCAAAGATTAGCAAAATCCATCTAAAAACCAAAAGAATCATACTTACGCTTGATACCGCTGAATATTCCGAATCTCCAAACCCGCCAAATCCCCCAAGGCATCCTGCACATCCCGCACCAAACTGATACACCGTCCCATACTGAAATCCGTCCTGACAACAACCCTCATCATCCCCATCGTCTCACAATCGGCAGCCATAGTATAAGCAGGCACAATCCAGCCTCTTTCGCGCAATTTCCGTGCCAGCGCCCATTCGTCAAAGAAGACGTTCTGCGTGGGATTTAATCTGAACGCCACGACTGGCAGGCCCTGACCACTTCCTTCACTCATGATTATGAACCCCATTTCTTGCAGCTGGCTGGTGAGGTAGTCTGCTGTTTTGGTGAGATTTGTCAAGATACTTGTGTACCCGCTTCGGCCCAGTCGTATTAGTTGGTAGTACTGGGCTATGATGTGGGATGCTGGTTTGGAGAAGTTCATCGTGAAGTTGACTTGCTCGGCACCTAGGTAGTCGATGTTGAAGACAAGTTCTTCGGGGAGGTACTCTGGTGACCGCCAGAGGGCCCAACCGATACCAGGGTAGACCTATGGAGATTAGAACATTGAGCTATATTGGAAGTGAGTGGGTGAATATACTCACCAGCCCGTATTTATGCCCAGAGACATTGATCGAGACAACGTTGGGTAATTTGAAATCCCACACTAGATCTGGATTCACGAATGGGGCCACGAAGCCACCGCTAGCTGCATCTACGTGGATGGGTGTGTCCAGTCCCTTCTTGATGAGAAGTTCACTGATAGCTTGTACATCTTCGTACTGGCCCGTGTATGTTGTGCCGAGAATTGCGCAGATTCCGATGGTGTTCTCATCGACCATGTCGACTGCTTGAACCGGGTCAATCACGTATCGTGTCTCGGTACATGGGACTAGCTTCTCGGCGATATCGAAGTATCTGGCTGCCTTTTCCCAGCAGACTTGTACGCCGCTACTCATGACAATGTTTGGGTTGGAGGTATCTTTCCCTTGGACTTTGCGGTTGATTTGCCAGCGCTTCTTCATTGCTAGTGTAGCGATCATAATAGCTTCGGAAGATCCAATGCATGAAGTGCCAAAGGCAGTTGGGTTTCCATCTGAGACTGGGGAGTGGAATAGATCGGCGAGGATGTTCAGACAGCGGTGCTCGATTTCGACGGATTTGGGGTATTCTTCGTGGTCGATGATGTTCTTGTTTGATGATTCGGCGAGTAGCTTGAGGGCTTCATCTTCCTGTTGTAGTATTAGTGTCAGGTGAAAAGATGCAATGAGAAGTTGAAATACCATATATGTAGTCACAAAACTGGCGAGGCTATATTGAACGGTATATGTTAGTTTAGTTTTGGAAATTGAGAACTATATACTTACTTCAAGATTGGCTGGCCATCCAGGGCCAAGTCATCTTTGATTAACTGATAGGCCACCTCTTTTGGCATCTCTCCGTCTGGCAGTCGATGCGATGGCATAGGCATAGCAGCGAATCTGGAGCCATAGACATAAGAGCAGTCGCTCTGGTCAGAAAGCTGAGGTAATTCCTCTATAGAACCCATGATACAATATGTAAATTCAAATTGAGATTCAAATTGAATACTAATAATCTAGGATTGTCTTGAATTTATATTCTTACAATTAAAAAAAATATCTCATAGCTAAATGGTGTGAGTATTGAGGCATTTATTTAGACATCATGATCAAACGCTATGGTAAAAAAAGGGGCTGTTTCACGTTGGGCACTCTTTTCTTTCTTTTCTTTTATATGTGATATCACAACTATATGTTATACTTGGTATCTATATGTTATATACTTGATCATCTATACTCCGTAGGTGAATATCAGGATCTAAATGCTCCACTTAGATTAAGCCAAGACATTCTAGAAAAAAAAACACTTTAGTCATATTACTATTTAGAACATTGAACTCCTTAAAAACTAAAATTGCAACCTGAAATTAGAGAATTCTAGCCCTGGTAGGGTCAATAATACAAAACATGCAACCTGTTTTGCCACAGAGGCTTAGAACGTTCAGCCCCTGACTCGGAGACCTTCTCGGGCGCATTCGGTCCGAAATGCCGATAGGGGTCGAATGCTTTTAGTTAGGCAGATGGATTGTGGCAAGGCTATAGGATTGAACACGTCTATCATTTTGTGGCTTTCATTGGGCATGTATGTTGTAGGAGTCGTAAGCATATCGTACTTGTGTCCCTTCTTGTGTTATCCTTTTAGAAAACTTGTGATATTCTATTTTTGAGCAATTACTTTTGCGCAAAAGTAATAACTCCTGATCTATCGTAAACAGAGTAAATCCCTTACGCCGGAAATTATGCAAGCCGTGGAGTCAATGTGGTCCTTTATCGGGTAAGACCTGAAGTGCCATGTCTAGTATTTCCTCTCATAACTAGTTTTAGGAATATACATCTTGAGTTTCGGATTGATCGCTGTGAGAATCAAGTAGAGATGGTACCTGGGTGAAGGCTGTATGTCGTCTTCTAGTCTCATTGAATAACAGTAAGATTTAGTACCCTCTTTCATAGTCGGGGCTTTTATAGGGCCCTTCGAAGTTGATCAGTGTGAGCCAATGGGGCGGAAAGACTGACACCGATGGTGGTGACATTGCCTATGTAAGTTTTTTTTTTTTTCGCAAAGGAAAATATCAAGCTGTTTATACCAACTAACTCGGTTGGTGGTATTGCCATGGTCAAATTCGGTTATGAGCTACCAAAACGATATGTTCGACTTCATCTAGTCGAACTCGCCATTTGTCTACTACCGTTCATGACCATTCAATGGCTGGCGATGTCGGCGTGTATCGAATTAACGATACCTAATCTATCGTTTGTCGTTTATCTTTAGGAGTTGGCGCTATTTCGGACGTTTAGTATGAGCGACGATTGTTACCGGATCCTGGAGAGAGCGATGCAGAGATCAACAACTTGACGGAAGTTATGATTCCTGGTATGGTACTATTGTGCTTAATGATATTGTGTTCTGACCCTTGTTAGTGGTGTATTGGGCTTGTCTTCTTCTTCATCGTCATCCACGGGCTGTCTATACCGGTCCTGAACTGTCTCTATAAGTGGTTCAAAGTCCCTACAATCCGAGACCACCCGGTAGAAGTATTTTTGTCCGAAAATGAGCTTGTACCTAACAACAGTGTGGTGAATCGCTGTGGCCACTCTGTTATACTAAACAACCGGTTTTCCTGTGCTTCGAACTGGCGCCCCCATTCTGGTCATGGTGATTGTACCGCGAGGGAACAGATGCAATCGTGCTACACCGCAGTGGGGAAAATAGCAATAGGAGCTCGATAGAAATGGCATCGACGAAAGGTTCGTCGCGTGAAATGGAGGATACTGTATCTGCCAGAAATGTAGTCTGATTAATTGGACTTGTGTATAAGGAACAGACACTAGCACAGAAGCGCAATTAGAACAAATACCATTTTCTCATAGTTCTTCCCATATAAAATCGAAGAATACTGAAAAAAGGGGGAAGTTAAATTTCAATCTTGTCTACTCCGTATGGGATCGACAGACGATGATCTCATTTCTTTCTCCAAACCCACATAAAATGATCGGATAACTCACAAATTCTACTCCGTAAAAATATCTAATAATCAAGAATGTCGTGAGTTCCTAATATATAAGAGAAAAAAAAATACAAACTAACCATCACAGTGCCCTTTTGACAACTTTGGGCCTCCGAGCCGCCCCTGGCCAGGTACCCGCGAACCATGCGTCAGGCTTCCTGGTGGCAAATTGGGTCTTCGCCTTCTGTTTGATGAGCACCCGCGGCACAAAAATGCGTCTGGGTCTCGATCACAATGTCAACCCACGCGAAGACTTGAACAACTACGGCGAGGCGGCCGTCCGGTCGGGAAAGATTAGCCGTCGCGCCCTTGACAAGCTCAAGCGACAGGAGTCGGCGCATGCCAATGCCCAGGAGGGTTATTCCTTGTTTGTTGCGGCGAGTAAGTGGATGAAGTTGAATATGAAATTGCGCTTACTGACCATATGATTTAGTCCTCGTCTCCTTGTACGCCGGTCTCCCCAATGAGACTATCAATACCGTCGGTGCTTGGTATTCAGTTTCCCGTGTCGCATATAGTCTGCTGTACTCGTATATCGAATCTCATTCTTTGAGTTATCTGCGGTCAGTGGCTTGGTGGTCTGGGAACATCAGCTGTATTTATGCGTTGGTGCAGGCTAGCAAGAAGTTGTAAATACATGCCCTTTGCTTTTGACCTCTGGATTATATAAATGAGCTTGGCAATCAATCCAATGCAATTGTATATAGGAATTAGATATATATCTCTGAGATCTGTATAAGAAACCTTGACTCTATTGATGATAGACAGGCTAAAGATAGTCGAAACATTCGAGTCCATGAGGCCTCGGAGGAAAAGCCGTATAAGGATGAACTATTCTGATTGGTGGAAGAACCCTCTTCAAGGCACATATTAACTAGACGGGAGAATGAATGCCCGTAACGAAATGAATTTCGAAAGAATCTAAGAAGCTCAAGTTTCTACCGATGTCTTTCCCCCCGCAATGTCCTTAAATGCGGAGAAATGACTCCATTCATCTGTCTATACTCCCCTATACGGCTAACTCGCTTTGCATTTCACAATGTCGATCATTCCAATTTAGAATGGAATTGTTTTTAATAGGCGGAGAAATCTGATTCCTCTGCCCCGTACTCCCCAGATATTGCTAATCTGGGGAAAGGGACAAGGTCCATTCTTTTTAGGGACATTCCGGGGTATTCTTATAAATTGACCCTGCTATCTCCTGTAGACCAAGAAGTACCAAAAAGTATCAGTTGAACTCATTGACCTCGTGATAATGAAGTTCCTAGCCATTGGTACCCTCCTGCTTAGCACAGTTAGTGCTCTTGCGACAGAGCATATTATCAAAGGAGCTCAGATCATCCCGGCTAGCGATAAGTCGGCATTGAAGAAGATCGGTGCTCATGGACATCACAAGCACCATGATCGTCGGACAGTGACAATTCGGTCCTCCAGGAGTGACACCGACGATGTTTCGGAAGATTTCCTTTGGGGTATCAAGGCTGCCAATCATGGTGGAAGACTTCTTTTGAAAAAGGGGAAGAAGTATGTCATTGGCAAGAAGCTTGACCTTAGCTTCTTGGATGATATTGAGGTGCAACTCGAGGGTGAAATTAAGGTATATACCCCCCCTAATATTGTTGAAATTGAACCACTCTGACATGGAATAGTTCACTGACGATATCGACTACTGGCAAGCAAACCACTTCTACTACTCTTTCCAGAAATCCATTACTTTCTGGGTTTGGGGTGGTCAGGATATCAAGATTTTCGGAAAGGGTACTCTCAATGGCAATGGTCAGGAGTGGTACAATGCCTTTGCTGGCCGGGAAGTTCTGGTAAGTATAATTTCCAAAAGCGGAATGATATGCCCTAATGAATAATTCAGGACCCTTCCAACACTTTTTACCGTCCCATTTTATTTGTGACTGACAACGCTACCCGTGTATCTGTTGAGGGTATCACCCAACTCAACTCCCCCTGCTGGACCAACTTCTTCGTCCGTACCAAGGATGTTTCTTTCGATGATGTCTTCATCAACGCCTATTCCACCAACATATCTGTAAGTGTATCTGACACAATTACCAACCAACTCTAATCATTCCTTTGTAGGCTTTGCCTAAGAACACCGACGGATTTGACTCCTACAACGTAGACGGTCTTTCTGTGACGAACACCCGTGTTGATATCGGCGATGATTGCTTCTCGCCCAAGCCCAACACCACCAACATCTTCGTGCAGAACTTGTGGTGCAACAATACCCATGGTGTCAGCATGGGAAGTATTGGACAGTACTCGGGAGTTGAGGACATCATTGAGAATGTCTGGATTGAGAATGTGACTCTATTGAACGGCGAGGTAAGATACTCACATTCATTGATGAGCGATTGATCCTAATCCAATTTCTAGAATGGCGTCCGTCTCAAGGCCTGGGCTGGAGAGAATATCGGCTTTGGTCGCATCAACAATGTCACCTACAAGGATGTTCACATCGAAAACACTGATGCCCCTATTGTGTTGGATCAGTGCTACTTTAACGTCGACGCCGACACTTGTGCCAAATACCCATCATCAGTCAACTTCACCAACATCAACTTTGAGAACATCCATGGCACTTCATCGGGCAAGAATGGCAAAGTTATTGGTGATCTGACTTGTTCTCCCAATGCTGTGTGCTCGGGTATCCAACTCTCTGAGATCGATGTTACTAGCCCAGCTGGCGGTCCTCCTGTCGTTATCTGTGATGGAATCTCTGGTGATATTGGTGTGGAATGCCAATCGAGCTCGGCTTAGATGTGGTGAATAGTTTTTGGTCGAAAAATCAAAAGTTCGAAAGATTCTTAGGAAGTGTAGTCCGAGATAACTTCAACAGTAATAAGTCTACGTCATATCATCGTCAAGCCGTTAATAATTCTTAATGCCTATAGTCATTATGGGGAATGTTTCTTTTTTCCACACTTAGCACGGTATAACTGCAGCCACCATGTCCTTGAATATCAAGTCTAGCAGCAGCTTTCTCGGCGACCTGGGACCCCCGATCAGAAGGTATCCATACAAGGGATCTAAATCTTTTTTCGAGACTATCAAGATGGAACTAAATCGTCAGGGAGAAGAGGAAGAGGTTGAGGTCAGTGAATGGGTGCTCTTTACTGAGGTTAATAAGCAGGCCTTTAGTCGTGACTTCCTACATGCGGACGATAATATCCTTCGGCGTTACTGGAATTCTTATGACTCTTCCCAACACCTTCTTCTCGTTAGGATGACGATCTCACGCGCTTATGAAATCGCTACACGCGTATTCGAACGGCTCTTCTTTGATTGTATTACACCAATGGGTCTCGATGACTGTCTTCAAACCTTTGGATCCGCCACTTGCGAAGCAGAAGATGGCTCCGCTAAACAACCCGACTGTCAGTTTCTACCGATAAGACTTCCTCGAGGTCGAACAAAGAAGTGGCCCTCGCTTGTCGTAGAAGCGGACTTGTCCGAATCACCTTCAAAATTGGCGTCTGATGCTCGGTTCTGGCTTTCTAGATCAAACGGTGATGTTCAAATGGTTATCACAATCAAGATCGGTCGGACCTCGCCTAATATCGTACTGGAGTCATGGGAACTTGTGGAAAATAAGGTCAAACGCCAGCAAGTCATTACAATAAGAAAAGGCGATAATAATCATATCTACCTCTGGGGCCAGCCACTTATAATCAGCTTCGACAAGCTCTTTCTTCGGCCACCGAGTATCCTGAAAGAAAAAGATATCACCCTTGACGACGATATTCTGAAGAAAATTGCTAGGAATATCTGGCAGGAACAAGGTTTTTGACAATGGCTTAATTAGAGTCGGTGTTATATCTCAGAGGGAGAGACTTACTGACAAAAGTCTGCATTTCTCCGTCAAAGGCAGTGGAGAAAATGTCCCAAAATACTTCACTTGTTTACCAGCGTCTTCGATTTGCTTTCTCTGGCCTTCTCGTGTACAATACATACAGAGCTTTGAACCATCACCCTCAGCCCTGGATCACGGCCAAGCACCAACTGAGAATGTGGAGAGACAAGACTCCCAACAGCTTCATTTGGGGCCTCTCAGCCAATGAAAATGAAAACAAACATCGTCAATTTTCGTCCCTGAGATAAAATAGATATCCGACCGGGCCGACGTTCCCTAGAAATATGGGAGATTCAAAAGGCCGTCGACATCTCAAGAGTCACCCACATTCTCCCACAATCTGAGTGGCATACCGGATGAGATTATATCCGGCCCCTGTCTTTTGGTCAAATGTACCACCTGTTAGGAATGGCCCAAGAGTCATTATCCTAGTGTCCTGCTTCCAATACTTGCAAAGTACTTGCAAATCTCGCCAATCCGGGGATGCATCCACACACTCTCCCCACCCCCAGATCTCCCGGAAAGGCGGAGTACGGGGAAAGGACGGGATCCCAGATTTTATGGGGTTTTTGCTATAAGAACGATGCATGATTTTTCAAACTTTTTCTTTTTCTTCTTCTCTTCGTCTGTGCTATTATCTTCCCACAGATCCTAGCCTTCATATCCAACATGGAGAAGATGGATAGCCAACATGAGCACATTGAGGGTGCAAATGCTAGTCCGCAAGAGATGGAGTCTGCAAAGTGTGATTTCTACATTGAAGACCGGGTCGCTCATCTATCCGAGGAACATCGCCAGTATCTTCTTGCGAAGCATGGAACACTGGATCTAGAACCTATTCCTGATATGACCGATGCCGATCCATACAATTGGCCGCGATGGAGGGTAAGAGACCACTCAACTCCTATCATCATTTCATACATCGACTATGTCTAATATGATTCTTGGATAGAAAAACTTGAACCTAACCCTAGTGGCCTTCCACGCCATGATGGGCACATTCACCGCGTCGTCAATCCAATCTGCATTCGAAAATATCTCCGAAGACCTTGATATCAGTATGCAGCGAACCAGTTACCTCGTCTCTCTCTTCATCGCCGTGCTAGGTGGTGCTCCTCTCTTCTGGCGCCCGCTGTGTAATCGCTATGGTCGCCGCCCTATCTTTCTGATCTCGTTGATCTGTAGCTTGATTGGAAATATTGGCTGTGCAAAGAGTCCTTCCTATGCAACCATGGCTCTCTGCCGTGCTATTACTGCCTTCTTTATCAGCCCTGCTGCTGCTATTGGTAGCGCCGTGGTTGCGGAGACTTTCTTTCAGAAAGATCGTGCTCGGTGCATGGGTGGATGGACGCTGATGGTTACTCTGGGAGTCCCTGCTGCTCCGTTTATCTTTGGATTCGTTGCTTTGCGTGTGGGTTATCGCTGGATTTACTATGTCCTGGCAATTGTGAGTATTCCTTAACCCCCGACTCCGGGAGAAAGACCCAGCTAAGCATTCGCTTCGAACAGGTCAATGCAATCCAATTCGTTACCTACTTCTTATTCGGATCAGAATCCCTCTACATCCGCAGCAATGTCCCCTCCAATAACGTCATCGCCAAACCGAGTCTATTCAGATTTACCCGTATTGACCCTGCACCACTGAAACTCTGGGACTTTTTCCAGCCCCTGAGCTACGTAATAAAACCATGCGTGATAATCCCAGCTGCCGCCTACGCAATGGTCTTCCTCTGGGGCAGTATCGCGCTCACAATTGAGATCTCTCAGGTTTACCCTTCCAAGTTCGGCCTGAACACGCAGCAGGTCGGTCTACAATTTCTCGCTATTATCATCGGATCTGTCATTGGTGAACAGGTCGGCGGGTTTATCTCCGATCGCTGGATGCTTCTGCGACAGAAGCGGACGGGAGAACCATCTCCGCCGGAATACCGTCTTTGGCTGAGTTATATTGGCCATGCTTTGACGATCTGCGGTATCGTGGTTTTTGCCGTCGAGATCCGGGATTCTGGGGGTGCATGGAATATCGCTCCAGTTATTGGCGCTGCCATTGCCGCTGGTGGTAACCAGATTGTCACTACGGTTGACATTACTTATGCGGTTGATTGTTACCGTGAAGATGCTGCCAGCGTGGGTGTTTTTATTACCTTTGTTCGGCAGATCTGGGGTTTCATTGGTCCTTTCTGGTTCCCTGAGATGTTTGAGGTTGTTGGTTGGGCTGGTGGTGCTGGTATTGCCGTTGCTCTCATGGTTGGTGTCAGTGTAATTCCGACTATCTTGGTGCAGTGGCGAGGAGCTACCTGGCGTTGATTGTGGCCGAGGACATATAATTGCTCTTTTTATCAACTAAACAAGAGAATTTGGATGTTCACACAGTAGGAGTGGTGCCTGGGTTTTACTTACTCAAGTACGATTGAAATATGGTGTACTCTGTATTCGTACAATGGTGATTCAACTTGATACTTGTGAAGTACTCTCTAATATTTCTGCTCAACTCGAGTACACTATATGTGGAATCCTAGTTTGATACCGTCATCGTTGGCACAGAAGCAATCCTATACCCGTGAATAGTTGGACAATTACTGTCAATCTTCTGTTTGATATTTCCCTGCTCGGGGATAAGTCGGGGATAAGCAAACGGTTCGAAGCCATGCCAGTCTAATGTCAAATGGGCTGCATACCCTGGACTGGCCTGGATAGACCATAATAGAACAGGGGCAATCTCCCTTGACCGCTATCTGCAACCCCCCGATTTACTTATGTCTCATATTCTATCTATCATCTAATAGGTAGGAATAGTTTATACTTGAAAGGAGGTACAGCGAGATCTCTGATATGTAAACTACAGGCAAAGTAATAGTATAGCCAATATACATATAATAACAAATCGTAAATCATCAACCCGATATCGCTACCACCCATCAACCCTTCGCATCCTCAAATGCATCCCCTCAACTGGCTTAATAGTAACAGCCCCAGCAACATGAATCACCTGCTTGGGGTCCTGCATCTCAAACGCAAAACGCCCAACGACACCAGCAATCGCACACCGCAGCTCCGCACGCGCAAAGTCCTTCCCAATGCAAGATCTCTGCCCATGCAGGAATGTAATCTGTGCGAAATTCGTCGTTGCCCCACCATTATTGTTCGGGGTAGAGTGTCCGTTCTTGTCCGTGTCAATCCATCGCTCAGGCAGGAATTCTTCCCCATTTTCGCCCCAGAAAAGTGGACTGCGGTTGATTGCCCACGGACACAAAATTATCCGTGTCCCCTTCGGGATATACTTCCCTGCGACGACAGTGTTGCGGACTGCTTCGCGGAGTGTTGTTGGGACCGTTGGGTATAGACGGAGGACTTCTTGACAGACCCCATTTAGTAAAGGAAGTGATTCAAGGTCTTGGTAGGTTATTGGACTGTTGCCTGATGGAATTTTGGTGCGGATTTCATCACGGAGACGAGTTTGGTATTCCGGGTGAAGATGGAGGAGATAACAGGCCCAGGTCAAGGCACTGGCGGTGGTTTCATGCTGCAAGGGTTAGCTATTTGCTCGACTAGAAATGCAGTTGTGGAATACTCACTCCAGCAGCTAAAAATGTCAACATCTGATCGACCAACTCTGTATCCGATAAATCCCCACCAAGCATCATCGTCCCCAGAATATCAGCTTCAAGATCCTGAGCAGAAACCTTTGATCCAGCAAGAGCGGCTCTCTTTTCTCGCACGATCTCATCGCAAGTACGACGTAGATATCCCGTTTCGGTATCCAGTATGTCGTTGATCCGCCACGGTACACGTCTTGCAATCCACTGTGGCAGTATGTGGTTCATCACCAGGAACGCCATTTTCTCCTTAGTCGGTTCGAGGATCTTCGCGAAGCTATCAGCCACCTTGTTTCTCTTGTTGTTCAGTGAGCCAAAGTCACGTCCCATTGCTATAGGACCGATTATGTCAAGTGTGAGGCGACTGAATGATTGTTAATATACTCTATCGAGAATATAATGGGATGCTTGCAAGACGTACCTCGCCCACTCGGCCATCTCAATCTTACCCTCCTGGTCCTCTGGACTCGTTCCATCCATGGGATCTATCTTTATCTCTTTTTCTAATTCGTCCAGCAGCTGTCCCGTCTTGCTCCACATGAGAGAATACATGGAGCGAATATTTTTGATATTGAACGCGGGCGTAAGCGCTTTGCGCTGCCTCTTGTGAGCTGCACCTTCTGAGGTAATCATTCCAAAGCCAATGATCCGGGCGAGGAAGTTGCGCAGGTGCCATGGCTTCTCAAAGTCATATGTGTTCGTGCTCATCACATCTAATAGGGCCTGGTGGTTGGTTGGGATCACATTACTTTGATTGAACGTGTCACGCATGTGAAGGAGTCCTTCATTTGGAACGGTTTTCATCCATTGGAGGGGTTTTGTTCCTCGAGGCGAGTCGAAGATGAGTTCTACATGCGAGCTCTGTATCATGTTAGTACTTCCCAGGTTCTATGCTTTCATTTGTGTTCTTTCTTACCTGAACCTTTGGTAGATGTCTCAATGGGTTAAGTAAGAATGGCCATATTATTATGCCATAAAAGGCTTTTAGGAGGATGTTTACTGTCAGTGCGATGAGACTGATTTTTTGATAGGTGCTGTCAATGAAAACAGCCCGTTGGAGGAAATACGCCTCGGCAAGGGTGAATGCACCTAGCGCCAGGATACTGTCGCCGAGGGCCATATTTTGATTTTTGAATTGAAAGAAAGTTTGGGATTCAATCGAGGCTGATATACTCTTCGTCTCTTTTTTTTTTTTTTTTTTTTTTGTTCACATTATACCCCCGCAGTGATCGACATTCCCTATTTAGGCGATCAATGCGAGACCTCGGTCCTAACTGCCATTTAGATTGACATAAGTTCTGACTATGCAATATATTAACTAGTGAATTTAGGCTTACACTCGTACTATAAAAATACGAGTGTCAGTGAAAATAGCCGAAAATCCATCTGCCTGGGCTAAAATGACCTGAAATGTCAGACCAGTCAATTCTAATTAGGGCTGGGATAATGCGGGGTGCCAAGAGACATGTGAAAGGAAGAAAAGGAGAGAAGAAAAAGAGGAGAGAAATGGAGAAAAGGAGAAAAGAAAAAAGAGAAAAGAGAACTGAACTACAAAAATTTGTACTTGTCGATCTTGTCGATCTCTGTGGGGAATCGCATTGATTTCCTTGTTGGAATGTAAAATGTGAAGCCTCGGTTGGCTACGTACAAATGTTCTAAATGTCCTAAATATCTTAAAAACATTCTGAATATCCTAACTTGGATGTTAATATAATCCCATTTACTCTCCGATATTCTCATTTCAATCATAATGTCTACCCTTGACCTCATCACCAAATATACCCAAACAGCTCTATCTCACCTCCCAGAGCCTACCCAACATTTCTTCCGCAATTCAACAACCCAAAAGGCCCTCGGTGTTTTCGTCGGTCTCGCTCTCCTCCGAGCCACAAACCGTTTCCTTTCAAAACGTGCCTTACAAAATTGGACATCCAATCAACCATGGATTGCAGCCCGCGAGCTCATTTTGCTCACTGGCGGCTGTAGCGGAATCGGTAAACAGGTTATGGAAGACCTAGCGAGCACAGGTGTGCGTGTGGTCATTCTCGATATTAATGAGCCGAATTTCACACTACCCGCCAACGTCTCTTTTTACAAGGCGAATATCACTTCCTCGGCTGATATTGCCGATGTTGCGCGCACAATCCGTGACAATCACGGTGAGCCTACGGTTTTGATCAATAATGCTGGTGTTGGACACGATGGGACGATCCTTGATGAGCCCGAGGAGAAAATTCGTCAGACCTTCGAGGTTAATACCCTCTCTCATTTCCTTATGGTTAAGGAGTTTTTGCCGGCTATGGTGAAGGCAAATCATGGCCATGTGGTTACTCTTGCTAGTATGGCAAGCTTTGTGGCACTTGGTGAGATGGTGGATTATTGTTGCACCAAGGCTAGTGCGCTTGCTTTCCATGAGGGACTGCGTCAGGAATTGAAGCATTGGTATAATGCGCCTAACGTGCGCACTAGGTGAGTTACTGGCTTATTGGATTTCATAGTGAATTTCTGCTAAATCTTTTTTTTTTTAGTATTATTCACCCCTGGTGGGTACGTACGCCTATGATCAAGATGCTCACTGAACACGAGGGGCAATTTGATCAGCCTGTCATGACTACCCAGGTCGTCTCGGATGCTATCTGCAAGCAGATCTTGACCCAGAGTAGTGGTCAGATTATCTTGCCTGCTCGTCAGTCTGTGGCTAGTTGGGTGCGTGGTATGCCTACTTGGATGCAGGAGGCTGTACGCACGTTTGCATCGAGTGCGTTGATCAAGATGCGCGTTGCTCAGAAGGCATATGAGGCAAAGGTGCAATAGATATTTTATTTTGGTGTACGGGTTTAATTTACATGGAAAATTAAGAAAATATCACAAGCTGGTCTATGGACTTTTGTTTTTGAATAGCCGGAGTAGAAATGTGAGTTATTTCTGGGTAACAGAGTAATATCACAGTTCCTATATAACGACATTGATGACCTCTAGCTTTGATACTATCTGCGGAAGTCACTAGGTACGGAATATCTGTCTACCATGGTATAAAACATTCCAATATCTTCAATATTTGTTTAATCCAGTATGCCTAGCTGTACTATATACAAATCACATCAACTTGGCCAAAAATGCCTCAATCTTCTTCCCCTGCTCCGTCTTGGTGTTATTCATCAACTCCAAATGATACACTGGCGCAACATGACACTCCCCTGGAGCAACAAACAACTCCACATTCTCAAATCCTTCTTTGAATTTCCCTGCGAAGTCTTGAATCAAAGGCAATAGAATCTCATTCCCACCTCCAGCAATTAAAACCGTGTTCACTGGGAAGGTGGTAAACCAATCCGTCGGCGCAGTCGATAAATCAGTGTAATAGTCCCGCTTACCAGGTCCAATATAGGCTGTCGACCACGGTTCCGCAACTGCCTGGGTAATGATATCGCCGCCGTCGTAGACTTTGATTCCTGGGAACTTTTTATCAAGCAGAGTCCACGGTGCGATCATGACTGCGCCTCCCAGGTTGCTATGCAGCGGAAGGGCATCAATCTCTGGATGTGGGTGCGCCAGGTGAGAAAGGACCCCTCCAACCAGGTTCCCACCTGCAGAGTCGCCGCCCAAGAAAACCGTGGATGGGTCACGGTTTGACGAGAGAATGTATCGTAGACAATTCACGGCTTGTCGAAGTTGCGTGGGGTAGACTGCAATTGGGGCTAGCGTATAGGTCAGACTGAAGACTGCAACGCTTTTGCCTGATGCCTTGAGATCTCGCACAAGCTGGGCATAGAATTTGAAATAGCCCATGTTGGCGGGGAGTCCAAAACCACCCCCTGAATTATGTGGTCAGCCGCGCGGTCTTCTTTGTAGGAGCTATTATACATACCATGATACCAGATTATTACATTGTCGGCATTTTTATCACCCACCCAGTGTCCCAAAGCACCATCACCCAATTGTACGGACTCGGGCACTTTACCTGTCGACTTGGAGTATCGTTCATAGATCTTGAGGTCTGATGGTAGGATATATTGCATCTGAGTGGCGGTCAACCGTGCACTTGCCTTACGGAACAGCGCATATCCCAAATGAAGAGACAATGTCTTGGCTTGGCGTTCGGTGCGCCGGAAACCAGTTAGGAGAGCATAGATGCAGGTGAGGAAGATAGATCCCACGGCTGGGAAGATGTCCAGTTTCTCCTTTAGGGAGAGCTTCACTTTAGTTTTAATGAGAGACATAGTTGGGGTGGTTTTTTTTTCATGAACAGGCTAAGTTAGACCATAAGTATACAATATTTGGGGAACTGTCGATCCTTCGCAAAGATATCCTGTTTGGGAAATTGCCGAGGTTCGGTTTTTATATTGATATAGATGTAGATGTATGTATGTGTAGATGTAGATGAATAGGAATAGATGAAATAGTTGAATAGATATCTATATAGAGAACTGTGTAATATGTATAACAAAAGTGAAAGAAATATCTCTTTATATCTCTTTTATACATACTGCATGAATTCCATCTCCCCGATCTCCCCGTGAAGAGCTACCCCACGCCAATCTGCTGATCACAGCATGAAACCGAGGTGGTGAACTTGTTTAAATATCCTCAATGTTCACTTTATTTACTCATCACATTCATCATGGAAACAAAACAATTCGATGTCATCATTGTTGGTGCTGGTATCTCCGGTATCAATGCCGCCTATCGCATTCAAACACAACTTCCCAACTACACTTATACCATTCTTGAAGCTCGTACCGATTTAGGTGGTACTTGGGATCTCTTCAAGTATCCTGGGATTCGTTCTGATTCTGATCTTTTCACCTTTGGTTTCCAGTTCAATCCTTGGTTGCGTGATAATCCCATTGCTGAGGGTTCTGCCATTAAGGAGTATGTACGAGAGACAGCGACCAAATATGGCATTGACAAACATATCCTCTATAACCACCGCCTATCATCTGCAGACTGGTCCTCCAATGAAAACAATTGGTCGCTCACTGTCGATCACAATGACTCTGAAGAAATCTACACCGCCCGCTATGTGATCTTTGGCACGGGCTACTACAACTACAAGGATCCCCTGAATCCTGACATCCCTGGCCTGGATGCTTTCCAGGGTCAGATTGTCCATCCACAATTCTGGCCCAATGACTTCCAATATAAGGACAAGAAGATTGTTATCATCGGATCTGGCGCGACCGCCGTCACTCTCCTCCCCAATCTCGCCGATCATGCCGCCCGTGTCACAATGCTCCAGCGCAGCCCAACCTATATTCTCTCCCTCCCAAACCGATCAAACAGCCGTTGGCTTTCCTACATCCTCCCCAATTCCCTGTATATCAGATTGCAGCGCTTGATTTACCTCTACACCAATCGCATCTTCTTCCTCTTCTGCCAGCGCTTCCCGAATTTTTCCCGTTGGTTGCTGAAGTTGAATGTGCGCAAGCAATTGCCCACCCATATCCCCTACGACCCACATTTCAAGCCCAAATACAACCCCTGGGAGCAGCGGTTGTGTGTTTGCCCCGATGGGGATCTGTTCCAAAGTCTGCGACAGGGCAAGGCGGATGTCAAGACTGATACAATTCGCGAGGTTACAAAGAATGGTATTTTGTTGAATTCTGGCGAGCAACTCGATGCAGATATTATTATTACTGCTACGGGCTTGCGCTTGCAGATTGCTGGTGGATCGGCCCTGTCTGTGGACGGGAAGAAGATTGACACCGGGGAGAAATACCTGTGGAATGGAGTCATGCTCCAGGATGTGCCTAATGCCGCTTTCGTGATTGGGTATACCAATGCCTCGTGGACTCTCGGTGCGGATGCTACGGCGCAGTTTGTCTGTCGTTTGCTCAAGGATCTTGAGTCGCGGAAGTTGATCGCTGCTGTGCCCCGTCTGAAGGAGACGGATGCTGCGACCCTTCAGGAGCGTCCTCTCTTGAACCTCAAATCTACTTATGTGTCCGTTGCTAAAAGCGTCTTACCTAAGGCCGCTGACCGTGGTCCCTGGCAGCCGCGTGATCACTACGTGAAGGACATGAAGTTTGCTCAGGCTGGTGATATTGAGACCGGACTGGAGTTTACGCCAGGGCCGAGTCTGCGTCTGCGCTCTAAGATGTCGTAATGATGTATGTTTATGAGATGATACCGCCCCTATCTATTATTTTCGTCTGATTCGGTGTATGGTGTTTGAGGAGGCTTTGTATTCACATTCAGCATAAATATATTCATTCCTATTCTCTGTGCAATCTCCCTCGATGTCAGTTTACGATATAAACAAGGATGCCCCCCCACGGAATCATCTGCTTAGCTTATGCCGGTGCATCTATCGGAGTCGCGCAGACGCTTATATTCCCAAAATACCACCCATGTTCAGGATTCGGCCACCTCAAATCCCGATCTGAACCAGCATTTCCCGCCCTGCTATTGATTCCTTCAACATATTGCACACCATCGGTGGTAACCTGCACCCCAGTCTCCTGAGTAATCCAGTATTCAGGCGAAGGCTGGCTCCAATCTAAGAATGGTAGCTTGAGTGGGACTTTCGGTACAGGGTCTGTAGTGTGTGTGGCTCGGTAGATGCTGTTGGATTGTTGGTTTGTGATGAATTTAGCCAGCTCTAGATTCCCTGGTTTCGGGGCTCCGAATGTCCACTGATGTTTTGTTAGCTGGCATACATCCCTCCATTGTTTTGCAATTCTACATACAATGTCCAGATTAAACCCTTGTGTTCGAAGAGCAGTCCCTGCCAACGTTGCAACACCTCCACCCAGACTGTGTCCTATAACGTTCAATCTATAGCCCGGATATGAGCTGATTGCATCGTGAAGCTGGGCCGTCGCCTGGCTCGCTACGGCGGTCCAGTATACCCAGAACCCGTGATGAGCCCTGCACCCCTTGCACACCTCATCAATCGAAGCGAGAACAATGTCAAGATCTGTCTTGCCGTCGCTTCTAGATACCGATCCGCGGAATGTTAAGAGGATCATTTCCCGCGTATGGTCTAGGGCGATGTAGCCCGTCGGCCCGTGGTCGCTGTGGAATGTGTCAATTACCGTCGTGTTGTCGGCTTGTACGAGTCTGCAGTTGCCGTAGTCGCAGGTAAGGCTTTGGCCTGTGTGGTTGATGTTTTGGTCGCAAGCTGATATGCTGGCGAACTGGGAGAATAGGTTGAATTGTTCCAGTAGCTCGGTTGAGATTGCTGATGCATTTGAATCTTAGATAGGATATTGTTATTTGTTGGGAGACTTACCTCGGCGCGCTAATTGGATAGGAGATGCAATGGCCATCATGCTGAGTGATAGCACTGCTAGCACATATGTTGATCCAACCATATTGGATAAGGCGTGATATATATGCTGGATACACAGAATACACCTTGTATTGGACTGGGATATCCTGCAGATGTGATACTTTGCCTATTCTCCTCTCGGGGAAGTGAGCTCATATTTATACAATTCCTTTTCTATCAACAATGTTAACCCGCCTATGGAATGATTACTCCAAGGAGGGGTAATGCCTTCATGGCTTAGTTCTATGCACCGTGATACGATTTGTGTGGAGCTGACTGTAGAACCACTAGCTGACTACATTGGCAGCGTTAATCCATCTTGCATCCGGAGGATAACTCGATTTCAAGGCTGAACAACCAATTAGGACTGTTGGAATAACCCCAGTTCCTTGATACATCAAGGATGCCCTCGGGTAGCACCGGGAAATGTTGCACTGCATCCCATAGAAATATATGCATCGTCTATAGCTGTAGTATATGCATTGTGATTAACGGTACCCCTTGCATTTTCATGCAGTGCGACGTCTGAATTTTGAGAATATCATAGCTGAAGATGTTTACACGTGTGACTGCGATGGATGTACTAAAACAACTTGATCCAGATCATGACGATCCTCTATGACATGTAGACTCGATCTGGCTTCGTGTGATTAATTTGCATTTAACTACTAAGTGTCCTCCAATGGTATGCAATTACTGATTATTTTATTGGATCATGCATGTTATCACATCTCGGTGCAGGAGTATGGAGCACGCTATCTATAACCCGATATACTTGTTATATCTATTGGTAAGGTAGCATGATCGTCAATAATTGCTTTTTCTGTCCTTTTCAGCTGAGGGGAAGGCAACCAAGCCCCTCTATTATCCCCGCGTCTCAAAAACGAACCTAACAAATCCAATCTCGAGTGATATTCTCAACGTCCTCAATCGCGGATTGTCACCGATTGCAACAATGAATTCAAGATCCTCCAAACAAGCTTGTACTAACAACCAGATCAGTCTTCTCCTTCGAGTGCATATTCGCTCTGATATTCAATGCACATTAACAAGCATGGCTTCCTTGGATTATCAAACTACTGAAATGTCGGAGCCTATGGAAATGCTAACTACCACTCAGCATGCCTGATATGACCGAGCCACAAAGTCCGTCTTGTTGCCGGCCTCGAGGTCCTGTTCATTGAATATCCCACAGTCCCCGCCAATTTAAGCAGTATCTCTCCCTCTCTTCGTTTTGGATATACAACTTCCAAGGTTCTTCTAGAATAAATAAAGTTTCAGATTTAACTTTTGGGGGAATAGTTTAAAGTTAAACTTATTGGAGAAGTCAACGGGTGGCTTTTGTTAAACTATGCGTCTTGGCTATCTTCTTTTCACTTCCACAAATTGCGATATTAATAGACACTCATCCTGGTCTAAATTAAGGCATTCGACAAAAAGCGGGCAGCTACAACAAGGGAAAAGGCCTAGACGGAGTCTGGCATGACGCGATATATAATGACTCACGTAAACGATACCTGGCGAAGAAGGTAGGTAGAAGACGAGTGGAAAGGAAAAAAGACGAGCCAGACGAGAAAAAGGCAGAGGAGTCCCAAGGTAGGAAGGGGTTATTGGCAATAGAGTGGAGGCGAAGGAAGCGGGCCGGAGGATCAGATGTAGACTATGAGTCATGAGAGACTGACGAGGACTAATGTTACAACCTGCCCCTGGACTGAGGAGTTACACACTAGGCTAAAAAGACCACTATATCTGAACACTATGCTCAGATATTCCAGGCTCCGATATATATAGTGTATGACATGACAACTAAGGGAGTACCTCTAATTTGGAATACGAGGAACAAGGAGAAAACGGACAAGAAGGCGGCGCAGGAACCAAACGAAATGCGAAACAAGATACAAAGCTGCGAAGAGAACGTAATTATGATATGCCTGAGGTTCTGTGGAGGAGAGAATCAATGGCTGTACCGCTCGAATGAGATGGTTGACAGATAACACGGATGTAATAGGAGAAGGAAGGTATTCGAGCTCGGAAGACTCCTAATGCCGCCCGGTGGTGGATGCTGCTGATAAAGTGAAGTTGGAAAAGGAATCTGGACAAGGTCAAGGTCGATCAGAGTAGGGTAGGTATCTAAGATGCGACGTGAAGGACGGAAAGACACAGGGACGAAAAACGATAGAGAAACCATCAAACATGGATACCATCTCCTGGGTCTACCCCAGGTACAGTCCTAAAGAAAGGCAACAAACAGATACAAAGTTTACGAAAGAAAGAAATTGATTAAAATGAAATATCATTTAAATGGGTATCCATGGTCTTGAAGCCATACTTCTTAATGTTCAGCTTTAGCCAATCATGCCAGGATATTAAGCCCAAACTATCCATATGTACCATTACTTCATCCTTACATATCTCGATACGAACGTCTCTTTACTTCCGTTCCTCATCCTGGACAACTGCCTGGGGAGTGAACTCGCTGTTTGGCAACATGTTCATGGCGTCCTCCTGTCCGTCCAACTTGTAGTTGGTGGCCCAGAAGCCGACACCGCCGAGGAAGGCGAGAATAGCAACCACAGTGTAGTTCCAAACCAAGAGAGGATCGTCAGCCAGACCAATGAAAGCCTGACCAATGGCAGACGAGAAGGCGTTCATCAGAAGTGAGACAGCCTGCACGAGAGATCGCATGTTCTTGGGGGCCTTGGTGTAGGCATACTCAAGACCAGTCACGGATGCAAAGATTTCGGAAATACCACCGAGGATGTAGGTCAGAGCCTGGATCCAGACGGAGATATTGGTGTGCTCGTGCTTCTCCTCGAGACAGTAGTTGGCCTCCTTACCGCAGGGTCCGAGCTTGTAAATGTAGTGTTGGGTAACCGCGGCAACGACCATACCAAGGGCGGCAGTGACGAATCCGGCAGTGATACGCTTCAAGGGGGTGAAGCGGATACCCATCTTACGAAGAGCAGGGTAAACAAGCTGATCAAAGATGGGAATGAAGATAATCAGTGCGATGGGGTTGAGGTTGTTGATAATATCGTTGGGGACACCTCCGAGTTTCATGGTAGCCGCTTGAGATGTCAGGTTGTTCAGCATCTGGTTGTAGGCGAGCCCTGGAGAATGATTAGTGTGTGCAAATACAGTATAAAGGTTTTCGATCACATACAGTAAAGGGGGAACCACAAAAAGACTCTGCAGGCCATCAGTCCTCGTCGAACTTCATCAACCCACGCATCATCAAAGTCCATCCACGCGGGCTTGTTGGCTCCAAGGTGGCTGGGCTTGGCGGTGGCCCAAATATCGGTATCAGAGGACTTGAACCTATAAATGACAGTCAGTAAGCGATAACACTTGGGTATTGACAGGATATAACATACCATCGCACAGGGTTCAGGCTCCAGTGCCCCTTCATGGCCAACTTCCACAGCTTGAAGGCCTTGGTGTAGATTGATCCACTGGGAGGAGTGAGAACGTATTGCTTCTTGCAAATGAGCAATACAGCAGGGCAGAGACAGAACATGGCCGTCGGGAGAAGGTATGACAGCCAGAAACCAACATAACGTTCGGCGTAGACCATGGCGATTTGACCCACGAAAGAACCGATGTTGACCATCATGTAGAAGTATAGATAGATACGGGAAACAGTAGCAGACGGGTCAATAATGACACGCTCACCGGTAGCAAGTGTGCTAACATATGGCTTGTCATCACGGTATTGTTCTGCGATCAGGGGGGCGATGTTGGCCTTGAAACCACCAGTTCCGATACCCATAATGATAAGACCAACAGAGAAACATCCAATGGCTCCATTGGGGTGTTGAATAACTTGAGGAATGGCGGAAATGATAAGAATGACGTGTCCAACGAGGGCGCAGGCAATCGCGGACATGATGGTACGGTAACGACCCCAGTATTGATCAGCAATCATAGCACCGAAGAGGGGCATGATGTAGGACCAGAAAGCATTGACTGTGCAAATCAAGATATATTAGCAAATTGAACTGTACCTCTCAAGGTCCATATCACTTACACAAGGTCAAACCGGTGGAGGCCTGTTGGCCCATACCCAGAGCTCCGGGTGAATCATTGCTCCAGTCAGAGACACCTGCAACAAGGTTACCAGCGGAAGATCCATCGGGCAAAGGTCGCTGAATGAAGTTGACGACTAATCTAGGTTAGCCATCTATCCCGTTCTCTCAAGGGTATAAATAGTCACATACAGACAGCAGTGGTACCGTAGTACGAGAAACGTTCGCACAGTTCCACAAAGGCAACACTGTATGCAGCAATAGGCAGTTTTCCGGCGACACGGCGCAAAGTGGCCAGTTCCTCCTCGGTGGGAGCAGTCTTGTCTAGAGAATCTTCACCATCGATGGATACATTTCGGAGAGGTGCATTGTCGATAGTCATCTCATCAACTATTGGGGCCTTCTCATTGACGGCGACATCTTTTGAGAGTGCCCTTGATTTGGCAATCTCAGCCACGTCGACAGGGTCGCTGGCATTCATGGTGACAGATCTGGGGGAGGGGGGGATGATTCCAGAGATATGGGGAAGATGAAACACAAAAAGAAAAAAAGAAAAGGAAAACTTGAGGAAGGAGGAGGTGAAGCAATTATATGGACATGGCGTGATTAGCGTAACCGTTCAGCTGGGGACCAAGAGTTTCTCACGTTCTCCCATTCGAGAAGCCCCGGGGCATTGTCTGTATTGGGACGTGGCGGATAGCGGGATATCATAAAAAAAAACCGTCAATAGCCGGAAAAAAAGACCCTGCATCTAGGACTTTTACTTGATTGAGTCTATTAGTCCAATGATAATTCTTAACGGTTTACGGAGTACGGAGTACTTCTTTATTTTTTATTATTTTTCTTTGATAAGCAAAGTCATTTTAAGAGAAATTGGGAAAGTTCAAAGAGATCCCGGAATGTTAATAAATGCCAAGACTTATATCATCCAATCAATCAGCTGTTGTGGGCTTAGACCCCCCCCAGCTTTGGTGGTACCGTGACCCACTTGGCGTCTTATCTTACATTAGTGTGGTTTACCTAAGTCTTGGCAAATATCTTGGCACGGTTAGTCCGTGTATCTCCCCGCGCCATGCCGCTTGGCTGGTAAGTTACACTGTAACCCTGTCTGCTTGGCTACTTCTTTTATCCTATCACAATCCAAGAATGGATAACCGAGGTGAGATAACTGGTATCTCCTAATATTAACTAATAATCTCGCGCACATGGTCTTAATCCAATCAAAGACAATTCATCCCCCCCTCGCTTGATAAAAAATGTGGGACTCCAACCGATTAGGCTCAAGGTGAAATTGCCTATTCCCCCCTCTCCACCCCTGGGGAAGTGAGACATTTAGTGTGGGCCATTGGGGCCATGTGATGTTGCCATCAAATTACCCGATGTGCTTTATCCTTCCGCACATTGGCAGTGTCTTGGTCCGTCGGTGTCCGGGAATCGGCCTCGTATAAACTCATGACTGTTAAAGTTGACTACCTGTTTAATGGGGAGCTATCGGGTTTCGCCCCCCTTGGTCTCTCACACGATTAGGCCGCCTGATTTCGCTTCATATTTCCTTCCAATTCAAATATATTGTCTGACATTCGGTCTCTTTCTCTTTCAACCCCCGTACTGGCAATATCTAGCAATTTGAATCTTGCTAGTTTATCATTCAAACTGTCAGGACTCTGTCTGTGATACGATCGTCCGGGTGATCGTCACTTCACTACATCCACCATGTACATCGGTGGGTTGAAAGTCTTATGGTGGAGTTGATACCCGCACTCGAACTTGTAATTTTCGAATCATTTAAGACGTTTATCTCACTAACCCTTGCTCATGTTGCACTCATCCTGTTGGACAGATCTAATCCACCGCCTAGGGCCAGATTCCGGACCTTGTCCGCTTCTTTTGCATTGACCATTGTGTCCTTGCGCGTTTGTTTGACTGTTTTCCGATTGGACCACAACAACACATATGGGGTCGAATGTTTGAACTGCTCAAGTACCGAGCCAAGCTGGCTTGGCCTGCCTTGTTTTTTATGAGTGGATATCCGATCGCGTGAGCGCATGCCTGTATGTTGCATTATTGCATCAAATCATATCTTCCTCCATGCAGGATGTTAACTTTGGATGGACAGATGGGCAGTATAATTCCTGCTTAAGTATCTGCTAACCCCTCTTTATAAGTTTCCCTGTCACACCGAAATTTATCCCACACTTATATATGCGCAAAATAACCTCGAAATCCAAATGGTGGCATTAAAGTGACCATCGCGCAATATCCCCGGATTTCTTGACGGCGGAACCTCGGGAGAATGAGACGAGAAACCTGACGTCTCAGATCGAACCAAATAAATAAACCCACTTGATATCGCAAGCGGTTGTAGATCGAACTGAGCCGACCGGTGTAAAAGAAGGTAATTCGATAGACACTTTTCTATGTGATGTACCTCAAACTACCTCAATCTATACCGCAATCTCAATATACTTTTTTTGTTGTAGTTCATCTCCATGTCTTCTGGGCCTCTATTTTCAATCCTTCGAAGCTCTCAAAGCCAGCAGTCGAGTCCACACCCCTGACGATGCTAAACTCGAAGCGGCAATAACCCCTATCTATGAAACAAATGAGAAGGCTCGACTCAACAATCTCCACCAGTGCCAGCACCTTTTTTTTATTTTCTTATCTTGAGTGCTGCCGTCTTGCTGAATCACCTGAAATGGTGACATGGGTGCTAGCCGATTGGCACATCATCCCACATTATCCTCGCACAAGCTCCATCGCGATATCCCCGACAAATGTGTCTCAGCCAGCTCAATTACAAGATAGCAAGTCGAATTAATCTGACACACCCGTATGAGGAAGCAATTTCGAAGCCAGATCATCTGATTAGGCTCTCACCTAGGAGCAATACCAGCTCCGTGAATCAGTCTGTCAATCTCTCTCTTATACTCCGTACTGTGCTCCATGATGTCGCAACCTTTAACGCAGCCTCTCGTCCAAGGTGGACATTCTAGATGAGCAAGCTTCTGTCAATGTTTGTCTCCAATATGTTATCATGCATCCAGACAACACTCTCATTCTTGCCGCTACGCATCCAAATCTTACAACTACGAATCCAACAAGCGACGGTTGTTTGTGTCCGATTTTTACGCTTTATTCTCCTGACGGGCCTTTGAAGAAGCCAAACCTGGCTCACAGCGGATGGTACGGAGAACCTGGTGCAGAGGTACAATCCCTTTCTCCCCAACCTATACCAAGACCAAAAGGGTTGCCTAGATTGCGAGATGCTTCGGGAGAAACGATCGCCGAAGTAACGCACGAGTTACATAATTGATCGATTTCTTGAGGAAGCAAAAACAAAAGCATCGAAGCTAGCGAAGCTAGCGAAGCGAAACTGTGCTTGCCTGCTTTTGCTCGTCTTTTGTCATAGTCAGCCTAGTCACTACTTGTTACCGGATACTGGCTATCAATCGAAGGTGCATAGCATACTCCGTCTGAAGGGTATGCTTGAGCCAGACGTATGCATCACTCTTGTCACAACCGCTTGCTATTCCCAAGGATGGAAAACGTCTCCTGACCTTAACCACACTACGATGGGAGCTGGTGATGGGGACATAGATCGGGCCATTTCTCACTCCCAAAGTGGGTTTCCAAGCATTAGCGGATTCTGCGGGTTTATGTCCACCAGTACCTTGTTAAGACTTTGTCCAGTGCGGCAAGTCCTCTCCTAGAAGCTGCCCTTGCTTCCGACCATGCCTAGATGCAACAATCCCTACAGCCAGAGAATCATGATAGTGTCTAAACCTTGACCTATAATGCCTTCTATTAGTCTGTCGCTTTCCCCACAGAACAGGCAGAGAATAAGTGATTCGACTTGCCAGAACGCCACTATGATTTAGCTGTCGCTGAGATTGCTCTGCATGCTTTTTTTTAGTTATTTGTCCAACGTCCTGACTTGCTCCTAACAGAAACCGAAAGCTAACTTGCCATTATTCTTCCCAACACATTTCTCTTCCCCTTTGCCTCTCCAGTCACTCGGATAGTTATGAGAACATTATTGCCTTATGTCCACGGCAGGTGATAGGCAGATCCCCCGGGGCCCCGGGGCCGCTTAATGAGCTTATATAATGACCCGGAGAGTGCCCAAGTGTTCAGTGGCGTGCTCAATTTTACTGCGAGATCATAAAGCGGCAAGGTCTAAGCACCCAAAATGGAAGGAGAACGCCAAACTCAGGGCTGCAACAGCACAAACAGCTTCATTTTTGACTTTCTGCAATGTCTCTTCCACAGTCATCTTACTACCAAGGGTTATCTTACTTCCCGACAGTGACAGAGCGACAGGGGCAGATATGTTGCCTAGGGATCGTGACAGCTTATTCATGGATTCTCTCACCTCAAGCAGGCTTGCGGATATCAAAGCCATCAAGAGGTCAAAATCAAAGTGTTGAGCCCCATTGAGATCTTTCAACTCATGGCGTTTACCTAAAAAAAACAGAGTTATTTCCCCAGAAAAGCATGTTCAACCCGTGCTAGTGGGTGTGAAAACCTATATACGCCCCTTACTTCATCACGTCGGCTACATATCTGGCCACACCATTCCTAATCCGAGATACATTCCTCTCAACGGCCACTTACAAACCTTCTTGATGGTCCAACCACAATGATCTCGTTTGTATCATGACTATGCCCCGCCCATGTTAGATCTCCTGCATGATATATGTATGGGGAATATGGATACTTCCCCACTGGGCTATCCCCGCATAATCAGTGCACTGGCTGATCTGCCGCTTTTGAGTTCCGGGCTATGCTTTCTGCACTGTCTCTCAGTTGTCGGAAGGAGACAGCGAATGCCAAAGCTAAAAAGGATAGCTGAATTCAACCCAAGAGACACATGCTGATGTTCTTGAGTTATGACATTATGAAACCTGTCCATCTAGATTTGCTCAGGGGATCAACAGTGGGGAACATTAACATTCTATGTATACCCCTTGGTTACCCACTCGACATGAGAGGATTGTGAAGGCAAGGGCAAAGTAAGATCATCACTAGTGTGTTAGAAGCTCTTCTGACATCAAAGCTCAAGGAAGAATCATGATGCCTTCCATCTTCAAACTGATCTGGCTGTCTGCTTTGCCTCTGGTCTGGGCCGTTCCAGCGCAAAAGAGAGCAGCTAACCCAACTGTGATCATCCCCAAGCCTGAGGCTACTGTTATTGGCTCCACGGGTCTCAATAAGATCGATGAATTCAATGGAATCCCGTTCGCACTGCCTCCGACTGGATCCCTTCGATTGAGACCACCCCAGCCAATCCAAACACCCCTGGGAACTATCCAGGCGACTTCGACAGCAAGGTCTTGCCCACAATTCACGTTCAGTACCGACGAAAAGGACATGCCTGGTTCTGTAATTGCAAAACTCACCAATATCCCGATCTTCCAGGAGATCACCAATTCTGGCGAGGACTGTTTGACTCTCGATATACGTCGTCCTTCCACAACTAGGGCGGACGCAAAACTACCGGTGCTGGTCTGGATCTTTGGCGGTGGCTTTGAACAAGGTGCCACCGCAAGATATGATGGATCAAACTTTGTCACAAGCTCTGTGAAACTGGGCATGCCAGTCATCTTTGTGGCAATGAATTACCGACTCGGAGGGTTCGGGTTTCTACCCGGTGCAGAGATCCTGAAAGATGGCTCCGCGAATCTCGGACTTGTAGACCAACGTCTTGCTTTACAATGGGTTGCAGACAATATCGCCGCATTTGGAGGGGATCCGTCCAAGGTTACCCTCTGGGGTGAGTCTGCTGGAGCCATTTCAGTGTTTGATCAGATGGCCATGTATGACGGTGACAACATATACAATGGTTCGCCGCTTTTCCGGAGTACAATCATGAATTCCGGCAGCATTGTGGCTGCAAATCCAGTTGACGGCACGAAAGGTCAGGCTGTATATGATACTGTTGTTCAAAACGCCGGGTGCAGTGGCACTAATGACACCCTCGCATGTCTACGCGGGTTGGATTACACCACATTTCTCAACGCCGCGAACTCGGTCCCGGGTATATTGGGCTACAATTCTGTTGCGGAGTCATATTTGCCTCGTCCAGATGGCACGGTCTTGACTGAATCACCAGAACAACTGGTCGTCCAAGGCAAGTATGCCTCGGTGCCATTCATTATCGGTGACCAAGAGGATGAGGGCACCATCTTCGCTTTATATCAGAACAATTTGACGACTACCGAGCATATCGTCGACTATCTACAGACTCTATATTTCTTCGATGCCTCACGGCAGCAGATTACGGATCTTGTCACCACCTACCAAAATATTCAAGAAGACGGCTCCCCCTTCCGCACGGGATCCCTTTACAACTGGTACCCTCAATATAAACGATTGGCGGCCATTCTGGGCGATCTGTCTTTCACCCTCGCACGCCGGGTCTTCCTAGATTACGCCAAGAAAGCGAAACCAGATGTTCCTTCTTGGTCCTATCTCTCATCTTATGACCATGGCCTCCCCTTCCTAGGCACCTTCCACGGATCGGATGTCATCCAGGTGTTCTATGGGATCTTGCCAAACTACGGATCCAAATCCATACACTCATACTACTTATCTTTTGTGTATGAGCAGGATCCCAATGAAAGGGCTGGGGATTATATGCATTGGCCACAATGGCGTGACAACCAGTCGCTGATGAACTTTTTCCTCGATCACGGCGCCCTTTTACCGGATAACTTCCGTCAGGATAGCTATGACTTTCTCAAGGCGAATCTTGCTACGTTCCATATTTGAGTGGGAGTGCAAGTGCCTAAAACTTTACGAATTATGGTTATACGAATTACATGCCACATGATATAGTTATAGTCTAGCCAGCACAACTTTTCTTGGATTTGGTTCTGCAGGGTTGTGCTTACACAAACTAGTAACTGTCAATGATACTCGGAAATTACAGACATGAAACTATCTCCAAGCAGAATATGTCCTCATCACTAACTTTCAGTTCATTTCCAGCTTGCCGTCACAGTGGCGGTGCTTCCAGAACACCCAGTTGGCACCGTATAAGATCGATTAGGATCACTTTCCCATGTCACAGCCCCGTTCGTCTTCTTCAGGAATTTGTACTGGAAGGTTGTTCCGACGGGGAGTGTGATAGTCGTTTGCCACAAGGGATTGGAAGAAGTGTAGCTACCTGAAGACAGTGCGATGGCTTTACTCGTGTCCCACGAGCCAAGCTGGCTGATTGACCCTGAGATGTAGATATCCTGACCAAAAGTAGTAGTCACAAGCTCCTTGAATAAGACAGGCAGGGCGGTGGCTTGGGTGCAGCCTGTGCCCGTAGTGGTTGTCGTAGTGGTCTGAGTCGCTGTGGTGGCTGTGGTAGTTGGAACGGTTGAGCCGCAAAGTCCGCTGTTGCCCAGAGATGATGCGAGAATAAACACCCGTGGTAATCCAGATGCCATTGGCACGGCGATTTTATTGCTGGAATCCACTGTTATAGATGTGCAGGTGTACAGCTCCATAAGCTTGGTGCCAGATGAATACCCGCTTCCGCCCAAATACAATGTGTAGGAAGATCCGGATGACCCGGCGTTGGAAAGGACTGTTATGACCGGCGAACTGCCCGATCCCTTCTTCATGGCTAGGGTATTGCTGTCTTGATAGAAGGGGACATTCTTATAACTTGTCAGTGCTTTTTCACTAGCATGGTTCTGGAACTACGTACCTTGCTCGTGATATAGCTGGAATCTGCTGCGATGGCCGCTTTGCGAATCTTATTTGTAGTCGCGATATATTTGTATAACTCTGCTGTGGTAGAGTATTTCGACAGCCAGATGGCCTCGCGGTTGGCTGGGTCATTTCCTCCACCATAGTGTTGTTCTTGGCCGGAATACACAATGGGAATTCCATCTGATAAAAAGAGGAATGAGAGGACATTCTTGGCTTGTGAGTAGTCGCTTGTGTAGCTATGATAGATGGTAGTTAGTGTCTGAAAGTTCTAAAAACTTCAAATATCTTACCTTGGGAAACGTGGGTTGTCGTGATTCTCAATGAAATTGCCCAGTAGGGTTGAATCAGCACAGGTAGATGCCACAGTGCCGATCATGTTATACAAATCACTAATGCTGCCACTGGAGGATTGGAAGGCACGTAGCAGTGGGTAATACCTGGACGGTTAGTCTTTGCTCTGAGAAAATGGATAACAATCATCTCACATGGGATAGTTCAAGACACCGTCCATGTATTTCTGATAGTCGCAGGTGTACGCTGGATTTCCATCAAAGATCTCCCCGACACTATAAACGCCTGCTGCTTTATTGAAACTAGGCCAGAAAGACTTCTGGACATGCTTCACGGTATCGACGCGCAATCCATCAACTGACAATGTTAGACCAGCTTTCAAGATAAATCATTTGACTTACTGGAGTACTTGGACACTAGATCAGAGATCCAATTGTTCCAGAGTGTCTGTACTGAGCTCTTGGTTGTATCGAGATCTGGCAACGACACAATGGTGTCACCAAGCCAGCAGTTCTCGACATTGGACTGGTCATTGTAGTTACTGATCATACAGTAAGGGTGGAAGTAGGATGCAGAGTTGAAGGGAGTGAAAACACTGTAATCCACATTATTGCCAGCCCCAGCGTAGCCCTATTGGACTGTTAGAAATGTTCTCTCATTGTTTAGAGATAACACACCATATGGTTTGCCACAACATCAACCATGAGATACATGCCTCGAGCGTGAAGTGCCTTTGAGAGCGCCAAGAGGTCATCTGATGTGCCATGGTTTTCATTGACATTGTATCTAATGAAATCTGTGAGTAGAATTCTAGTATCGATGATTGGATAACCTTACATATCTTGCTGCCAGTACCCATGGTAGGACGACCCATCGCGAGTGTTTTGTGAGAGCTGTTTTGTCACTGGAGTAATCCAAATGGCAGTAAAGCCCATTCCTTGAATGTAATCCAACTGGTCAAGTTAGTATATAGGTTTTGAATAGAGGTATTCTGAGGCATACCTGGTTGATGATTCCCTGCCAAGTGCCACCACAGTAAATCTAATATGTGTAATTAGTTTATATATTCAGATCCGAGGATAAGTGAGCATACATACTCTGTCATTCACGTTACAGTTAGCAGTGACCGAATTGTCACTGCGTCCGAAGCGATCCGTTAACAGGAAATAGATCGATTGACTACGCCATTCGGCAGGTGTCAGGCCCATCACCATCTGCCATAGCAGTATGGTTGCTGTAAAGATAAGTCTCTTCATGTTTGCCTCGTAAGTAAGACAATTGTTGATATTTAGGTCTCTGAGAAAGGGGAACAGCAGCCAGACCCAATTTATATCTTTTGACTTGTCTGCCACACATCACAGTCATGCCACCTAGGTCAGCACGGGATAGACCATCTTGTTCATGGCAATATACATAGAGTAAGCTCTGTATAGTTCCAACCCAATCGGTTAAAAGGGAAAGACGTAAAAGTGCCAATTTCCTTCGAAGTTGCTCCTTCGGGCCGAGATTTTGAGTCAATACTCTGAGGAGAAACCTGATATTTCTTTGAAAATTTAGGCAACTTCGAAGTTGAAGGATATTAGTGGTACCTAAGCTCTACACTAGTCTTGAAGAGTCCCATCCTCCGGAATCTTACCTTATATTCGAGGCTCCTTCATAGTTTCACTTCTTCAGGATATTACCAAAGACAGGAAATGTCGCATCAACCCCACATTTAAGACCTTTCTCACCAAAGCGCTAGTTACCAGGTAAGTCTAGCGTGTTGGTGAATGATAACCTAACTGGCTGATTTGGCGGTCACCCCGCATTATACGGTGAAGAATGACAGGGGGCGGAGATTCAGCGGGAATGAAAGATTGATAATAATGGGATATGAGTTGAACTGTAATTGATTTGAAAAGTAGTCGATATAAGCGATTGGCATGTAGATCAATGATCGGATAGTAAGATGTCACATGTATCTCGGGAGATATTCGATTTGCCTACCGAACATAGTAATGATCAGACCTGACACTTGTAGAACTAAAAAATGAAGCTCTTGACTAGTGTTAGAAGTGAATTTCCAACGGCATTGCCGGAAAAGAAAGCCGATCTTTGCCTAATGGCATTTCTTCGGGGTTAAGATGGTACTCATTGTCTCTGCAATAGGGTGCGATCATGTAATTTCCATGCAATGACCATGCAATGACCATGCAGCATGCAAATGCATCGGCTTTAGAATTTTGACCAAATATGATTTACCTGCCCTATAAAAAGCACGTTGGACCCCCAATGATTTCGGATTAGCTCACCGTTTGACCACATCATGGCTCCTCGTTTTTGGACTGCAATTTGGGCGTTTGCTCTTGGCCATGCTGCCATCGCCGCCCCACAGATATCGTTAGCCTCTCGTGCAAGTGGCTTGGATACCTGGTTAGCATCTGAGATTACCGTGGCAAGACAGGGTATCTTGGACAACATCGGATCGGCTGGTGCTCATGCTGCGAATGCAAAGCCTGGCGTTGTAATAGCCAGCCCGAGTACCTCTGACCCGGACTGTAAGACATTCCACAGCTATTGGTTGAACTGAAAACTAACTCAACCTACAGACTTCTTTACGTGGACTCGCGACTCGGCTCTGGTGTTCAAAACTTTGGTCGATATGTTCAAACATGGTGACAGCACATTGTTGAACCTTATTGAAGAATATATCAATGCCCAGGCCTATATCCAGACAGTATCGAATCCATCTGGAAATCTGTTCAGCGGTGGGTTGGCAGAGCCCAAGTTTAACGCTGATGAGACAGCTTTCACTGGCTCTTGGGGTCGTCCTCAGCGTGATGGACCAGCTTTGCGAGCCACTGCGTTGATTTCGTTTGGCCAATGGCTTATTGTATGAATTCTGAACTTGTTTACTGTCGCATTGCTAATTAGTTCAGAGCAATGGATACACTACCCTTGCGACTAACAACGTCTGGCCCGTTGTGCGCAATGATCTTTCCTACGTTGCCCAGTACTGGAATCAGACCGGATTTGGTTAGTATATATCGATACTTGGCTGCGCACAGTGCTTATACCTTATAGATCTCTGGGAGGAAGTCTCTGGCTCCTCTTTCTTTACCATCGCGGCTCAGCACCGTGCCTTGGTGGAGGGAAGCACATTCGCAAGCCAAGTTGGTTCCTCATGTTCGTACTGTGACTCTCAGGCTCCGCAGGTCTTATGTTTCCTGCAGTCTTTCTGGACAGGATCTTACATCATGGCCAACTTTGGTGGTGGTCGCTCTGGCAAAGATGCCAACACCTTACTCGGTAGCATTCAAACTTTCGACCCGGAGGCAGGATGTGATGACACCACATTCCAGCCTTGCTCGGCTCGAGCACTCGCAAATCACAAAGTTGTGACTGATTCTTTCCGATCAATCTACACTGTCAACTCTGGTATTGCTGCAGGCAAGGCTGTTGCGGTCGGTCGATACCCAGAGGACTCATACTACAATGGTAACCCTTGGTACCTTTGCACTTTAGCTGCAGCTGAGCAGCTGTATGATGCTATATATACATGGAACCGTATCGGCTCTCTGACAATTACCCCCGTATCCTTGAACTTCTTCAAGGATCTGTACGGCTCTGCTGCGATTGGTACCTACTCCTCATCCAGCGATACGTACTCCGCAATCGTGAGCGCTGTCAAGGAATATGCGGATGGATATGTTGGCATTGTGGTATGTGGCACAGTAATATCGCTTGTTGACCCAGATTAACAATTATCTTAGGAAAAATATACTCCGTCCAGTGGCGCCTTGTCTGAGCAATTCTCCAGGTCAAATGGCTCGCCACTTTCCGCTCGTGACCTCACATGGTCTTACGCAGCCCTACTTACTGCCAATGAGCGTCGAAATGCTATAGTTCCTGCACCATGGGGCGAAACCTCTGCCAGTAGTGTCCCTAGCCAATGTCAACATACTTCGGCTATTGGTACTTTCAGCAGTGCTACAAACACCGCCTGGCCTCCCGCTTTGACCAGCGGATCAGGCGGCGTAACTACTACTGGATCCGGTGGAACTGCGACCACGACGGCGACTACGACAACATCATGCACCACTCCGACCGCCGTTGCAGTGACTTTCAATGTGATCGCCACTACCACATTTGGCCAGAATGTCAAGCTGGCTGGTTCTATCCCTCAACTTGGGTCTTGGTCTCCGAGCAGTGCTATTGCGTTGAGCGCTTCCTCATACACTTCGAGCAACCACCTGTGGTTTGTGACTGTATCACTTACACCGGGTACTAGTTTCACCTACAAGTATATCCAGGTGGCGAGTGATGGCACTATTAAGTGGGAGAGTGACCCGAACCTGTCGTACACTGTTCCCGCCAAGTGTGGCACCACGGCTGTCACGATTAGTGATACTTGGAGGTGATGAGTTTAAGGAAGGAATTAAGAAGAGTTGGAAGTAGAAGTTTTGGTCTGGCTATGGCAGTCATTAGTTCTAAGTTTGGGAAACTTTTGTCATAGATGGTGTCTTGGTTCTGCGGAGGATAACAACATGAGAATGAAATTTCATTTCAGCATTAGCTTTACGGCTATGATGAGCAATTGAGCTACCTGGACTTCTGTAGATTCTTGTGCACTTTGCATTTATATCACAAGGAAGTTCAAATTTCTTTTCCGTATTATCTATCTTTATCCAATATAGTTATGTAGTTCGGATAGATGAGTCTATATTTGATGGCGCGCAATAAACAAACCGCTGAATGACGCCAAAAGCGAGCAACCAAGAGAAACGACTGTTTCACGTCAGTGGAATACGCGATACAATTGGATATCAACTCACGGTATGTATGCTTAAGCCCGGAGACGTAACAAGCCACCACAATCTCCCGTAGGTGGCCACTGAGGTGAGCAATATAATTCGTATCGGCCATCGCACGTTGAATAACCTAGCAGATTTAGCACTACAATCAAAGATCCTCACTAGACAGTACTTACCTTTTCAGACCCAGGCCCGTGAAGATTTAGCCTTAGCTGCCGCTGGAACTCCATCCCCAGAACCGAATTGGATGTAGTCACACCAGCCGTCATGGAGAATCCCGCAATAAGCATATATCCCGCCGTCGCCATGGCAATTTCATCAGCCGGTAGCATAGATGACATGGCGATAAATGATGATGCTGATGCAATTCCCGTACCAAGTCCACCGGGGAGAATAAATAGGGACTCCCAGAAGCCGCTGTGTCCATCCCAGTGGAGGTATAGGAGGAGGTAGGAGATACCGGCAACCAGTCCGGCGATGACAAGGAGAATCTTGAATTGTCCTGTGCGCTGGATAAATATTCCTGCCAGTAGTCCACCGAGTGTATTTCCGATAACTGCTGGAATAAGATGCATCCCCGCTGCTGTCGTAGATGCGCGCTGTGTTACTTGGAAATATAGTGGGACGGAGAACATCAGGCCTAGCTGCGCGGTGATCTGTAGTGCACTGATTATGTATGCCGTTGAGACGTTTGTGCGCCGGAGAATCCGAAGGTTGAATATTGGTTCGCGGGCTATGTAGGCTTCGACGAGCACGAAGGCGATTAGAAGTGATACTCCTCCGCTTGCTAGGAGAAGAGTCCACCATGAGCTCCACGGGAAGGACTTTCCGCCTTGGTCGAGGAGGGTGATCATCGCGACAATAGATGAGCCTAGGAGAGCTGTTCCGAGGAAATCGACTTGGGCGAGTTTGTTACCCTTAGAGATGGAGTCTTTCTTTCCCCCGACATTTAGTTTCACGATAACGAGAGCTGCAGCTAGAGCGAGGAATGGGGCTTGTAGGAGGAACAACCTAAATGTGATTAGAAGATAGTTGGAAGTTGTGAGATACTGGAAACTCACCATCTCCATCCGATAGTATCACTTAGCCAACCACCTAGCGGACCTCCGAGACTACGTCCAAGTGTCATGGCAATATTCACATATGCTCTCCAAGTAGCAACCTCACGCTTAGGCACAATATCTGTGATGATAATAGAGCTGATGGTCATGATTCCTGCACCGCCCATTCCGCTGGTTGCACGACCAAAAATCACCACCCACATGTGGGAACCGATGCCACTATAAAAGTCAGAATTGAGTCTCAGCTGGCGGATCGGGTATATCCCTACCTCGTTATACATCCCACTGCAAATAATAAATATGAGAGTAATAGCATTGGCTTGCGACCGTAGATATCGCTCAATTTTCCATACTAAATGATAATTAGTCCTTGAGATATCTCTGATGTAGTTGTGCTCACCATTGGCTGTGCAGCGCAGACACCTAACGTATAACCCGTTGAGAGCCAACTAGCATCGCGTAGACGATTGAATTCAGAGGAGATGCGGCCTGCTGCGGCCATGACTAATGTCGCATCGGCATTGGAAATAAATTCGCCTATATTCGATTAGACCTTCCATCGTGTATATTTACAGATTCTCCTACCAAGCAAAAGCACCGCGATGATTGTCCCAACACTTGTCAACGTCTTGAGCTTAGGCTCTGTATCAGATTGCGGGAGTAATGGACTCTCTTCGTCTTCGATATGGTTATTCGCGATAACATTGGTGCTGATGATACCTGGGGGTACCTCAACCGTGTCGGTTTCTATATTAGCCATGTTTTTGAAACATAGAAAGCCAAAAGAAAAACGTATTGAGAGGGGGATTATGCACTTCCAAGTCTTGACTCACCCGATAAATATTCCAAGCACAAGGCTTACAAGGTTGTGCTCATCGGAGTTATCAAGCACGCAATATATCCACTTTCATACGTTTAATTTCACACATTTCGTATATATCTTTATAAGGTTTCAATAAGCACATCATATCATAAGAAATAGACACATAGCTCCTTGTCATCTAGGAGTATCCTATATCAACAATGCATATAACTACATCTCCCTCCTAGGGTGTCATCCCAATTAGGTTTAGCCTATTATATATATAGAGATACTTCAGTTCGATTCTCTGCTCTTCACATCTTATATCCTCTATTTCGGGCCCTCTCCATGGCTGCTAATAGGTAAACCTTGGCCCTAGCTGGCCATGGAATCTTCCCCACCTTGATGCTATCATCATCACAAGACGGGTCACTTTCATTTTTGGTGCAATAGGTGACTGATCCGGACCATGGGTTGGCCTGGCCATGTTGTAATAAATGGACTGGAGAGTGCATAATGAAGTGATAGTTTGAGATATGTTACATTGTGGTATTGCTGGAAGAAGGTGTTCGAAGAAAGTGCAGAGATGACATTTATATCAAGAAACCTTGAAAACAGATACTTACATATTGATTCGAAAGGAATGAGTTAATTGAATACGCCGTTCAACACAGTACTGACATATTAGCTATATTCTGTTTTGGTCTTAAACCCAATAATTCTTCATTATAACAAAAAGTTGGAAATGTACATACCAAAAAGAGGCCTCGCTACTCGTACTATACACCACTGACTTGGATTTGGGACAATTCATAGGATCCATATAGAAATTCCAAGCACGGCACTGACAAGACTGAGGGTGATCGGTACATGAACACGAATAGCGCTGCTGGTAAGGTCCGGATCGTGGCAGGCGAAATTGTCTACATCGCTCAAGCGACCCATATCCTGGAGCTCACGGAAGGTCGTGCAGTTGAAACTAGTAGAATTCTCTGATGGAGAAATTCTAAAGGCACTCAAAACCGAAGGAGGGGAATCTTTGTCCAGGCCCTTTTGCTGGGCAACAAAGGGATCGCTGTTCTTTTAGGTAAGCTTTTGTGACTACTACAAGGGAGAGACACAAACAAGAAGGCATTTCCCACAGTGGCAGCAGAAATATCAATCAATGTGACATTCTTTGGCCAGTACCAAGTCTGAATACGGTTGCCTTGGTCGTCGACACCGTACATTGAGCTTAAATTCAGATTGGGGGCACGGTCAATGACAAGTGTAAAGCCACCTGTCCAATCCACAGCGTTGGGGGGAAGGGTGATAGACTTCAGAGGGTTGTCATCGGATTGCTCGATTTCAAGAGTGCCGAGATTATCAAACGGGAGTTCTAGATGAGTGATATAAACGGGGTCTGAGAATTTCAGATACCCAACCTCGAGGGTCTCAAGCTTTGTGCTACGCTTGAAACCCGTAACATTGTCGAGTTTGAGTCGTTTGACGGTCAATCCCTTTGTCGAGGACCCTCCTAGTGTGACAGATGAATTGTCAGAGATTTGGATGAAGTCGACAGACTTGACACCAATAGGAATGTTATTCACGTTCGGGAATGGACCTTCAATGTAAAGATTTTCCAGATTGAGCTCATTGTCAGACAAACTATCCAGCGAGTCGACCTGCATCGGATAAATACTCAGACTTGTCACTTTGCGTAAGTTTGTGTGGTGGAGTGTCTTAAGATCTGGGGAGCCTAGCGCAATGCTACGCGCGGAATTCAGACTCGTGATATCCAGGTAGGCGAGCTTGTAGGCAAGTTTCCCTATAAAAACGTAGTCATTCACGGAGGTGAGACCAGGAAGTGTGAGGTTCACTATGCGAGTGTTGTATTTTCCAAATTCCACTGCGTCGGCTTTCTTTAAAGATGAACTGGTGAGGGTGTAAGAGGGCTGCGTGAAATAGTCATGCCGGGCATAAGGATATTCCCCTAGGGTGCCTTCGATCACTTCCACCCCGTCGAGGTTAATGTGAACCGTTTCATCCCCTGTAAATGGACCGATTCCAACGTGGCCGGTGACCACTCGACAGTTCTGACGAAGCGTATCTGCATCAGCCACGGAGGTGATCCAAGTTGAGCTGCAATTGGCAGCAAAGGCATCTGAAAACGTAAGACCAAGTGTGGAGTACTGGGTGAGTTCATAGAAATAAGTTACTCACTAGAAAAGCATAGCACGACTAGCACTGTGTTCATCGCACGGGGAAAACCTAGCATATTGGACATATTGGCCATATTAGACCCTGGGATTGTCGATCGGAATTCCAAGCGTGGCGCATCGTCATATGTAGAAAGGCTCAACCCTTATGAAAAGGGGGAAATAAAAGGAAAACATAGGCGCCAACCCCCAGAGTACATTAGTTCATAGATCTAGCCAATCCACTACTAGTATCAGTTGAGGAGAATGTCCGGAGTAAGATTGAGGCCCTGTCGAAGAGATCTGATTGGGGTAGGGCTGGGAGGAACAGCGCCCGAGATCTTGGCAGTTTCTTTTTGTTAATACGAGGGCTTGTTGGATTAAGCATAAAATGATATAAAGACGAGGGTAAGAGTATCAAGAAAAAATAGTTAGAGGAGATACAATTTGAAGTGAACTTCAATTGACTCACCTGGACATGTTTACATATGTAGTATACAAAAGGGTATGGGTAAATTTTGAGGTGTCCGTCACATACTGTTACAATACGGTAGGAGAGTCGAACAACGGAAGGTCTTTCCTATAATACTGTAATAAATACCGTTTTGGAGTGTCAGGTTTTGTAAATAATTTCGTAATTTAATACTCTGATTTAATAGTATGTATACATAGAAAGGCTGTTCTTCATTATCTGATGTCTACTTAGGAGATATAAAAGAAGATAAAAAGACAGAGACAACTAACAAGCCATTTTGATACGGTATTCACCAGTGTACATAGTACATAGTACTATGATACAGTAGCCACTGCCTGAATTCCTGGGGATCATAGAATCGGCCTATGCAGCTTCGGCAGATCATTCACGATTTATAGTGTAATAGTATTTTATACAAGCTAATGATAAGTAGGCATCTAGCAGGTCTGCAAGGTGGATTTTAAGCAAAAGTGGACTTAAGAATTATCTGCAGTTCAAGTTGATCGTGGAGGCGAAAGACTCTGCTTGGAAGATATTTGGATGAATTATGCCTATCTTCAATATAGGAAGTGAATATGGTCTACTAGATATATACTCCGATGTTGTACAATATATGATATAAAAAAGAATATATAAGGAATGATTTTTCTCGCCATTGGGGTCATTGATGGCATCATCTCTTTGCCAAGCCCATTTTCATTTTATATACGAAATCCTCTTTCAACTTCAAAAATCATCTCACAATGAAATTAATCACTGCACTAAATCTTGTCCATGGAGTTATCGCCTTCAATTTCCAATTTGACCTACAGTCACCTCTTCAAACTGTACTAAAACATGAATCACCACCAAATATCCTCTTCGTCATCACTGATGATCAAGATCTCCAACTGGACTCCATTTCTTACACTCCCTTCATCTCCAAACATATTCGTGACCAGGGTACCTTTTTCCGAAACCATTTTGTCACTACAGCCTTATGTTGTCCATCGCGTGTGAGTTTATGGACCGGTCGCCAAGCACACAATACAAATGTAACCAATGTCAGTCCGCCATATGGCGGATATCCCAAATTTGTTGAGCGTGGTTTCAATGATGATTTCCTCCCGCTGTGGTTACAAGCTGCGGGTTATGATACTTATTACACCGGCAAAATGTTCAACGCACATACTGTTGAGAACTACCACAGTCCCCACATCAATGGATTCAATGCATCTGATTTCCTTCTCGACCCTTATACATATTCTTATCTTAATTCCACTTACCAGCGAAATCATGAACCACCGATCAGCCATGAGGGTGAACATACGATCGATGTGATTACGGGAAAAGCATTAGGTTTCCTTGAAGATGCACTGGCTGGTGAGAGACCCTTCTTCTTGGCTGTGGCGCCAGTCGCGCCGCACTCGAATATTGATCTGGCCGATGTTGCTGCGGGCAAGATTTACATGTCTGCCCCCATCCCCCTCGAACGACATGAGAATTTGTTCCAAGATGTCACGGTACCTCGCACAGCGAACTTCAATCCGGACCAGGTAAGCGCGGCCCTGATTTGAATTAACGTGTCTGTGACCGCCAATTCTGACGGATGTGATTTGCTCGCGCAGCCAAGTGGAGTTAGCTGGGTTCGTGATTTACCCCTGCAGAATCAGTCGGTGATCGAATATAACGATCACTTTTATCGTTCGCGTCTGCGCGCTCTACAGGGTGTTGATGAATTGGTGGATGGCCTTGTCACCCGGCTGGAAGAGAGCGGTCAGCTGGATAATACTTACATTATCTACACTTCGGATAATGGGTTTCACATTGGCCAGCATAGACTGCCGCCCGGAAAGACGTGTGGATTCGAGGAGGATATTCGTGTTCCCTTGTTTATTCGTGGACCCGGTGTTGCCAAGGGATATGTGCAGGATGCTGTGACCACTCATGTGGACATGGCGCCGACCTTTTTTCATCTTGCAGGCATTCCAGCAAGGGATGATTTCGACGGTACTGCGATTCCTCTGACCCCTGAGTTTGATGGTCGGCGGCATGAACATGTTACAGTGGAATACTGGGGCTCTGCTGTCGTGGAGGGTGTCTATAGCGGTATTGGTATGTCCAAGCAACGTCCTCATCGATTATTTTGAGATATATACTAATCTTTTAACACAGGCCCCGGAGGCTCAACTCTCATCCCGAATAACACATACAAATCCGTCCGCTTACTCGGAGAGGGTTACAATCTGTATTACTCAGTCTGGTGCAACAATGAACACGAGTTGTACGATCTGTCGGTGAGTAAATAGTACCTTGATTCTTTACCACAGCAACTAATATTGCTCCAGACCGACCCGTACCAGCTAAATAATCTGTATCCGACCACCCTGGTTGATGTCAATGAGCCTAAAATTTTAGGTCGCAGTTTAACCCAGGCTATCAATCGACTGGACGCTATTTTGATGGTTCTCAAGTCTTGCCAGGGTGTGACTTGCATCCGGCCATGGGATGTCCTTCAACCGGTAGATGCAGTGAGCACATTTCACGATGCTCTGGATGAGAAATATGATGGATTTTATGGCGCACAGCCCCGGGTCTCATTTGACTGGTGTGATGCAGGTTATATCGTTGAAGCTGAGGGGCCGCAGGTGCCATTGACTAGTCAACACGGCGTGTCTTGGGATGCGTGGGTGTAAGATTATAAGTTTTAGATTGTAAGTGAGGGACCAAAAATTGCATATATTCAAATTAAGTACATATTCAGTTTAGCGGGATATTTCCGGTCAAAGACAACTATATACAGCAGTGAATATGAGCACACATATTTACGAATTAACATATAGACTTTCGGATAAACAGTCAAATTGCGTCAAATAGAAAAAAGAATAATATCTCCAAGCCAATAACAACATTGAAGATTCCCAGCTGTTCGGAAAATACAGATAGGCCGTGATTGCGCCATATCGCCATGTGTCGCGACATCAAAAATGCTCGCATTGGCATTCTAAATCTTCCCTAGTACATTTCTAGTGAATTGGCCTACGCAATCATTATGGGTTTCCCTTTTTCCTATAAGAATGATCGATCAGTCATGTTTTTATAACCTCTACGCAACATCCATATACTTCCCTTTTTGGGTGATTTTTCAACCTCTAAATTGAAGCATGTCAGATCAAGGTATCTTTGATGAGAAGTACAAGATAGCCGAGCAGGTCATTGACTCACCTCCAAGTGAGCTTGACCATGGTATTGTTAAAGACTGGGATGGTGAAGAATCCGCCGTTCGACGGAAGTGAGTATACAACCATCAAGTATAAATACATCGCTAACAGGGTTCTATTAGAGTCGACTTTATTCTCCTTCCTATTCTCGCAGTCGCTTTCTTCGCCTTACAAATGGATCGCGGCAATATCAGCGCCGTTTTGACATCGAGTATCACAAAAGACCTCAATATTACAACAAATCAAATTAATGTCGGATCACAACTACTCTCCGCTGGTATTGTTCTATCTGAGATCCCGTCGAATATCATTATGCAGCGAATTGGACCCCGCGTCTGGTTATCAGGTCAGTTATTCGCATGGGGGTTGGTTGCGACCTTCCAGGCCTTTGTTAACTCGTATCCTGCGTATCTGGTTACGAGGATTCTGCTGGGATTTTGTGAAGGTGGTTTTATTCCTGGTATGTTAATCTCCAGGGCTATATCTTGTGCGTGGATAATTGACTGATCCTTGGTAGGCGCTTTATATTACCTCTCCACTTGGTATAAGAAAGACGAGACTAGTCTCCGCACCAGTCTGTTTTTCTACGGGCAGATGTTCGCATCGGCTACATCGAGCTTGATATCCGCTGGTCTACTTCAGTTGCATGGGACGCATGGTATGGAAGGGTGGAGATGGATCTTCCTGGGTACGTACAAATCCGAATTAAATATACAATTTTCACCCGCTTGAGCTCTACTAATTGATCATATAGTGGAGGGCCTGATAACCCTTTTTATCGCAATTGTATTCACTCTCCTCGTGCCAGCATCGGTCGGAGACGGCCGTCCATTGCTTTCCTTTGGCCGCTGGAGTTACTTTACCGAGCGCGAATCATACATTATTCGCAACCGGGTTCTACTAGATGACCCTCTGAAAGCTACAGGTCATATTCAGATTTCAGGCTCTGATATTTGGCACACCGTTAAGCAGCCGCGCATCCTGCAACATGTGTTCGTGACTTTGGTGTCCATGTCTGGTTTCTCGGGTTTGACCCAATACACACCCAGTATGATCAAAGGGCTGGGCTTCGGTGCTGTCAAGGCCAACGCCTTAGCTTCGGTTCCTGTCTACTGTAGTATGATTTGGCTGGTCGTTCTGTCTTTTGCCGCGTAAGTGCTTCTGACTATTACCACAATTATGATAATCTAACTCCCGACAGTGACAAAACCAGACACCGTGGTCCTTTTGTGCTCTTGGCTATCACTTGGAATGTGATTTCCTACACTTGTCTCCGTACAAGTAACCCCCATGCTTCACAATGGCAACGGTATGGAGTTATTGCGGTCGCAAATGTATCCTATTGCAGCATGCAGTGAGTTCCCTATGCCGGTATTTATAACTCAATCTAACCAAATAATAGCATTCTCAATGTTGGCTGGCTTTCCTTCTACTGCCGCACACCCCAAGAAAGAAGTGTTGCTATGGCATTGGTGGTCATGGCTGCTAACTGTGCTGGTATCGCTGGCTCACAGATCTTCCGCACTTCGGATGCTCCAAAATACTTGCATGGTCTCACAGCAATTAGTTGCCTTGCTGGTACCTCATGGATTCTCACCGCTATACTATGTGTTCAATATTATTTCCGAAAAGCGGTTGCTTCGGGAGAGGCAAAAGTGTGACAAAATTACCGACAGATGAGATCAAGGAATTCTCCACAAAAATCAAATAGAGAATTGTCGAATGAAATGCATTTCCAATCAATTTTTTTTACACTTGAAGCCAATTGATCCTGGCCAATACAAAAGAAAAAGCAGGATTCTTAACTCCGTAGAAGTAAGCACCTTATGGAGTTAACCCGTGGACATTGTACCTGATATCCCAAGTGTTGAAATAGTTGGTTATTTGGTCTAAAATCTCTCTTCGGATATAACATGAATTAAGGCCGTGATGACAATCCACTCGATGACAATCCACTCGATGACAATCCACTCTCAACAATCCAATAAAGATTTCACTCGGGTCAAGTGGACCTTTTATTCGCCTTTGATGTCCACGGCACAAAAAACCGAAGATTTCCAAGAACCCTCCGAGACGGAGCTTGATCTCTCCGTTCGGGTAGTTTAAAGGACCTTGCAGGAATCGTAGATCATATTGAATCCCAAATCTATTAACATCTTTTATACTATATCATGTCTTCCAATTATAAGTTCGAAGGATGGGTAGGCCTCGGCCCTGATGCCGCGGAGGGAAAAATGGTCTGGCAGGAATTCGAGCCTAAGCCATGGGAGGAGACTGATATCGATATCAAGGTCACTCACTGTGGTATCTGTGGCTCGGATCTTCACACTCTGCGCAGTGGATGGGTATGGCGGGATTTTTCTTGAACATCAGAATTGAATCAAAAGTTGCTAATACCTGTTATCCGTTTCTATAGGGTCCTACCAACTACCCCTGCTGCGTTGGTCACGAAATTGTCGGAACGGCTGTCCGTGTCGGATCCCAGGCCGAGGGAGATATCAAGGTCGGTGACCGTGTTGGCGTTGGCGCGCAGAGTGGTTCGTGTCAGAACAAGGATGGCGATTGTGAAGCCTGTGCATCAGGTATCGAGCAGCACTGCGCTAAGATGGTTGGCACATACAACGGTACTTATGCCAACGGGGGCAAGTCATATGGTGGTTACGCCACATACAACCGCTCTCCTTCGCACTTCGTGATCAAGATCCCCGATGCTATCTCCTCTGCCGATGCGGCCCCTATGCTCTGCGGTGGTATCACTACCTACTCCCCTCTCAAGCGAAATGGATGTGGCCCCGGAAAGACCGTCGGTGTTGTTGGTGTCGGTGGCCTTGGTCACTTTGCCATTTTGTTCGCCAAGGCACTGGGTGCTGACCGTGTCGTTGCTATCTCTCGCAAGTCGGATAAAAAAGCCGATGCGCTCAAACTCGGTGCGGATGACTTCATCGCCACTGGGGAGGATGAAGACTGGGCTACCCGCCACGCTAGCTCTCTCGACTTGATCATTTCCACTGCCTCCTCTTCCAAGATGCCTATCGTTCAATACTGTGGACTTTTGCGTGTTCGCGGTACCTTCATTCAGCTTGGTGCTCCCGAGGATGGTGGTCTGGAGATCCCGGCTTTCGTCCTTATCCTTAAGGGTATCAAGCTCGGTGGTTCATTGATCGGCAGCCCCGGTGAGATTCGGGAGATGTTGGAGTTGGCTGCTGCCAAGGGAGTCAAGCCTTGGATTCAGGAGCGTCCAATGGCGGATGCTAATCAGGCTATCTTGGATATGGATAATGGTGATGCTCGTTACCGCTATGTTCTCACGAACGAGCAGTAAATTAATTATGTATAGAAGTTAAGAATTGGAACGGAGTTCAAATATCAAAACGTTTTTATATGCATATTATGGCCAAGAATAATTGTAAAGTAGAAGTCTCATAGATATAGAAATATATATATTTGTCTCGCAAGGTCCTCGATTTATCGCGATGTCATCGATGACTTTGTTTGATCTCTTCAGCGCTCCACCCCAGGGCTTCAAACAATCGTCTTTCCTTCTTATTTCCCGAATGAACTTTCCAACCAATTTCTCTCAGATACTTCTCAAGATCCTCTTATGAAACTCAAGTCAGCCTACCATCCATCAAGGGGGTTCATTAACTGTGCATAGGTACTGGCTACTGGTTGGTTAGACACTCTTAAACGGACTACGTGTTGCTCTTTAACTAACTGCATCTCCAGGCAACAACCCGAGTAGGATTCTATTGAGATATCGCCCAATGATTTCTGGTTTCACCCATTACGATGAGTTCCGGTCAGGATTTCAGGTATCGTTTCATGGCTACAAGGATGTGATTAAACAACACATTATTTCGGGCTGACAAGTGGTGATGCAACACTGTATATAACAATCACTCCTAACTTCAGTGCTATAAATGTTCAAAAGCCTTCTATCCGTTGTGTACACCTGATGTGTTGCTGAGCAAGGAAATTACAGGTTCACCTAAGTCCAATGAGGCCCAACTCGGATATTGCCCAATACGCTGTGTCCTTACGCACTGGGATGAATTTACGCTAAATGGTTCAAAACATCTTTTACTTTGAGATCAAAAGGATACCTCATTTCGAACAGATGCTCTGTGAGCGTAACGATGTACACTCTTGAAACTCAGTGTTAGAAAGACTCAATGATCTTCTACTGCTATTGATATACTGTCCAATGACTGAAAAAAAGACATACTCGCCCAAGTTACATTCCCAGTTGAAACATTCAAATATGCCAATTGGAGTATGGTTGGATTTACATGTTTCGCGCAGCTGTTTCGAACCTCCATCTTTCCTAAAATGGAAAAGAAGACATTCCCGAATTCTATGCGGAACATAAGGCGGAGAGGAATGTGATTCAGAAAAAAAGAAATGTCTTCATCTTCGAATCCCGAAGGCTTCATTGATCTCCCTTTTATCTCGCTTTCATTCATCTTGCTTCCATTTCTTCCATTCTTTGTGACCATCCCACCCAAAATCACGGTCGAGACGCTCATTTCCAGTTCTAATCAAACAACCTGTGAAGTTTTCCAGGATTCTCCAAGACTCCCCAGGAGGTCATAGTCCCAGTTCAACCAATTTGACAACCCCAAATTCCAGGTCTTCAGGCTGCACCGCTGCACCGCTCTTCTATTTACTTTAAAACCCCCAACCTCACGAAATTCGAATCGCCAGTGTCGGAACTGTGGTTATTTTCTGAGCCCAACCATCAAATACACACATTCTCTAGAGGTATGGTCCCCTCTTCCTCACAATCTGTACAAGCTAACCAAGTAACTTGCTAGCTTACAACAAGAAGGCAGTTTCCCAGAGTATCCCCTCATCTTGAACAGACTGATCCACAGCAGCAATCACCTGCAATTATTTTGTTCTCCCAAACTGAGCACCATGCATTGCCCCATCGACGACGAGGGTCACTACATCAAGATTCATACAATCATCGCATCTGGTGAGGCAACAGTTGTTGTCCAACGGGGTGATGTGGCAATTAAAATGGCAATCGTGTATAAGAATTACACGTTGGAGAGAGTGGAAGACAACCGTGAAAGGATTCGGCGAGAGCAAGAGGTCTGGCGGCGCATTCAGCCCGACTTCGATCTCCCAGTGGAAGGCATCGTCCCTTGTCTCGACCTTCCTGGAGATACAATCGAGATGAGATACATGTCCGGAGGTACGCTTGCAAATCGACTGAAACACAGAGCACCACCCAGCATCGAGCTTCAGAAGCGCTGGTTTCGTCAGCTTGCTATCGGTCTGCACAATCTTCATCAACGTCGCGTCATTCACAGTGATCTTCTCAGCCGCAACATTCTACTAGATGACTCGTCCAATGTGGTAATTGCTGACCTCGGTGCCTCGAGTATCATGCCCATGGACACTGTCATGGCAGATGCAGTGGACGAATATAATTGCTCCATCTGGACTGATCTTTGCCAGCTGGGCCTCGTGTTCTATGAAATTGTCACTGGGAGACACACCGGTATCAGGCTTTACCATAGCGGTGGCACTGATGACTCGGTCGCCGTTTTCCCATCCCGGGATAAACTCCCTACGCTAGACAAGCGAATCTGGGCCCGGGATATTATCGAGACCTGCTGGAAGAAGGGTGGATATGGGGCTGTAGGAGCGGCGGGGATTCTGGCGAAGCTGGATAAAATGCAAGGTCCTCGCCGACGTTGAGATGGTCAATTCTGATTTTTTGTAAGAGTAAAGACCTTCAAATGCGAGTATCGACCTAATTTCACTGTCTTTTTCTAGCCAAGTATCCTTTCATTCGGTAGCACTCTACCTCAACTTTTGAAGTATACTATTATACACAGGGTTATCCCAATGCCTATACTATATCTATTCAATATCCAAGCTCTCTGCTTTTGCTTTATTTCCCACTATATGCTTTTATTATTCTCTCACTTTGCTATTATTTTATCACAACGTTGTGGTATATATTTCTCATCTGGTGATATAGTGCTATATACCAGACCTCTAAGGACTGCAACCTGCAGTGTCCAAAATAGTTAAAATAAGAGACTTGTAAAGGGCTAGCCATTGCATACCTGACTATATTTGCTTTTCGATATAATATATATATTTTTTAATTGATGTTGTAAATGAGACTATTGTATTGTCATTGGTATCTTTTAGTTGGGGCTAACTTCCATGCTCTCTCTGTCTCCCTCTCTCTCTCTCTCTGATGATTCTAATAAAATCCCTCACCCCCCTCTCCCCTTTCAAATATGAAACAATTATCTCTGAAAATATGCCAGAGCGACAGATCAAGAAACCTCGGTTATCCCTCAGTTGCATTGTCTGTCGACGACGAAAGGTTCGTTGCGGTCGCGAACAGCCAGAATGTGCCAACTGTGTACGCATGAAAGAGAATTGTGTTTATAGGGCAATGGTCCGTGATGAGTCTACTGGTCGTGTACGACCAGTATCACCCAAAGACTCTCGAGATCCTCGAGACTCCAGAGAGTCCAGAGACTCCAATGTTCGCCAAGACCTCCCTTGGCTCCAAGACGCGTATCCAAAACCGTCTAGACCTCCTTCTCACAGTCTTTCACCACAATACCCAATAGTACCTTCATGGGAAGAGGCTATACAACTGCCCAGTTATGAGGTTCCTGGTAGCTCGACAACTACTCGCGATCCCTCCCCTGTGCCAAGCTCCATCCCGACCCTCAACCCCCTCTGTCGCGATTATTTGAGTATACGACGAGGTGGCCGCGTGCGATATATTGGTCAAAATTTCTGGGGATTCGTTGCTGGAAAGGTGAGTCTAGAGGGAATGAAAAAAAAAAAGAGGAACTTCGATCTGCTACGAGATAGGTCGCCTAGCAGGACCATGACTGACTTCGGTTGAACTTGTAGGAGAGTCTGAGCGATGATTTCTTCGACGAAAACCGGCATGCTCACCCCGATCTTCCCCTTCCACATATCTCCTCGGTGGGCATGTTTAATCTCCTACGGTCGCTACCTACCAAGCCCGTGAGTGATGCCCTGTTAGAGACGTTCTTCCTGGCCGTGTGGCCCCTTGCTCCTCTCCTACACCCGCCTTCCCTACAGGCAGATTACGACGAGTTCTGGAATTGGTGTCGGAACAACAAGACTGCTTTCCCCTCGGATAAATTTCGCGATGATCCTACCTTTATATGCCTTCTTTTTGCAGTCCTGTACTGTGGCGCATCTGCTGCACCACCAGCCAGCTTTACCTACACGAGCCTTCGGGGTCTACAGAAGGAGACGACAGTGAGCCACCTCAAGTCGGCATATACGACGAGTCTTTCCCTATCTCAGCATCTCGAACATCCAACATTCAATACACTAGTTTCAACGCTGCTAACGGGGCCGTTCCTGGACCGACCATTCGAACCTATGCGTGGTCTGGTTAATGTGAGCACTACAGTGCGCATTGCCCAGACTATGGGTTTACATCGGGAGGGAACATGGTCTGCGCTGAGTCGCGTTGATAAAGAAATTCGACGTCGCGTCTGGTGGCATATTGTTTGGCTCGATGTGCAGTCGAGCATCTCCACGGGGCTGGCCCCATGTTGTGGGAACGAGGCCTTGGAGACTGTGAGCATGATTGACGCTCACCATGAAGAGCCCAGCGATATCCCTGCTGGAATTCCCCCCACCGACTCTGTGACTAATGGAAAATCGGTGGCCATGCTATACGCTATCGGACGCTTTCGAACTGCTCACTTGCAAGTGAAGATCATAGCGCAGCTACAGAGCGCGCAGGGTCCAACCCAGAATGGGTTTGGTGAACTTGTCACAGATGCCAAGGACCTTCTGCAGGCGATCGACTCAATTATTACACGCATTCCTATGCAGGGAATCCCTGAAAGGGGTTATATCCCATCCCGTCTGGCCAATGCATCACCATCCACGCATCCCTCGTTGTACAAGGATGATGCAAGGCAGCCAACCGTCTTTGCAGCATGGACGCGAATTATGCTAACGTTGCTAAAATCGGAAATAGCAGTTTTACTTCGGAAACCATTTCTGCCACCCCCCGACAGTACGAATGCGCAATCACGCAAGTCATGGACTAGGTATGAATCATTCCTTGCATCTCATTCCTATGCCGCAAAATCTAGCGCATCTGTATACTCTTCATCCAGTGAATCATGTTCAGCTCAAGTCATCCATCTACATTGATCCTTCATACTGTTATGATACACTTATTAACGCGCGATTGGAACGTCCAGCATGTCGCAGCTTTGCGTGAATTACTTACGTATCTACCTGCAGCTGTATCAAGCCCCTGCGTTCTCCCCGTACGCATGGTTCTTCTGCAGCTACTATGGCCCTCTCCAATGCGTATTCATCACCCTAGTATATCTCCATTCGTTCCAGGACTCTGAAGAAACCTTGCTGGCCCGATATTGCGTTGATGAGGTTATCCATCACTGTGTGGCCCAATATCAAGATCCAGATAGCTCCTCAACTAGGACCAACTCTGAAGATACCCAGTCCAATGGGAGCAGGACGCGGATGCCGTTGGTCATCCAGGTTCTCGTCGATCTTCACGAACGCCTCGACTCATCTCTCGGCGCTGAAGACCAGCTCCCACTGCCATTGGACGTGATCGAGGGCCAAGCCGGCTTTCCTACATCGCGCCTTTCTACCAAGGTATCCGAGTTACGCGCGACATCCAACCATTCCTCTTCTGATGCATCTTCTTCTACGACTCGCACCAACCGCAATTGTGAGACCCCATCTATGCCCACGGGACCTCCTCCAGTGGTTACTGGTGACAAACCAGGCCCGCCGCACAATGTCTTGGTGGCTGGAAGTGACTCTGGCTTAGATATGGACTTCCTTGCTACCATTTCGGACCTAGAGGCCTGGTCCTCTTCATTGATTCTGGAATCTGACAACTTCCTCGCACATCCTGATAATATAACGCCTGATCATGCTGTAATAACAGGGTTAGGCGCACACAGTACATCGTCTAGTGCCCGTGGCCTGCATGAAGGGCTCGATTTCCCAGCGTAATATCGCTATGATACCTGTTCTTTTGCTTTTCTCTTGCTTATAAGCAGAAACAAATGTATAAATTCTATGAGAAATGTTGATAGACCTGCTTCCACCACCAATTACATGATTTGATTCCAAAATGTTGGTGATTCCATCAGAGATGCAGACCTCACGCGAACCTGCAATAAACGATGCATCATTCTCCATTTAGGGACTGCGCTACTGCACCACGAGGCGCATTGCATACATACAAAGGAATTCAAGTATCCTAGCACAGCCATTCATTTTCCCGTGCAGTCTGAATTGGATTCAACCAATCGCATCCCTCGGGACACCATATAGCGTGCACACTGGCCTCCATGGTCCACACACAGCGTGCTAATGTCAGCTGAAGTACATCTGATATATCCCATCTTCGGCCGAATAATCTGTAGTCAGCCTTGCTTTAGCAGCCCTCAGATCTTCGCTCTCGACCTCGCAGCTTATGGCGTCGCATACTGACAAAGGATCTCGGACCTGGCGCGCGCGAACTCGCTGAGAATCGTCTCGGCCCTTGCAGCGGAGCGAGGGGAAACTTTGCACTTGTACGCTCGCGGACACACCAGGAACCCCTCGGTGTACCCTGTGATTGGGTCGGTATCTATGGCGACCGGCCTTTCTGACTCATCGAGCTCAGGATTGAACTGAAACCCCCAGAGGAGCTTCGCCGCTCCGATGAACATGCTACGCTCTGACAGATGGATCCCTGGACAGAGTCGTCGTCCAGCCCCATAGATGAAGTGGTCTCGCTGCATGTAGTCCGGGGAGGCGGCGTAGTCCGAGGCCAGATTAGTTCGCCCTTCGTATCGACTGGGGTCGAATCGGTCGGGATTCGGAAATACGTTTTCATCGTGATGAAGGCCCCACACGTTCAGAAATACAGTTGTTCCCTTCGGCAAGAGGTGCCCATTGATCCAATCGTCTTGGCTGAGCGCGTGCGGAAATGATAGTGGCGTCACTGGCCGCCAGCGCATCGTCTCTTTGACTATCATATTGATATATGGTAGACGGCTGAAATCCGCCCATGTCGGGGATCGGTCTTCACCACAGGCGGCATCGATCTCGGCGCGCGCCCGTTCCTGTACTTCCGGATGCTGCACCAGTGCCTGGATCATCACGAGGAGCATCGTGGATCCGGTATCGGATCCACCCTCCATCATCACGCCACCGAGGAAATCGACCTGGTTATCAGTGAGGTTTTCCTTTTCCTGTAGGTCGAGGACGTGGTCAATGAATATGCGAGCTCGGCTTTGAGAACCCTCCTCGGCCTGTCGTCGCGCTTCAATCGCCCGTCGCCGGAAGGACCCATATAACGCTTTCATGCCTGTGCCCACCTCTATCGACCGATCAATCCAGTTGCCCAGCCACTTTTGTGGTATCCATGTCAGCCACGGAAAGATATCGACTGGCGGTGTGGCGCCGGTTGCCATCATCTTGGACCATTTCTCCATTATCTCGTACAGTTCCTGCATATGTGGTGTATCCCATGACGGGGTACGGATCCCATACAGCAGACTCATAATTATGCTGTTAGTTGTGCGCTTTGTATGCAGCATGTGTTTCTCTGGATACAGGAGAAAGTCGCGCATCATCTGTGTATGCTCGGCTTCGAGCAGCTTGACGTGCTCTTTCTCGCACATGCCCGCCCTGAAGTGCTGGTGAACTGTCTTGCGGAATAGCCTCCAAGTCTCGTTATTGTCCATAACAAGAAGATGGTCGCCGCCAGTTATCAGGTTCTGTCCGACATAGGAGATCGGCCGTGAGCTGTATAGAGCGCTGCGTTTGTCGAGCAGTTCCTTGACCAGACTTCGATCCGTGATCACAGCGGCGGTGGCTGGGCCAATACGGAAGCTGTAGAGACCACCATAAATCTTGGCCCATTCAGTGAATCTGTTCATGTCAGTGGAGTGTACAGTTAAGTCACTAGATGAAGGGCGAACTTTTGATGCGCGCGCACTGGAGGGATCTGGTGGATGTTTCCAATAAAAGGGAGACCAGGTGGACCTACACATCATTAGCTTGACATTTCATCACTCGATCAAGATAGAAGGGTCAATGTGTCAGGTACCTGGGGGTAGTTTGCGCTGTATCCTCCAACTGTTCAAGACAGATCGAAGGACGAGCAACACCAGGCCCGCCACAGCCAGACTTGCTATATAAAAAAGCGCCATGAGGTTGTTTAACACCTCTAGATCTCATGAAGAGTTTCAATATGAAATGAAAGTGAGTATGCTATAAACAGATACTATGGTGGTGTATAGACTAGCAGGGGTACGACAATATATACTCCTAGGATACAATACGATCACCACAGCAATTCAAGTCGGCCGACTTAGTCTGACCGGATGTCCGGATGAGAGACTGTTTTGACCGAGATCACACAGTTCAAGTGAATTCTATATGTAGTTTCTAAAGGATATGGAGTCTACAAGGCTTGTCAGATTTTGATACTCGCACCGACTCACATCCTTTGTATGTGATCATCGAACAATGATGCATTCTCCCCCATATACATGGGAATACTTCTATCTGTAACACATATTCATCACAATATCTCCTTGTTATCCTCCTCAATCTTAAAACGTGGAAATAACTCTACCGCCGCACCTCGGGCAATCTCCTTCTCACCTCCATGTGCAAAGAAATCCTCCATCATCTCAACATACTTGTTGATAGTGTCGACTGGAGCATAGGGAAAGTCACTGCCATATAGCACATGACCTGTTTTTGCAAAACCATTCTTGCCCACCAGTAACCCCAAATTCCCCTGGTTCCCAGATAGCGCGAGATCAAAGTAGAACCCCCTAGCCTGCTCCAGAAATCTCTCCGGAGTGATACCAGTCAAACCTGCATCATAAAGGAGATTTGCTGCACGAGTAGCGAGAATAGGCAGTGTACCACCTCCGTGGGACAGAATGATCTTCACATCGGGGTTCTTCGAGATCGTCCCTGATGTGATCAGATCGACCGCTGCTCGACATGTCTCGTGCGGATAATCAATGATTGGTTGTGGTAAATTTGGATTGACCATCTCGGGCTGGTTCTGGGCATCCGAGGCGGTGTTCGTCGGATGGATGAAGACTACTGCCTTGCGGCGGTTCAGCTCTTCCCATAGCGGCGCAAATGCGATATGACCGAGGTATCCAGTTCCACTGTACCGAGTATACAGGGTGATACCATCAGCCTGGAGGACGTCCAAAGCATAGGTGAGTTCCTCGATGGCTGAAGTGATGCTTTCAGGTGTTAGATGTGGGAGGCTGGCGAAGAAGCCGAACCGAGTGGGATATTCCTGGTGAAGTTGGAAGCCATAGAGGTTTATTTGCCGGGCGAGAGTAGCCGACTCTACCGGAGAGTTGGATATGATAGAAGTACCTGGTGCGGTCAAGGAGAGAATGGCCGTGCGGGTGGTGTGGGACTTCATGAGGAATAAGGTCGATTCCGGTGTCCATTTGGGAAGATGCCAGCCGGAGGGGTCACCAGGGGTTGAATTGAAGGCTATGGCTTGGTTAGTGATGTTACTAGAGAGAAGTTGCGACTCAGAGAGAAGATACCATTCACATAGGCAGGGGGGATGAAGTGATGGTGCACATCGATGCGGTTCATGGTGATAAGCAGCTTTACTGTATATCTAGACGAGTGGGGATGGCGTATAAGATATATATTGATCATCACTTCGTACTGCCATAAACCAATGATGCGTCCCACGGCCGAGTAAGAACAAGACCTATCATGCTCGGCCGGAGAAGATACAGATAGAGCAAGGTATGGTGGATTGGGGTTGAATACTGGCCTGGCCAGTGTGGATGTCACTCCCACTTCACACTCTATAGGATACATCCCTCGTCTCGTACTCCATATTTTAGCGCAGCTCTAATTTCATATGTACTATGTCTTTCCCAAGGAAAGATCAAATACGCGCACGACAAACAGCTCCAGCAAAGACACCCCCGTCAAATACAATCCCAGCTTAATGTTCGACTTAAAAATGCGGCCTCCTGAGTGTCGATCCTTGAGATCCAATGACAAAATATGCCACGGCATACTCACCATCCATACACCGAGCCCTAGCACCCAAAAGATGAGTGACATTTCCGCGCGCAGCGCGGTGACAGCAAACAGCAATACCTGCAGAGCCCCTAGCACTGCAAGCAGGACCTGGACATTCTTTCCCATCAGCACGGCAAGTGACTTTACGCCAATCTTCTCGTCATCCGGACGATCCTGTGTCGCATAGAAAATATCAAAGTAGACAACCCATGCCGCCGTAGCAAAGAATAGAGGAAGTGCCTGATCCAAATTGTTTAGATCTCCAGTAATTCCCACCCATCCAGGGAACACGGCGCCCCCAATTATTGCACCCAGGACAACTTGCGGGAATGGCATGATGCGCTTCATGAACGGATAGATGGTGCTCAAAACCCATACGGGGATGAAGCCCACTGTAACGGCTGGACCCAATGTGCCCCAAGTAATGGAAAGTGTGATAGGCAACCAACAGATAAAAGCCACAATGGCCTCAGACGTACTGATCATCCCAGCTGGTAGAGGGCGAACCTTGCATCGCTCGACGTGTTTGTCGAGCTTTTGGTCACAAATATCGCTAATACATTCGTCAGTAAGAGGTAGACACGATATGATTAACTAACTTACTTGAATGTACAAAATGTACAATGTGTAGCTGTTACGCTGGCCCAGATGCCGAAGAGTAAACGGAGAAATGGCGCGAGTTCCAGCGATACATCTCGCATGCCCGCAGCCACACATGCCCCCCAGATGGCGGGATACCAACATAACCAGGCTTCACGGGTATGTAACCGGGCTAATTCCCATATACCGCGAGACACATTGCGGGAGGACCTTTGGGTAGTAGAGATAGCCATACTAATGATGCTATTCGGACGACTGCCTCAAGCAGTTGCGTATAATGAAAGATCCTTATAAAAGACAAATTAAGATAAGGAAAAGAAAAAGTTCATATTCCTGGTCATCCAAAAACCATTTCGAATCACTCCCTCTCTGTATGACCTGTCCTCGGGGTCGGTCTAGTTGTTAGGCCGAGTCGCGTCAGGCATCAAATTAGGGCTGACAAAATTTCATCTCGGCCGACGAGCCGACCACTCCAATTTACACCATCTCGCTAGAATCGCACCGGCCGATAGTGGTATAGTGAATCATATGAGATACTGAGATGAGCTCCTATTGGAGTTAGAGGAAGTATAGACAGAGCGAGGTCGTAGAATCTTCATATTAATACATAGAGAGGAAGATTTATTGGTTTGAAATGACCACGAGGGAGATTAAATCTTCACATCACCTTATTTAATCCATTGTCATAGAGTCTACATTACACAGCATAATGATTGCTTCAACCAGCAGCACAGATGCCCTTACCCCCACCGGGGATTCCAATAGTAAAGGCACAACGACTCCCGCAACCAGCACCGAAGACACTGAGATGCAAGGTGATCTCAACCACAATGATACCCATGATGACATTGCCATAATAGGGATGGCATGTCGCGTCCCAGGAGATGTGAAGTCCCCGTCCGCACTGTGGCAGTTCCTCCTCCAGAAAGGTGATGCTTCAGGCGACATGCCCTCCTGGCGTTGGGATCCCTATCGACAGCGCCATCCTCGCAATGCGGCCGCACTGGCAAAAACAACGGCCAAGGGTTACTTCGTCAACGATATCGATCACTTCGATGCCGCCTTCTTTGCCATCTCCCCTCGCGAGGCGGAGCAGATGGATCCCCAGCAGCGCATTGCGCTCGAGGTTGCCTGGGAGGCGTTGGAGAATGCAGGCATCTCTCCTTCCCGTCTTGCGGGCTCAAACACTTCAGTATACATGGGTGTCAACTCCGATGACTATGGCAAGCTGGTCTTGGAAGACCTCACCGGTGTCGGTGCACATATGGGCGTTGGCACGGCCTACTGCGGAATCCCTAGCCGCATATCATATCTGCTAGATTTGATGGGTCCTAGCGTTGCACTGGATGCAGCCTGTGCATCATCCCTGGTGGCGGTACACCATGCCCGACAGGCTATCCGTGCTGGTGAGACCGATCTTGCCATCGCAGGTGGTGTCAACGCGCTCTTGGGACCCGGGTTGACCAGGGTGCTGGATGAAGCGGGAGCTATCTCCGCGGATGGAAAGTGTCGTTCTTTCGATGACTCTGCTAACGGGTATGGCCGAGGCGAAGGAGCGGGTGTGGTTATCCTAAAGCGTCTGGAAAAAGCTCTAACAGACGGTGACCGAGTTCTAGCTGTGCTCAAGGGCAGTGCAGTGGCCTCAGATGGCAAGACGCTAGGAATTATGGCCCCCAATGCGCAGGCACAGATTCTCGTTGCCCAAAAGGCACTCAAAGAGGCGAGGATAACACCTGACTCTATCAGCTATATTGAGGCACATGCCACTTCCACCTCATTGGGAGATCCCACAGAGACGAGTGCCCTAGCTGGAGTATATGGTGCTGGATCTGGACGGCATTCATGCAATCCGTGCTATATCGGTTCCATCAAGCCCAATATCGGTCATTTAGAGGCCGGTGCCGGTGTCATGGGTCTCATCAAGGCGGTTCTTGTGCTTCGCCATGGCCAGGTCCCCCCGCAGGCCAATCTGCAGACGCTGAATAGCAAAATCGCATGGAAGAAGAGCTTACTATGCCCGGCCCGCGAGCTGGTGACATTGCCTCATGGTACCCCATCGCGACCATTGCGGGCCGCTGTAGCATCATACGGATATAGTGGCACAGTATCTCATGCAATTATCGAGGCCTTCGCAGGAGGATTCTTGTGCACCGATCGACTGGCCCAGCCTCCAGACAGTGATGGTGCACCAGTCCTCCTTCTCTTGTCCCTGCCTCAAGCGAACCGAATATCAACAACAGCTGATGCCCTAAGCCAATGGCTGCGACACACTGATGGGGCGATATCCCTCGCAACGGTCGCCTCGACACTGTCACAGCGCCGCGCGCATCATCGCTTCCGCCACGCCATTGTTGCTGATTCCGTCGCAAACGCCATCGCTACTCTCGATGATCTGTCCAAGAATGTGCCAAATCGCTGGGCAATCAACAACCGAATTGGAACCGAGGCAGCAAAAGGCCCGGTGTGGGTATTCTCAGGCCATGGTGCGCAGTGGCCCGACATGGGTCGCGAATTATTTCACTCTAGCCCGGTGTTCGGGGAAGTGGTGCGCAACCTGGAGCCAATTATTCAAGCAGAGCTAGGTTTCTCTGCAATTGAATCCCTGCAAGCTGGCTGTCTAAATCGCACTGATGTTGTTCAGGCAATGACATTTCTCATGCATCTGGGCATCGCCGCCGTGCTCGAGGCGGAGTCTGGTCCTCCTACTGCTGTCGTGGGCCATTCCCTGGGCGAGGCTGCAGCGGCAGTCGTTTCTGGGGCTCTAACTTGGCATGAAGGAGCCCTAGTAGTCTGTCGACGAGCGCGTCTTTACCGTGAGTTCATCGGTGAAGGTGCGATGGCGCTGGTTCGGCTGCCGGCGTCTGAGGCCCGTGCGCGTATTGCCACGCACCTCGGCGCGTCGGTCGCAATCGAGGCATCACCAACCGTGTGCGTGATATCCGGTACTATTGACGCCGTTCAGAAGATCTCTCAAACATGGCGTAAAGAAGGTATCGAGGTGCGTCCCGTCGCCACGGATGTGCCCTTCCATACACCACTCCTGGAGAAGCTAGCAGGTCCCCTCCGAGACGCGCTGAAAGGCGAGCTTCACCCTCAAGTACCGCGTCGGACGCTCTATTCAACTTCGCTGTTGGATCCACGTTTAGAAGTACCACGCGATGTCGAATACTGGGTGATGAATATGATCCAACCGGTCCGACTGCAGTCGACAGTGGCCGCACTCGTGGACGACGGATTCCGCGCATTTGTGGAGCTGGCGAGTCATCCCATAATAACACACTCGATAGTCGAGACTGTCAGCGAGCGGACAACCGATCGGTTTATGGTGACACCCACAATGGTGCGTAAGCAGCCGGTACTCAAGAGCATCTTGGCTGCCGTGGGCCGTCTGCACTGCTTCGGCTGCACTGTGAAATACACAGATCTCGACCCGGCTGCGCCATGGAGTTCATCTGTGCCCGGTACAATTTGGAATCACCAGCCGTTCTACCGCGCTGTGAGCACAATGACGGCTGCACAGTTGGCGCCAACACACAAATCTGCCGCAAATGACCTGCTAGGTACTCGTACCGCGCTGTGGGGAACGGACGAGGTGCTTTATCAAACCCGCCTCGAGGAAGACAATCGACCTTTTCCCGGCCGTCACCCACTGCATGGATCAGAGATAGTACCTGCCGCTGTGCTATTGCATACATTTTTGCGCGCACTCTCTCCTAGTAGCGTGGAGAATGTGTCGCTGCTGGTGCCTGTAGTGGTGTCTCCGGCCCGTGAGATCCAGATCCGGCATAACACGCGTGAGATCGCTATCACATCTCGTCTGGAGGAGTCTACGAGCAACGAAGACGGCTCGTGGCTTGTCAATACCATCGCGACTAGGGGCGCTGCTGATGTAGCAACCTCCATCAGCCATATCAACATAGCTGAAATCAGGAAAAGACTGCCACAGAAGCTGTCGGACAACTTCTCAATGGATTACCTCACCTCTGTAGGCGTGTCTGCCATGGGATTTCCATGGCGGGTAACTCAGCATGTGGCCAGTGACGACGAGATGCTGGCCATGGTAAACGCCAATCCGGACAACCTACCTGGCATGGACGATTTTTTGGTGTCCGTCATGGATGCATCAACATCCATCGCATCAACCCTCTGGCATTGTATGCCCCGCCTCCGTATGCCCACAGCTGTCCGTCGCATCGTAGCCGTTGATGTAGCCACCCCACAAGTCGTGTACATCCACTGCAGCAAGGCAAAATCGTCCGTCGACGCAGCTGATGTGATAATCAGTAGTGAGGATGGTACCGTTCTGATGGAGATCCAGGGAATGGCCTTCGCCGGTGTCGAGGGCGACTCGTTGTCACGAAAAAATACCTCTGGCCTCGTGCACCAAATCAGCTGGCCACCGGCCGCTCTGGTTGAGGAGCCGTTAGAATTTTCCCACGTCGCCTTTCTCGCACCAGATGCCGCGACGACTTACGTGGAAACCTACCAAATGCAGCTTGAGAGCAGAGGTATCTCCACGTCTATCCATGAGCATGCCTCAGACTTGCCCTTGACAGCTCATTCGTCTATGGCGGTTGTCTATCTCCCTCAAGTCACTGATCAAATTTTCGAGACCGCCACCAGCGCCTGCAGTCACCTCGTATCGGCAGCCCAGTTTATTTTATCCTTCTCGAAAAAACCCACCGTCCGCCTCTTCACTCTCACCTCCGAAACCAATCTAGGCCACAGCGCCCTCACAGGCCTCGGCCGGATTCTGCACACCGAACACCCCGAGATCTGGGGTAGTCTCATCGATCTTGAAGATCCCTCGGTCTTCCCGCTTATGGCAATGCGCTATGTGCGTAATACTGACATTATCAAGATCCAGGATGGGGTCCCGCGCACTGCATGCCTCCGTCCGCTCCGCTCCGCCCCGCTCCACCCCGCTGCTCTCACTTTCTCCTTGGCATCCACGTATCTAATCACCGGTGGACTGGGCTGTCTCGGTCTCTCCGTAGCCGAGTGGATGGTCACTCAAGGCGCGAAACGCATTCTGCTACTCTCTCGTCGCTCACTACCCCCGAGGTCCACCTGGACCACCTCGCATAAACCCGAGACCTCGTCTATCATTCAAAGTATCCTCTCACTTGAACGCCTTGGTGCCACTATCCACACCCTGGCCATCGATATTTCCCATCCATCCGCTGTGGTGAGTCTTCGCTCGGCGCTCACCACACTCAACCTCCCGCCCGTTGCTGGCGTAGTTCACGCCGCTGGCATAATCCACGACCAGCTCATCGGGCAAATTACTCCAGATGTGTTTGATGCCGTCCTTGCACCGAAGATCGCAGGCGCCTTGGTGTTGGACACCGTCTTCCCTCCCAATTCCCCTGAGCTGGACTTCTTCATCCTCTTCTCTTCTTGCGGTCAACTCTTGGGATTCCCGGGTCAGGCGTCATACGCGAGTGGAAATTCGTTTTTGGACGCCTTGGCGCGGTCACGCAGAAAGGAGGGTGATAATTCCATCTCTCTTCTTTGGACGTCTTGGCGGGGCATGGGTATGGGAGCTAGTTCTAATGGAGCCTTAGAGGCGGAACTCTATGCTCGTGGAATTACAGATGTGACTCCTGACGAGGCGTTCCGGGCTTGGAGTGCTATCTCTGCAGTTGAGGGTGCCGATCATGGAGTTGTGCTTCGTGCTCGGCCGCTTGAATCTCGGGAACCGCTGCCACATGCGATTCTGAGAGATATTGTCACGAGGAAAGAGAGAATTGGGGATGACGAGAGTGGGGAAAAGGAAAAACAAAGGAACAAATTGACTGGCAAAGGATTGGCGGAACATTTGCGTGTCGTTGTGAAAAAGTGTGTGTCGACGACATTATCGATCCCTGAAGATGAAGTAGACGAGACAGTGGCGTTGCCAGAGATGGGCATGGACTCTGTCATGACAGTGAACTTCCGCATGAGCCTGCAGCAGACGCTGATGGTGGGTGTTGGGCCAACGTTGGTATGGAAGTACCCTACGATACATCATCTGGTTGAATATTTCTGTCGGGTATTGGAAGAATAGTTTTAGCTATCGTTCCATTGGAGACTTGTATATAGTTCTATTTTACTTCTTCTTCTAATCTTGCAACTCGGAATATAAATCATATCACTAACTATAAAGACAGATGGTCTAATAAAGGCATATCAATCTATAATTTGTAGGACATAACATCGCCAACTATAGAATCAACCACGTAGAGACATCTCCATCTATACCTAATCTTCTCTCCGTTTCGTCAATGCTAGGAACTCTCCGTGAAACTGGGGAACAACCATATCATCCCACTTCATATCCTCCACGGTCGTTCCTACTAGGTCCAAATCGAATCGTCGCACAATATATGCAATGGCCATATACATCTCCATATACGCCATACTAAACAACAAATTCGTTAGTCACATTTATTTCATGAACCAAGGGGGGCACATACTTGATCCCCAGACAAGACCGACTCCCTCGTGAAAACGGTACTAGAAATTTAGCTCTCCCTGCTGTCACCTCGGACCCCTGGAGCCATCGCTCTGGATCAAACACACGAGGATTCTCGAAAAGCGTCTCATTGTAGTGAATATGGTAAATGGCCATGCCTACCCGGGTTCCTGCAGGGATAAACCGGCCGTCTGGAAGACGGACACCACCTGGCGGAACAAGACGGGGAGTGCGAGAGGCTGCGGGAGAGGAATATCTGAGGCCCTCTTTTATTACTGCAGTCTGTTTTGTGCCATATAAGCGTTAGTTCAATTGTTTTTAGGAGTAAGAATAGGATACAAAGTACGGACCAGATATGGTAGCGCTTCAAGCTGAATATACGAGACATGAGAATTGGACGTCGGCATGACAGTTTTCAGTTCCGCTAGAAGTCGGTCATGGATTTCACGGTCATTGAAGATATTGAAAAGAGTGACTGTGTTGGCAATTCCGGTGGTATCGTCCCCAGCGGAGATCACGGTAAGAAGCTCATCACGGAGACCCTGTTTGTCCGGTACTGCATAACCCTTCTCAGGAAGCGGAATGAGCAGCCTCTCCATGAGAGTCGGGAAGGCAGGGGTTTTGCCCGCTGCTGCGGCGGCGATATATTCATCAATGCGACGAGCAGCGAACTGGTAGAATTAATTAGTATAGATGAGGTTGCTGACGGAACGTATAAGTCGAGCTCACCTGTTCCAACTCATGGCCCATTTCAACAGAATGTGAAATTCGTTTTGCAATCCACAGCGGTAGAGAGTTGAGAAGTCGCACAAAGGGAAAAGCTTTAATGACATGTAAACTGGGTAGGTATTGTTGAAAGACGCGCACAGGGAGTGACTTGAACTCCGGATGAGAGAGAGCATTCAGAGATTGACCGAAGGCAAATTGTGACACCATATCTGAACCATTATATTAGAGTCCCAACGTGATGAATGGGTAGTGTGAAGAAAAGATCCATACCCATCGCCAGAGACTTCAAAGCCCATTCCATTGAGACAGGCTTACCCTGAGCAAAATGCTCATCAAATCGCTTTGAGCAGTAGTCAACATGCTCCATCAGCATTGGCTCCAAACTGAGTATATTCTTTTTGGAGAATAACGGCTCTAGTGGTGCCTTTCGCTGCTTGTGCCGCACCGGGTCACTCTCGGCTAGAGTGCTCGACGGCGCCCCTAGGACCTTGTGCATCGATGGGTCTTTGTAGTATCGACTACCTGGTCGATATAGTTCATGGTAGAAAGCTGGATCATAGATATGCACCTCATTAGGACCCATGCGCAGTGCAGGTCCTAGACGCTTATGCATTTCTTCAAGCTTGAACAGCGTCTGGCCTTTATGGCCTGGTCTGAGACCGATATTCCAATAGGCCTCCCAGCTACAGTATATGGTTAGCAAAACTAGGCTGGGATAAAAGATCATGTACTCACTATTCCCCCAAAGCTGCCCATGGTGAACCGGGAAAAATGGCCAGTGGACTGAAGAAGATCAGATAGACAGCACGAATGGCATGGTAAACAGCAAATGTGCCCGCCGCAATGAGCCAGAGGCTCACAGGAAGCACCGAAACCAAAGCCATGTGTTTGTAATCAGAGATAATACCCAACTCATTCCCATTTCTGTATGTGTCCAGTTGTATTTAACTGCGTTCTTCATCTCCCGATCGGCCGAATGCTGCCCAGCACCGATGACCGAAAGCGCCGAGCCCTAAAACACCACATACGACCAGGCCCAGTTAGAAGATCTCCAACTTTTTCTAAAATTTCTCTCATGGCAAATATTAATTCTTCCTCTTGGATAACAATGGGCTTGGAAACAAAGCCATTCTCCCTCGACAGCGGACACTATACAGTACTGGCCTTCCTCCTTGCCATCTGTGTCCCACAGTACCCCCATAGAACTGCATTTCGCTATGGACTATTTCTTCTCCAAATTACCTGCGCAGTACAAGCATTCTTTGCTCCGCCACCTCCAATACTAGACCGGGCCATCCTCTACTCATCGGGTGTGCTGATGGGCAACATGCTAGCACGCTACTTTGACCGACTATACACAACCGTCCCAGAGAAGACATTTCACCGCATCATCGACCAAACCCCCGAAGATGCAGTTAGTCTTCCAGCGTCTGAGCGCCTTTTCTGGGCCCTAGAACTTTTCAGCGTCACCCGTGGGATCGGCTGGAACTGGCGCGTCGGCGGGATTCCTAAGTCCCCAGCATCAACAACCAGATTCCAATTCGTGGGAGCCCAATTTATCACATGGATTGCAATGTATGCAGGTCTACATCTCGTCAATGTAACCTCTCAGTTTGTCTTGTCAAACCAAAATGCCATCCCCTCACTCGTGGACAATTTGCAAATCTATGCCTTGATAGTAGGTGGATGCGCCATGACAATATACAGCCATTTCGGCATTCTCATGCTCCCGTTATCAATTCTCTGTGTCGGCCTCCAAATCGGCCCTCGCTCATGGCAGGATGCTGCATCCTGGCCACCGAATTTCGCTAGCGTGAGTGAAGCATACAGCATTCGCCGCTTCTGGGGATATACCTGGCATCAGCAGTTGCGAAGACAAGCTGGGGCGCCCGGTGAATATCTCATTAGCTTGCTGCCAAACAGTGTGAGGACATCTAAACGGACGTCTGTTCGGCTAGGGAGACGGTACTCACTCCTCTTGATGAGCTTCTTCGTTTCGGGATTGGTTCATGCGTGCGGATCATACCAAGTGACACGAGCACTTGGCCTACCTTTATCGGATGGTGGTGAAGTAAAGTATTTTGTGTTACAGGGGGTGGCTATTATAGCCGAGGATTTTGGGTGTTGGGTTTTTGGTGTTGATGATCGGGCAACAAAGCCTGGGGGGATGCGGCTATGGGTAGGATATGCGACCACACTGTCTTGGTACGTCTGGAGTCGGGTACAGCTGAAGGGCATACCTGTGGCGCTGGGAATGGGGATTCATCATGAGAGGGGAGACTTGTTGGCTGCGTTGGAGCACGTTCGACAATCTGCTGCAGCAGTGCCAGGGAATTTCGTGGCAAGGGCGTGGGAGCTGATTCAGTGATTATTAGTATGAAGTTGGCACGAAAAATACGGTGACATTAGAGAGAGATATATATAACGTTGAAATAGTTAAGATGGATTTGTGCTAAATACTGAAGTATTAAGGGCTTCCACTTGAATGAGGTAGATATTGACCAAGACCCTCTCAGGAACATAAAGAACACCCCCCAAATAGTCTATCTGAACTCGGCAGGGAGTGTCGTCAACTTGCCCATCTCGGCAATTGTCTCCTTCCACAGTTTCTTCTGAATCTCCTGCCCTGCCGGTGACTTGATGAACGCCCCTTTCCTATATGGGAAGACAGGTTAGCTATTGACAATACATTTTCTTTGGAAAAGCGTAGAGATCACTTACTCAGCAATTTCCTTGTCACCCAAGAACTTGCCATGAGACTCAGGGCCTGCCACCAGCGCACTATGCAAGATGATCCAACCCCCTACCTCAACAGACCTGGCCCGGAATGACTTGACAACATTCACAATCAACCGCAGATGCAGGGGAAGAACGTCGCTCATGCTGGTATTCACCATGCCGGGACACATCATGTTGATGATGACTTTCTTTGGATCCACTCGCGGTGCCAGACTGTACATGAACAATGCGCAAAGTAGCTTCGAGTCCCCATAGCGCTGGAAGGGGACAAAGGTCTCTTCTTTATCCATATGCTCTAGGACACCTTCACCGGGCTTGATTGGAGCTTTCTTCTCCAGGCTTGTGCTCTCCTGTGCGCGACTGCCAACCCAGCTGATACGTGCAGGAGAGCCGGTCTTCTCTGCACCTGCCGTGAGATACGGCAGGAGTTCAGCAATCAGCAAAACGTTGGAGTAGTAATTGACCTGGGTGGTTCGGTCATGGCCGCTGGGACTGCGTTCCAGCTTCAGCAGACCGATACCCGCATTGAGAATGAGGAGATGAACCACCGGAATCTCCTCCCGGAGCTGCTTCGTAAACCGCTGTACGCTGGCGTAGTCATCCACATCAAGTGCCATGACCTTGATGGTCGGATTGGGGTTGTGGGTTCTAATGCGGTGGTCCTGGAGAAGGGAAGTTACGCAGGCCTCGCCCTTGGTGACATTGCGCACGGCAAGAATCACAGTTGAGGCGCGCAAACGTAGCAGCTGTTTGGTTGTTTCCAGACCCATCCCAGCACTAGCACCAGTAATGACGACAGTTTTACCTGTCAGGTCAATGCCTGTAGGCAGGGGATCGACTTTCGGCTGGATGATATTGACCATGATGGGCGTTGTATTGGTGGAGATGGGAGAGTTGGGGTTACCAATGTGAAGAACACAGTAGATGGAAGAGAAGAAGAGGTATTGAGGTAATCATACTCAAGTTACATCTTCCACCCTGCTATACTCTCCGAATGTACTTCTTTGATGGATTGTTCAGCTGAGCTGACAAACAAAGGGCTTAGGTAACAAGGTGACTCAGCATTCGGCCGACGCGAATCCCAAAAGGGAAGTTCAAAGGGACGACCGAGACACATCTCGCCCGAACATCAAATGTCTTTCTCAATTGATATTCAGACTAGTTTAAATTATAATGCATTCTATCGGAGATGGCTAGGAGTTGAGAAAGGAACACCGAGTATGTAGAGTACGCAGTTTATCTATGAGGTTCCTTCCTCCACCTCTACTTCCAATTCTACCAAGAGATATGAGATGGCTCCCTGCAAACCTCGTACCTTCACAGCCGGCCAGGATCCGTTGACCAAATTCGATGGAGCTATTTCGGTCCGTAATCTTCCCCGCCCCCCAGACCGCTTGTTCGAGTTTCAGGGTATCATGAGGCCAAGTCGCGGCATCTATGCCAAGCTGATCGCAACCGGCCAAAAGCCCCCGACACATTTCCACCCCTCCCAGTGGGAATTCTTTCGTGTTCTCCGCGGGAACCTCACTATCGAGTTCAATGGGCGTGTCATTCACAGGACCCCCAGTGATGGCGAACTGGCGGTGCCTCCCTATACCCATCATGTCATTTATGGAACCCCAGGAACGGAGATGAACGAGGTCGAGTTTGTCGTGAGTGCTAGTGATCCTGCTGCGGAGGAGCATGCTGCCGCCTTGATGGACCAGCGGTTCTTTGAGAACTGGTATGGGTATCAGGAGGATGTTTTTCAACGGGGGGAGAAATTAGATTTCGTCCAAGTTCTCTCGGTGAGCAAAATGTCTTTTCCCTAGGAAATATCCAGACATTAACAGGTATAGATGTTTGATGCCGGAGGCACATATCTCTCTCCACCGTGGTGGGTGCCCTTCCGCTCGTGGATCGGGCTGTTCCTGGGCATTGTGGTGGGCCGGTGGATCGGAGGGCTGCTAGGCTATGCGCCCTTTTATCCAGAATGGACAACCGACTGGGAGGCAGCCTGTGAGATAATGCAACAGAGCTGGTTCCATCGTCGATTTGCGGATCCACAAGCACAAAAGCTAGCACGAGTAAGGTTTCGTGAACAGTTAGAGCAGGAGGCACCAGCCAAGGAGGAGAAGTCGGAGTAGATCAAAATATTATGGGAGCAGGGGACTGCATATATTCAAATATCTAGATAGGCAGATGGTCCTCCACAGATTGCTGTAATCTACTATGTATGCACAAGAATATCCGGTTACGCCGACAGATGGACATTCTACATACTTGTACTTAACCTCAATTCCTGGAGATTGCTTTCACTGCCACTTTCCACTGTCTGAGACTAACGTTTTGTACCCTTATCAGCAAGCCTTTTTTCTATCAACACTGACCAAAGTATCCAGCTGCTTCTCGAGTCGTTGAACATAGATGTAGACCATAGCATACACTATGTCAGACCCGACACTACCTAGTAGCAAGAACTGCCCGTACGGGCTCCACGCATATCCAAATCTTTCTGGCCAATAATACACACGCCAGAAGAAACAACATGCAGCTGCCAGAGTGCCCAGAATTCTTGTCCACCTGCTGATGTGAGCGCCAAATTAATATAACTATACCGAAGATCTATCCACTCACCAGATTCCCCAAGAATGACCGAGGGTATTTCCACGCGACAGTAGCTGCGCGATTGAACTAAAATTGATAAGGACCTGCATGGGCCATGCAGTCATGAACACAACCTGTCGACCAATGCTCGGGATAAACGTGGCCGCAACCGCCAGGTGCAGCCAGAGACAGATTACGCATCCGACCACAATTATTCCCACGAGATGTTGTGCCACCAGCGGTGACTGCTTCCACGCATACGGGGCCGAGCGAAGAATTGCGTAGAAGAGGATAACATCTACAATCATCCATTGCGCAAACACGACCTGGTTTAGCAGTCCGGGGCCATAGACAAACCCGTAAACTGCTTCCCAGGTGATGTTCAAGCAGAGACAATGAAGAGGCATTGCGTAGGAACGATCTTTGAAAGCCTTTTTGGCCATCAAGACGTATGAGATGGACCATAGGATTCCTGATATGGCGGTGAAGCCATCGGGTACAGACTTCGCATGCCAGTAGGGCGCTGGGGTATCGTTGTAGTCGTGATTGGCGGCTTCCCACTCCTTGAGGGCAAAGAAGCTCATTCTGTTCAAATAGTTGAGTGGATAGTAGGTTTGACAGGCAGATATTTGCCTTTGTGTGCTCTTAGCCTGCTCTTCCTCCATATATCATTTCGATGTTGGGGTATTGAGCGAGGATCATCCTGGTCCGTCGGCCGAGCCAGATCGGTAGCCCGAGAGGTGCATCCCTAGTCGGGGGAATATCGATCAGCCTGTCTTCGAACTCGGACTTGAGAAAAATGAAAGGAAATTAAGGCCTGTCCGCCTTACCATTCGTTTGAAATCGTATCCATGCAAGGTTCCCCCGACATCGCAAAGGGTAGATCCATAAAGAGCCGGCAATGCGCATGGACACCAACCCTGTCAATTAAAATCAATCAACATGGCTAGGGTTGCCTCGATAATGATATTAGGAGTCCTTATGGCTGTGTGGGCTACAGCCACCGCAACTTCCAGCCCATCTCGGTCCTCGGCTGCTGCTCTCTCCTCGCTGGGGGTTTCTCTCCCGCCTGGCGAGGTTCTCGTCGGAAATGCCGGGTATACCTGTAGCCTCTTGAGTCGTGTCTTTCCCAAGAATGAGACATTTACAGACACCTCACCCTACTATGACGTTTTGATTGACGAAGCCTGGTCACAGAATTGCCGATTGAATGCGTCCTGCGTTGTGACGCCTGACTCCGCCCATGAGGTCTCGCGCCTATTGCAAATCCTCAGTATTCTGGACACCAAGTTTGCCATTCGGTCCGGTGGACACAATACTAACCCGGGATTCAGTTCGATCGATCACAACGGAGTCCTAATCGCTCTTGAGAAGTTGAACACCATTTCCATAAGTTCTGACCGTGGAACTGTCACTGTCGGGCCTGGTAATAAATGGGAGTCCGTATATAATTACCTCCAGCCATATAATGTCACAGTCTTGGGTGGCCGTGCAGCGGTTGTAGGCGTTGGCGGGTACATCCTCGGTGGTGGGTAAATGAATTCCTGCCATGATCCTAGATGGAGATATTGACAGAGCTAGGTGGTCTCAGCACTTTCTACAACACCCATGGGTTGGCTATTGACAGCGTCACTCGATTCCAAGTGGTCCTTCCCAATGGAAATATTGTCAATGCTACCGCAACCGAGCATGCCGATCTATATAAAGGCCTGAAGGGAGGTCTAAGCAACTTCGGTAAGACCGATATTATCTATCAACGTTTCCCCAAACTAACTGGCCTAGGTATTGTGACTGAATATGACCTCACTACAAACACCGGCATCGATGTCTTGTACCACATAAACACCTATACTATCGCCAACACACCTGCCGTGTTTGCGGCCTACGCGACATATCTTTTGGATGCAGATATCAACAGCAACATAGAGATCCAGGCGAACCCCAACTTCACCTTGGTCTTCTTCGGCTATCTTGGCCATGTATCCACGCCCGCAGCCTTTGACCGATTCTCTGACATACCTGTGGCCTCTACGATGTACCCACCGACAAATGGCTCACTCAGCGACCTTCTCCTCACCATTGGCTCTGCCGGACTCACTTCCGAGGGCGTATCCTACGGCGGTACTTTTACATTTAAGGTGACAGGGCCGACCTTTCTACAGGACACGTACTCGAACTATCTAGAGGCTGCTGCCTCTCTGACCTCGGGGGTAGTACTATCTTATGTGCCTCAAGGTGTCATTCCGAACTTGGTGACCCAAGGCAAGTCACAAAATGGAGGAAATTTGCTAGGTCTGGAGGCCACACCTCAACTATGTACGTGTCCACTTGTGTCTGTATCTACATGCAGTAAACATCTCTAACCAGTGTCATATTCAGGGGTGAATATATTCGCCCAATTCCCAGTGACAGTCAACCAAAAGGTGGTAATGCGTGCGGTAGACACACTGCTAGCCAGCCTCACCTCCAGTGCAAAATCTCGGGGTCTTTTCCTCCCTTACATTTTCGTCAACGACGCAGGTCCCAGCCAGAAGCCGCTGCAATCTCTTGGGGAAAGGAATATCAATTACATTGACACAGTAGCAAAACGGTATGACCCCGAAGGAGTCATGCAAAAGCTACAGAACCAGGCATACTTTGTTTCGAAGGAGTTATGAAATCCTACTCTGGCATTGTATATACACATTTGGCTTTCAGCGGTGTTACACTTGAGGTATCTCCCATTTCGCAGGATTTTCCTCGTCAACGCCTGACTTCAAAATCTGGTATATCTCTCGGGTCTCTGTCATAGTTTATAAAATTAAGCCCTCAAGCTTCCCTGATATTCCCAAGCAATGAAGCCACAAGCATAGCCACATGGGGCACCAAGCCACAACCCAATTAGTGCATCGACAACTGTCCAACTACACACCATTCATACATTCAACCGGAAAATACAATATATACCATGCAACGGTGTGCTTTGAGGACTTTCTTATCTTTTGGCCGAAGAAGTGGACAGTCAAAATGTCCAAACATGCCACAATATCAATTCCATCGCCTTTCCGGCCCCCTCCGCATTAAACAGCTTGATATCCACAACACCCCCCACGGCAGACGGAGAATCATCACCCTGCCCAATAAGTCACATCATGTTATACATGAGCGTGACATGGAAAAGGAAGCATCCTTTAATCAAAATGTGTTCAACTTGTCTCTTGCTCTGTCACAAAGCCGCGTAAATGATGCGACGGAGTTGCGTTGCATGACCTTAGGTGTTGATGGATCTGTCACAGAATCTGAAGTTCGAGGAACTAGGGATGATATCGCTAAACAGTGGGGTTTAGATGGCCGTGATTTGCGCAACGTGGATCTTGTCTCAGAGGGAATCCCCCATTTGTTAGTCCGTCCATCTGTCATCTTTATCAGCATGTTCACTTTACGGCTTTTGGTCCGCGCAAATGGAGTGCTTCTTTTTCTTCTTCCAATTGAGGACTGCCATGTGAAGGTGCAGGATGTCTTTATGACAGACCTACAGAGCAGGCTCCAACCCAGTCCTGGCTCTGGTCTTTTGACGAAACTCCCATTTGAGCTGCGTGTGGTGGATGCAGCACTTGCCTCTGTGGTCGCAACTCTGGAAGCCGAGCATGTTCTCATCCGCCGAGAAGTCGAAGATAGCTTGCGTGATTCAACAAGAGAAGATGTTGTTTACTCTGTTCTCCATGACTTACAGGATCACAAGAAAAGGCTCGTGGCCATTGAGCAGCGCGCTCACCAGTTCCGCTCGGCGCTGCGGGAAGTCCTCGAAAATGATGAAGATATGGCGACCATGTTTTTGACGGATCGGCATGTAGGTCACCCGCACGAGGTAGAAGATCACCTAGAGGTCGAATATCTCCTCGAAGCATATTACAAGAACACAGATGCAATCGCAGAGTCTGCAAGTGCCTTATTGGGCGATTTGGAGCGCACGACAGAAACCATTCAATCAATTTTGAATGTGCGACGGAATCAGATCTTGGTTTTTGAGGCACAACTGGAGATCTGTATGTTGGGTTTTGCAGTATCAACTTTTGTGGCAGGCCTATTTGGAATGAACGTGGCGAACTTCTTTGAAGAGAGTAAATCGGCATTTGCAATCCTTGTGGGAGCGTGTGTGATGGGAACGGTCACAATTGCGAAGTATGGCTTGTGGAAACTCAATAAGTTCCGGAAATTGCGGTTTTAGAGCTTAGTCCTAGGGTTATCACTGCAAGAGAATAGAAATAAAATGATTGATATTCATAGGCGATCCTGCTTGAGATCAAATTATAAGTTAGCAGTCCGGTGCCACCCTGGTTTTGACCATTCGATCCTTGATCTTCCGCATACGAATTAGTCAGATATGCTCAGGTTAACAGCATATCTCCTTCAACTCGATCAATCTCCTTTACAAATACATCATCTAATGTTCGCCTGCTATAATACATCATACAACTCAGTTCACAGCAATTCCACTCTGCTGTTGACCTGCCTTCAACGCGATCTCTAACCCATCAATCACCTTATCCGGCACGCTCAGGAATGCCGAGTGAGACGCATCGACGTGGTATGTCACTGGGTTGCCCAAAGTTTTAGCAAAGCTCTCTTGCGCGTGTAACGGAAGAGCGGCATCCCGGTCGCAAAACAGATACATGCTAGGCATCTCATGCCAAGGTTCATGCGTCGCCGGCTCATGGAAGGCCTTGAGCGCATGCGGCTTCAATTTGGAAATTGCCTTCTGTTGCTCTTCCGGAGACATGTCATTATAGAACACGGTCTCTTGTTCGGAGGACCAGCAGTAACCATCTTCGGGGCTCTATATCTCGTTCGTCAGTGGCGAGTAAAAGGGGTACCAACAGAGATACACTACTCACCTTGACAATCATCCAGGGAGCCAAGTTTCCGCCCAGCATATCCATTACCGTTTTGCCCTTAGGGGTCACAAATGCAGCCAGCCAGACTACTATGATCACGCCGCCAGGTAGACCGGCTTTACACCGCTGCGCGTACCCCAGGCCCTCGACAGCCCCGGCACCAACTATGCCGCCATAGGAATGGTTCACGACCACAATCTGGCGACCAGCTTCCACCATCTCCTTGAGAACGGCATGAGTATGTTCAATATCCGCATACAGCCCCTTATCTGGAGTGCATGCGCCGACGGATGGAGTAGAGATAGCTTTAGTTACAAATCCACGGTTATGCATCAAATCCCGCACAACGTCGAATGTATCTGCCACGTGCCATGCGCCTGGCACGAAGACAAAAACCGGGTTCTCAGTCAAGGTCATCATGTATCTTGCAATTCCTTCTTTCTCTATTGAAGATACCAATACAACTTCAACCGAACACTGGGGAATGAGCAAATCCCGGCGAAACGATCATCCTCTCCTTATACTAAACTAGGCACGTTATCGTTGGACCCGCAATCCCCCAGCACGTGGCACGATTGGCTCCTTTAATCTATCGTTACAATTATTTCCCCGAAGAATTTCGGCCGTTTGGCGCTAACGGTGGAGCTCGGGGAAGGGTCGGCTCTCTATAGGCTCCCAGTGTCTCAAGCAAAACAATTAGAAACGAGATTGTGCGAAAGAACGCCGATTGGTATTTGAATCAGTCTCCACGCGGGAGGGAGATGTACATTATCGGGCTTAGTACACATTTCACTACGGAGTACTCCGTATACACTAGAAGAAAGAAAGAAGACCCTTTTTCCGGGTGTAAAGAAGCATAAGCTTAATAACCTGTACCTAACCCCTGCATATGGCTGATAGCACCTTAATCTAAACAATTGAACACCAGAGCAACCGGATGTAAGCTGGAGAGTATATAAGAATCCTCAGTGCCAAAAACGAACAAGGCCAGCCCTATTTCCGATCCACCAAGGCACCTCGAATTTGTCTGCAAAATATGTTGTAGGTCCCAATGGTAATGTAAGGATTTGATTTCTTACAATAACCTTTTACCCGTTTTAGGTATACAGTCTGTCGCTCAATTGTGGATGAGCATGAATCCTTTTGATGAAAGTGGATCTTGTCTCTGCGTTGTGGACTGTGTGAGATGAATTGAGAAATTCATTCTCTTTAAGTACACCATTGTCGTTCGACTGTGTTCAAAAGATGTTTTATCCGTTTTGCAGGTCCAAATACGATGACCACAGTCAATGCCCAGGAGAGCCGTCAAGGGTCCTATCGGGCTGGGACAATCGCGATGACTGTCCTGGGAGTCCTGTTCGTCATCTTGCGGTTTTTGGCACGGTGGAAGAAGTCACTGAAACCTGGCTTGGATGATTATATGATTTTGGCTGCTTTGCTTCCTTTTATAACTCTTGTTGTTTTGTTCCTCACAAGTACGACAAATTTCCCCTTTCTCAATTCTGATATTATGATACTAATCGTCAATAGTCACTGACTATGGCATGGGGTTACGTTCTGAGATCCTGCCGAGAGAAAATATCATAATGATTACAAAGGTCCAGTTCGAATTATAATTGAAGTTGATGCGTTCGCTAACACGCATCTAGCTCCTGATGGCGTTCGAGTGCTTCTATATCACAACGATAGCAGTCACCAAAATTTCCATCTTGTTCATGTACTGTCGCATCTTCCCCACGAAAGAAATACGCATTGCCTCTATGATCCTGGGTGGCATATCACTCGCTTGGGCCACTGCGATCATTTTTGTGAGCATCTTCCAATGCACTCCAATTGCGCGAGCCTGGGACAAGGAAATCCTTGGTACCTGTATCGACCTCAAAGCCTCCTTCATCGGAAATGCAGTACCCAAAATCCTCATCGATATTCTTATTCTCTCTCTGCCGGTGCGTGTGGTGTGGAGACTACACGCAAGCCTCGCGCATCGACTGTCCGTAATTGGAATCTTTCTGCTGGGTAGTTTGTTCGTATACCTTTTCCCTATACCTCCGAACTGACCTCCGAACTACTTTGCAAGCATAGACTAACTGGAACCTTGGATGTAGCGTTATCTTTACTAGTATCTATCGCTTCACTACCCTTTTTGATTTCAACCCGGCGGAAATTACCTGGACACTCGGAAAGGCCTGCACCTGGAGTGTGGTGGAATCCTCAACGGGCATTATCTCTGCCTGTATGCCGACCCTGCGTCCATTGTTGATGATTTCATTCAAATTCTCCAGTCAGTCTGGTACCCGGAGAACACGAACGACAGATGTGGAGAACTCTAAAGGTTATGAATTGGACAATTCTGCCCATCGACCAGCTGATGAGCCACGTAACAAAATTAAGACACACCTGGAGGTATCCCAGGTTGACGATGCATCTGGAGATGAGGTGCCATTGAATTCAATTCGAGTTCAGCGAGATGTCATTTGGCAAGAATCGAGTCGTGACTCCTTTTAAATACATACTTCACTAAATGATAGTTATAAGGAGATTTCGATTTTACATTGGAGCCCTATGACTTCCCTCACATATCTTGAAGAACATACACTAATCTTGTACAGTAGGGAACAATGACAGTACATTGTATTGGGACACCGAAAGGGGATGAAGGGAGGATATGGACGCTTTCTGTCAAACTATAACCCCCCGCTGGACCGAATCAAATCAACCCACCAGGACACCTAAGCACAGTGCTCGTTCAGTGCAGAGGCTAGAATATCCAAAGTGGAAACACGTATCCTTCCAACCCACCTCTACTCCCATCAATGGGCCCAGAAAACACTGTGATGAGACTCGGCACTTCGACCTGACCATCCTATCGATGCACTACTCTATACCCAGAAGGGTGAGGACAATATCAGTACTCCAAGTTACCTCTTGAGGATGCCCGAACTAAACTTGATTGAACAAATTTCAAATGATTCAAGCTCACTGCCGTGATGATCGCCATTTACGGGGATTCGGGTCAAGTTAGGCCGAGAAAAAGGACATCTGTTAGAATCACTTAGACGTCTTCACATTTGATGGCTGGAGTCCCAGGACACAGTCTATAGTCTACAATATGCATTATTTGCCGTTTTCATTTGAAAATGATCATTGTGGTTGGTGCCTTGATGCCTTGGTGCCTTAACGCCGGATACCTCGGCTTGGCAGGAAGTTCAAGCTGGAGCTCCCTTCAACACTCTCCCTCTCTTCCAGATCTACCAAATAACTATAGGTACATAACCTCAGGAACTAACATAGCAGTCATGTGCCATATCGGGTGTGAACTTGCAGGAATGTCACTCTCCCAACCTCTTCAATCTCCCTGAAGTTGACATGTCATTGACAAGCTTCAGCGCTTTCGCCCCTACTAACACATGTGGAGCAACGGCTTTTGGCATCCCAGCAGCAGCTTTTCACATCTAAGCAGAGATGCTCAAAATCGAACCTCGCTACCTTTCTTGACGGCCTTCACGCTTTTTTTCTCAAGCTTCGAGTGCAGACGGTGCGACACAGTCGATGCGAGATGACCCCACAAATCCGACTAACGAATTTCGCCGTCAAAATCTCAAAGTCTGGGACGTTTCAGTAGCGAAGAGGAGGACATATGGTGATTGCTGATGCAATCTCCGCCCGCGAAAGATGACTTGAACACTTCGCTTCACATCTTGGAAGATGGGCGAAAGCATTGGCCAGCAGCTGATCGATTCGGAGCTCGATTGGAGAAATTCCTTTCTTCGTCAGGCCGTGGAGGAGCATGTTCCGGGGATAATGGAAGAATTCAACAAATATCCAAAGCTTCGCCCAACGTTCGGTTCGTAAGGATCGATTCGTCATTGGAGGAATGAGCACAGGGCATGGGCATTCGTGGTCACATTACGCGGCGACTTTCGCCGCGCTGCACGAGAGAAGGCCCGCCCCAAAGGCCACGCGTAAACCAAAAGCACCACGGTAGTCCTCAGAAGGCCTCATGCCGACTGATTCTGCGTTTGCTATATCCCAAACGAAAACTCGGAGTTATCACATGGGGTAAACAATGAATTGGAAAAAATACAAAATGCTAAAGGAAATCTCTATCGCATATACTTGGCTCCGTGCATTACGTTCAAAAATGTCAGATTAAAAAGGAAAACAGACACATGGTCCGAATGCGAAGAATATATATAAACCAAAATCTCATTTACAGAGCAATCATTCCAACACCCGCCAGGAGTGCGGTAGCAATGTAAACAACCACCTGGAAAGAACCGAAGGATGAGCTGGAGTGCATGCTGATAGCACCGCTGCTAGATGTAGTCGCCGAGGCGGATGAGGAAGCAGAGTTAGAGCCAGAGCTAGAGCCACCAGTGCCAGTGTTCTCAGTAGTAACAGTTCCAACACCGGCAGTTCCAGCCTCCTTCATCTGTGTAGCACAAATGCCAGTGGCCTTGGTGACGGGCTTGACAGTTGCAGATCCAGCGAACTTGCAAGCATCGTCAGCCCGGTTCTGCTCAACGTAGTACTTGTTCAGAGCAAAGGCAAGCTGCTGCTTGGTCGAGCACATGCTGTAAGCACCGTACTCGCCGGTAGTGGCATTGGCTGTCAATCCGCTGCAATCGGTGGAACCGCAGACAGTACTGAACAGCTTGGCGTATCTCTTGGAGTCGAGGGATTCGGTGACAACGCAGGCGGAGGCATCATACATGCACTCACACAGCTGGATATCGGCGACAGGGGGCAGAGGGGAGGCTTCGGCGGCCCACTTGGATCCGACGGTAGGGCAGCTTCGCAGGGCAGTGTTAGTAGGGGTGTAGGAGGCCTTCTTGACACCAGTGGGGTTGACTTTGGCGATCTGGCTGGAATAGTATTTGAAGTCGGACATGGTGCTGACACTGGTGCTGTCGACGACGGAAACCAAACCTGCAAGTGTGATCAGTTACGTCCACATATGGGGAAAGCAATGACTTTTCTTACCGTAGTTGTTGGCCTCCTGGAAGTACATGTACACAATACCACCGGACCAGACCTCAGCCATAGTATCACCATACAGGGCCTTCACCTCGGTGAACTTGCGGGGCTGAACCTCGTTGCAACCGTACTCGGCAAAGAAAACAGGGACGGCGTAGTTGGCGAACTCCTCGGTGCGATCCTGGTATTTAGATTTCGAGTAGGTGGATTCACCGCACCACGAGTAGATGTTGTATCCCCAGAAGTCAATAATATCGTCAGAGTCTCCGCAGTCGAAGTAGTCGGCCATGTTTGCACGGATATCGGACACATCGGCGGTAGCATATCCAACACCCATGGGGCGGTAACCCTTCTTCTTAATGTACTTCTTGGTGTCCCGAACAGCAGCCTTGACGAACGCGCTGGCGTCAGAGGTATCAACGGTGTTGGAAACCTCATTTCCAGCGAAGAAACCAATCGTATTGTTATACTGGGCTAGTTCGTCGATAACACTGGTGTATCGGGCGAAGAGATCGGTTTCCCATGAAGGATCACTTCGATCAATTGATAGCGTGGGTTCGGACAGATCGGAGATCACGTAAATACCAGCGTCCGCCAGGAGCTTCATGCATGCCGAGTGATCAGCAGAGGCGTTAATGGCGTAGGTACGGATAACGTTGGTACGTAACTCGGCCATGATAGGAACATCACGCGCACAAGCGACAGGATCGGCTAGAGGGTCAGTGTAGCTACTGCTACCGGTACTTTCTTCTGCGAAAGGTTAATCAAGGTGTTGAAGTGATGGCATAGATAACCTACTTTGGTAGGCAACTCCACGCATAAAGCTGTTTCTGTCAGTCACTGAATTAATATGTCGGCAGATTCGGACTTACAACTGAGTGTCATTGCTGGAATAGAAGAACTTGGAGCCCTATTAAGAGTCTTAGTACCCCCAATATACATGATGGTTCTATACATATATCAAAGTCATACCTTGATGACGATAGGATCCAAATCGGCAACAGCAACCCCGGCCAGGGTTGCCAATGTCACCAAGGAGAACTTCATGGTTTCGCAAAGATAGCGAGTGTATATAGTTGGAATGGATTCAAATGAATAAAGAGAGAATAAAGAAGTCAAACGAGTGAATGGGGAATAAGATCAAAGGGGGGGAAATTCATGACTTCAAATCCAGGTCAGACTCAGTCTAGTCTTAAAATAGTCCCATAATTACCTGAAATCACAAAAAGGACTCTTATAGCCGAGCGAATAAGCCTAATATGGTCAAGTGCTCTGAAGCAATAACCCAATGGCTCGGGGAGTTCCCAAAAGAGCATTAGGGCTGGAAAGGGGATCCGTTCATATAAATGCCGAACGAATTAAAATATAAAGATGAACAGACTCCACGTACTAAACAGGACTTGGCTTTTTACTGCAGTTTGATCTGCAAAAATATATTTAGAATAGGAAGACATACTCTATTAACAAGTATATCTCAAAATTGAAGTGAAAAAAAAAACATCTCGAACGGTGGGGCTTAGGATAGCGCCGGCAGAAGACTTTTCCAACCTCCAATTTTATGAGTCTAGACTTATAATACTTCTAGTCCACAAATCTATTTATGTATTTATGTACATAAATCTATTATTCCTTTCATAAACCGTTCGTGAATGACATGAAAGATAAATTAGTTGAAGCTATCTTCAATATAGTTCAGTTTAATCTAGAAAGATCGACATGTAGATCAAATCAGATCAAATCAGATCTGTTGGAATTGTAGAAAACCCCAGTTTACCTGTACCTACCTGCATTATCATGGATCTTTTAATTTATATACTCGATGTTTCAACAGCAATAGCTATCGATGGATTTCGTACTAAAGAATGAACTTCTACCACTTCGGCTATTGCCATTACCATAAAAGATTATGGTCCAAACAAAATCGAATTGTGATATCTCCATATAACTCCATTATACAATAATTAATATTATACACACCCCCTTGTTCGAACTGAGAATGGCATTAAAAAGCGTTCCTTCGTTTCGTTCTGGTGTAATCCGCCTCAATCCGTTCACATCCGTTGTTGTTTACGATGTGCTTCGATGGCTGCATCGAACGAGCGGATAGTTTCGAGCGGGCGCTCAAGGCGGCTGCGTGTGGGGTTGGAGAGATCGGGATCAGCTATCGCTAAGTCAGAATGCAGTTCCCCGATTTCATCATAACAGGTAACTTACTGATGATCTTTCCGTCCCGGTCCTTGTGCTGGATGCTGCGGAGTGAGAATGCATCCCGAGATCCAGGCTGGAGGTTGACAGCGGCTGCTTGTTGTCAGTGGGTGTCCCTAAATTGAGATGAAGTACATAGTACTATTACGGGGATACATACTAGGTTCTTGTTCATGTAAGGCCATGTTGGGATCGGCCTTGGTTTGAAGAGAGGTCTTCGGGCTGTGATGCGACTTGACAGAGTCAGAGTGCTCACTTGAGGCCAATGAGGACGGCATTATTGTGAATATTCTAAAACTTTGTAGAAAATGGTATGAAAAATGTGAATAATGTATATCAAAAATAGTATGGTGAGCCTAAGATGGGAATGTCTAGCAATGTGATATCTAACCGGGAGGCGAATTCGATCGTATATATATATATATATCCCTTGTCACTTTTGTCATGTGCGGGACGTTGGCAAGCTAAGAATAGCCGGTCTTTCTCGAAACATCAATAACATCACAACCGTGGCGACATCTGTGGATCAATTGCGATGATGATTCGGTCGATCTTCAGAGCGGCAACTATAGGCGACCTGTCGCTACAATGTAATTCCGTATGACGTTGGGGGGGTCCATCTGTAGCATTCCCAATGGTCAGCCAAGCTTCTATTAGTTGCCCAGCAGAATGCTTAGCATTCATTATGGCCAACCCCGATGAATGAACGTTTCAAGGCCACGCAAGCACGGTGGCTGAAATCTTGGCTTCAGGCACCCGCACGGATTCCCAGGTACCCGTATGCGGTTTCAATAATGAATCATTATGTGCATTACAATCAATGTCAAGAAACAAATTGATTAGTATTTTGTGTGTAATAGGAGTATGACGACTTGGGGATCGCCGGTTTCGAAAATGTGACAGGAGCGCCCCAGCATTCTTCAGGAACAATCACACCCTGTGATCTGATTTCACATGGTTTTTACAAGGCTAAGATCCTGTCTTATAAATAAAATATTGACCGTATTTTCATTATGGTCATTTGCATAAGGAACCCGCTTAGACGTAAGACATAAGGATAGGCAACATAATTAATATTGGACTACTCCATATGTTGATCTTCTAGACGCCGCTTTAAAAAGCTCAGTATATCTCAGTCTGGCCCCGGGTATCACGTGGATTAGTCAGGATTAGATGCCCTAATTTCCACTTTTAGAACTAAATTATCAACGGCCAATATAATATCGGAGTATCCGTGTCCTATATGGAGTGGCCCCCGCATAAACCTCGGCAAAAGCTTGTCTTCAACTCCGAGATATGTTGTACATCTTATAATAAGGATATCCATCAGGAATATGGAAAAGAAAGAAAAAAAAAAAAAAAAAAAAACACCCTCGGAATCCTCAGTGTAAAGTTGGTGGACCAAAAAATAAAAGAAAGAGTTGAATTGGTCGAACAGGTATGGCCCCTCCAAGCGATTCAAGTAGATTGGCTTTTGTATGGTCTAATGGTAAATTTGTATTTATTTGATCGAACGAGGTGGAAAATATCTTTCTACTGGTATTTTGGTGGGAAGCAGAAAAAGCTTGGAGAAAAGCTTGGATTAGCTTAAAAGGAAATGGGAGAGACCTGGAAAAAGCTTAGCACGACTCCTGCTATAACTTCAAGTGATTTAAGTCATAAAATTAAATCTTCCCTACCTTAGTTCTCTCTATTCTATACTCCATAATCTGTACTTCACACTTTATGGACGACTACTTGCTTGTGAAACCAGATATGGCAGGTACTTGATCTCAATGGCCCCCTTCGAGTTCTAATCAAATTGCGGACTCCGCCGGAGCGGCATCTTGATTGTGTTGGTTTTAGCCCAGTCTAAGCTGCCTAACCTTGTACAAGGCATAGATAAGACAATTTATCCTAGCTAATGTCATGTGGTGTAGGAGTAGATAGACTAGCGTTGAATCCACATTATGTACAAGCATTTTAGCGCATTATTCTCTCATCCAATACGGATGGAGAAGGTGCCACACTGCCCACTGATGAGAGACCTGGAGATATACCGGGGTTAGAGCAGCATATCTGATTCGCATATTTGAATGCTGCTCTACGGTGCCCCGTCGGCGATACTAAGTCCAGATGGGTGCCCCAATCTAAAGCGTACGGGGACCTTCTCTTTTAGGACAAGTGGTTGTTACAGTGCTATCGCAATGGCTACGATTGGTTTCTTTGTCCGATAGGATTTTTTTGCTCGGGCGCTAGTAGACCAGGGGTAAGAATGGTAATGCCAGTTGCGTTCCGTGGGCATACAAGATATATTAGAAGACACCATCCGACAATGTTTCTTGACTTTAGGCTTGAACATATCTCACTCCTGACGCTTGAGGCATCCTATCATTTGTTAGTTCCTCAACATGGCGGCAACGCCAACCAAAACGAATAGTCCGGTCGAGCGCGAACCCTCTGCGGAGATCAACAGCGAAAAACATGGGGAAAAGGGTGCAGAGATGAACAAGGTACCTTCTATTCAAGAAGTGCCTCTTCCGTTATACGACGCAGAAGCTCTCTCCAAAGGGAATGCAGCTCCCCTTGAAACCGCAGAGGAGATAGTCACTCATGTCATTCATGTTGATGATGACCCAACCCTCAATCCATGGACCTTTCGCATGTTCTTCATTGGTAAGCCCCTTATATTGCAGTTTTCTTTGTGATAATCTAGTATGTCCGCTTACTCGAAACCAGGTCTTGGGCTGTCAGCGTTTGGGGCTGTTTTACAAGAAATCATGTACTTCAAGCCCCAGGTTGTGTACGTCTCGGTTATGTTCTTGACAGTCCTTGCTCAAACTCTGGGTACGGCTATGTCTACCTTCATCCCACGAAGAGGTGTCATTGGTCGGTTTCTTAACCCTTTTCCATGGAACAGAAAGGAACACACTGCAGCAGTCCTCATGGCATCGGCGGCATCTGTTTCGGCCTTGTCAACGGAAGCTTTAGCAGTGCAAAAGCTCTATTACGGAGGATATCCCAATCAAGCTGCGGGAGTCTTCATAACTATTTCTTCGCAGCTCATTGGGTATGGCGTTGCAGGCATGATGCGGAATGTTTTGGTTCACCCAACCTCAATGCTGTATCCCATCAATCTACCCATCACGACTGTCATGGAAACCTTGCACAAGCCCAAAGAGTTGACGAGGCAGAGATTCAAGATATTCTGGATCGTATTCGCGGGAACCTTTTGCTGGGAATGGTTCCCTGAGGTATGTTTGCTCGACCATATCGATTCCCATTGTTGGTTCTGATAATGTCTAGTACATCTTCCCACTTTTGTCCGCCGTTTCCATTTTCTGCTTGGCCGACCAAAACAACCTCGTCTTCACAAACCTCTTCGGAGGCTCCCAGGGTAACGAGGGCATGGGATTTCTATCAGTTTGCTTTGACTGGAATTATATCGCTGGGTTCGGATCACCGCTTTGGATGCCACTTCAGACTTTGGCCAACAGCTTCATCGGGTATCTCGGAGGCATTGCCCTCTCCATGGCCCTTTATTACGGAAACGTTTGGAGAGCCCAGGACTTTCCTTTCATGTCTCAGCTTCTCTACGACCAGAGCTCAAACACGACCACCTATGTCCCATACAATGAGACCGCGATTATGAACCCTGACTTCACCGTGAACAGCACTATGATAGATCAGGCTGGAGCACCCTATCTTACCGCGACGTACGTGAACTATCTCATCACATCTAATGCCGGGCTTACTGCCACTATTGTTCACATGTTGCTCTGGAATTACGCTGAAGTTAGCCTTGGATGGGCTTGGGTGACACTGAGCAACTTGAAGAAGATTTTGGATCCTTCCCTGTATATGTTCTGGCGACACACCAGCGTTCGAACTGAGGAAGAGAAGGACCGGATTCGTCAGGACCCTTCTATTGACCCTCATTATAAGTTGATGCTTGACTATGACGAGGTCCCAAGCAGTTGGTATTTCTTAGTATTTGCTGCTAGCTGGATCACTGGTCTGGTATGCTTATATGTGATGAAGTCCACCCTTCCATGGTGGGGATTTATTATCGCGACCTTGTTTCTTATCGCCTTTATGGTCTTCTTTGGGGCACAATATGCCATTACGGGATTTGGATTCAACTTGCAGCCAATTTTCCAAATGCTTGCTGGCTACTTGATGCCTGGACGTCCCTTGGGTATGCACCCCGGTTTGAAAATTTTTTTGATCTTCTTCCACTGACAAAATACTAGCTAACATGTACTTTACCACATACACCTACAACGGTCTCACACAAGGGTTCCTACTTCTCCGTGATCTGAAACTAGCCCAACAGAACAAACTATCACCTAAAGCTACGTTTGTCACTCAACTCATCGGTTGTCTTATGGGCGCTCTTCTTAACTATGTCATGATGATAACGTAAGTCGACCTTATGAGCCCTGGAGATTCCCTATTCTCGTCTAATTTGTCGTCAGTATTGTCCAAAATCAAGCCACTATCCTCGAGTCTGCCGAGGGAACGAACATTTGGTCAGGGGCCCAAATCCAGCAGTTCAACACTCTTGCCATTGCTTGGTCTATTGCTCCCAAGATGTTTTCCATTGGTGCTCGCTACGAATGGGTCACGGCAGCTTTCTTGATCGGCTTCCTTGCCCCATTGCCCTTCTATATCATGCACCGTCTCTTCCCGCACCAGCGAATTTGGTCATACCTCAACACCGCCATAATTCTGTGGTATCTTGGAGAACTCTTTGTTGGTCTGAATGCTTCTCTCACTAGTTACTACATTCTGGGAGCTTTTGGTCAATTCTATCTACGACGGTACCGACCGCACTGGTTTGTTAAGTGGAATTACCTCTTATCTGCTGCACTGGACGGTGGTACACAAGTGATGGTGTTCTTGGCTACATTTGCTGTATTCGGTGGTTCTGGAAACTCCGTGGCTTTCCCGACATGGGCAGGTAATCGTGCAAACAACTTTGACTATTGCGCGTACAATTCTCGGGGCTAAATATGCTGTTATTTGACCTTGCTGTCAGGTTTCTGTGTTTTTAGTGATACGCTGACATATATGTTGCAAACAAGAATATCACGAATATCATTCATTAATTATCATCCGTATCTTGATTCTAAGATATTATGTCCCTTTTCTCAGCCGTCTCTTCTACACAATATATCAAACGCTAGTTTTCGCCTTGAATCTGTTCGGCTATAGAATCCTTTTCCAAGACAAATCCCAGTCTCTATAATATTCTCTCGATATTCGTGGCTACCCAAGTCCTGTCTCGATGACTCCTACCCCGCCTCCTGGGTGCTGAGCATCGTTCCCCTTTCTTTTAAATCGTGCGACTTAGACCAGTGATGTTCTGCTGGTTGATGTGGGCGGTGGTCGAGGGCACCTCGAGACATCTGCCTCTAAATTCAGTCTTCTTCGAAGGTTCGTGCTTCAGGATCGAAGGAGATAACATAAAGTCCCGAATCAGTGAATCGGCCAATCGGCAAATCTATAGGCTCCAGCCTTTAACATTTAAATTTTCGGTTCTGTGGGGCCATGGGTGATCTCTATCGCCCCCGGGGCCGTACGGAGTCCAGTGGGCAGCTACACATCCAGTCCGAGACCGATAGGTCCAGTGTTTTGATGAATTTCAGTTGATATCTGGCGTTATTAGAGTAGTAAAATAGAGAACCTTGCACTTAGTGCTCCGGTAAGGGCTTGTCGTTTTTCTAGTTGTAGCTCTACACACTACACAAAACTTAGAACGGATTCTTTGAAGTCCGAACTCCGTAAAATCCTTTTGAGACAAACTATTGTGGGGCGTACATGAAAAAAACAAAAGGCCTTTCGCTAAATGTACCCCCTGGAGGAGTCATAAAAGGCCACCCTTCCCCTGTCCCTCTGACTTCCTTTGGGAATCACCCCCCCATTCCGATTACATATTGGTTTTTTTTTTTTTTTTTCTTTCTTATTTTTTGTTAGATCAGCATTATGGTCGAAGTTCTGGATTATACCAAGGCTTTAGAAGTGCTCAAGGAGTATCCTGGAGATGGCCTTCATGTCGATACTCTCCTCGATTCGAATAGTCATGGAGCTTTAACTTACAATGACTTCCTGATTTTGCCCGGTTCTATAAGTAAGCCAAATATTATCTCATAGGTCGTTCTCTCTAATCATATAAACAGCCTTCCCGGCATCGGATGTTTCGTTGGAAACCAAAGTAACCCGGCGATTCACCATCAAGGCCCCTCTACTGTCTTCTCCCATGGACACTGTGACCGAACACAGTATGGCTATCCATATGGCTCTCCTGGGAGGTCTGGGTGTTATCCACAATAACTGCCCAGCAGACGAGCAGGCTGAGATGGTGAGGAAGGTGAAACGCTATGAAAATGGCTTCATCCAGGATCCTATCGTTCTGTCTCCGGAGACGACGGTTGGAGAAGCAAAGGATCTCAAGACTAAATGGGGGTTCGGCGGATTCCCGGTGACTGGTTAGTTGGATTTCGGCTCTTTTTCCTTTTGCTTCGTTTAGTGATCCTTACCTTGTTTCGTTCATAGAAAAGGGAACCCTCTACTCGAAACTTCTCGGAATCGTCACCAGCCGAGATATCCAGTTCCATAAGAACCACGAGGATCCAGTCACAGCTGTCATGGCCACAGATCTCGTCACCGCACCCGCAGGCACCAATCTCGCCGAAGCCAACGAAGTCCTCCGGAGTTCGAAGAAGGGTAAACTGCCAATTGTGGATAAGGATGGATACCTAATTTCCCTACTATCTCGGAGTGACTTGATGAAGAACATTCATTACCCTCTTGCATCAAAGCTTCCATCTAAGCAGCTACTCTGCGCCGCGGCTATCAGCACCCACGACGCGGATAAGGTCCGTCTCCAGAAGCTCGTCGATGCCGGTCTAGACATTGTCGTCGTGGATAGCAGCCAGGGCCACAGCGTTTTCCAAATTGCTATGATCAAATATATCAAGCAGACCTTCCCCGACATTGACGTTATCGGCGGTAACATTGTTACCCGTGAGCAAGCCGCGGCATTGATCGCTGCTGGTGTAGACGGTCTGCGGATCGGTATGGGCAGTGGCTCTGCGTGCATCACGCAGGAAGTCATGGCCGCTGGTCGTCCTCAGGCTGCAGCCGTGCGCAGTGTGTCTGCCTTTGCCGCGCGTTTCGGTGTTCCCACTATTGCTGACGGTGGTGTCCAGAACCTGGGCCATATCGTTAAGGGACTTGCACTAGGTGCCTCAGCAGTTATGATGGGAAGTCTACTTGCTGGCACCACCGAGTCTCCTGGTGAGTACTTTATGAGCAGTGAAGGACAGTTGGTCAAGGCTTTTCGTGGTATGGGCAGTATTGCGGTGATGGAGGACAAAAGCAAGAGCGGCGCTGGGAAGAACGCCGGTGCTTCTCGGTACTTCTCTGAGAATGATAAGGTCAAGGTTGCGCAGGGTGTTGCGGGCTCCGTTATTGATCGTGGCTCTATCACCCAGTATGTCCCTTACCTTGTTGCTGGTGTACAGCACTCTCTCCAGGATATTGGTGTCCAGAACCTTGATGCCTTGCGTGACGGGGTGAACAATGGAACAGTTCGCTTTGAGATGAGAAGTGCTAGCGCGCAGACTGAGGGCAATGTCCACGGCTTGCATACCCACGAGAAGAAGTTGTACTCTTCTTGAATGTGGGGTCTCTATTTTCGTCGAATGTTGTGTAGAGTTCCTTCCATCTAGTACATCAGACCAAAAGTTAGTCAATACAAGGCAGTGCACTGCTTTTCCACTTCATACCTCACTACATCTATCTCCTAAGAGGTTATAAGCCTTTTATTTGCTTGCAACTCCCAAGTTCTTCTCTCTGAAGCTGATCCTGGACCCATTTCCCCACGAGTTTTACCCCAATCGAGACTGTTTCCACGAGACCTTCGACCGGACTTAACGGTATGTCAACGCCGACTCCGGGGATGACAACCCCAATCAGTCACATCTCTTACCCTCGAACGCGACCAAGCCCTCTGACAACAATAAGGATGACACCGTCACTGATGATAGCCTCAATGGCGCTAAAAGCAGCAAGGTCTGAACACTAAGACGGAATGGGAACACCAGATGATAGAAATATGGTATAGAGAGAGTACTTATGGTATAGAGTGTATATAAAAATACATGGTATGACTCGCACCGCATTACTTTATGCCAATGTCATAGCCTTCCTTTTCCGGTGATCGCCGGATTCGAAAAATATTTAGCATTCCAAACATGGAACATTCTTCGTGTTTCTTACTCCAGATTCATTAGCAAACGTGGGCCCCCATGTGGGCTGGAATAATGTCATTTCCCATCTGTCGGCTACGTAGGGTTCATCGCTGGCACATGGCCGCATTCCCGTGACTGCTCAATTTCTTATAGTACAATCACTTTCGACCTTTCAAGATTTAATGCACACAAAACGCCTACAGATGCGGCGCTTAGATCTCAGAACGCCATTTGAATAACATCTGGGTACAGAGTTCAGTTGTAGATTGATTCCGGAGCAAATGCGTGCGAGGAAACCGACTTGCAAGCGCCCAAACCCAGTTCGGATCGAGGTCAGATAGACAGACTATCCTGAGGGGTTTGGTCAACCATTCTCTGGCATTCCCATTGTCATGGCGATCCGGTCATGCCAAATCTTCGGGCTGCCCTGTGGCCGTGGACCTGTTGGGTGCAGTCGAGTAGTACCTTCTTGAGACAGCTGGGCAATTTCACCCATGTCTTTTATGACCTTCCGCTCATTCTTACATGGACCGAGATTTAACCACGGTGTTACTGTTTTTTGTCGGCTTCGATCGGAGACTAACAAAACCGACAACTGTCGGAGCAGTGCGATGGCCGATTGAATACCCTCGAGTGTGAAGTTGACCGATGCTTCTTTGGTGAAAAGGGGGATCAATCCAAAGAAAGCCTGAGATTCTTTCTTATTCCCTTGATGATCAGCCTTGACCCCGGCCATTATTTGGATTTCGACATCACTCAGGATCTCTCGGCTGCTGTTGATTGCATTCATTAAATCGTCTCTCTCTGCATCGGTAGTGCGAGGTGAGGCGACTAGGGCTTTAGTCTTAGCAAGGAACCCGGGGCACCGAACGATCTCATTGAATGCATAGTCCGTAAGCTGGCCCAGACCACAGCTTGTGCCACGCCGTTCCTCGTCCTCTAGTGTCAATGAACGAGCTGATCTCCATTCCTCGTTTTCTAGGAAACATGCCTCGCCTCGGGTAAAGGCCTCATAAACTAGGAGACCTCGAAAGGATAAAATCAGCGTACGGCCATACCCAGTCGCATGACGTTTTGCTCCCCTGAGACGCAATAAATGAGATATCCCACTTGAATGCAGCAGCCATGAGTTCTCCTCTGTTGCATTCATCAACTCATAAATTCCGAGCAGAACTGCAGCCCCAAGGGTATCATTATTGCCCACTGTGGCAGGATTCTTGATGGCTTTCACAAGCTGACGTAACCCACGGCCATACATTTCCTGGCTGGCAAGGATCTGTCGCTGATTGCCATCTACTCTGCCTAACTGCAAGGTCCCCAGGCTGCGAAATGCCCACGCCAATGCATGTCCTGAGTTGCGGTCCTTCTGAGCAATTGAGAACCAATTCAGTTCCACCCGAGTGCTGTAGCTGTAATAGATATTTGGAAATACAGCGTCGACAAAATCACAAAATCCCTTCTTGCATTGTCGGTCTAGCGCATTGGAAACCAATCCTGGCATTAGAGCCTCATCCATCGATGTATGAGGAATGGTATTTTCATGTGTAGTGACAAGTGCCATACTTGATGATTGTGATGTATCCTTCTCGTTTTGACTGTTTGCCGAGAAATGGTAGAACTTCCGATTCCTTGTATAGCCGGGACATGGATTTCCTCTTCTCTCGCAAGCTTTACACCCTGGCTGGGCTTCATCACACTAGAGATCTTGGATTAGAGTGTTTTTAAAAAAAAAGAGGCGTAAGAGGGTATCGTACTTTGATCCGCCGCTGGAGACATGCCAAGCAACCCTTACTCCGTGGAACACCAACCATCCGTACTGTCTGTGTTATACGCAGTACTGTCGTTTATATGGGGTAAAGTGCAAAAGGGGACACATTGCGAGAATACGAGACGTTTCAGGGGGGTCCCACAACTTAACTCGCCTTTCCTCCCCCAATTGCGCATTGGGCGCCTGTGGGTTTTTATTTCTTGGCACATTTTGAACCTGTCACCTTTTCTATATCTTTTTTATTATCTTAACTTCTTTTTTTTTTTTCTTTTTTTTGTTTCTTTTCTAGTTTAAATTTTAGAAAAAAAGAGTGCAAGAAGGATAAATTGATAGAATAATGGATAGGGTAATATCTCTCCCTATCATCTAGTAAAGGAATTTCCAAGTGAGACACAAACATAAGGGGGCCAAAGCTACGGAGTAGAGTACGCCAATTGAGATCTGAACAATCAGATCTGCTGCAATTCTTCTATCCACTTGGACATAAAGCCGACTCATCGGGCTTGGCATATTCTGTGTTTGTAGATCGGCATTTCGACCGAGGTCACTCAATTATTTGGGAATTGCGGAGTTCAAACCGCATCAATCTTTTAGATATACAACATACGAAGCAGCTGGCACTTTATAATTTAATTTAAAGCTAATATCGACCATGCCCAACTCACAATGAGACCATTCCTTTCACTTGCTTCTCGGTCTGAAGGCCTGTTGGGTGCAATTCAACCTGTCGGAGGGTCTTATTTCACGTCGCGGCTTTATTCCAGCACACCTTCCGGACACAGACCTCTTCCTCTTGCTGGAATTACCGTGGTTAGTCTCGAACAAGCTATTGCTGCGCCCTTTTGCACGCGACAACTTGCCGATCTTGGAGCTAGAGTCATCAAGATCGAACGACCAGGGGTTGGAGACTTTGCACGACATTATGACATGCGAGTAGGAGGTCTAGCGTCACATTTCGTATGGACAAACCGCTCCAAGGAGAGTTTGGCACTGGATCTCAAACGTGAAAAGGATCATGCTGTCCTGATGAAACTCCTCGAGAAGGCCGACGTTCTTGTTCAGAACTTAGCTCCCGGTGCTAGTGCGCGACTGGGGCTCTCTCACGAGGCATTGAAGGAAAAACACCCAGGTTTGATCGTGTGCGATATCTCTGGATATGGCCAAGATGGTCCATATCGCGATAAGAAAGCCTACGACCTTCTTATCCAGAGTGAGGCTGGAATGCTGTCGGTCACGGGCACTGGAAAGGAACCGGTAAAGGTTGGTATTTCCATCGCTGATATTGCGGCGGGAATGTACGCCTACAGTAACATTCTGTCAGCGCTATTGCAGCGTGGGAAAGATGGCCAAGGCTGCCAAATTGATATCTCCATGCTAGAAAGTATGGTGGAATGGATGGGATTCCCCATGTACTATGCATTCGATAATGCTCCTGGACCAGTACCAGCAGGTGCCTCGCATGCGGCCATCTACCCTTATGGACCGTTCGAGGCTGGTGATGGCCAGTCCGTTATGTTGGGCATTCAGAATGAACGGGAATGGGTCAATTTCTGCAACGGCGTCCTCTCGCAACCAGATCTAGCCACCAATCCCAGATTTTCGACGAACTTACAACGGACTCAAAATCGGGATGAGCTCAAATCTATCATTCACGATGTGTTCTCCAAATTAACCACAGAGGAAACAATTGCTCGATTGGACGAAGCCTCGATTGCCAACGCTAGTGTTAATGACATGAAAAATGTCTGGGAACATGCCCAGCTTCATGCACGAGATCGATGGACCAAAATCCAAACTCCCATCGGAGATATTCCGGCTCTTCTACCCCCTGGATCTGCGAAGTCAGCCGGAAAAGATGGATATATCGCTCAGATGGGTTCAATTCCACAGGTTGGAGAGCACAATGAAGCCATTCTTGCGGAGCTGGGACTATCGAATTGATCCCATGTACAGCCAATATGATAAGAGCCCACAGATTTAGAAAGATGGGTTGTTGTATCTGAATTATCAAATGAGGTCTTATGAGTTATCTATTGCGGCTAGTAAATGATATGCTTGAAAACCCGTGTAAAAGGAATATTGTCTGGATTTGCATCACTACAGGAACCGATAGAGAAACTCGAGGTTCTGTGGGTTCAAATAGTCCGGGTTTGATAATGAGCCAGCAAGGCCCATAACATCATCCCCTTCGACGTTAAACAGCTCGTACCAATCCATATTAATTGCTGCCTCTTCACCAGGGTTATGATGAGGCATCGTGTTAGGGGTGTGTAAGGGATGATCCGCTGCGTTCGGAGAAAGGGGTCTATATGGACCACTAGCAGGAGGCACAGGCGATATCTCCTCGGTATTACGACCGCCACCTGTCTGCGCCATCAACGATGGCATGCAGGAATCGGCTAATCGAAGATCGCGAGCAGTACGATCGTCCAAGCACCGGAAGAAAAGATCCAGTACCCAGTTCTCCAGGTCCCAAGATTTCTGTAATTCCTTCAAGCCTAATAAGCATAGTTTTGCTCTGTGTTCCGCTAGCTTGCGGACTGTGCCTTTGGCCCTTCCAAAATAAATGGTGTGTATACATAAAGCCGAGAAGGTATGGGTGATTCTGTTTCAGGGTTAGCCTGAATCTAAACGAGAATTATTGGTAGAACTTACAGGTGAACTGATCCATGTTGGACCAGGTTTTCTGAGAGCATGTCCTCTAAAATACGTGTGCTTCGGGTTGCTGCTTCTAGTGCGACGTTTTCCTCTGGGTTGACTGATTGGCCTGGAAGCTGCAAGAACAGGGGTCGGTAGAGGAGGATATACAAGTTGCTGTATAGATGTTAGCTGGCAAAGGCTCTCGGTTGTGACCAGCGCAGAACTGCATACTTATATGCCATATGAAGCATGCCAACGAGGAACATCGAATCTCTACTCATGGGCATTTGAAACTGCATTTCTTTCGGGAGCCGCGACTCCCAATCGACCAAACGTTGACGGAGGATTGGTCGAGCTTCATTATCCAACTTTGACCGACCAGGTAGATATTGGCTGCAGACTATTTCCCGCACTAAACATGAAAATAGTCAGCAAATTCGATTGTACCATTGTCACAAGATATCATACGTAGCCTAGCTAGTTGAGTCATTCCAATCACGTAGGGAATGTGGACTTCCGGTGGTGTGCGGAATATCCCAGGAGTCCCCATAGGCTGTCGATCATCAAAATCTGCGGCTTCGAGATCAGCAATTTGGCAATCTTCATCACGTATTCGTGGTGGCAACCCCAAAGCTGCCGATGTTTGTTGATCGCGAACCTGACAGGATGTTAATCTCATAGTCTTATGAAGCTTGAAGGAGAAGCGTACATATAAAGCCCACCAGATTCGTTTCCAAATCTTCTGATCCTTGGCATTAAGGAAGGATAATTTAGACCTATACATGTCAGCGTATATTCGGTGCCAATGAAATGAGACGCCGTACATGACATGCATCCCCTTTTTCTGAGCAAGGCCGATAGCAGCTCCAAGCCAAAATCGAACATCGCGCTCCTCGGTAGGGCTGCCACGCCAAAAGCTCAGGAGAAATAACGATTGCAATTTTGTAACCGTGTCGGTCTCCAATCCTGAATCATAAATATCCTTTGCTCGTTGGTAAAATACTTCTTTGGCTTGGTAGCGATTATTAAATCCCGTCGTGTTCAAAACTGTATCCGAGCACAGGCTGACTCCAATGAAGAGCATTGACTGGAAGAGCAAAGGTGATAGTGTACCATCTTCATAGTCGCTTTGCAGATCTACTCGATCAAGAATCGGAAAGCATGGGTGGAGCCAGTCGAAATAAGCTTGAAGTAATGCCTCACAGATAGCAGGCGATGGGAAAATGAGAGCCCCTTCGCGGCTAAGGCGATCATGTATCAGTTTGCGGGGGCCTAGTAAATCCTGGCTACTTTCCGTTGCGCCACTAATCTCAGAAATCGAGTAATGCAGTCTACCTTTTTGGATACTGCATGCATACCCTTTGTCTGGGGATCGTCGTCCTTCATCCACAACACACGTGAGAGGACTTGACTCGCCGAGGAACACGGTTTTATGAATCGCGTCATCTACTGTAGTGGGATGAGCCGGTGGATATTGAGAGCTATGTCCGGGTAATGGAAATTGACGCTGTATGACTCGGGCATCCGACTCATTTGCCGTGTTATTCGACGTTGTGGATGTCCGAGCCGATCCCTTTTTCTTTCGGGGATACCTGCCTAGAATGAGTACAAACTTGAGCAATTCTTTTTTAAGCTCCTTACTTTCCACGGCGTGAAACCCCTACTTCACAAGTAAGATTCCATGATACACAGTTTTGGCAGGGTTGCATTTCTAACACGTTGCACCGCACGCGACGTGAGTTACATGTCAGGCATGCTTTCTTTGCCCGTGTGCGTGGCTGATGTATAGTCTCTGTATTCATCGTTAACAAAAGAATCGGCTGTTTCGATTAAAATCATATTTGATCTCAAAGGTTGGGGATTCTTTAGTGAAGGTGGGGGCGCTCGGCTTCTTCGGTTATATGATCTGGGCGTTTTGCCGATATGATATTCAACGTCCTGACTGGATTTCTTTCTTTTTTTATGTCTTTTTGCATCTATGATTGAGGTGATAATCTTTTTGACATGGGGTTTTCATAGCAATATAGATATATAAACAGCAGATACATGGCAGATGCAAAAACTTTTCATTTAGTCTTGTGATATATTTCCTGATACACACTGTGCTCTGTGGATTTCATAAGTCCTGTAACCAGCAGGACTCTATAGATGAAGTGCTTCCATATTCAATATATCCTCCAACATACAATCCAGGTATTTTAGACCATCAGACCAATGATTACTCTGATTATCATGCCAATGTTAGGAATATCAGGAGATATAGGATTACAAATCACTTTAGAATGTTTCAGAAAGGCTTTCGGGGCAATTAATTGCCCGTGAATTCATTAGCTCTAGAATTATGCATTTTCATAATAGAAATCCCAGGCTATTCCAGGATATTCCGATAATCCAACCTTTGGGAAAACTTGAGATGCTTACATATCGTGAAAAGTCCAGTGGATCAGGATCGGCAAGACTTCATACCGACTTTTCCGACTGGAATTTTCTAACAAGATAAAAACTGTGTGGATTGGTATGTTGTAGACAAAGATAAAACATTCCTATCTGCAAATATAATTTATCTTCTAGACATATTATTACATACCCTTTCACCATGTCTACAAGGTTTCCCAGCGAAAATGTTGATGTATCGCCTCTTGGGGCACCTTTGTGGTTCGAATTCAGTCAGCGCAAGGCATCTAATCGCTTTCTGAAGGCCGCCCTAACAGAAAGAATGGCCTCATGGTCTCCGACTGACCTTTCGGCTCGAGGTATTCCCAGCCCAAATCTGATCAATCTTTATCGTCGGTGGGGAGAGGGTCAGTTTGGTCTTATTCTCACCGGCAACATTATGATGGCATACGATCAACTTGAATCACCGGGAAACATGATCATTGATCTTGAGAATCCATTTGTCGGTGACCGATTTGAAGCGTTCAAGCAATTGGCCACAGTCGCCAAGAAGCACGGAAGTTTGATCGTTGGTCAGGTCAGCCATCCTGGTCGTCAGACATTGGAGCAGTTGCAATCCAACCCGGTTTCTGCTAGCGATGTCCAGCTCGTTGTGCCAAAATTTGGCACATTTGGAAAGCCCCACCCAGCTAGTGAAGAGGAGATTCAGGATATTATCCGCCGCTTTGTTCATGTCGCTGTCTACCTACAAAAGGCCGGGTATGACGGTATCCAGCTGCATTCCGCCCATGGTTATCTCCTCGCGCAATTCTTGTCACAAACAACGAACAAGAGGACAGATAAATACGGTGGGAGCTTAGCCAATCGCGCCCGGATTATCGTGGAAATCGCCCAGGCGATCCGTCAAGCACTCCCAGATCCCGGCTTTATCATTGGGATCAAGATCAACTCAGTGGAATTCCAAGAACATGGATTTACCCCTGAGGAGTCAAAGGAGCTCTGTGAGATTCTCGACCGCACCAACTTTGACTTTGTTGAGTTGTCAGGTGGAACTTATGAAGCCAGTGCTTTCCAGCACAAACGGGAGTCTTCGCAGAAGCGAGAATCATTCTTCTTGGAATTTGCAGACCTCATTGCCCCTGCTCTCAAGCACACTCGTAGTTATGTGACCGGAGGATTTTGCACAGCCTCTGGAATGGTCGAGGCTCTGAAAACTGTGGACGGAGTTGGTCTTGGCCGCTCCATTACCCAGGACCCTCGCTTACCAAAGGCGTTACTCGCCGGAACTGTTCATGGTGCAATCCAGCAGAAGATTGATCCCCAAGACTTTTTCCAGACAAGCCCTGCTGCTGGAGCACAAATGCTACAGATTGCACAAGATGAAGAACCCATTGACCTGAGCAATGATGCCAACATGGAAATTTTCATGAAAAGTCTCGGGGAATGGGCTCAGCAGATGCAGAAAAACGGCGCAATGAACATGTATGGTCATGTCCAGCTTCCTAAGGGTCAACCCTTCCAAGATTTGTGAAAATGAGGCAAGGGAAGGGATGTCATGAAGTATATATATTGAAACCTGCATTTAACATATGTCTATATTTCACCATAGAGTATACCACAGTTAAAATCCAAATCCTGATTAACTGGCAATACCGAGGATACACTTGTTGTGCCTGTTCCTCATTGTTGACGGGTTCATCACAATGGGTGTTGGGGAATGTAGGGGCAAGTTCCGCAAAACATTCTTAAGAATGTGAAACGTGGTCCTCCTGCGTCATTAGAGAAATAATAACAACAACAGGTATATTTGCCGAGCATTCGCAAGTTCTTGGCTTATTGGCGTTCGTATTGAAGTACAATATAGTTGACTAGGACATCCCTCATTGTTGTTCTTACCATCATTTTCAAAATGCGCTTTCAGACCATCCTCAGCAGCTTGGTTATCCTTCCAGTGGCTCTGGCTTACTGGCCATTTCGCGAAAACATCGAAGAGATATCGGTGTACCGCAATGAGCAGCCCAATGTGAAAGTCGAGACCCTCTTTCAATTTCCCAACAATGGCTCATGGATCGGAAATATGGCCCTTCGGTCAGACGGCAACCTTCTTGTAACGCGTCTGGATACCCCGGAAGTTTGGCTTGTCGACACCACAAGCGGAAAGGCGACCCTCGCCTACTCGTTCCCCAATGTCACGAGTACCTTCGGAATCAGTGAAATCGAAGACAATATCTTTGCGGTTGTTGTGGGAAATTTCTCTATCAAAACATACCAGCCTGGTGCAGGCTCGTTCTCAGTCCAGAAATTGGACTTCAATGCTCAAGCGAACGGGCGTGCCCTGAAACTTGCAACGGCCTCGGAGATCGTCGCAATCCCAGAGGCTCTGGCCTTGAATGGCATGGCTACTTTTTCAAGGGAATCAAACTTGGTTCTCATTGCCGATAGTCCAAAGGGTGTCATGTGGAAGGTAGATACCAAGACAGGAGACTATTCTGTCGCACTGAATCATACTACAATGGCTCCGGCAGAGGGGCAAGCCCTTCCCTTGGGAGTCAATAGCCTTACTATGCTTGGTGACTATGTCTACTATACCAGCACGACACGAATGTTGTATTGCAGAGTCAAGGTGGACAAGGATGCCAAACCAATCGGAGATTTCGAGGTCATCGCTAGTGGATTCTTACCGGATAACGTTGAGATGACCGAGGACGGCACTGCGTACATTCCGACAGATCCCCAGAACTCTGTTGTGCGCATCACACCTTCGGGGCAGATCTCACTTGTTGCAGGTGGTCAAGTATCCACGGAAATGCCAGGTCCAAGTTGTGTCCGATTGAGCAAAGACCGACAGATACTCTATGTTGGTACCACAGGTGGTCAGATTGCCCCTGTTCTGGGCAAGTTCATCGAGCCCGCAAAGGTTCTGAAGATCACGCTGGAGGGATAGAGGGAAGATGGGTGGCCTTGGAACATGTTAAGCACTGTGGACATTTGAATCCGATGCCAGTTAAGATATTATTAGCGGAAGGATTGTGTTTCTTGCATAGCTTACTAGATAGTTTGACATATCAATCACTTCAGCCTTGAACCAAATTACTTCTCTCCTAATGACCCGGTATCTCAATCGCCAACTTTCGCATCTTGGGTCGTGTAACACGCGACCGACGCTTGAAAGTAAAGATGAGTCTCCTCGCCCAAGTGGTCCCAATGCCGTGGATCTTGTCAAGGCTGAGCCCACGGTCTCGACGAAGCAAAGTAACCCTGGCCTTGGACAAAACTCCCGAAAAGGGAGAAATTTGAGCCTGCAACTGTTTCTGTATCATGGGGTAGTCCACTCACTAACACCATCTGAGGACGATATGTTAGACTGATGACGCTCAAAGTCGTCGCAGTGGGATCTGTGGCCTAGCTAGATATGCCACTAGAATAAAAGCCAGTGCTACCTTTTCTTAATCCCTGCTAGCAATTCTTTAGTACCTGCAACGACTGAAAAGCATATCGTGGTTTCTCCCATCAATTCTACCACATGCTGTCACAGTGGGTTGACCAGCGCTGAAACGCTTGAATACCCCTTGACACCTGAGGCAGAAAGCAAAACAATTAGGTAAGCAATATCAATGATGTCATTTGATGTCTCACGCATTTGAGTAACAGAATGTTGCAGCCTTGCACGACAAGTTTCTGTCACACTCAGGTTTCTATCAAAATGCCTGGACATTTGGGCCAAAAGGTCCTTAAGACCTTGGGTTTGAAGGATCATTTCCATCAACAGAACTCTAGCGTTCAGCTTCCAGGAAGACCAGCCGTGAATAACGATGAACGCGGATTGTCTTCACCTCCCAACAACGGCACATACCCTCGTCTTTGCAGGCTCTCTGATGGCACCATTCTCTCATCCTTTACCCGATTCCCCGATGGACAGCGCTCACTTTGTGTCGCGAAAAGTACCGATAACGGCCGCACCTTCGAGGACTTCTCCGAGGTAACCCGCGCTGCTGGTGATGTGGATAACATGTTTTTGTGTGAGGTGGCCCCAGGGACAATACTGGCGGCTTTCCGGAACCATGATAAGGGTCCAGACGGCCCCACACACTTCCGCATCACTGTCTGCCGGTCTACAGATGGAGGTCGTGTCTGGCAATTCGCTTCGCAGGCCGCTGAGAAGCGCCCTCCTTTGGGTATTTGGGAACCCTTTATGCGTGTCGGACGACAGGGTGAAGTGCAGCTTTATTTCTCGCAGGAATTTGCCCATAACAACCAATGTACCATGCTGGTCGTCTCGCGAGATCAAGGAAGTACCTGGACTCCACCGGCCTGTTTGCATGGTGATCAAGATCCGCTTCGCGATGGAATGAGCGGTATTGCACGAACTATTGATAACGGTCGCGAGGCTCTTCTCATGGTATTCGAGACCACCCGGTACGGACCCTTTAGTGTTGAAGCGCTTCTATCCTATGATGACGGTGCCACCTGGGGTTGGCGCCATGAAGTTTTCCGCCCACGAAAGGGTCACAATGCGGGCTCTCCCCAAATTGCCTCCTTTGCAGATGGATCTATGGCCACCATTTTCATGACAGACGATGACTCCGAGCATGTGAGCTGGGTAAAGAATGCCTCTATCAAGGTTGTATTTGCTGGCCCGCCGGTTGAAGGACGTGTTCAATGGAGCCAGCCAACCCTTGTCTCCCCAGCCTCAAGTTTCTGGCCTGGAATCATGGCCTTGGATCACCACAACGTACTAGCTACTTATGACCGGGGGGGACCCCTTGCGAAGACCATTACCTGGCACCCTGTGTAGACATTTGATCTCCGAAGTACTTTTCATTGAGAGTCTGAAACTGATTCCAGGGTACTCATATCTTTGCACAAGGGTGTGGTCTTTCAGATGATACTTCACTAGACGATTTTCGTAGTTGAATACATACCAAACATGCCTTTCTTAATGAAAAAAAGGGTCTCGTAGTCCATTCCTCAATCACATGCTGCATCCGCACATATATTCTCTTTTTAGTCAAACTCAAAAACCCGGCATCCAAGATCGGTCTTAACTAGTTGATCAGTTTATTCCCTGTTGATGTGTCTCAGATCGGATGGGAATTGGAGGTTGTTGGCGGATATGAATTACTCCGGTAATTCGGAATTAGCCCAATGGGGAAATTCATCTCGGAGTTAATCTGATAATCAGATCAGATTAAAAGGGCCCAGGGATATTTATAAAGGTCCAGCGCCTTGAGAATTTCCCTCAATCTTCATTCAAAATGGCAACCTCACTACGGAATATTATTGTTGTTGGTGGATCGTTCGTTGGCCGTGTGAGTTCAATCAGCATAGGATAGAGAGTGTACCTATTAATATCAATATAGACGACAGCTCAGGAGCTCGCACGCATCGTTCCTTCGACACACCGGGTAAGATACCAATATCTATCTTGAAGAGGAAGCTAATGTGTTTTTGCAGGTGCTCTTGACTGAGCCTCACAGCCACTTCCATCATCTTTTCACCTTTGCAAGTTGACTTTCATACTGCATGTTCATTATAGTACACCGTCAGAGCTAACAAATGGACCATAGCCTCGATTTGCGATTGTCCCAGGACAAGAACATAAAGCTTTTATTCCTTACAGCGGAATCTTCAAAGAATCGCCCTATCCCTCCTCCCATGGCGTAGTCCAGGCTCGCGTTTTGTCGGTCAAGCCTGCCCATATTGAGTTGGACCGTGAATGGCAGGGCTCAAAAGTGATTCCATTTGACTACGTCGTTCTTGCGACTGGAACCCGTCTATCCAAGCCTGCAGCTATGGACGACGACGACAAGGCATCATCGGTCGACTATCTGCAAAAGCATCAAGCCGGCGTGAAAAGATCCCATTCGATATTAATTGTCGGCGGTGGTGCTGTCGGTGTTCAAATGGCCACCGATCTGAAAGAATATTACCCAGAAAAGGAGGTCACTGTGGTGCAATCCAGGCCGCGAGTGATGCCGAGTTTCCACTCCGGACTCCATGACCTAATTAAGCAACGATTCGACGAGCTGGGGATTCGACTCATCACTAGTTCTCGGGTTACTATTCCACCGGGTGGGTTTCCCAACGACGGTAGCACCTTTGAAGTCCACCTCACCAACGGTACCACCGAGTCCACGCAATTCGTCATCTTAGCCACTGGACAAACCCCCAATAGCCAACTAGTGACTGACTTGAAGTCCTCTCGCCTCGACGGCGAGGCGGTCATCAATCCGGATAATGGATTTATTCGTGTTAGACCGACGATGCAGTTCTTAGATGAGCAATATTCGAACATGTTTGCAGTGGGTGATATTGCAGATACCGGTGCCCAAAAGGCCGCTCGGCCAGGCTCGGCACAGGCGGCGGTTGTTGCGAAGAACATCCAGGCTTTAATTGAGGGCCGCGCTGCCGAGGATACTTTTGTCAAGGGACCTGGGGCCATTCATCTGACGCTCGGCATGGCAAGTCAATCAAGCCTATGTCCTCATCAATATTTGACTAACTGTCGTCTCTCAGAAACACAATGTGATCTTCCGCAATCCTAATGCTGCAGAAAGTCAGACAGAACCTTGGATCAACGTCAAGGATGAGTGAGTTCTTTTCTTTCTTTCATCGCCCTACCACAAGCTAACATCTTCACCAGTGGCCGAGAGGATATGAATGTGGAAGCTATGTGGGAGAGGCTGGGGATCTCCGTTGAGGATCCTCGTCAATACCACCTATGAACCTGTCAATTAGAAAACTGGATTAAACAATACATGTCGCTAGCATCTCTACCCCTATCGCCATCCTCTTGTCACTCAGTTTGATTTAATTTTTATATCGACACGGCAAACCTATTTATAACCCCATTGGGGCACTAGCCTAGGTTTATACTGTGTAAGAGTCCGGTTGGGTTCTGCGGAAGCCTACACGAGACTAAGTGACGCCGAGATATCACTTTACTTCGATAACCTTGACTCCAGTACAGCTAGCCAGGCGATAGCAAGCACATATAGAATTCAAGTTATCCTCGCTAACTTAGCACAGTAGAGAACCTAGAATTTACAAGTGGAAGCCATCGTAGAGAGATGCGATATCTGGAATATATGGAACCGAACTTAACAAGTATCAAGACTACAATCCGTTGAGAATCCCAGTCAGGATCCGTGGGCATTAACACCTCAGGCATTGGGATTTTGTCAACGCTAAATCTCATCCGATATTCAACCATCTTTGTACGCCAAGTTAGTTAGCTTCATACTAGCTTACTTGGTGTCTTCGATTATGACCAACATGATAAGAAGTGATGTGTTATAACCTATGGATTCCACTTCATTCCACAACATGAGGGGTATTAAAGGGCGAAAAGCCCATAAATATGGGCATCAACCCTGCATCCTTACACGAGTTGGATACCTTAATAGTTTCGATCGAAAAAATTACAATAAAAACCTCGCAGACTACAAAACCATCAAGCTCACGCTCGATAAGACCTTAGTGCCAAGCAGCAGACGTTGACTTTGGAACGAAGGAAAACAATACCATGTACAACATTCTTCAAGCCCTAACACCTACCTATTCGACAATCAGTTCAACTACGAGCATACCAAGAAATAAGAGGCTCCCGTCACTCTTACTTTGCCGATACAGCAAGTTGTTGGCGACTTTTCTCAGACACCAACACAGAACAAGCAAGTTCGTAGCGACATCACGCCTTCCAATATCATTGAAGGTAAGGGCAACCGAAAAGCAAGAGTGGACGAGACACGTCTCCTACGCTTCCCAATTTGTTAGTGAAACCAAGAGAGCTCAATCCATAATATAGTTCTCGTTGGTTCATGTCGTCCTCCCATGATCGGAAAGCAGAGCTTAGGCTGAGATGCAAATATAATAGCCAATTGTCGAAGGATATCCTGCAGAAGTATAAGGACAATGAAAAACACTATCGCCGTGATGGATGGTGCGAACTCCTCTCACTAGCGCCATCAAAGCCTAATGGTTATATACAAATTCCTTCTCACGGGGTTAACAAGTTTGCTGTCCTTGAGGAACTTGTTATCTGGGCCAACGGCCAAGAGATCAAGGAAGGGCAAGACGCGTCACACCTTTGCCATCACCAACTCTGCAGTAATCATGACCATATCATTTCAGAACCTAAATCCATCAACCAGTCTCGCAAGAATTGTCTTGTGTGGATACCGTGCCCTCATTGCCCTCTCAAAATCTTCACCTGTCAACATAAGCCGCCATGCATTCAGTATTGTGCCGGTTTCGAAAGTCAGCAGCACTTTCTAAGTGACGGTGTGTGTGCAAGATATACACGGCCTATGGCAATTTCGACCTCGCACCGCTGACTCATGGCGATGGCAATACCTATGGTATGATGCTTTGCAACGACTTCAATCCACCAGCGTTGTACTACGTGGACTCAGGCTTAAATGGGATGTTCAATCACCCTCACAGCGATGTTCCCAGGTGTAATCCGCGTTGACGTCGTCGCTGATGACCTGGAGAGTGCGGGAACATACAATGATGACTATCAAACCTGGGGTCCTTGGGCCAGATGGAAGTTTCTTATTAGAGTGTGATTGGGGGTTTGGTCAGGTTCAAAGATGGTGTATGAATATGCTGGATATTGTCTATCTAGGGCTACTGATCGCGTTTGCTTTCACTACTTGTGATATATGAGAAAACAAATGCAATTTCGCTATTCAAGGACTTGCCTTTTTTTAGAGAGATTAATTTAGCTTCTTTATCCGTTCCTCTATGACAAGGAACGAGTTGGACATTCTTCATAAACATCTCCGACAATCATACAAGCCATTGCCTCTGCCATTCTGAAAGCTCTGATTATACCAATACATAAACCACAGAAGTTTCACTGGACTCCCTAGTTCACAAAACATATCCTAATGATATAGCTCAGTCTCGGACTTGGACAATCAAAAGATGTTGCATTCCCCCTGAAGATGAACTGAAATAGCTTGAGCTACCTCACTTTTTTCTTCTCACTAGACATGCTCATAATGTGCCGTCGTCGGCCCCTTAACCTTTTCTCCAAATTGTGTGTTCTCTATGATACGATCCCTTTCTGCGTCGACAAATGTCTGTGGTCTTTTACGTTGAGTCAGCTCCTGCTTGCCACACACAATCGGCGAGGGATGTTGGATGAAAATTTCGTCCATGTCCTCCAAGGTGCGTCGCGAGGTTTCTGGATAGAGGCAGAAAATTATAGGGTAGAACGACCAGGCAATGATGGCGAAAACTAGATAGGCAAGGTCAGCTTCCAGTGTTGAAAAGGGGTCCTATGTAGAACTCACTCAGATAAAACCGCCAGTGTAGATTATTGACACCAACACTAGTGAACTGCGTCACGATGAATCCGCCCATCCAGTTTGTTGCTGTGGCCGCAGCAGCGCCTCGGGTGCGCCATCCTAACGAGTTCACCTCGGAGTTATAGACCCAGGGAACTTTGGCAAAACTTGTTCCATAGAAGAAGTAATACAAGAAGAACATGGCAGTTGTCACTCGTCCCATCTAAAGCTATTAGTCTTAACATTGATATTGATAAGCGGAATCACTTACCAGTTGCTTTCGTGAAGGATCGCCCTCACCAGTTCTAAGGCACATCGCAGCAACGAGATAGCATGCGCCCATGGTTACCGAGCCATAGAGCATTAGCCTTGAAGATAATATCAGTACATGGTTGTTAGGAAAGATAAATCAAACGTCTCTTTGAGTTTCCTTACTTGCGACGCCCAAAACGATCGATAATTGCCAGACAACAAAACGCGGCGAATAGATATGTCGTGCCATTGACAGCAGTGAGTAACCGACTCTCCTCTTCCCCGAGCCCGACACTTTCCTGCAAGAGAGTTGGAAGATAATATCCGAGAGCATTCACACCGCTGAATTGTTGCATGAACTGAGTACCACAGGACAAGAGCAGCCGCCGGAGGTTTTGTGTCTTGTCGCGACACATCAAGACATCTGCCATAGGTACCTGACTTTGACGCTCAACCTCAAGCGCCGACCGGATAGATAGGAATTGAGCAGTCACATCTGGGTCGTGAACGTCCTTGCTCTTACCCTCCAGTCTTGCCAGTACTGCGAGCGCCTCCTCATGTCGATCCTTGAGCAAAAGCCATCTTGGGGACTCGGGAACAAATATCAGTGCAACCACCACGATGCATGGAAATATGAGTTGAAATCCCAGAGGGAACCTCCATTGTAGCGCCTCACCTTGAAAGAATAAACCATAGTTCATCCAGTTGGCCAGACAAAAGGCGGCCGTGTTGGAGAGAGAACCCACTACCACGAGCTTTCCCCGAATTCGAGGTTTGGAGCACTCGGCCTGGTACACAGGGCATGTCGAAGAGGTTAATCCCATCCCGAAACCATTGATAATGCGACCAATGATCAGCTGTGGGAAATGCCAGGCGACAACCTGCAGGACCGCACCAATGGTGTTGCACACCAATCCGAGAGCAATGGTCTTTTTTCGACCGAGCCTGTCACCAACAGTAAAAGCAAATATAGCACCGAAAAAGGCCCCAAGCTAAACCTCATTAATATACCACACGATGGGCGTCATTGGAAGGAAGATGAACTCACAGAGAAGCAACTTGATGTAATGCCAGAGATATTTGACTCTTTCGTCTGTGGGAAGTGTTTCTTGAAGTCGGCTGAGATTAGAACACCTGAGAAGACTCCTTGGTCATAGCCAAACCATGCCATCGAGCTGAATTATGCTTCAATTAGCCATTGTTCGCAGTGCAGGACTGGATGGAAGACTCACCAAGCATTTGCGACAGTAATAACAGTGATCAGCCATCTCCCACCAAGCCGACTTGAGAGATCCAAGATATTCATTGTATTGATATGTTTTAAATCAAGACCATGTAGGGTCAAATCTGAGGCTTGTGGATTTTATCCATTAAATACCCCCTTATGATCCTTTCCATGCCGTCCAAGACTTTGAGGGGGAGTGAGAAGCCAGTCAGTGCTTGTCAGCCACATAAAGTCAAGATTCAACCCGAGGTAATCAAGGAGAAATTCAAGAAGTGACGATGTTCATTCCCCCACGGAGAAGGGAAGGTACCATTTCCCCACGGGGAAGACGGGGAAGAGCGGCACGGGGGTAAGCGGCATGGGATCGGTGCAAATGATGCCGAAAATAGAAATTTGAAAAGAGGTAGATGAATGTGGAATAGAGGTCTTCGATTGAATGTGGAAAATTAGGAGCGTATAAGGAGATCTTGGTTTGATGAGGTCCACGAGGATAATCAAAAAGAACAGCAAGAAGTCACTGGGATAGACGCCTCAGGCACCCAGGCCAACATATAAATTACAAAATGCCTATGTTAGGTGCCCAGGTGTTGACTCTATATGATGGAGAATATAAGATATGCTACAATCAAGACTAGAGACCACTTAAAAATGCTCATTAATTTCACTAGGTAAACATCTAACAGCAGTTAGGTGATCTTTCACTCAGCGAGAGTGACTGAGATACTAGATCCTTCACAGTATCATGAAATGAATGATACTTATATCCCAATTCCTTTGCAGCAGTTTGACCATCCAATCCACAGCTCTCATCAATGACTTGATCTTCTTGTGTGACTTTGTTTTTTAGATCAGGGAACTCACTGGCTATGATCTTTGCGGCCAAGCCATAGAAAAATCGCTCTGGGGACGAAGGAACATATCGTTTGCCACCCACGTCTTCTCGAAGTAGTGACTCAACATGTGCAATGGCAAGGTCACGAACATCAATCCAAAAGGGAACTCGTGCAACAGGCAGAGGATTTTCTCCATTGGCAATCTTCCACAACATCGCATTCGACTCATTTAGTTTATCCACCTGAGCAACGGGATGCACCACCGGTCCAAATGTCATAGGAGGACATAGCGCGACAATATCAAATGTCGGGCTGTGTTCCTCTACATATTTCCAGGCTTCCAACTCAGCGAATTTCTTCGACCCCCGATATGCAATTATAGCATTCGTAGCTGGATCCACGGACTCCTCATAGGTGAGAGGATTCCAATCCGCACCGGTGTAGGTAAAATATGGAGGGCTTTTGCGATTGGTATCAAGGACAGAAGCGAAGGAAGAAGTAATGACGATGCGTCGAATGTTTGCATTCTTGCTGGCCGCTCCGAGGACTGCTTGTACACCATTTATTGCGGGACGGATAAGCTCACGTTCATTGTTCGTTGTATTGTATGTGAAGGGCTGTGCGAACAAGTTTCTCAGTGACTGAACACGGAGGAGATCAATGATACCATGACTTACACTGGCCGTATGGATCACTCCGTCTACTCCTTCAGTAGCTTCCATTAGACCCCCAGGCCTTTCGAAGTCGTCGATTTGAACAAACTCTAGTCTCCCTGAATGCTGTGGACGAGCCTTGATCATGGCATCACCTTTCTCCAGTGAACGTGTTGCACCGCGCACTCGCATACCACGAGCGAGCAGCACGTCGACGATGTGGGCACCGATGAAGCCAGTCGCACCCGTGACAAGAATGAAATTCATCATCTTTTTCTATTGAAGCAAAGAACTGAGACCAAGAGTGTAGAAATAAATAGACCACAGGTGTATATATTGCCTGTCTCACTGCCCAATGATCATCAACGGGGGGAAGCGGCAGCTCCACTAGACAAAATCCCCGCAAGTCGGCTTTCTTTGCGAGATCGTGTTGGATGTTGGGGGTGCAATATATCATCATCCTATCTCGGGGGTTATATGGATGATTGGGAGTAGAAATAGTGGGAATAAAAGCACTGTTTCTTTTTCCATTCTTCCCGTGTTTTCATTAAGTCTTTTTCAGGCCTTCTCTTTGATATTTCTAGATTTATTCCATCATGAGTGCTGATTTCCCTGTCCATGTACAGGATGTCACGATCACTTCGTTCAGAGTCATTGACCTCCGATTCCCTACAAGTCTAGATGGTGTAGGGTCGGATGCTATGCATGTTGGCACCAACGGCTCACATCCTTACATCCAGCTGAAAACAAATAAAGGAACTCTGATTGGAGAGGGCATTGTAAGTTCGAAATTTACTTGTCGCTGGAATTCGGGTACTGAGAACTGTCATCATAGGCATTTAGCAATGGCCGAGGCAGTGAGCTGATCTGTATGGCTCTCGACATATTCGCCCGACGGGTCGTGGGTAAAACCATGCATGAACTAACTCGCGACATGGGGAAGACATGGAGGTACATGGTGTCCGACTCACAGTACCGCTGGATCGGCCCTGAAAAGAGTGTCACTCATTTAGCTGTTGCTGGAGTATTGAATGCTGTTTGGGACCTCTGGGGGAAGATCCTGCGCAAACCGGTCTGGAAAATCGTCTGTGACATGGATCCGGAAGAGGTCGTGAGATGTATTGATTTTCGATACATCACGGATGTTATCACACCCGAAGAAAGCATTGGGATGCTCAAGAAAACGCAAAAGGACAAGGAGGCTCGCTTGCAAGAGGCTCTCGAAAACCGAGCGGTTCCAGCATACACCACGTCTCCTGGGTGGTTAGCCTTCTCTGGAGACCGGATGCGTGAAGTACTCCAAGAAACCATTGCGGCAGGATATACTACGTTCAAGTTCAAAGTTGGTACCAATGTTGAAGCTGATCGGGAACGTTTGGCTGCAGTGAGAGAGGTTCTGGGATATGATCAAGGACACCAAATCATGATCGATGCCAATCAAGTGTGGAGCGTTCCTCAAGCAATCGAATACATGAAACAGCTGGTGGAATTCAAACCAGTGTTTATTGAAGAACCAACCAATCCGGACGATGTTTTGGGACATGCGACTATTCGCAAGGCGCTCAAACCATATGGTGTTGGCGTCGCAACAGGCGAGGCAGCACAGAATCGCGTCACTTTCAAGCAACTCTTGCAGGCGGAGGCGACCGATGTTTGCCAAATCGATGCTGTGCGACTTGGCAGCGTCAATGAATGTCTTGTGAGTGCAACTTGCCTTATTCTTTCACGGCTATTCTTTCTAACTCATGCAAGGCCGTTATGCTCATGGCGTTGAAATTCAATGTCCCATGTGTACCTCATAATGGTGCCATGGGCCTCACGGAATTGACATCTCACTTGAGCACAATCGATTACATCGCTATCAGCGGACGCAAATCAATGCTCGAGAATGCAGACAGCCACCGTGAAAATCTACGCTATCCTTCCAAGATTGAGAATGCACACTATGTCACACCACTCGATCCAGGATATTCCACTGGCTATACTGAAACAGCCTTGGAGAAGTATACGTATCCATCAGGGAGCTTCTGGGAGAGTGATATTGGACTTGAAATCATTGCTCAGCCCACTGGGGGCGAGCTGTAAATAGACGAAATGTCCAGTGCATCGATTGTGTCAACTCGATGAATTACTGCGGGCCCATTGCATAAGCTGTCAATTCACGTGTCGGCAATTCATACGGGTGAAAAGTCTTTGCTTTTTCTGAACGTCTTCAAGTATAGTTATAACAGCTTCAAGACTGGAAAAAGCCCACGGTCGAATATTATTCAAAGCCAGGTTTTGTAGTGCGTCAATATCGGTCACCAAATGCTGCAAAGCGGGATTGAGTGAAGCAAGCGTTAGAATCACAATGGCACCCAGTGATCTGTAGAATTTATGTCGTCAGTATTCTTCAAACTCTCTCTCTAGTCCATGGCACATACGATAACGAGAATGTCCACGTATACTGGCTCGGATGTTTCAGGATCCGAGTCGTGCTGTGGATGTAACATCGGCAGCTCTCGATGCAAATCCCAGCCTTCTCCACAATATCATGGGATATGCAGGTTACATCGTGGGTAACAAGGAAGAGAACGAATGGCCTGTATATGATATGACGGGCGGCGAAATACCTAATCCGTAGTATTGCCTGGCGATCATTCGACTCCTGCATGGAAGCTTTAATATTGGGACGAAAGATGTCTGGTATCGAAGAATGCCACAACTCGAGTTGTGAATGTAGCTCATCGCAAACCGCACTTATGGATGATATATCATCCATGGAAAATTCCTCCGGTGTGGTCAATGTGATGGACGATAGAGTCAAAGCGTGTTTCTTGCTCGGATAGAGGGAATTATGCACGCGATTTAGTAATCTTCGAATGGATATCTCCGCGAGGTAGCAAGTCGATTGCATCATCTCAAGATTAGTACACTCCGGGAGACTGATTTCGTCGGTCAGTTGTTGCAAACCACTTCGTGGGAGTTCCAGCTCGGCGAGTCGATCGCATTCGATCAAAAAGCAAGACCAAAATAGACGGATCAAGCTCTCACGCCACCAAGGTTCTTTCTGTTGACTGTCAATTCTGCGTTATCGTTAGAATTATTGTATCTTAGGAGCTGTCGGAAACCTTACCCCGAAAGTTTGAACTGAATTATCGTCGTGGCAGAGTAGATGAGTCGCCAACTTTGAAGGGGGCGGACGATATATGCAAAGTACACGCTAGCAAGAACGAGCGCCTGTGGTAGCATGAGACTACATGAGAATGACCATGCTGACTGGGTGAGGAGGGTTGGCATGGCGTGGTGCATGTACTGCATGCCCGGGGGTGAATGAAGAAATGTATGAGCATCAGGTGGTGAAGCAGCGACGGCACCAAGTGCTAGGACAACCATGCATAAAGCCGATGCAGTACTTGAATCGGCTCCGGTATCCAAAAATCGACTAAAGGTATCCTCAAACTCGCCCGGGTCTAATATGGGATGATTCTGATGTGCCGACGCGAAGAAGATAGATACCAAATCAGTAGCAAGATCGCGTTCAATTTCAATTGACCGTTTTGGTACTGGCCATGCCTCAAATGATAGCTCCGGGGGCAGGTGGGCTCGTGATTCTAACATGAAAAACAAATCGGTCGGATACTCCCCGATGAGGGATTTCACTGGGGGTAAGCTCAGGAGGTAACTAGAGGATGTTTTGTGCTTGACCGGGATTGTCAATGGGGGTAGTGTTGGCATACTTGGTTGTATGTCTAATCCGGAGAATGACCAGGGCGAGGGCATGGTAGCATTCGGAAGCTCTCTTGCAGGAGCAGATGTGTGGCTTGATGGCGAGACCTCGGGGACAGTATATGCACCGATATGGGATTTAGTGATGTCTGAGATCTGATGTGACTGGGCCTTGAGCATTGCCTCGATGTCACGTAAGCGGCCGAGGATTTCTCGAGTACCACCGGAGGTGTCAATCCTATCCTTGTAAGACGACGTTCGCCCATGAATAGTAAACTGACACAAACCTCTGGGAGGGTAAATCATCATAGTGACATTCCACCTCTAGCTCTCTACAGTGAGAACATGATGGCTTTTGAGCATCACATCGTCGTTTCCTGCTTTTCACTTAGCAATGACGTGAGACATCGGACAGGTCACCTACCGACTACGACAAAAAGTACAAGCCAGGGCTGCTCGTTTTCTATTGAAACTCATGTTTCATGTATATTGTTGAATATTGATGCATGACAGAATAAGTTATTGTGAGATTTAAGGGAGGTCGGGAAGCTCCATGGAGACCTCGACAGGGGATGGGGAAGCTGACTCATCACCTGTTCTGTCCACTCCCCGAGGACCTGTAGGTATACGAATTGATGTGTGTTATATATTTGTTAGACAGTTACATGTATATACTTTTAAAATGATTCAACTCTCTCTCTCTCTCTCTCCGGTAATAAAACAAGATGTACTTATACGTCTCATAACTCCGTCATCGCATTTAAGCTCAAAGGTCACGGGAATATATATATTTAGATCTTGTCCAACAATATAATGTGAACTTCAACTCTCTCCATCTTCGAATATCTTGCCTTTCCCATGACTCCAAAAATCTCATCTCTTTTCGGCTACAAACCCGATGGCCCCGGAGCAAAGGAAGAATCTACCAAAGGTCTTCCAGCTCCCTGGTACCATTCGCCAGAGATGTATGAGTTGGAGAGAAGGGCCATTTTCTCCAAGAAATGGATTTTAATTACTCACAACTTGCGGTTCGAAAAACCGGGAGACTTCTATCGGTTCGAGATGGCTGGATTTTCATTTGTGCTTTGTCTTGACAGGGAGGGTAACTTGAACGGCTTCCACAACATATGCCGGCATCGTGCATTTCCCCTTATCTCCCAAGATGAGGGTAATACCCCGATCCTTTCTTGCAAGTATCACGGATGGTCATATGGACTCAATGGAAAATTGGCCAAAGCGCCCAAATTTGACGTGCCAGGATTCAAGAAAGAGGAGCAAAGCCTATTCCCAGTTCATATTCATGTTGACGCGATAGGTTTTATTTGGGTCAATCTCGACTTCTCCCCAACACCGATCCCATGGGACGAAGATTTCAAAGGTGTCGATAAACAAGAAAGGTTCGAACAATTTGATTTCACCCGGTATAAATTTGACCATACCTGGCATATGGAGGGGAATTACAATTGGAAAACCTTGGCCGACAACTACAATGAATGTTATCATTGCACTGTCGCCCACCCGGACGTGGCAAAACTCGCCGATCTGTCATACTACTACACAGTCTCAAAACCTGGACATATCCAACATTTCTCCCGTCCAAAGAAAGACAAAGTGAAAGACGATATCAATAATGCCAGCACGTATTATTTTCCAAATGCTTGCATGACGGTCTCGTGAGTTCCCCTTCATATTGCAATGCAGTGAACACTAATGCCTTGCACTGAAGACCGCACTTTTTCTATCTGATGCGATGCGTTCCAACGTCAGCGAAGACTTGCTCTATGGAATATGAGGTTTATCGACACAAGGAAGCCTCCGATGAAGCCTTTAACTACATTGACTCATTTTTCAAGCGAGTTTTAAAAGAAGACAAACACCTTTGCAATGCAGTTCAAAAGAATATAGATGCTGGGGTATTTGTCAATGGACAACTTCACCCAAGCCTCGAGAGCGCTCCGTTGTTCTTCCAAAACACCGTGAGAAGCCTGCTCAGGAAGCACCGAGAAGAGGAAAAACGCGAGAAAAAGGAACTCTGGCCAGCTCGCCAAAGCTCCATGGGCTCAGCCACTGCGGAGGATATTGAGTTTTGCGCGGAACTAGCATGTAATGGGCTATCGAGTAATCTTGAATGGTAGTTGAGGGGAGTTGAGGTGTTCCCAATGTGATTTGATGATGTTGTAGTAGCATGTGTTCGAGTAACTCCAAACCTGCCGTTGGTATCTTGGACTACTTCTTCTCCAAATCATTTTCCAAAATGAACATTGAGATATACTCCGAGCGGTTGTGAATTACGTGGTCATTCGGACCCTTCAAGTGAGATTCATCCATGGATGGACTTATATTTTATGAGAGCTCATATAGGAATCATTCCTAACAGATGTCCAACCTTTTATATACTGATTCTGTCTTATCTGGGCTGCAGGAATGCAGTAAGCATCTAAATAGTTTACGATGGACAGGTACTAACCTTGAAAAAAGAATTATACGTGTTGTGCAATTGAGAATCACAAATGAGTCAGTCGGTGATTAGAAGAAGGCAGCATATGATGTGTGCTGTTGTTGATGGGAGAGATTAGGAAAATTGATGGTGCAGCATGGAGGCAGGACTTTGTGTGAGAGTACTCAGGAGTTTAGTATTTCAAACACGGAACAAGACGACCAAAGTTGGAGAGAATCTAGGCAGCAATCTCCGTCAAAATGAAATCTATATAGTATAAAGTATAGTAGGTTGTAATCTATTGAACAAGTTTCTCATGCGCGGGTTCATCCCCGATCTCCATCATCTTCCTTTCCAATAACTTCGTCATTTCATTCACGGCTTCCGCATACTTCGGATCCGCATAACAATTGAACAACTCGAGCGGGTCTTCCTGGCAGTCAAACAACTCCCATTCACGACAATCCTCGCCTCCTGCCCGGGCTCCGTCAACGAGCAAGTCATCATTGTACCAGTAAATCAACTTGTATCGATGATTGCGTACCCCGTAGTGCGCATACGCTTCATGCTCAGCATCATTATGCATCCAGTATCTATGATACGCCAACTGATCCCAATCAGCGGGGCAATTGCCTTGCAAAATTGAGCGGAACGTCCGGCCCTGCATGTAGGTCGGCGTGGTGATGCCGGCAAAATCCAAAAATGTGGGCGCGAAATCCACATTGCAGACAATGTCACTGCAGACACTGCCGGGCTTGATTTCTTTGGGATAACGAATCATCAACGGCATTTGGAAACTCTCTTCGTAAATGAACCGTTTGTCAAACCATCCATGCTCACCAAGGAAGAAGCCTTGATCCGATGTATAGATAACAATGGTGTTATCAGCCAACTCCGGATCCGAATCGAGCAGGTCAAAGATTCGGCCGACGTTGTCATCAACGCTCTGAACGGTACGGAGATACCGTTGCATGTAACGCTGGAACTTGAACTCAGCCAGTTCCTTTTTGGATTCAAAGCGGAAGACGGTGCCATCTTCATTGTCAATGAGCCACATCAGTCGAACTTCCTCGTCCGTGGGAGGCGATGGAACCTTCCGCATGCCACCAGCCATCTTCTCACCAACCTTTCTGCGATCACCATCGGGCTGCGCAAGACCAAGGTCCTTGTAGGAAAGGTCTTCCGAAACTCGCATTTTTGCGATTGCGGCAGCCTGTGCCCGATTTTTATAGTCATCCGAGAAGGTGTCAGGTAGCTGGATGGGATCTTGATACAAATCCTTGTGCTTCTCCTGGTATTCCCAGCTCCGATGCGGTGCCTTGTGGTGGCACATCACGAAGAATGGTTTGGACTGGTCTCGCCGTTTGATGAAATCGAGGGTCATATCTGTAATGATGTCCGTAGCGTATCCTTCCATGACTTGTGTACCATTGGGACCAATGAACTCGGGGTCATGATATTCGCCTTGGCCCGGGAGGATGGACCAAAAATCAAATCCTGTGGGCTCATGCAACTTTCCCTCCCCAAGGTGCCACTTGCCGATCATAGCAGTTTGGTAACCACCCCCTCGGAGTTGTTTCGCGACGTTCGGAGTGTGCCGTTGGATTTTCGAATCGAGGGACATCACACCATTGACATGGTTGTGAGTTCCCGTCAAAATGGCTGCTCGTGATGGCGTGCAGATACTGTTGGTGACATAACAGTGATCGAAGCGCATCCCCTCGTTGGCGATCCGGTCGAGGTTCGGTGTTTGGTTGATCCCAGCTCCATAGCATGATATGGCCTTCGAGGCGTGGTCGTCGGCCATAATGAAGATGATGTTGGGTCTCGTGGACCCTGCATTAGCGGCCATGGTGGGCATTCGTTATCAGCAGATGTAAGATGTAAACAAGACAATGAAGTGAGAGACTCGAATGGGTAGTGAAAGACGAAATTGTCACGAATTCGCTCGCAATCTTTGAAATAAGAACCTGGGCATTGTGTCTTATTAGCCAAGGATTGTGCCTTCAAACGACACAATCCCCTCAAGAGGGTTCAATATTCAATGCTACATGACAAGATGTAAGGGTTTCCCCCGGACAAGACGGTAGTCGGAGCTTTCTTGGACGGATGTCGGTCAATCTATCCCAATTTGAATTAGTCACCCCCACCTGTCAACGACCTCGGACCTCCCGAGGTCCCCCTGTCCACTTAAAATGAAATTGATACTATCAGAATGTTACTGAACCTCAAGTATGGGGACTTTGGTCGCTTCATTTATCTATAAACTTCCACAATGCCGACTGCCGATCCTATGATACTACCTTATTTGTCTGTTTTCAGATCGCCAAATCCTCGAGCGAAACAGGTCTGTCAGCAGTGCCGAGCTCGGAAGGTATTCCCTCCTGTATTCAGAATAAAGAAATGATGAATTACTGACGCATGAATTAGGTCGGCTGCGATGGCAGACTTTCTACTTGCCGTAACTGCGAGCGCCTAGGCTTTCAGTGTTCCTTTACCCAGAGTGAATCACTTCTAGTGGCTGGTGCACGATCCAGTCCAAGCACCGACGAAAGACCCGAGAGGCTACGTGGGCGGAGTTCTTGTTCACAATGTCGAATGCGGAAGGTCCGCTGTTCCAATACCCACCCGCAATGTGCGAACTGCATCAAATATAACAGACTTTGTTCATATCCTGCACCGATGGTGGCCCAGCGACGTGACAGACATTCTGGGGGACATGGGGCACATGGGGAATATGATCTACCTGGTGCTCCACCCCCGGAATCACGACCTCCCGATCCTGCCTTTCCGGTACATGATACAATATCAGTTGGGGCTGGCTCACTGCCGCCCGATCAAAGCAAAGAAATGGCGCAGGGAGATCCCCCACATGGTGAAGCGACAGAACTGATCCAAAACTTCTTCGAGCATATTTACCCAGTTCCTTCTTATGCATTTTTGCATCCTTCCACGACTTTGAAAAAATACAACGAAGGCACATTGGAGCGACCGCTCGTTCTTGCCCTTTGTGCCTTGACCTCTTTGCACGTGCCTGCACATAACGTGGCCGTCGACCGGGAGAAGAGTGCTGCATGGGTGACGAACGCGGAGGAGATCATTTGGAAACGCTTGGAAAATCCATCAATGGCTCGTTTGCAAGCTCTGTTGCTGACGATCAGTTATCGAATGACAACAGGGAGCTACGAAAAGGCCTTCATGTTGACTGCTATAGCTGCCCGCGCGGCCTCTGCCATGGGTCTCAATCATGAACAAACCCACTTGGACCCGATTTTGGAAGAGACCAGGCGCCGCACCGTATGGTGTTTCAAGTTGCTGGAGTCATATTTTTCGATCGGGCTGACCGAATTTGAAGTCTGCCCCTTTGAATGCATTTACTTACACCCTCCATCATTGGAAGACTCTTTTGGTTTGCTATGTCCGCCCGGCTCTGAAGATTTTGCCATTCACGCGTTGAGAGATCAGAATGAACTGGGGTCACTGAATATGTGTATTCGGTTGGCCTCTATTCGCCGGGACATTATGAAGTTGACGCGGGAACTTGCTGTTTGTAGCGAGCCTTACTTGCATCTCCAAGACGTGACTGGAGGTCTTGGGGAGATCCTCTGTGAGCTCAAAGCTGAAATGCCAAACCATGCGGAAATCTCGACTACGGGGTTGAAAAATATGATTGAAAGTTCCTGGTTGCCCCGTCACATTATGATGTTTACCTTATGGCATGGATGCTATTTTGACCTGTATCGCATTTTCCTTCCTGGATACCCTGAAGCTCCGCCATCTATAGTTCTGAGCACCATCGACGCCCAGTTCGTTCGGACGGCGACCAGAGCCTGTGTTGAACATGCACTGGCAGTGGTCAATTTGTTTTGCGACTTGAACCAGACATGTACCAAGCCACGGCTGCTTGAATTTGCTACTGGGGTGTGCGTTTATCACGCCATTCGATTAATTTTGTTTATTGCTCATTCGTCAACTGAGCCAGATCTTCTTAGTCTTGAATTCGCAGTAAGTCGAGCGGAGTTATGCCTGGCAGCCATCAAGCGGTTCTTCCATGGGCTAGCCTTGTCACAACCAATCCTTGATGATATTGCCCAATTGATTGAAACATTCTCATCTGGCACTTCCGCTACAGAGAGTCTTTCAGTATTTCACAAAGTTAATCATGGTCGGAAGTCTGACACCCGGATTTTATCTGCTGCTCGACCTCGGCAACACTTGGCTGTCCACAGTGTCTTGCAACAAGCCCAATTCCTCACAGAGGAATCTCTCTCATAATAAATTTGACTATGTTACATTAGTATTAGATAATAATTTGATATGTCCACATGTGTATCTCCATCCAATGTATCTACAACTTTGTACCTGTAGACATCCATACATGTTGGATAGAATCCATAAGATAATATTCTATAAACCAATTCCCGGGAATCTTCCAAGGTTGGAAGGTTTTCAAGGGTACCAAGGTTTTCCGATCGGGGGCTAATGCAAGTTGAACTTTAACCTTGATACCCTGTGAACCATAGTTCGGTAGTCGGTCGGCATTACTACATTGGGATATCCCCAATTTCCCCGAGCTCATTTTTTATTTTTTTTATTTTTTATTTTTTTTTAAGATTTTAGAATTTCATATCTTGAGATCAAGCGGGCAGATAACAATTTAACTGGAGATTATGGGGAAATATAGAAAGCCAAAAGTTTCACTGTTACAATCACTTCGGTTACATGTACATAGATTTGTGTGTACACCGCCCATAACCAGATAACATCTTGACCTTCTAAGGCTTTTGCAATAATAAATATTTATGACGCCATCTCGTGTTAATCTCTAGGCCTTCTTCTTAGGGGAGTCATGTGCAGTGTAACATCAAATTGATAACACTCTATATGATCTAGAGCCCGATACATAAATGTAGAGATCTCCCGCCCCTCCCCCTGAAAATGGAAAAGAAAAAAAAAGGAATGCTATCGAGTCTTTCTTTTTAACAACCCAATATATCCTGAACTCGACCTATACACAATTTCCTTCTCGCCATGACAGTCAAGGAGAGCCCTACCATTGGGACGGCCTCTGAGACCATGAAGGAACCTGCGACCCAGTCTGAGGGTTTTGACCACACTGCCGAAGCCTCGCCTCGTACAATCTACTCCAAAGTCAGCGGTTGGTATGCCACGCCTCTCTTTCAGCTAATTTTGGTCGCTCTCATCTGCTTTCTTTGCCCTGGCATGTTCAATGCCTTGAGCGGCATGGGAGGAGGTGGAATGACTGATGCGACTCTGGTGGACAAAATGGTAATATGTTCACATTCTCTGTTTTGGTTGCATGGTACTAACTCTGTGGATTACATAGAACACTGCTCTATATGTTACCTCCGCATTTACCAGTTTCTTTTCTGGTACGATCGTGAACCGACTTGGTGTGCGGCTCACACTTGCCTGTGGAGGTATCGGTTATTGTATATATGTGGCCAGCTTACTCGCCTCATTACACAAACACGTCCCCGGTTTCAATATCTTTGCCGGGTTCTTGCTCGGTGTGTGCTCAAGCCTGCTATGGACTGCTCAAGGCACCATTATGGTCTCATACCCATTAGAGCACCAAAAGGGACGCTTCTTCACTTTGTTCTGGTCCATCTTTAACGTTGGATCGTGCGTTGGCAGTCTGGTAGGTCTTTGGATATCCTCTCTCTTACACTTGCGTATCTGTGCACTTCCGAACGAAACTGTGATCATCTACTAACTCCTGACGGGTGGCAGATTGTCCTTGCCAACAGTATCAACGAGAGAAAAAACGTCAATGTGCCAGACAGCACTTACATTGTTTTTGTCGTTCTGACATTCCTGGGCTCTGTTATTGGGCTTTTCATGGCTGATGCAAAAAAGGTGGTCCGGTCGGATGGGTCGAGAGTCATTCTGATGAAGAACCCGAGTTGGAAGTCTGAACTCGTCGGCCTCTGGACAACTCTCCGTAGTGAGCCATCTGTCCTGTTGCTTTTCCCTATGTTCTGGTCATCCAATTGGTTTATTTCCTATCAGACCAACTCTGTCAACAGCGCTTACTTCAACACCCGCACCAAGGCGTTGAACACCTTCCTTTACTACATTGCTCACATCCTCGGAGCTTGCTTTATCAGCACCTTGGACTTGAACTACTTCCGCCGCACTATCCGTGCTAGGGGAATGCTGGTCATTCTCTTCGCCCTGACGATGATTATCCATGGTGGCGGTTACGTATTCCAGAAACAGTACACTCGTCCGCCTGGCGGCGTGAAACCATCAATCAATACGGACTGGACGGATTCCAACTATGGTGGACCAATGTTTTTGTACTTTTCCTATGGCTTCTATGACGTTGTCTGGCAGGGTGCAGTATACTGGTACGTGATCTCCCTCTTCCTTCATATCAATGCATCAAACCCTTGGGATCTGACCAGGGAAACCAATTCATTTAGGTACATTGGGACAATCAGCAACTCTGGTCGTAAGAGTGCCAACTATGTCGGCTTCTATAAAGGTATCCAGTCTGCCGGTGCTGGTGTGATGTGGGCTTGGGACTCAACGCACCCGGCGTATATGGCCGAATTTGCTAGCAACTGGGGCCTTTTGGCCGGCTCCGTGATTTGTGCTGCGCCTATGATCTGGCTCAAAATCAAGGATCATGTTGCCGTTGAAGAGGATTTGGTGGGCACAGATGAGAAGCTTGAGGATGTGAAGCCTGTTGATACAGAAATGCGCGAACGTGTAGCTTGACACTGAGGTACAATGATGGTAGAAGCGATCAGAAGGGGACGTCGAATTCTGATTCTGGCTAGGTAAAATAGATGATCTTTCAAGAAGACGCCAACCAGGAAGACCCCTAAGGCTTGCCTTTGTACTGGTTATCTACGAGTGGAAAGGGGACATCTGTACATCTGTAGTTACATAGGAACACGAACATATAATACATTTATGCTAATACAAAATGACTACTATCCGTAGCCTCCTTTACCGTTGTGCTCCATATCATTTCTGCTAGACCTCCCAGGAGGAGTTATACTGGATATACAGATACTGAACTGAACTGATTGGTGATGATGATTTCATTAACCCGATGTAGCTCGCTATTACATAAATGCTGCTATGCTGGGATAGCGTCCCAGAGCCTGCTCTTCAACGACAAATTGATGGTGCACTCCCAGTGTGAGCTCACCCTATAGACAGGACTCGGTCTCCCGAGGTCCTACAACCTGAATTGTAAGACCACAAACCGGCCGGCATGACGCAAATTAGACAAAAAAAAGATTGTATGGAAAAGCAATTCCCGCAGTCCCAGCGGGCACAGAGTGTCCTCTTCCCTCTTCAATGTACCTTCAACTTCTTCCTCACTGCCTTATTCCACTTCCTTACTTCGCTTCCCTCTCCCCCCTTGTCCTGCACTGGCGTCCCCGAGTCAACCGAGTCCCTACATCACTAGGACCGCCAGATTTGTATCATCCTGGTAGGTCGTACACGAATATGTTCGGGTTGCGACGCCATGCTTCGTCGTCCTTGTCGTCAGTAATGGCCGATCTCTATGTGTTTTGTTGAGGGGAGGTGATATCGGCGGACCTAGCGCTATATTACTAGGTCGTGTGTAGGCTACGGCATATCCGATCCAACGGATATCAGGTCGATCCTTATATCCGTAATTTGCGGATATTGGATATGAGCTGATATCTACATCCGTAGTACAGTCCTAGACGAACAATACCAAGAAGTGGACATGTTGCCAACTTGAAAGTCTACATATGTTGATGACAATTGTTTTTTTTTTTTTTTTTTTCTTTGAGAGTAGACCAGACCCAGACCCAGACCTATACGCTTCGGACGAACCGTCGTCTCATCTCCTTACGGAGTAAACCGAAAGCTAGGGTGGTGGTCACCCAGGTTGTTCCTCTCCTCCTCGGGCAGATCCAAGATATGGTCACACTCACCAGCAGCTCTCTTCTTGTTCTCGCGGCGCATGAGGAAGAACATGGCCGTGGCAGAAATAGTACCAAACCACATCAAGGCCAGTGAGACGCTGTAGCCTGTCACGTAGGGACGGCCGGTGTAGACCTGGCCATTGGGGCCGGGTACGGGGCTCTCGCTGATGAGGAAGATGTTGGCGCCGATGATACCAGCGACGTTGCCGACCATGACTTGGATGGAGGCGCCGAAGGCTCGTTTCCAGCGGCCGGACAGGTTGTTCTGCAGCCAGCCAAGGCACATGGGGGTGATCATATAGGCACCTCCGAAGATGGGGAAGACGGCTCCGAACTTGTATTCGCGCGACTTGCCGACTTGGTTGAGCAGCATCGAGTAGCCGACGGTGGTCATGAGGGCACCAGCAATGATGAAACCGAAGCGATGCTTGAGCCGGTCAGAGGCCCATGCGCCGATGATCATCATCCCGGCGGCGAAGACGTAGATAGGGATGGTCCGGACCTGGGCTTGCTGGGCCTTCCAGCCGAACTCGTTGAGGATGGTGGGCAGGAAGAAGGTGCCAGACAGACCAGCCACGCTGACCCCCATGTAGAGGAGGCCCGCGAGCCAGATCTTGTAGTCGCCAAGGGCGCGCTTGGCCGATGGCTTATTAAGGGTATCCATGCGGCAGACGTCGGCGACGTCGAGTGCCATGCGCTGGCGTAGCAGGGCCTTCTCCTCGGCATTGAGGTACTTGGTTTGCTCAGGCCAGTCAATGACCAGGAAGCTGAAGGGGATGGCCAGGCCAGAGGTAAGGGCGCCCTCGATGATGAAGATCCAGCGCCACGCGGCTAAACCATGGGTCCCAGCCATGCCAGCAATGGCGTACGCCAGAAGGCCACCAAAGGCGCCAGCCACAACCGTGCTGCAGAAGAAGAAGGACACGCGCTTTTGGTACTCGTGGCGCTTGTAGTAAAGCGACGTGACGTAGATGATGCCAGGGAGTACGCCGGCCTCGAAAATACCTAGGAGGAATCGGAGGCCAACGAGGGCGCCATATGAGTGAACAAAGCCCATGCACATGTTGATGATGCCCCAGCAGAACATGAGGCTCGTCAGGTACAGGGAAGGGCGGAACTTGCTGATGACCATGTTGGAGGGGATTTCAAAGAGGATGTATGAAATGTAGTATACCTGCGCATCAAAGTTAGCCGTGACTTTGGTCGCACTCAGTTTTGCTTCTTTTCTCGCGAAACTTACAAAGAGGGCGATATTGAAGCGGGTGCCCTCAAGCATGTCGAGCTCAGCGGCCATGCCCTGGATGCGAGCATTGCTGATGTTAATGCGGTCCAAGAAGGACATCATGTAGATCACAAAGAAGACAGGCCAGATGCCAAGATCAAGCTTCAGCAGCAGCTTGCGCTCCGCCTTGGGGTCAATTGGCTCAGTGTTCGTGGCCGGCAAACTGCCCGTCTCTGGCGTATCCGGGACGTAGGGCTCGTCCATCTCCTTGGGCTCCTTCTCTTCAACCGTCGATGGCATGATGGATTGTGGAGTGCCACTGGCAAACTCAAGTCAAACTTGGGAAGGACAAGAAAGGGGCCGGAGGAACAAAGATTTGCATAGTAAAAGAGGCTAAGATCAGTTCTGACATGAGGGGGCTACAACTATAGCGGTGATCAGCGAGGAGAAGGCAAAAAAAAAAAAAAAAACAAAAAAACAAAAAAGACAACAGAGGAACAACGGCACCAGGCTTGCCAAGTAGTGCGGTAGTTTGAAGGAAGAAAATAAATCGCGTCTCGCCTGTCAGACTAAATCGAGCTCCCCGTGCGGCCGCATGAATTAGCCACGCACAAGATTCCCAGGTTCTACAAGCCAGGGGCAGCGTGTGGTACCAGGACGGAGTCGTACTCGCCCAGTCTTTCCTACTTCCATTTTATATCTCCCCCATAGTATAAGATGAAGCACGGAGGCCGTACCGAGCACTCTTTCAAGTCGGATTTTGCGGTGTCGTTTCGTGCCGTCCAGTCCCCTTTTACCCTATGTGATTGGACATTCCATTCGGATCACGTCGCTGCCTTACCAACTAGTGCGTCATAGAGAATACTCCTGACAATACTGGAACGATATATCAGTATGAATAAATTAACCAAAGAGAAGTGTTGATAAAAGGACTTGACGTTCCCCGTTTCGACCAAATCGACACTTTTACCCCACTCTGATCTTGTCACAAATAATTGAGGGTCCCTCAGGTCTTAGTCTTGTAAGGTGTCAGCCGGAATTACCCTTTACCCGTACACTCCTTCAGTAGTATTCATTTCTTGCTTACAGGAACTAGACCTTGCCAACTCCCATAGGAGTAAAAAGATTTTGGTCCCATATCCTGGACCAATCATTCCCATAGGACTAGCTAAATTTTGATCCTATTACCATAGTGGTCCCATCCATAGGAGTGATAGGACTCCCATGTGGTCCTATGGCATACATATTTTTGCCAAGCATTTCCTATCTTAGCTACACAAAAATGCCAACTAAGCAGATAAAATACTATGTTGAACGAGAACGTGCTGAAGATGACTTGATATCAAGGGCCTACTGCACGCGGTACGGAGCATAAAGTAAAATGAGTGTGTATTGGAAAGAGCGTGAAACGCTCGCTATTTAACCCCTAAATGCTGACAAATCTGTCCAGCGAGTAGTAAAATGAGTAATATAGGTGGTTTCTATAAGTAAGAAGTGAAGACAACTAAAGGAGTGTACAGGTAAAGGGTAATTCTGGCTAACACCCCCCCCTAGGAGCTACCAGATAGTTCTCCGATTATAGGCGGTAAGTGCTAGTAGATTATAGTAGACTTCGGCACAACCCATTCTAGCCCGGACCCAACCCAACCCAACCTAAAATGGGTTTTAGGTCCATTGGTTCGACCTAACGATGGGTTTTGGGTAGACCTTATAACTACCCGTGAGCGGCCCTCTGAGGGCCGCCTATAGACCCGCACTTTTGCGGGCGGAGGGCAGGCGATACTAGACCTTGCCAACTCCCATGGGACTAGAAAAATTTTGGTCCCATTACCATAGTGGTCCCATGGGACTCCTATGGGACTAATAGGACTCCCATATAGTCCCATCATATGCATATTTTTGCTAAGCATGTCTTATTTTAGCTGCATAAAACTGCTGATGTATTATACTATATTTACTATATCTTAGCTTCTATTAGGTATATCTATATAAAAATTAATGCATATATAGAGAAGGTACTAATTAATATATATACTAGACAATCCCTAACTTATACCGCGATTAGGGTTGATTAGTCTTTTACTTACTGATTATAACCGGTTCCCTATTCCTAAATACCTAGGGATCCTAGAGTATTAGGTACTGTATGTGATCTGCTGATAGATAAGTTGATTGGCTCTTGGTGGTCTATCTGTGTACCCAGTGGGGTACTAATTGATTGGTGACGGGTAGGTCTGTAACACTAGGGACGGGCTTGGGACCAAAACTTGTTTATCGGTGATCATCTACGGCGACGAAGATATGTCTTATGTAGCATTCGGAAGATCCATTCCTAAACCCTCAAAGTTGCCTGCAGATCATGCCTTAGAAATATTTGAAGAGGTTCGGGGTCCTGTGGTATGATGGACAATCGGAGCGCTGCGCACGAAAATCTTTCTCTCAGCGCTTGACTGGCCCTTTGGTTTTTAAATCAGCAACTGGTGATTCGAGGGAAACACGTATGTTGTGGTACGTATTATAGCCGACGGAAATGTGTATTTGGTCAATTCTAGACTTGAGATTGATCGTGGGGTACTAGATCGAAAAACCAAGCCCCTAGTGTTACCTTATGCACCAAGCTTGTAATAGACTGATTTGATCACAGGGGACATGTGTGAAACATACCTAAGTAAAATATCATTGAATGTAATTTCTGACTAATGACATGTTACATTGGTGTTCCAAGGTTGCCCCTACCGGGGTATGTAAAGATATACAGTCATCAGGTGTACAGTGGCATTTCATGAGTATTTGCACCCCAATACTTCTACCGTTGACCGCCCTAGCTATACCGCCTTTCCATTACTATTGGTATAGACCCCACCTGTGTAACAGGATTAGATGTGATTGGATGCAAAATTCTTATGGCAGAAAACAGAAGTACCGGGGTGCAAATACTCATGAAGTATGACTCAGTATGAACTGTTAACTGGGTAAGATACAGTGAGTGCGGGAGGGGATCAATGTAATGTCTCTATATGCCAAGACTACTCCTTACAGAATTAAGAGGGTCCTAGGGGGACCCTAGACTATAGGCAAGTTCTTCGTCAAAGCCGACGTGGCGATCAGGTGATGTACCCCGCACGAATTGCTCACCAGTTACCTGAGTGTATGCCAGCCTTGGAAGGATTTGTGTCCCTTTTGTCCGGACCTTTATCCGTCACACTGTATTAGTTTCTCCGGGGTTGTGGATGAGAATTCTTTACTGGCATGACACTCATAGGTCGTCATATGAGTTCCAAATATTTAAGTGATATATAAGTCTACTAGAGGAACATACTGTCCACTTGTTTTGGCCTTCGGTCATCTTCATTGCATAACTCAACGAATATGTTCGGATCTGACCTCGCTTCCAACTTAGTCCTATTTGCCTATGGGTTTGTGTTCTATAAGTTCACAATTATCATCTATCGACTATGGCTACACCCACTGAGCAACTTCCCAGGGCCCCGACTTGCAGCAGTTAGTAGCTTGTATAGCTTCTACTTCAATGTCGTGCAAGGCGGTTTATTCATATGGGAGATCCAAAGAATGCATCGCCAGTACGGTAAGAGCCCTATATTCTCACCTAATAAACCAAAAAAAGAGAGGAATGATTATTCAGACACCGCATTAGGTCCTATTGTACGTATTACACCGCACGAAGTGCACATCAGCGATCCTGATTTCTACCCAACAATATATGCCGGTTATCGGGATAAAGACCCCTCCCACTTCGCTCGTCTGTCTTTGACAACATCTTCGCTTGCGACTATTGAACATCATCTCCATGCTTCACGTCGGCGACCAATTTTGAATTATTTCTCTAAACAATCGATTGAAAAAATGGAACCAGTTATCACGTCAAAAGCCAAGAAGCTCTCCACCAGGTTGCATGAGGCCCATGCCTCTGGCTCAATTGTGCCTTTGGATGCTGCATTTTATGCACTAACTGCTGACATTATCTCGGAATATTGTTACGGACTCCGCGTTAACTACTTGGACGATAAATTTTTCAACAATGATTTGCACAAAGCTACTAAGTCCCTTTCTAAACTGTCTCATATCATGCATTTCATTCCTTGCGATTGTCTTATTAAATTTATTCCCGACTGGGTGCTTAGTTCGATATCCCCATCGGTGAAAGCAGTGCTTGATGCAAAGGAATCGATACGCGCAAAGTCGAAAAGCATACTTTGTAACCAAAAGACACAAAATCTTGATAAAAGAACAATCTTTTATGCCCTGAATGACCCCGGGTTACCTCCACAACAAAGATCACTTGAACACCTGGTCGATCAAGGCTCCCAGCTGATGGGTGCTGGTGTTGAGACGACTGGCTCAACGCTAAAGTTTATCATGTTCCATTTGCTACACAACAAGAGCCTACTCCTGGCATTGCGAAACGAGTTGATGGAGAAATCGCAATTGACTCGTTGGTTGGATCTTGAAAAGTTACCCTATCTGGTTTGATTTTGCACCACGCTAGCCTTAAATCCCTGAGACTAATATCTTATCAACAGACAGGAGTTATCAATGAGGGCCTTCGATTATTTGCCCATCACTTTGGGCGATTAACCCGAAGTGCTCCATTCGAGACACTATACTACAAACACTGGGTGATCCCAGCAGGCGTAAGATGTTCTACATTCTCACAATATGAAGCTTTCCTGAATATCTATAATAACGACCGTCTTTCCGATACAGACCTTGTTAAGCGCTTCTCATTATTATATGCACATGGACCCGCAAGTCTTCTCAAACCCGCATAAGTTCTCTCCAGAACGTTGGTTCGACTTAAGAGAGAACCAAGGGCAACAAAACAGTCGCTTTGTGCCCTTTGGAAAGGGAACTAGACGATGCGCTGGACAAAAGTAAGATTGGATGACCTACCGAGACAAGAACTAAGAGCTGACGCCTGTACTATGAAGCCTTGCTCTAGCTGAACTATATATTGTGGTTGCTGAAGTAGTGCGCAGCTTTGACTTTGAGTTATTTGAAACCAGCCCTGATGACATATTGCATTATAGGGAATACCAAATTGGTTTCCCCCAAAAGGAGAACAATGGACTTAGAGTAAAAGTTACTCAGGTCTTTAAATAGATTGCTAGAATGGGGGACTGGCGCTTATCTGGATGATTCACGGGACTTTGGGACTGCCTTCAGTCCGTTCCACATATTGTGACGTTTCTTTCCTTTGAGTTGCTCTACGTTGACTTCCTTTAGCTTCCTAATTGTCTTCTCCGATCTCTTATTGCATATATGAACCATGTTATACCATGCAAGATAATTTAAGTATCGACGAGCCATATGTTACATAATTGCACTTGTCTAAAGATGCGAGACATGAGTGCTAAAATGACAAATTGAATTGTGCATAGATGATATCCATTCTTTTCATATTCATCGCTGGTGCTCCTAATTATTTTCATAATGACGTGCTGCAAAAACGGGCTACTAAACATAAGCGGGCTATTGATCTATCATATGAAGAAAAAAGGCTTCTCGCCCCCTCTTGTTGTAGTAATCCAGAGGTATTGATTGTTGGTTTATTTTTTCAGAGGGATACATGAGCCTATATATACAACAATGAGCCAAGTTGATTCGGAAATCAATTTGGTCGTCCGTATGGATACCTCCGAGTTGACTTCGACGGTGCGGCTTGGTTTTTGATCTGCACCAGCTTCTATCACGACAGAATGCATTATCCCAATTGGGAAACCTAGGCCCATGCCGGATGCCGAAATCCCTGAATACACCGCCCTTTGGATTAATGGCTCATACTGTACTCTAGTACGGAGTACTCTCGACTATCTAAGCATTCCTGCTGCAAGAAAAGATAGGCCATGTCACAATTTAACTGACGGGTCATTACCAGGTATACTTTGGGCAATTAGAATAGGGGTGAAACATTGTTTAATATCATCGTAGGCTAGCGTAAGTGGAATGATCGGTGAAATGATCTAAGGAGCCCCCTGTGTTGGTCTATGCTTTAGCAACCAAAGAACAGCGGTGGACCTGGAGGAGGATAGATAGAACAGGAAAATTTCCAATCCACCATTAATTTAGGCGGTACGTATGTAGCCATACGGAGCCTAGTGACATTAAGCATTTCTCAAAGGACGAAGTGGCTTGGTGGACATATAACGAGACTGCATATGATGATAACGAGACTGCATATGATGATTTACCAACAGATCGTATGTAGCGCTTTATGAACTGACCCATGGTTCTTGTCACGACTGATCTATGTACGCTGCACTCATGCCAACAACTTGAGGAACTGATATTCTCAAGCTACGACGAGCAATGGGTAATCGGTATCATAACGTGATCATTTATCATGCTGGTAGACTCACAAAGCACTACTAACTAGCGAAGAGGATATCCTAAAGAATTACCGATAGGGTACTTTGTTTCTAATGTCTAGAGCATAAAAGTTGGGTATTTCCAGATTTTTATCTTGGTTAACAGCCATAGCGAATGGTTAGGTCAAATGCCTTCGCATTTTATACCGGCGCGGGCGACAAATGGAGATCATGCCGCGGCGCAGCAAGCGCTTTTTGGGTTGATTTTGTACTCGCCTTCCGTTCATATAGGGTGGTTAGGTAAGGAGCGCGTATCATAGGGTTAAAGTTAATAAGAATGAGGATATAGTGATACGGCGATCCTTCTAGAGAGTCAGAGTATATGCTTCGTTACAAATAGCCCGATTAAGACTGGTGGACAAGTAGGGACATAGTAGGGCTAGTAGCTCCAAGTCAGCATCTTCGGAAGGCTATAAGCAAACACCACAAGAGTCGAAATACTCTATGCCCCTTTCGCCAATTGCACAGCTATGTTCCCGCGATTTTGTTCGAAGTCGCAAAGAGTGTTGATAGTGTACACCATCTGCTGGTTACTTAGGGTTATCAATAATCTGGACATAAGTCGCTCTGGCTAGATGGTAGCTGTGGTGTTTGGCAAAACGTCCGTGTCTGTGAGATAAGAGTCCGCACTGGAATAGGTTTATCAACGGAGAGCATTCGTAATTACTTGCCGTGTTAGTGGCTTCTGACTAGATTGGAAAAGCTGAGTGGGTGATCATACTTGTTGAGAAATATCTCCGACTGATGCTGGCTAGCCTCGATAGCTTCACAGATTCGATAGACACTGTTTGCGGACATATTGGATCGGCCACGTATTCTATACCAGAATATGTTCTGTTGAGTTTTGATCTTGATAGTTCGATTCAGAAAATAGGATATAGGTATATACGTTCTGATACGGAAACAGTTGAATTATCAGGTCTCGATGGATACGTTAAGGCAACTACTTCTTGCTAGTGCATTTAAAGCCCCGCCTAACTTCTTGGGCAGCGTTCTTCGGGCTTGCTCCTCGACAATCTTGCGTGTGATAGAGATAAATCTTGACGTGATGGATACAGGAAGTTCTCCAGCAGTGAGAGCCACCAGCCCGTCTATAACACGCTGATCTAAAACCCGGTCGACAGTCACCCCGGCCGCTTCCCCATCGAGATAGACTACTGGAGGATCTATATCTACCGAGAGACACACAGGCGTATTAACTAGTCAATTACCTTACGCCCTTTGGAGGCATTAAGATAGTAAATGAGGGTAGGGATCGAGCGCGGCCGCTCTTCAGGAAGGAAATCTCCAAATCGGGCCAAGGACTAGAGGTTGACTAGGACGGTAAGCATATGTTCGGATGACAATATAATGTCTGCAACTCGGTCTAGCTTATACAGTGGTAGATCACCGCTATCGTAGGGAGCAATATGATTATATAAGCTGTTCTCTTCACTGAGGGCGTTAATTTATAGCGCTTCCTCGACAAGATTGATTGGTTAGAAAAGAGGAAGGTCATTGGGCGAAGTATAGCGACGTAGGTTTTTGATAGATGACTTTAGAGTGGGATACACCTCCATCACCCCCTCGTGAATAAAATTGTAACGTTCTATTCTCGGTGGCTTAATGAACATTGAATTGAACCCATCGCCTCAAGTTCGAATCATCGAGGCAATCGACGAGGTTAGCTAACATTGGTATTCGTCTTGAATCATCTAGGGGAATGAGTGCAATGACTCTGCGTCGGGGCTTCTCAGCCCATCATGGAGCCCACCGAGCGTATCGACCCCTGGAGGGCACGGAGGTCTGTATGTGACGTTATTCGAGCAATGAAAATACAATTAGCAATGTAGAAAAGCCCAGGAACAGACCATCTCTCAAAAATTCAAAATTCTCTCACTGCCACCCCCCTCCTGAATAGACCTGGCAGTGACCCGCGGGTGACCCTCACGACCCTCCACCCGGCCCGCCACTAGGCTGGTCCGGGGCGGGTAACCAAGAGGGTCGCCAAACAATACAAACAAGCCAAATTTTGTGATATTTTTTTATGTAAATGATTATACATTTCTAATTATAAAGCAGGTTGATACGTCCTAATTAGGCTTAGTACCATGGATTTGTACATCCGAGGGTCGCTGCGGGTCGTGGAGGGTCAGGGTCGGGTCAGGGTCGCTCATGAGGGACCCTGACCCTCGGAGGGGAGGGTCCAAGATCATGGACCACCCGGAGGGTCACTGCTAGGTCTACTCCTGAATGATACATCCTTTCAGCGATTCGTTAGCGTTTGTCAGTACAAAACAGGCGGTAGACACAATGGAAAGACTCAGAAAATACATTGTACAAAGATATAGGAGACGTTATGATGGCAAAAACGCAGATCGATAGACGGGCTACCAAGCCCCACACTGATCGGTGTCGATTATTAACCGATAATGCCACAGCAACGGATGGCCTTCAGAGACGAACTATTGAAACATGAGTTGGAAAACTTCACTAGGATTGTCGGAAATTGCGGTACATCCATTGGATTGTTCGCAAATAGGCTACGGGCTGCTATTCCCCTTTCGTTGGGATCTTGAACTCTTTCGACTTTGAAAGCATGAGCGTATCGCAATGCCGTTTGTGTCTCCGACGTAATTTCTATACTGCAGTTGCCATATCGAATTGACTAGAAGTTTAATAGTTACAGTGAAACATTTGTGTAGCTATAATTTTTTATTTGATCCATAGATCCAGTAATTCGTGAGATTTGTATTTTATTATACAGAACTTAACTATAACGGATAATGTCTAAATCCGAGGCCGAGTCTTCCACGAATCCAGCACCTGCTCCCGTCAACCTCCGCCCGAGACGGCAGGAGATGCCTCGCAAGCTGATTTATCACCACATGATAGAATGGAGACGAAATTTATTTTTGTCAACATACAGAAACCAAGCGATGCCCTTCAGCTCTCAAAGGAATCCCAGGTCCGATCCCACGTGACGCGCCATCAGTGGAAGCAAGCGCGCCGAGATAAGCGTCCCCAGAACAAGTTGCAGAAGTTGCAACTTGTTAACTTGTTGCACAACGTGAATGGCGCTGAATGTCGAACCGGCTTCGAGTTCAACGTATGCAGACTGGGGACAGGCTACATCTCGCCTCAGATAGGCGGACTCAGAGTTGACCCTTTCCAATCATATCCTATTTCGGTTCAACCTTGGACTCCGCTGCTAGTTGATCACTGTAAGTTGCTTTTTGTATTTGATTTAGCAAGGTGGACTCTGTTAATATAAAGTAAGATTTGACACACATGGCAGTTGATATTCCTGAGCTTGACCTGCCTGGGAAACACGGCCTATTGAGGACCCTCTGGTTTCCATTAGTGATGACCGAGCCCGCGTTGTTTTCTGTCATTATTCTTCTTGCTGCATCGCATTATGCTTCCTTACAGCGAGACATTGGGAGTATGAAAATGGACCTTCTCGGCCTTCGCTATGAGGCCGTACAATCCATCAATCGCTGTCTTGATGCTCAGCCGCCTCATACCATAAATGACGCTTTGATAGGGGCCATAGCAAAGATGGCTAGCTATGAAGCCATGTTCGGTAGTCTCAAGAATTACGACATCCACATGCAGGGTCTCGTACGGGCCATTAATTTACGGGGTGGTCTAGGATCACTGGGACTAGATGGCCTGCTCCATCGGATCGTGGTTTGGATCGACTGCAATGCCGCTTTTTTACAAGGATCGGCGAAATATTACCTTGTGGATACTTCTGTCCTAGGTGAACCTCCAGATCCGAATCCGGGTCAATTTCTCGGAAGCTCCTGATGGGTCTGTTTCTTGAACCAATCAAAGAATTGCAACCCGTGTACAATTGCTGTATCCGCTTGCTCTGACAATATCACGCATCATGTACAAAGATAGAGTTTGTTCGGACTTCTTGAATAGGATATCACATCGAAGTGACCCACATTTGATAACCAATAGAGAAACATTAATTTTACTATGGCCCACATATTTCCTATCCCGGATATCGCATCCTATCTCCAGGGCTAGGTACCTAGGATCTGACGCATAGACTATTACATCATACCACATCCAATTGCGCCCCTCCTGAATATATAAACAATGCATTTCTCGACCAGAATATATTTATTTCACTCGACTGCCACAAATATCGCTTGTCATTGTTTTCCCGACTACTACCTACTCTCCACAGTAAAATGTCACTCACGGGTAAAGTTGCTCTCGTCACCGGCGGTGTTAAGAACCTTGGAGCCCTTAGTGCTCTCGAGCTAGCTGGTGTGGGCGCCGACCTTGCTCTTCACTATCATTCAACAAGTGACAAGGATACAGCCGCGCTGGAAGCCAAGCTTAAGGAAAGGAATCCTTCGATCAAGATTGCCTTTTACCAAGGTGATCTGACTTCTGCAGCCGCAGTGACAAAACTGTTTCAAGATGTGATTCGTGACTTTGGGCATGTTGATATTGTGATCAACACGGTCGGCAAAGTACTGAAGAAGCCTATCACGGACATCAGTGAGGAAGAATATGACTCTATGTTCGCGTAAGTATTCGGGAAGAATGTTGCAAAATCTAAAGATTGACTAAGTGTATCTCTAGTGTGAACTCTAAAACTGCATTCTTCATTTTGAAGGAGGCGGCTACTCATGTGACTGATGGTGGGAAGATCATCAGTATCGTCACTGCGCTCCTGGGCGCGTTTACTGGCTACTATACTTCTTACGCTGGTAGCAAAGCTCCTGTCGAGCACTTTACTCGGTAAATCACCAGTCCGGTATCAACTAAAGTCCAGAGCTAAAATAATATCTTAGGGGCGTTTGTAAGGAGCTCCAGTCGAGGAGGATCAGTGTAAACAATGTCGCCCCAGGGCCAATGGATACACGTAAGTCTATCGTGATCAATCAAGCGAAATATTTTTCGTTCCAGGAATCTAACGCCAGATATTATCATCAGCTTTCTTCTACCCCCAGGAGTCTCCAGAAGCCGTGGAATTTCACAAGGCAAATGGTATGGGCAACCGTCTTACTATGGTGGAGGACATTGCTCCTATCATTCGCTTCCTTTGCACTGATGGTGCTTGGATCACCGGCCAGACCATCTTCGCCAACGGTGGATACACTACTCGTTGATTAGTCTACGATAGAACAAATCCATATGAAGGGCTTAGACAGCCCTTTTGTACCTTTCCTTCCAAGCTACTCTCGGTCATGTAATCAACGCATAGGAAGAATATAATAAGAAACTTGTTCGATATGAACGTCGGGACTTCCCCATTGGTGGGGGTTGGAAAAATGTATGCGGTACACGCACGAGGCTGTACCGTTACTAGAAGCTGCTAGAGGATGGAGGATGCTGGCTATATTTTCTGCTAGCTAAGTCCTGAACGTGTGATGGGGTGACCCATATGTGACTTTTTTATTTTGGTGGATATGTAGAGTACATTACGTGCCTATGAATGACTTCTGCAAGAATCAATTATCTACTTGTCCTTCTCTCTGACAGCCATATCACTATGGGGTCGTCCCTGAGATCTAGATGGTAACTTTGAATGTCAACTCCTAGGCTAGCAAGTGGGGGCCAGATTTGCAAGCTTCATGAGGGCCCCGGATTGTCTTATTTGCCACGACTTTTTGCAGGCTAATACTCTAGCTTCTTGGCCAATTTACAAGAAGTGAAATCAACGGACCTCATAATATCAATGAACGGTTTATAGACGGATAAAAGACACTTTCTATTCAACTCTTAGCCATATATCTAGAGGAATACATACTTCTTATCGATGCGGTTAGGGTGAGGCAAAGCAGCATCGAATCCTTCGACATCGCTTGATATGCCTGCGTTTCGCCGGAGATCTCTTTTGTGACAAAGGGGGCCAAGCCTATAGCTGACAAGAAGTAGCTGCTGAAATGCTTCACTCCCGGTAATCTAACCTTCCACTTTCCAAGCATAGCTGCTACTTCGGTGTCGAAGTGGTTCCCGTACAAAGGGTTTGGAATATCGATATGACCCAATAAGGTTTTATACACGTGATTTAGCGTATGAGAAAGAAAGTCGGCCCGAGCTCTCCCCACGATTACCCAGTAATTACGGTAATACCAGTGTATAGCTCCAAAGCTGTCAAAAGCTACGCGGCAAGACCGCAATGGTTTCTAGAAATGGCCCCAAAAACCAAACCATTTGCGATTTTGCGGTTCTTGGCGCACTCTAGGAAGGACAGCTCTTCACCATGCGGCGAGAACGAGAAGCATTGGATGGGAACTTATACATGGTGGAACACTTTCTTGCTAGGGGAGAGACAAGTGAACGTGCAAGAGGCCCCTCCACTGTTCCATGCAGCACTGTTCCATGCAGTCAAAAATGGTCCCGCAGACGTTGTAGGTCATTCACTCCGCTTTGATACCATCGACGTCAATCACCAATCTTCGGTCAGCTCGCTTATGTGTGCTGCCTACAATATGGGCCATACGGAAGGGCTATCACCAGGTTCTCCATACATAACACGATGGCGTACCAAATAGCAAACCGGTCCTTGTCATCTCTGGACCAATATCGAGTAAAATCCATGCAGTAGACAAATGTTCTTCTCAATGGCGTATACTGTTCTAAATACCGTAATGAAGGGCTTAGGGGGCCCTATATCTCAACCAAAGCAACTTAACTCTTTTCAAACACTGTTAGACTGTAACCATTAGCACGAGGTAACACTTCGAATATAATATGCTTTAAATTTGGCGGGAGTTGAGTGTTGAATTTATACTTCAAAATATGATGTAGAATTTTGACCATTTACCAAGTATAAATTAACTATTTGGCTACTGTCGCTTTGGTGGCGGATCCAAGCTCGATTGAGAAATATATACATGACATCCCATATTCATTGGCAACGGTAGTCCTTTAGAATGCCGAAACACCTGCAGTAAGATAGAGGTGCAACCAGGATACTTATTATCTATCTCGGTTAGGCTGTTATATATGTGGCTTCTGTTAGTCTGCCCTCATCTGTTGAAACAATCCTGTCATCTGCATTAGTTTCTGCAGTCCGAAAGGCACTAATGTTGAGACAGCGTTTCTGTCAATTCTGTCATTTGACTTTTGCAAACGATAGGGTATAGTAAAACTAATACGGCGGAAGAGCCTTGTGTCAAGCTCAGCTATGCGTGTAAGCAGACGGTCAAGCACTTTGCTTACGAAGAGCGGCAGAGACACGTCAAATTGAGCCCGAGAAAGCTGCAAGCCTGGCTCTAAACCATTGCTTCCATGGTGGTTTACAGTTGGGCTAAATATGATTCGCCCAAGTATTGATTGTGCTTATTTATACTCCATCTGTTTGGGCATGTGATACAATACTAACCGCATGTCTTGTAAAGTATTCCAAGGTTGTGGGGATGAGCAACCCAACTTTATGTGATTCCGAAGGTCCTTGAGTGCCCAAGTTTTCTGCGACGAGTAAACGGAATGGGAAACCGTGCTTGGGGGTTCTATGCTGTCCAATGAACGATCTGATGAGAACGAATTGTTTGCAGAGGTCACGGCTCCCATTGCGCAGGTAGAAAACTGGGCGGTGTTTGTAAATGACCTGCTCTCCTTCTACGAAGAGTTTGATGAGCGGCGTCACTAGACGACCTTAGTCAACAGTTTCGCTCAGTGCAACCAAACCAACTTGGAGTAGGCTCTTGAAAAGGTGACAATGATACGATTACAGGCTTGAGGGAGCTCGTTAGCATCTTTTGCGACAAGGACTTAGTGAACTGCACACAACGCGCACTTTTCTGTAGAGTTATGTTACCTGGCACTTCTGTAACCTCCGGTACAGGCTTCAAGACATGCACTCGTTGACCAAGGAGTCGGCTGCGGTTCCAACAAAGCTTCACAATTATTCGCAGTCCGCAAAGGATGTCGGATTCGTTGGCCTAAGGGCGTGGGCGTATCTGAGCGTGGCATCTCTGGCGTCTGAGAACGTAAATAGTTAGTGTATTTATTAGGAACTAGCGGATCACCTCGGCTTGAACTAGTCGATCCATTTTTATCGCCGACAATTGGTGACCCGGTGTGAGATTTACATCATTCACGCTCCCTCCACTTCAATGGTCAAGTGTCCCCACTTATCGTTCTTTTTCAAAACCACAGTAAAGATAATACCGAACCTTATCGCAGATTTCGACGTACTTAGGGGTTTTATCCTTCTGTTGTGACACCTCCCTCAGCTACCAGGTGTCTTTGTGCAGGTTCAAATATTGTCACAAAAATCGAAGATTTACATCTATCTAGACTTACTATTATGTTTTTGACTCTAATTGTTGTGATTGTCTCCTTTCTTTTCCCCTTTCTCTAGAATTGAGTCATTTATTACCGAATGAAGCAATATGTTGATTTTCCTCAGATTCCACTATCACGAATATGGGGCCATCTGTCAACACTCCTTCACTTCATGAAGACAACCAAATTGAATTGCCACTTCGGTAAGTTCAAATCTCTTCCCGATTTCGAACAGTGAATCTGACTTATATTAGACGAAGCTTTTCAGGCGGTCTATGAGCGACTTGGAAGTCCCCCTGTTTCTTATAGACTTGCGACCGTTTAGCTTTCCTATATGTGTTGTGTGAGACCACGAGGTTGCAGAGCAGATATCTATAAGTTCGAAGCTGTTTCACTATAGTGTCCCTAAGTCGCCGTTTATGCACTTGGTCAGCGATATCACGGGACTAAGATCGATTGTCCTAGCACAGGTAAGATATAACAGCTAGCATATGTAACACTTATTGACCTGAATATAGAATAAGAGTTGGAAAGAATTACGAAAACTGTTCAATCCGGGATTCGCCCATAGCCAGGTCATTAGTATGATGCCCTGCAGATAAGACGGAGTTGTTCCTGGCGAACCTCGACCATTATGCTAGGACAGGTGAAGATTTCTCACTTGATGATCTCTGTACGAATTTAACATTTGACATCATGGGTAAATAATGTCTATTTCCACCTATAAAGTCCGCTTCTGACTTTTGATAGGTGCTGTCACTATGGATACAAATATGGACGCTCAACTCGGAGAACAGAATCAAAACTCAAATCGTCAGACTCTTCCGCGAACTTCGCTCTAACTTCAATTCTAACAATGGAATATGGGTGCTATTGCCTTCTTACCAGAGACGTCGTCTTGCTCGCCGTCTTGATTTCCATATCAAACAGCACATCAAACAGCACATCAAAGAAGAATTTGGGGAACAACAAACGAATCCTGCAAAGCGGCGTCGCAGCGTTCTATCACTAAGTTTGGCCAGCCAGAACGAGTTGACTCCAGAGATTTTGGATCAAACTTGTGATCAGCTAAAAACTTTTTTGTTTGCTGGTCATGATACAACCAGTGTTATACTACAATGGACATTTTATAAATTGAGCCGGAATCACAGTATCTTCAGGCTTGTTTGCCTCAAACTCGACGAGTTTTTTTGGCCCAGACTCGACTCCAATCGCCATCCATGCTGCTGTCCCTTGGCAGGGTTTGAAGATGGGCCTGATGGCCTTGAAAACAGAGATTACTGTCTCCAGAATACGGTGTATACATCTGCCGTTATAAAGGAGACCCTTCGTTTATACCCACCAGCTGCCACGTCCCGGTATTCACCACCAAATACTGGGTTCAACGTTCGATTGCCAAATGGCCAAGACTTATGTCTGGACGGGGTGGTGCTCTATAGCTGCCAGACTATCATACATTAGGCTAGCAAAGTGTATGGTGATCTGGCTACTGAGATTATCCCTAAGCGATGGCTGGAAGGGCTGGAAACCTCTATACTGCCGAGTGCTTGGCGGCCCTTTGAACGTGGACCACGGCAGTGCATTGGGCAAGACCTTGCGAACATTGAAGCTGTTGTGATCATTGCAAGCGCGGTACGCCGATATACTTGGCAAAAAGTCGGACTTGGGGCAACTAGGTACGATGATTCAGGCGACCCTATCACGAAGGCAGGTGGGCAATACGACGTCCAGTCAGAGCTATACAAGGTAAGCATTGAACAAATTCACGACTAGACTATTCATTAATTACCAGAGTACAGACTCTGGAGATAGCAGCGCGGCCCGTGGACGGAATGAGAATGCTTGTAAGGATGGCGGGAGCCTGAACAACACTAGGTGGTCCCTACAGTGGCCGAGATATATTCCATCAAGGCTAGAAAACATGTTGCTGTGTTTTATAGCTGCTTTCCCTTCGCTGGTCCTCAATCGTCAATTTGTTGGTTTTGTATAGTACGGAGGTTGTATGAAGCATGTATGGGATAGGAAGTTTTGTATAATAGAAAGTATGAATTCTTTGTCTGTCGAATTATATTCAAATGGGCCTGAGTTGAAGCTCATATGTATGGGCTTTACACCACTGTAGATACATAAAGAGCAGAACACAATGGAATGGACTCGACGACAGTGGAAAGCATTCGGCAACGGGAATGCGAGTGTAGGACTCGGCCAATTCATAAGATAATTGACACGTAGGCAGTCTGAATCAGAATACAACTGCCTTTGAGAAAGCACGTGTGATCTCGGTTGTGTGGAGGACTTTGAGTATCAATTAGGCTGGCCCTAATTGCGTAGGAGCTGGCATCCTTGGCATGCAAGAAACACTCGATATCACAAAGGGGCTTAGCATTGAAATGAACCGTGTTAATTACTGAAATTTTACTGGGATTCTCAACAAAATTGACAAGAACCCGCGAGTCAAAGCCTAAGTCTATGGAACCTCATATTATATGGGCCTGAGAGTGCACATCGACCATTACCAAATTCATGTCCATCTTGAGCTACCATAATTTGTAATACCGCACTACTATAACCTTGGAACGTTGCTGTAACTAGCCTAATCACAACGCTAGCTTGGAATGTAGTATCCTATTTAGGTAATATAGACCCACGCCGGATGCCAAGGAACTCAAAATCTCAGAACAACCCGCCCTTTGGATTATGCCTCATACTCTGCTCCGCGGAGTACTCTCCACTATTCCAGCATTGTTCATGGAACGGAAAACAGACATGTCAAATTTTTACACGTCACAAATCAGGTTTATACCCTATCAAGAAGAGGGGAGAAATATCATCATCATCGTAGGCTAGCGTAGTGGAATGATCATGAGATGATCTGCGGAGTCCCTGTGGAGATCTATGCTTCAAAAATCGAAGACCAGTGGCCGATCTGCACGAGGGCAAACGGAACTCAACAAATTGCTAATGCGCTGTTAAACTAGGTGGTACGTAACCATATCAGCCCGTGGCCCCCACTAGAATCAGAACATAGGCGCCACCGACTAGGGGTGCATTTCTCCTTTCTACATCAGTTTACTTATAATTTACAAGACAAGTGTGAACATTGCTGGATCTCAGCCCATATACACCATACTCCACCTACCTAGATAGCCGATACTGTCGATCTCGCCTCATACATTAAAGATCAGCCCGGCTCCAGCAGCGCCATGACCAACTCTACTGGAACATATGTTTGGTTTACATCATAGGTGACATAGCTTGCATTCGAGACATGACTATGCCTCGGCTAATATGCCCACCTCATCTTACTGCACCTGTGTGTCTATTCGCTCGACGCTGTTGATGAATTTGCATTTGCTGTTGTCGTGGGTCTTAGCGGTCAAATGTGAAAAGCTTACATACAAAGGTAGTACGTAAATTAGGAAATAAAATTTCATCTCTACGGAGTAGACATTTGCAAATTCCCGGAAGTGGAGTCTGTCGATTCCCTCTGTTTCTTAGAGCATTGTAAGTGGTAGGAATGATATTTTCAATTGTCTCATAGGAAACCTCTTGTCTATTTATCAATTATCCACTGTATTCGCTCCTGCGTTGTGTCGGCTTTCTGGAAATTGAACAGATCGTTTCTTTGACGAAAAAAAGTGGACGGGATCTTGATAGGTTCCTGCCAACCGGTCCCATAGATGCAGAAATTGGCCAAAATTGAATTTGACATTTTTGTGGTGGACAGTGTGGAAGGTGTCTTGGCTATCATCTGATTTTCGCCCAGAGATGAGTATCATCAGTTCACCAATCGAGGAAGAGAGCACATACGCAGTAAGAAAGACCATATATTAGTCATAAGGAATATCACGAGGTACGCAAATTTGGACATTGGCAAAATAAAGCCGTAGGCATGGATCGGGAGACTCATTATGTAAGCTTCGATGGGATTGAATGCGTAGGCCGAGAATGGGGTCGGGATGATGAAGCGATGGTGACCTTTGTGCATCGTATTGAAAAGCAGAGGCAAATGGAACAGTCGATGAAGCCAATACATCAGGGTGTCGGAAAATGTCAAAAAGAATAGAAACTGCAGCGCTTCATACCAATATCCTGGTCCCTCCTCTGGAGAACTATATAGTTTCGAGTATCCCCGAAGTTGGGCCACAAATATCGGAGCCGTGAGAATATTCCCAATGAACAGGGTAAGCATAGACTCTCTAATCTCTTGTCGAACCTGGTTCTTGAGAAACTTTGGATGGGTCTTCAATGTGGGTTCGAAATGACGATAGTAGCAAATAGTGCCAAAGATAAAAAAAAGCATTGTGCTCGATACCCTAAGTGAATGTCAGCTGTATTTTCCCTAGGCCATCTTAAGTCTTATTAAGAGCCGCACATTGAGAAGGTGAAGACACTGATATACTGCCTGACAATGCTTTGTCGATTCCATACGTTGTTGGACGCGATGGAAATGCAGATTCGATCTCGCAATTCTGTTGTATATAGGTGTTGCCTACTTAATGGGCGCCATGGGTCGATGGGGTTTTCATCAACACAGGCAAGATCAGTGGCCATATGCTTGATCCAGCTATAAATCGTAGAAAGAATCATTTGGTCAAGGGCGTCCAGAATGACATCCATATTGAGATTGGTTGGAGGCGAGTGATAAGAATTGATTGCCTCTGGGCCAAATGGTCCTTTCAATGAGGAGTTGAACCTTGAAAATTGTACCTTCCGTAGTTTTGAAGTTGTCAGAATAGGCGATAAATACCAAATACCCACTCTCAGATCTTTTCAATCCTTGTAAATAATTATTAACCTGAATACTTGTGCTAATTGTTTCATTTTACCACGACGTCATGTCTGCTGTAGCCATGTTACACCACACAAACTTTGAATCACCCCTGTCAGAACCAATTCAGGTATACTCGCATCCTGATCTTCATGCCTGATTTATCTAACATAGACATTGAAAATGCAGCAAACACTTTTTTGGCTTGCATAAGAATCCACTTTCATGCCGATACTGCTTTTGCGTTTGAAAAATACCCACTACGCACTGAAGGTCTCACCGCTGATTCCGCAAATCGAAATACCGACAGGGGCCGTGGCACTTAAAAGGTTAGAAATAGAATAAACCTTACTAGGTATCACGAAGAAATCTTTTGAGCAAAACCTTGGAGCACTGGGGATACCCCTCCCCTAGTAACCAGCCGTCCTCCACATCCACTATATAGATACGCGTGTTTCCTATCCAGTACATTGATTCCATTAAACACATCCAACTGCAAATATGGTGACAAAAGTCACCACTACCACTCAATTGTCTCTGAGAACGGTGTTGGTTGAAGTATTTTCATTGATTCTGATCATCACCAGTCCCCTTTTGGTGCTCTTCTATTGGATATGTTATCAGTTCTTCAATACCTCTATCCCATCGACGGTGTTTACCGCCTATTCTGAAGGCACCTTTCAATTTCTGGTCAACAGGATGCCATCTTGTGACATGGAGTCAGTTCTGGCATATGTTGTATGGACATTGTTCCAAGCGATGCTGTACACGTTCCTTCCTGGACCGCTATTGTTGGGTCAGCCGACGCCTTCAGGAAAACGACTCCCTTACAGAATTAACGGACTTCTTGCTTGGGGATTGACACTGGTATCAATGTTTGTCGTACACTCTACTGGATTAGTTCCCTTGACGTTCGTTGCCGGTCACTGGGAAGGACTTGTTTGGACCATAAATATATACAGTCTGGTCATGCTTATTATCTTCCATCTGAAGGGTTATTGCTGGCCAGATAGCCCAGAGGACAATGTATCAGCAGGTAAGTTGAGCCAAAGTTTTTCGAGAGACAGATCATAGTGGACATCGGCACTAAACGCAAATTAGGGTACTTTTGGACCGATTTGCTTAACGGTATCGAGTTTCACCCCCGTTTCGGAAAGCTTTGGGATATAAAACATTTCCACAGCAGCAGAGCTGGCGGTGTCATTATCTGGAACGTGGTGTAAGTCCACCAATCATATGCTAAACAGCCTCCAGGCAAGCGATTGTCTTCAGTTTAATAACAGCGTGAAGGGATATTTCTTTCGCTGCTGCTCAGTACTACAGCCTTGGATACATGACAAATTCCATGGTCTTGGCTGTCCTACTGCGACTTTTGGTTGTGCTAGATTTCTTTGCCAATGAAAAGTGGTAAGTCTTTTTGAAGGCACCGTCCTCAATTGTCCTCTAAGAATATCCACTAAACTTCCTAGGTTCATCGGGACATTGGACATTGCATATGAACATTTCGGATTCTACTACATCTATGGATATTCGGCATTCATGCCTGTGATATACACCCTCCAAGCACAGTATCTTTATCGCCATCCCAAGTCGCTTCACACCCAAGAGGTGGTTTTCATTGTGCTGGTTTGGACAGCTGGCTGGATTTTGACCTTGTGGGCCAATTACCACAAAGATATAGCTCGCGAATCTCAAGGCCAGTGCACGATTTGGGGCTCAAAAGCCAAGTACATTGAATGCTCCTACACACTTGCCTGCGGAAAGGCGCAAAGTTCAAAACTTTTATACTCCGGTAAGCAACCAACTTAGCCTGCTAGATCCCTCATTTCCCTCCATTTTCTTTCATACACTCGTGACTAACAATAAATAGGATGGTGGGGTGTTGTTCGGCATGCCAACTATCTTGGAAACATCATATTTACTTGCGCTCTGTGCGCAACATGTGGCTTCGACTCAATATACCCCTGGACGGAAGCAATTTTTGTCATAGGCGTCATGATGCACCGTTGTCTAAGAGACGAGAAAAAGTGTCGGACGAAATATGGAACGCAATGGGAGGATTATTGCAAGAAGGTCCCATGGAGACTTATTCCCGGGGTATTTTAAGAGTCATGTGATGGTCTGGTGTGCAGCCCGAAGAGAGTGTCAGCCAAAGTTTCTTGGAGGGACCTGAGATGTGCTCTTCGTTGACCACCCTAGCACAATCTTTTAGTAGCGTGGTGAATCCCCGTCTAGGGATATGTCTTAGAAATTGACTGTAGGCGATGTGTGAGAGTGTTGCTCGCCTAATAGAGCCCCAAAATCCATGAAGATCCTTACGCCGGTCTTATCTTGACCAAGTACTGAGGTCAACCAAGACTGGAGGCGTGGAGGGTTCTCGCTTACGCACAATGCCTGTATTATGGTAAACATGGGTTTAGCAAAAGTAATAGGTGGGGATAGGAGCTCGCGTATAGAGGTATGTCTCACAGTCAAGTTACGTCACACTCGCTATTATCAGTGAAGACCACGGTCTAGTACCTGCAAGAACACATAGCAAATCTCAACCAAAGAAATGTTCATCTGTGCTGATGTCATGGACCCCACTCTTGAAGAAGATAGGTTAGGCTTTTGCATATACCGAATAGACCCTCTCAATACCGAAACTTCTCAAATTACTGAAATTATGATATGTCCTAAATATGGCTGTAGGAAACAATCTAGGAACACCAAGACTCACGGCACATCGATTCGACTACAGTGGATACCCGGACATTGCGAAATACCTGAGGACGACACTGCCGATTTACTGGCTTAAGAGGCAGCTATACCGGGAAAAACACTCCCATTCTGCTGTTTGCTATCACGCGAGAGAACACACGTTAGGCAAAGGGTGCAGGCCCAATGGAAAAAGAATGGAACGATTCGGGCACCGGCGCCTATCTGCGTTAGGTCGACAACACACTGCCGTCCAAGTATACCAGACGTCTCTACGGCTCTCTTCTTAGAAGTCGAGCGTACTTATTAACACAGTTGCGAGCCGGACACTGCTGGTTGTCAACATACGTAAAGACCTCTAGATTCCGAGACAACGATCTGTGCGTCTGTGCCGAACGGGAAAGCGTTCACAGTATGTTGTGAGATTGCCCACGATTGAGAGAACTAAGGAGGGAGCTGCGAAGTAAGGTTGGTGGCTTCTTTAACAGAATATTAACGCTGTTGGGGGGACCAGGAGAAGAAGGAAGAGGTAAGATCAACAGTGCTTCACGGACCAAGATAGTGGAGGTTGTCCTGGACTTCGCTGAAGCATCGTACCTGTTTCAAAGCCGCGCGCCATGGGGGCAGTATAAATAGAACAGAGGCCAGGTACAAGTAGCATTTATCACAGTGACTATTGCTCTTTGCAAACAAACTTACAATCCTACCAACTCTGATAGCGAGAAACTGCTGTTGAAGTCTGTATTTATGTTAGTCAGATCTAAGTGGCCACGGTGAAGTGAAAGGATACAGGATGCTACGAAAGGGATAGCTTACCTAAATAAATCAAATTTTGTTCATGACCAACTAGTCTTCAACAGAGATACAGTTGGTAGAAATGAACAGGAGGCACTTGATCCCGAATCAAGTCTCTAAGCAGCATCCTAAGAAGGGCGATCTCATATTCTCCGGATGAAGGGCAGTTCAGAGTAATTTCACGACAAACAGGATCGGTTCCTGAAAGAGCATGTTATATTATTGCCTCCGTAATTTCTACCGAGGAATGCCACGGGTAATCCCGGGAGCCGCTGGGCCCCCGGGAACTTAGAATAGAATTGGGTCCCAGGAGCGAAGGGCTGGTGAATGACTGCTTGTTTGTATTGTTTGACGACCCTTAGGGTCACCCGCGGGTCACTGCTAGGTCTATATAGGACGTACTATTATATAGTACTAATTTAAGTACTATATATATAATAGCTAGTAATATATTAAGCATAGCACGATGTAGACTTTTTAAAGCGATTTTTAGGGAGCGCGACCTCGGGACGTAAGGGGGGAATGCTCAGCCTTATGAGAAACTATAAACCGAATCTAGCCTGTAAGCACTAGTAGTTAGGCACCAGGTCTACTTCTAGTAATATAATGTAGTAGACTCGATTGCTTTTGATCTATCCGTTCATTTTTCTCCTTATAGCGAAGCAGCTATTATATATAGCAAATATATCAAAAACGTATAAAGCGGGAAGGTTAGTGTGAACAGATGGGTCGGCTATAACGTTTATCCTATACTTATCGTATATACTTTATGTGTATCCCTGACAGCCCTAGGATATAGGTAGGAGATCTTAGGGGATAAGCTACTCCTAGAATTGCTTTTGACGTTTCTAGGGTTAATTTATTGACCTCCAGAGTTAAGCTAACAAGAGAAAGAGGCTTTGTTGAAGACTCTGCCGCTGACCCTAAGTGGGGTGCTTTCTTTAAGGTACTTCTTCATCCTTAACAAGTGTGCACTTTACTGAAAGCTCAGGTAGCTTATAATTGGTTTAGATGCTATTGTACTCAAGACTATCCTGTTACTATTGCGCTCAAGTATCCTTGCTGCGACATAGTTGACCGTACGTGGCTTGTACAACATAAGAAGCTGAAAATAAATATCGTAGCCCTCTAGTGACATGCATAACCTTAGAAAACCAAGTACTACGGATTTAACCCTTAAATAGTTCGATAATGAGTGTCTACGTTTGAAACCTTTGCTAAAACAGTAAAACCGACATAGACTGCGACATCGCCCGTCCATGGACACCTAGGAGGTGCCCATCGCCCGTCCACGGTGGGCGGTGGGCTATTTGGATTTTCGAGTGCCCGTCCATGACGCCCACGGCCCATGGGCATGCCCATCG